TTTCCCCTTGGAGTGCTCCGTCGATGTAAAATATAGAATAATAACATTCACATTGGAGTAATAATATTTCACGACAAGGATATCATCAAAGCCGACCAATCTGCACTGTTATTCGAGCGTAATAATCCTCGGTTTGCAAAAATACTTATTCTTTCTGACGGACGACCCCCGAGGCCACGTGCTCGGGATCCTTTTAAGTGTCGACGGCGAAAAGGGACACAAGAGACAACACAAAGAATGAGATACAAAAAAAAAATGAATTTCTCGGTCAGAGAAGGGGGGGGGGGTAAAGAAACAAAAAGAAAAGGTTTGTTGATAGCCTGTCAGTATTTTCGAAAGGAATGCGGTAGGGTATTTGAAAATATTTTTATGTAGGCACGTACGTCACGATGACTCACGATGTTTTTTCCACGTTTATTTTCTGGGCCTTTATCAAGTCTACGAAAAATGTAATTATTTACTAATTTCCGTTTTTTACGCCATTGGGGCAAAATACATGCACGACTTACTAATTGTCGTCGAGTCATCGTTTTTATTTTATTTTTAATTTTGCTAAACTAAAACGTGAACAAATTAAAATGAAAAAAAAACGTAGTTTACTGTATACGTATGTATGTATTAAAAACCATTTTAGGGGTATGTTACACAAATTTTCGACATTTTCGAGAAATGAAACGGATACCGTAAAATAAAAACAATAATGATTACTTATATTCTTTAATATAATATTCTTTCATTTTTGAAAATGGTTTTTAAATTAAGAGTATTTAGTCTTTACCGAATGATTGTATACAATAGACTTTTACGCGGTTCCGCGTTCTCTTCCACGATTTCCATAGTAGTAAAATGAAAAAAAAAAACACTTGGGTGCAGTCACTATTGTAGGTGAAAAGTTGGAAAAGTAGTAGAGGGAAATTTAAGATATATATTTAAACGTTAAATCATTGCTAACGAAAAGATGTATCTGAGTGTAGGTCAGTTGGCATTGTCACTTTGTCAACAATATATATTCCATAATATGGTAAAATAATTCTTTAGGCATTATATATTTTCTTTAATAATAATTGTTTAATATTTTACCTATTTTCCCGGTTTACCTACGGTGCTTTCGGTTTTCCCATGTTTTTTCGCGGTTTTTCTCATTTATTTGGAATACTCCTGGGGAAAATTGAAAAATTACTTTTTTTTAAAGTACCTCCCTAGTCCGATTTTCTTTCGGGAAAGGTGCTTAACTTAAATATCGGAGAACATTTCTGGTAGAAAAGTTGCGAAATAAATAAAAAAATTTAACATTTTTGTAAAACCATAAGCTTCTTTGCTCACTCAGAATCTAAAAACGGTATAAATTTTGAGTTTCAAAAGCAATAAACACGTGTGAATCTGCCTAGTAATTAAGAAATAGGTTAACTCATTATGCAATAACAATAACTATACCGTTTTTTATTATATACTCCGTTATAAAATTTCAGTATATGTTACATTTATATAGGGTTATTTTCTTTAACTGCGATCCAGAGATCATCTACTAATGTATTAGGAGTGAAATTGATTTTAGATTTGTTCAGTCGTTATGATATAGAAACGTTAAATGTTCTTATACGCACTAGTTTTAAAATATTACCCATATTTCGTACAACGTAAACGCATATCGAATTAGATTTTCAAACCATACATAAAGAGGTAATGATATTATCTTTGTGTTGTTATAATATCGAAAAAGTGTGCCGTTTGTGAGTTAAATCCGTTCCGCATTTAGACCGGAGGAGTAGAGATGAATGGTAACCATCTAAACACGGATATTAAATTATCATGAATTCAGTGTTCCTACGTTCAACAGCAATCGAAATTATTAATGTGACATTTAATATGTAACATAATAGACAAGATCCCTAACGCTTTGTGGATTTGCAATGGCGACCATTATACAGATTTTTAGGGTCCGAGTGAAACGAAAAAGCTTACGGTTTTACAAAGATGTTAATTTTTTTTTTATCCGTGAGCAACTTTTCTACCTACAAATCTTGCTTAAATTTTTAAGTGTAGCACCTTTTCTGAAAGGAAACTCGGTGTGGGGAGGAACTTTAAAGGGGTTTCTCATCAAATGTGAAAAACCGAAATAAACAGAGAAAAAATGAGAAAATGTACAAAACGTGTTACTAAAATATTACGTTTTCTTCACTAAAATCTAGTATTCCATTAATTCATTTTTTCTCATGCCACATTAACATTAAATCAAAAACGCTGTGATTTTACTGCCACGAATAAAATCATTAGCCGTCATTAAGAAATTACGAGTAGCATAAAACCATTGAGTACAACAGTAATTTATTTATCGGCGTCACGGCATTATTCCTTTAATATTAAAATACTTAAATAATAATTGTTTTTTTATATGAACCAAATACCCATTATATATTTATGCATCGAGCGTATATTTAAACTTACCTATCAGTTTGTGAAGCTATTTGAAGTTTAGTGTAAACTTATAACTGCCGAACTACAAAGTTTTTTTACTATTGAAACATTTTTGTTTTAGATTCTGAGTGGAGCGAAGAACCTTATGGTTTTACAAAGATGTTTGGATTTCTGTTTTTTTTTTTCTTTTTCGGTGCACAACTTTTCTATCAGCAATTTCGGTACAATTTATATTTATAGCAATATTTCTAAAAAAAAATCCAACTAAGGAAGTACTTGAAAAATGTCATTTTTCGATTTTCCCAGAAGTTTTCCCAGCAAATGAGAAAAACTGGGAAAAAACACGGGAGACCAGGAAAATCATAGGAAAACCGGGGTAATCGGTACAAAATTAAACAAATATTATTAAGGAAAATATGTAATGCCTATATAATTATTTCACTAAAATACGGCATATATATATTGTGGACAGAGCATCACTATCAACTGAACTCAACTCGGAATCGTTTTTTTCATAAGCAACGGTTAATCGTTACTTACAGATATACATTAAATGGCTGCACCCGTCTCTATTATCATAGGACTTCTATTTTTTTTGTTTACATAAGTGACAGGTGGCATGATTATTGTTAAATAATACTTTACTGGAATCTATTTTCGTTACGATTTATGATTATATATGTACATAGGGTACTATGTGTATATATATATATATATATATATTTTTTTTTTGTTTTAAACTCTTGAATAATCTACATTAAAAATGAACAAAATTAGTACTTATACAGTTTTGCGAGAGAAGGATTTAAACCCATTTTTGTCAGAATATGCATATTTTAAAATTATTTCGTAATTATTTATCTCTCACTTTCGACCTAGGTATATAGTCGGAATTTTTCAGAATTTTCACCGCCCGCGTTTATAGTGCCCAGGACGGTCCTAAACAAGACCCCAAGGGAGACCCGGAACTCGGTGGATTGATGCAATTGCCATGCACCCGAGAATAATGTATCTGCAGAATGTAACCTATCGTTTGACTAACAATAGGAAAACGTAGAGGGACCCGGTGCAGACGGCAGCGATAGCCCTTATGATAAAAACAGCGTTAAAATAAAGCTCAATAGTTAAAATAACGATTAAAAATAAATAAATCGAATTCGCTTAAAATCCTCCGATAAAATCGCTCTAGAAATCGGGATTAACAAAATCACCTTGTATGCATATATGTTGCATTATATTGTTTTTGTAATTAAACCGTTCGAACTCGTTCGATTTCTTTTAAATCTCCGGAGTGACTGTAATATACAGAGCGATTTTCCAAACACGATCACTCCATTTTTACGGTTAAATTGTGCATAAATTTAAAATTTCAATTTTTGGATTTTCCAAGATTGCTTTTCCCTTAGCGATTAATCACTAATCAGTGTAACCCAGAAGCTATTTGTTCAAATTTCGATTACAACACGCCGACGTTTTCGGCAAAAATCATCCGATTGGTGATTCGCATCGAAACGTTGTGGCTTATTAACGTTGCGAATAATCCGGGCACGCGAAAGTATACCGTCTTGCGCTACGCTCGAATATCGGAATTAGAATTTCGGTTTATAGTTAAATAGCCGTGGAAATGGGCCGAACAAATCATCCTGTATATAAGGTGCCTGCGCTGTTGTTTCGCATGGCGGCGTTTCCCATTTCAAACGGATCCGCTGCACTATATTATTTCGGGGACATAAAAAACGGTATTAAAAGCAATTGCCGCTAAACGGCGTTCGGGTGTAATGCCGTCGCCGTCGTCGTCGCGTTTCGCGATTACCGCGCGAACGATAAAAGTTTTCGGCGTGGCCGTGCAGTACTTTACTCGCGTCGCGATATTAATATTATCGAGCGCGATTTCGTTGACGATTTTTCGCGAAATCCCGTCGAAACCGTCGCGCGCGATATCATTTATTAACCCGTCAGGCCCGGGCTGCCGAAATTCGTCCGCGGCGCGTGAACGCGCGGGATTCGGGGGTCGCGTAATGAGCTTCGGAAGGGGTTTGTTTTTTCGCGCCCGGGGCCTAAGGCGAAAGTCTTGTCGTCGGCAGGAAAAAAAAAAAAAAAAAAAACGATAGCTCGCCCGTTCCGTAACACGAGACCCGAATACCCTCACAACCGCCCCCCCTCACCCGCACACACACACACACACCCAATGTGTGGATATATTATTGTAAAATGACGCTCGGCTTCGGCAAAGGCGTACACGCCCATTACGGTCGCGCGCAGCACCGGCGGCGACGGCAATATTCTCCAACAAGTTTTTAAAATGTTATACAGTCGACCCTTCGCGCGCGCCAAATCAGCTATCCGTATTTAAATATTACATAACGTACGGTCGGCGCCCGACAACGAGGGGTCAAAATCACACGTAAATAAAACATTTGGTTATTTTTTTTTTTTTTTTTTTTTTTTATCGCCCGCACTACTCCGTTGAGCGTCCGTAAAAGAAAATCACACCGTACGCCTTCTCGAAGTCGTTTTCGCCCTCACCTACGCGCGCGCGCATAGGTGAATAGATTATTTACGGCCGGTTCATATTTGATGAGCTGATGTCAATCGACTGGCGCGGTACGTTTCTAGTCGGTCCGCGAACCTGCACGGGCGTAGGAAGAGAAGTTTTCCTTACCCCGGGATGTCCCGGAAATTTCCGTAAAAGCAGAAAAAATTCGATTTCATACTTTTCTCTGTATTCGCCGGGATACCAGGAAATTTCGATTCGTTGTTTCTATTATTTATATTATATTTTCACGGAACGCTTATAATTATTTCAGCGTCCTGCACTTATTACATTGTTTAATACCTATGAATTATACGTGTACATACATTTATATATATAAATACATATATTTTTTTTCCCCTTTAAAAGTACACTTAAACTTTTTTAACGGAAAAAAAAATTACGCTTGAAAAATAAACGCGTTTATAATAAATTATTGTTGTAACGAGGTAACAAAGGTAACATACTGATGTCCGTTCGTCGTTGCTCGAGTGCACTAAAGCAAGGCGCGAAAAAGTAACAACTTTTTTATTCAAAGTCCTGCCTAGAGGCTACAAGCGCTTGCACAGTAGTTACTAAAAAAATCGGTGCTCTGCGGGTGTTTTGTACGTGATGGCTGCGGTCCCCGTACGGGACACTGAAAACCGGTGTGCCACAGTAATAGATTGAAGAAGTTAGGAAGGTGGGATATTATATGGAATTATTTAATCTGTCCGTAATGGTACACCATTGCTATCGAAAAACAATTTGGACCAAAGTTCGGTGTAGTACACGTTTTGTAATGTTGTAATTTTTACGCCTTTCGTCGAAATTTGATATTAAAATTCTCGTAAAAATAAAGTACTATAATAAACTCATTTTTTTTTTTTTAACCACGAAATAATTCTTATAATGAACCTCCTTTTCAATTGCCATGCATTTCTGTTTATTCGAACTTTTGTTAATGCCTATAAAGTATAAGGTTATATGTATAAAAATAAAAAAGTACAAACGTTATTTTCAACTATTTTTTTCACATTACATTTACATTTGTTTTTTTAATGTTAATCGTTAATTATGATTTATGATAAATTATGACAAATGATATTCGATTTTAGATTCTGAGTGGAGCGGAGAAGCTTATGGTTTTACAAAGATGTTTATTATTTTATTTTTTTTTTGTTTTTCTATGGGCAACTTTTCTACCAGCAATTTTGCTTTAATTTATGATAATAACAATTTTTCTAAGAGGAAATTTGACTGCAGAGATACTTTAAAGAGGTCGTTTTTCGATTTCCTCAGGAGTTTTCTCCACAAATGTGAAAAACCGAAAAAAAAACATGTGAAAACCGGGAAAAACTTATGAAAAACGGAAAAATCGGTTTATTCTTTATTTAGGTTGAATTTGTTTCAATGTTGTTTTTTGTTATAGCATTATAAATAACTTTTTAAAGTTCTGTGTACAATACAGCAATAATTAATAGTTTTTGCACGCTTTATCACATTTAACTGTCGACTACCATTTTTATGTTTTTTTTTTCTTCTATGCCTTTTCCACAGTGGACATTAGAAAGTAAAACAATAATTCGCCTTCCGTTTTTCTTACCCGTTTAGTGTCACACTTCATAGGTAGGTTAGGTTAGGATAGGATAAGGATAGGTTTTTCCTAATGTCGAGTCCGCGGTTATGAACAATAAGTAATTTTTATTTTTTGAATGGCTCTTTCCCATTTGCAATTCCACTTGTTATGTCTGAATTATTTATACCACGCTCCGCAATTTAACTACCCGGGTATAAATATTTTGTTCAATAGGTTCTCTGTTAGTACATTGTATGTTTAACCGCGCATAATGGTATTCGGCAAACGTTCCAGGTCTCTACGATTATAATATAATAAAATATACTATCTAGTTAATATTTCCGACGGAAACATTTTTGCTCAAACGCGGTTATCGGATTCAAATGTAAATTTAATTTTCATAAATAATAAGGATAATAAAGTAACGATATATACGGCAAAACAAAGTAAACCTCCATGGGCTATTTTGTTTTGTTTATAATTGGTATTTTAACGGCGGCGCTACGAGACAAAACGTAGTTTTCACTGCGAATTAATACCCCCGAATGTAAATACAACAAAAATTTGCGAACCTGTCCTCGTATGCACACAATCAAAGTGGGTTCTAACACGCATACGCAATACTTCTATTTATTTTTAACCATAGCGCACTGATATCTCTTTGGTTATTGGCACGTTTAATTTTATTCTTTTCGAGTTTATTCGTTTGTTTGTTGTCCTCGATTAACGCACGCCCGTGACCACCATCAATGGCGTGCTGAAGGGATTTTCAAGAGATCATAGATTGTGAATTTTTTTCATTAGTGTGGGCGGATGGCGTGGATGGTTAATGATTTATATGATGATCTGTCGCATAAAAAACGAACTGTACCCAAACATAAATTTATCGTCATAATTAAAATATTAAGAATAATTAAACATATTTAAAGAAGAATATCCGTATAGCTGCATATATTATAATTTTAAGTAATAATTTTACCAATAAATGGGAAAAAACATGGGAAAATCGGTACAATGTTAAAGAAATATTATTAAAGAAAGTATATAATGCCTATTTAATTATTTTATCATAATTTAACATATATATTGTTACTAAAGCTTCACTATCAACCGGACTGTGCTCAGAATCGATTTTTTTCGTTAGCACAGTTTATCGCTACTTACAGATACATTAAATTACCTATAATTATAGCAGCACGCTTCTCTTATTATCCTAGGACATCTTTTATATTTTTAAATTTAAACAAGATACATATTTATGATATAAAAAAAAATCAGTCATAATATTTTATACTTAGATCTCTATGATGTTTATTTTATGGCGTAAACTCCTTCGTGGTTTGATCAAAATGTTATCAATGAAAAATAGAGATTAGTGGTGGACGTCCTAAATTTTGTTTGCCCCAAATGTAATAAATGTTCACCGTGCCTCTGTATAACTCATCCCAAAAAAACATTTTCTAACAATCAGTTTACATCTTTAACAAAAAAAAAAATAATAAGTAAATAAAATTATCGAATATATACCTACAAAATCTCAAAATCTCGAAGTCTCAAAATCATTTTCTATTCACGACAATTCCATATCCGATAGTATATTATGTATCCGAACGTATTTTAAATAACGTCTTTGTCACTCTGGTGTTCTCTCATGGGACTTCTCCTTTTACCCTTCACTTACGTTTCCATTTTCAACGTCAATCATTCGTGTGCCGAAAATCTTTTGTATATACATTGCATAGCGAAATAATAATAATTATTATTACCGACCGGTAAAATATAACCGGAAAAAGATATAAACTATGACGTTTTTTGAATCCCGAGTTGTCTTTTTATTTTTTTGTGATAACCATGAGCTTCTTGATTAAGATGAAGGGAAAAAACACAAGGATCTCATTTCGTTTTTTTTTTTTTTTTTCATTTCAAAAGGCTCACGCAGCATGCTTTATTTGTATGTATACTGCATAAACTATGTATATCCGCTATATTGGACTCGACTCGGCTCCGGTTAATATAAAAAGGCTTTTCCGTTTGAATGTAACAGTATATACTAGGGCTTGAATATGCAGTCAGTGTGTGGAGTACAGGACCGGTAAAACTTATAATATCGACTGTGTGTGGCGCGGATAAACGACCGATTTAAATATCGGTTCCTCTCCCTGTCCCCCCCTCCCTACAGCTTGAACGGTCTTTTGGTGTGCACGGTAACCATTACGCGAGATAAAACAGTCGGAATAAGATATTATATTGTGTCGTGGGAATCGGCTGCACGTTTGCGCTCGAGCCCACGTCAAACATAAGGGAAATTTCGCATACTTACCCGTATCGTATTACACATAATAATATATTATATCATTTCGAGTTTTCGAAAAATTCAAAACCTAATAAAAACAACAGTTCTCGATGTCGTTTACTATGCGTTTCGAACGGTCAAAATATACTATTCCTGTACGTGTGTACAAACAAACACGAAATATGTTCGATCCTAAAACTACCGAACGTGCTCGCCCTTTTTTCGTTACGTATAATATTTCATTCGAGTTTATACAATATAATTTTCAACTTTTAAACATTTTCCGAACAAACGTGCGTGTTTATTAGGGTAATTGTAAAATAATAGTAAACATATTAGACATAATATTTTCCAATGCCCATACAATATTATAACTAACCGATTTTTTGGTCATTACTAGAACGGTTTGCAGTTCTCGACGTGTGTTAAAGACTAAAAACTGGAAATTCGTATATTGAAACTAATCGATTCTAGACTACACATTCTAAAAACTTTCGTGCGAGTATGAAATTGAAGTCAGTGAAATTATTACATTTTGTGGAGTTTAAACGCGAAAATGCGAACATTTACTATGAAAACATTTAAAGTTTAATCGTTTACAAAATCTGTATTTATTTATTTAAATTATCAACGCCTCTAGGGATAGGAATTTGATAGTATTAGTACACATTTTTATTTGCTAGCTGTTCCGCCCAGCGTTATATATAATAATTTAATTTCTCTTCCACCCCTCTCTCTTTTTGAATATTTAAAGGAATTTTTTTTTATTTTTAAATCCATTTAAAACCAAAATCAATAAAATTGATTCACGCAACCCGTTTATCCGCTCTTGTATGTATATTTGCAGATTTTCAAATTATTGAATGTGAACCACACATCACAGGCAGTCAGACAAACACTAACTTTTATTATTATAAAATATTACGACCGCGGAAATTTCCCAGTGAAATTAATATTTTCCTAACTAATGATAACTAATAATTGTGTGTATTTATTTCAGATCTGGAAAATTCTGAAATGTTCGTAAGCGATGACAACAAAATCCCAAAATTCTTAAACAAACCTGGCGCCTACAAGGTCGTCACCAAGGATACAATCGTGTTACCATGCGAAGTATACAACCCCGGTAAGTTTAAAACATAATATTTTAATTAAACGTATTTTAATGAAACACGACTAATATAATATACTTGTTCGCAGTGGTATAATTATGGTTTGATTCTGTGAGGGGAGAGGGTAGTTAATTTGTCAAGTAATCTTCGTGTGTGGCCTATCCTCCTAACACCCATATACTACTATGTTTTAGACTCTAAATGTAGCGAAGGAGTCATTAGTATGATTAAGATTATAAACTGTCAAAAATTAAAATATAGATTTTTATTTTTATTGATTTCTGGGTTACCTTGGCTACAAGGATAAAAAACACAACATATACTACTCCGCTCAGAATCGATTTCTGTTTGCAATAAGTGCACTGCTTGTTTCTACGGAAAATACAAAACTATACTTGCTGATATAAATTGTAGTGTGCTATACAACAGCTAGACAGCTCCTCTTATTAGCATATTTCGTGTTTTGTTGATTAAACTGATAGAATAAATATTATATTCCCCTTTATTTTCTACACAATACGAGTCGAATACGATAATCCGTATGGAATTTATTGTGTGAATCAGAAAGATTATAAAAAATCGTGGGCTAAAAACCAGACAACTTTATAAATATTATATAGATTATATAGGTATCTATATGAATAGCTCATATTTTTGAATAGACTCGGTGAATAACATATCGAGTAAAATTGAATCCTTTTCATCTTTTTCATCGTGGTCTAATGTATAGCTAAATTTGTTTTAAAATTAGTTTTGTTTTTGTATTGAGAAGTGTTGAATTAATAGTCAATACGTTTATACCGTTTTTCTCGTCTTCCGGAAATTTTGAAAGACGCAAGACTGGTTATTGTACAAAACTCGTTTTTAAGTACATAGATTACTCAATGGAGTGTACACTCAATTCATAGTATTGTATAAAATATTATATCATTTGAATATTTTATGACAGTTATGACGAATTATGTATTGCGATTTAGATCGTCTAGTCATCGTATTCATTCGGTAATAATAATTAGACATTTGCTATTTTATTAGTAATTTATTCGAGATGAAGACGGAATAACTAAAATGGCCAAAAATTGTATTATACATATTTTTAAATAATTTCTATTCATAATTATATCGTTTTCAAAAACGCCATAACGGTCGCTTTTAGATATTTTTTTTTTAAATTATTTTCTTTCTATATTCTTTTTCGTATCACTTATGAATCAATCGCTTGCTTTTAAACACAGCACGTAATATTTTAATAATTATAGATACTTAAAAGGCTGGGCTGGTTAATGAATAAAATTAATCCAGTCGAATTAAATTAATTTAAAAAAATAAAAATAAATATTAATTGTATCAACAATTAACAATTGAACTTAAGTTCATATGTATATATTTTTATATTAATGTAATAATATCTTAATGACTACAATTGAAAAGACTACCCAACCATCGTAAATTTAATATGATACATTTTATTTATTTTGATAATCAAACGCCTTACAGCATTGGGTTAAACGTAACATATCGGTAAATATCTAATATTATATACAGATAAGAAATTTCTCCGAGACTAAGACCCGGTTTTTCAACCATCGAGTTATTCACCAGATACATAACCATCTGATAAACTTATCTGGCGGATAATCTATCAAATAAAGGGTTTTTCAATGTAATTTTACCTTCAACTGATACCTTTTTGCCTTTTGAGTAAAATTTTCAAAAAATTTTAACCATTTTTGAGCCATTTATAGACATTTTAATTTTACGAATTTTGTACGAAATTTGTAATCGGTAAGTACTGTGTGGTAAAATAATTGTTAGTCTTAATAGGAATACATAAACATTTACCGAGGGTTCATTAAAAGTCTTACTTTGTGGTTTTTTATGATCGATTTTTTGTTAGCAATGGTTTATCGTTTACTAACAATATTTATATTTGTACGCATCGATAAATTATTAATGACGATATACATATATATATATATATAATTCTGAACAAATTTAAGTTAAATATGCTTGTTTAGCATGTTGGGGTAGGATGCAACCCTACTCCATTTTCCTAAGGTGTCGTCTTTTCTATTTTAGTTTTCTATTTTCGTTTCCTTCACTACTCGATTACTCTCTTAATTCAGTATTTCTTATGTCACACTAACATCCGGCACAATCAAACAAGCTGTGGTTTAACTGCCACCAATAAAATCACCGGCCGTTAAAAAGAAATTACCAGTAGCATAAAACCGTAGAGTACAACAGTAATTCATTTATCGGTGTCACGGCATTATTCTTTTAATATTAAAATACATAAACAATAATTTTTTTTTTCTATGAACTTAATACCTATTATGTATTTATGCATCGAGCGTATGTTTAATGTCACCTATTAGTGTGCGAAGCTCTTTGGTTCTCAGTGTAACTAATTGAAAAGCTACAAAAAATGAAGCTGTTTTGAAATCGTTTAATATGCAGTTAGTGCATATAACATAAGTAGTAGTGCCAAACGATTACTCTTTACTCTGAAATTGACTCATCTAAAAAAAAGTAAAATATGCGAAGACAGGTGGTGAAAATGAAGATACTAATATTACACTTTATGAACCTGAATTTGAAATTAACAATAAAGTTTGACGAGGTATCCACAACTAACTATGAAAGTATATTTATCATATAATGATTTATTATTTATCAATTTGTTATTAATTCATATCCATAATGGGCTTCACTAAACATGTTTGTGTAAGAGATCATGGGGTCTTTTAAATAACATTTACAATATTAATTTCTAAAACTAAAGTCACATATTGACATGTATAATTATTCAAAATAATTTTAAAAAATCTAAGGTTAAAATCTAAATTAAAATTAATGTTTTAAAACTCGTTAGCGCCCGGCCTTATTGTAGACTTTAGACGAACATATTCCTATGTGTAATTATTTATTTATTTTCTAACGATTATGAAAATACTCTAGTACGGTACCTACATTGTAAAATGCATTCGGTATTATCGTTCGTAGATCAAGCGTGTCAAATAATAATAAAATATAGTACGAATCTGACGTTCGGTCTATCACTGATTGTAATAATTATGTTCTACTTTATTTGCCCGCATTAGTCGAAATAATTCGAATGATAATAACATTATATTTGGCGGTGCGTTTATTAACGATAATAATATGAATATGTAATTGCACCAGCGCTATATACGTTACAAAATGTGACAATGGCAGCGCCACCACAGTGGATGTAGAACACGATTTTCGAAACAATTTAATGGGAAATGTAAATATCCGAGTTCGGCGGTATCGTAATAAATTTGACCCTAATAATATTGTCCGGAACGATTTATACTTAGATACGGTTTCGTCCGGACTTACTTAATATAATATGACACCAGTGTACCAATAACTAGAGTTGATTTTTGTAGTTATTTAGATATATTATTCGCGAGCGAATATTAAGTTATTGGGGAAATATCGCTCAGAATACTTGATTAAATTTAACCCGAAAAAATGGGAAACTTCTAATAACCCACAAAACACGTCGTAATCAACGTTGTCGTTTATTTAAAGATGAATAGAGATGACTCCAAGATATAATCAGTGAACTACGTATTGGAGTCAAAGTGAATGATATTTTGAATTCAATGATTCGTTTTTCGGAAGTCAAATAGTACTCACAGCAGAAACTGAACAACACCTTTAAAATGCCCAGGTGGAGGGACACAAACGGTCACAAAATATTGCTCGGAAGTTTTAGGAGTTGCATACATAACATTTTCTATTCTCTTGATTTAAAGTAAACGAAGCTGGAAATCTGTTTTATACAATGGAGAGTTTAAAAATCAAACATTTAAAATTGTATTTTAAAATTTGAATATTTCGTCAATTTTAGGGGAAATATATACTAAAATTAACTCATATATTCAAAATAATATTGAATATAGAATTCAATGCTTTTATCTGATACATTAATAATAATGATCATAATTTATTTTTCATTTTTTTCACTCTAATGAAAGCAACACTATCATCATGTTTTAAGTATCTATGTGTTACTATAACTTATAAACTGTAAATTCACCGAAATCGAAGATATCATACTATTTTGTTATACGTAATTTTAAATTACATAAATAGACGAAAAATAACGCGTAAGTTACATTATAAAACTTAAAAACTGACATCGTAGTTGATATTTGAATTGTAAAATTCGTTTTTCTCAAAACAATAAATAATTTCACGAAGTGGTGGTGTCTTGCTCCAAGGGGGCGAATATTTCAAAACCAGTGTCTCCCCAGAACGATTTGAAAAATAAATATTGTCAATTTCAGTGTAATTTATATGCGTGCAGAATGCCGTTTGGATATTCTCGACAGACAATATGATCCGTTCGTTTAAATGGTAAACGAGAAAAACCGCTACGTATATTCCTATCAGACCGCTTATATTATTATTATAGTGATTTATAGTACAATATCGTTTTAAACTGTGCGAACAACTGCGAAATATCGTCAATACCCCTGTAAGGTAATCGTACAGTTTTTTTGTGACAATCTACCGTTATGCGTATTATATTATATTAGATTTTTCACAACACTTAATCAGTATCCAATGGCAATACCAATTTCGGTTTTTCCAATGAAAACTTATATGTTTTGATGCAATCTCTCGATCAGACGATTTGATGATTTCAATCGAAATTTGACCGAAAAATGTTTCCGATTCTCGTAAAAGACTATTATCATTAGTATTTAAAGCAGAACAACTCGGGAACATTTCGTTCAAATTTTGATTACTAAAAGTCAACATTTTGGAAAAAATAATGCAAAAAAGTTGCCTATTTTGCATGAAAACATTTAGGTTCTCATTTGAAAAAACAATGGTGGTGTCACCACAGGATACCCCTTAAAATGACTCCAGAACATATTTTAATGTTATGAAAAATCGAATTATGCAAAAATATCATCGTTCACTGTACTTGAAAATTCCAAAAGCAGAAGGTGAATTTACCCATAATTCAACCACACAAATGGGATGATCATGCTGTAAAAATCACCTCGTATATCATATTATATTTTTATAGATATAAAAGAAGATTGTGTAAACAATAATATTTCATAACATTGATCCTTATTCTTCCCTATGACAAAACCGTTTGAAAATCGCTGTTCAGAGCTGTAATACGCGTGTGAGCATATCTCCAGTCATTTTACAATATAAGCCGACTAAAAAATGTTTACACACACAAATATGATAAAGAAAATGCAAGAAAATAACATAAGCCTCGGAGTTTCAGTAGTTTCGCTACACTGAATTGATTTTTCATTTTTTATATAAAAAAAAAGTCAACAAAAATCATTGGCACCGTGGACCACGTATGAGACTATTGGCAATCTTTTTTTAAATTATTTTCTTTTTAAATTTTGACTTGAGCCGGAAAACGTTTCGTGAACTTCGTATAATACACCTGAACCTCGCAGAGAGAAAAATGGCGGCCGTCGGTGAAGAAACCAATTATTAAAATATTATAATATTATAGAGAACGTTGAGGAGAAAATAAAACAAGAGCCATAGTGTAATGTAAACAAGTACCTATGTTAATGTCCCGAGGACGTTTTTTATAATTGGTCCGGGAGTTGAAAATCTAAATGGATAAAAAAAAAGTGTACTAAAGAGCCGATTTCATAAGTGTTGTAATAATGCAGTGTTTACTTTACGTGGGCGATAAAAAAATTACAATTTTGACGTCGCGATACAATGCAGCAACAGTCGGATATACTCATACACAATAATACTCGAAACGATAAGTTTTTTCAATATTATAGAGATTAGATAAGGCCAAAAAAAATTTAAATTACCGAGAATTTTATCGAAAATCTACGAGGGCTTATGTTTTTTTATACCAATGGACTTTATAATTCGCAATTGGCAAAACTTTTTGTCGTCCGTTTAGGCTTACATAACTGAACGCTTCAACTACTTCCCTCCCTTATTCCCTATATCTAGGTTCAGTATGACGTTTATTTCGGTCAGATCTCTTTTTGCCGATAATCAATCTATCTCTGATGTGGCCTACCTAACGGCCTCATAACTATACGAAACTACGGAACTAAAATAAAACAGAATAAAACTATTGCATTAATGTCGACACGCGATAATTTAAACATACTCGGGACTTTGATTAGTCGTCTTGGCAATGTGTCACTGTGAAATTGTCGAGAGTCTGGAATGGAAGGAGCTCAATACTTAATGTCACGTATTGGTGGCCGGTTTTTTTTCTAAAATATTATTATACCGAGTCCACTGTAACGCATCTTTTTTCTGCAACAAGTACCGCAAGATTTTCAAATGAAAATACTTTTTCCAATATTAATATTTAATATGAAACTTCAATGTATTTTTTCATCATTTTAGAGATGTAGAATGGTCGTAATTGTGCAAATAAGTAACAAACCAATGTCTCGTATTTGAACGCATTATTAGATTATTTTTATATGAGTTCAATCAATACAAGTTTCAAATGTTTTAGAGTATTTTGGCAACGATGATTATTTTTTCTCTTTTTATTTTGTTTGTGCTTTGTTTTAATGTTTCCATATTTTATTATTAAACGTATAAAAACAAAATTTGAGATACAATTCGTATCACACCACTGGCCACCATTAGCCATTGTTGTAGATGGAAAATTCGGTATACTCAATAGTATTAATGAAAATGACATCACAGTAAAATTAATACTTATTCCCCACCACGCTCAGAATCTAAAATATATATTTATCTATTATTATTAAAGTATCAAATCATTGGTAATTTTACCCTATATATGAAAAAAATAAGTATTCAACCTGTTAAAAAAAAAATAAAAGTCATAACTTTTAAGTATAAATTAAATAACTAAAAGTATCTCACCTTCCCAATCTACCCCCCTCCCTGCAACGGTTGTCAGACCCATTCCCAGAATCATCTCTTTTTTAAAATATATTATATATGGATCGTAAAATGTGATTAAACAATTTAAAAATATATTTTTTTTTCAAAGTTTGAAATCTAGACTTTCATTTAGTTCAATTCGAATTCAACCAATAATATATGCGTTAAGAGGTTAATAAACTATTTTGTATCATTTTGACAGTTTTTTTTACTGAAATAGGGATGAATTAAGGAATTTAAACGTGTTTTTTTTTCACCTGGTTCCTTTTTTTACACGACGCGCAAAATATAGTTGAAATTATCTGTCAGTTAGTTTATATCGTTCTATAAATTCAAAATAATTGAAATGTTTACGATACACATGGAAACTTTAACGGCGGCGCGCATGCAGGGAAAAATCAATAAACTCTACGATGCCTTGATATCTCGTTACCGAAGTCGACGCCGGCGGTGGGCAAGTCGATTTCGCTGTAATTGGATAGAAAACCGACTTTAGGTAGATATCTACCTGCGTATACGAATGCGAAAACGGAAAATAATTTTCGATTAAGCGCCTCGAATAATCGAGTTGAAAAGGATTTTAAACCGGCGTTAGCGGCGATGGGGCAGACATTCCTCACGTGCGCTGCGCGCGTCACTGCAGCATACAGCTCGAGGCCGGATATTGTTTTAGACGGGACCACTGTAGATGCTGTAGATATATTATCGTTATTGAATTTGAAATACGATTCTGTATTAGAGTTCCATTTTATTCTTTTGTTTCTTATAAATTATAATATACTTATGCTCGTAAATCTAGGATGAAAATAATAATAATTACATAATTACAGCTGTAGGTCGTCTCAAAATGAAAGAAAGCCAGGAGAGTGGATATATAGAGAAAATTAATATACATATCTGTACGCAACGATAAATCATTGCTAACGAAAAACGATTCTGAGCAGAACATTGTTAGTCATATTTGTTCGTTTGTTGTCGAGGGAACCCAAAATCAACAAAAATTATAGGTAAAGATATAAATGCCGGTTTTCCCCATTTATGAGAAAATTATAAAGGAAATATATAAATTACCAGCTCAATGTCTCGAATGCATCAAAAATGCTACAATAATGTTCAAATAAAGTTTGTGGTTGATATAAAATTTCTGAAAAGAACAATTTCTAACAGATACAAAAAGGTAAATTAAAAACACATAATAAAACCAATACATCCTCCGCTTCAGCCAGAATCTAAATTAAAAAAAAAAAACATAATTACAAATTATTTAAAAATTATGTAAAATTAGAAAAAAAATCCTGAATTTTTATTTTCATTGTATCAAAAACATTACAGAAATCTTTAAACATTTTTTTTTTTTTTTTTTTTACTTGAAGGGCTGTTATTTTTGAAGTTTGCTTAGATAGAACTTATCAAAATAAAAATGAAATAATTAATCCAAAATTCAATACAATTAGGCTATCGAATATATTATTTTAAATAGCATAACAAAATGATAAAAACTATTGATATGTTTCACTTGCAATTTTATGAATATTACATGTTTGAGTACATGACTGAAACACGAACAGTCTGAATGTTCCTTAAATGTCAATTGGTACTTTCGTATTATCCGATTATTCCTGTAATGACCCGACGTAATTTTATATCAACCATGTTTGCATTCGAGACATTAATTATCTTGGAGTAGTATTAGGTTTGGATCAAACAAGGCCGACCAAAAGAGGTAGGATAGGTTTTGTCGTTTTATTTTCAAGAAACATATTGTAGGTACTCATAATATCAAAAGTAGTATTCGTTTTTATCCATAAACGTGCCGTTTTTCGAAAGATAAAATTTAAGGGATTTAAATAATGACTATGGTACATTAACCTATAAACTTGTTGAATTTCAGATCGATCCGCCCAAAGGTGTTACAGCCACATTTTATACTACTGAAACAAATATTAAAATAATATAATATCATTGCAAAACATTTTAAATAACGTCCCGATTTCTTTGGAATATTAAAAAGGTAATTTGGGATATTTTATTTGAAACGAAAAACAAACTACAAACATGCAATCATTACGGTTATAAATTTATATTATTCAATTTAAAGATTTCATGCAAATGAATTTGATACACTACCGTTACACATACATCGTGAAAAAATTATATTATGTAAATGAACTTTTAGTTTTACAAAAATGGTTAATAAATAATACATTTTTCTGTGGACAACTTTTCTACCAGAAGACTTGCTCCGATTTTTACGTGTAGCACGTTTTCTGAAAAGAAATCGGAGTGAGTGGTACATTAAAGACATCATTTTTCGATTTGTTCAAGAGTTTTCTTATCAAATATAAAAAACTGAAAAAAAAAACGGGAAAATGTACGAAAAAACATGGGAAAACCTGGAAAAATGTAGGAAAACAAAGGAAATCGGTACAAAATTAAACAAATATTATTAAAAAAAATATATAGAGTCCATTTAATTATTTTACTATAATATGGCGTGTATATTGTTGAAAGAGCATCACTATCATCTGAACTCTGCTCAGAATAGTTTTTCGATAAGCAATGGTTAATCGTTGCTTATAGTTATACATTAAATTACCTATGACAATGGCTGCTACCTTCCTCATTATCCTCGGACGTCCGTTTTAATCATTTTTTTTCTTTTAAAGTGTCGGAATACGTACAGATTTCCTGGGCAGAATTAGTATCATATTCCATTATTGTTTGTATTCTTCTTACGGTAGATTAATAATCCATCATTTTTGACACATAATGATTTTTATGTTGCGCCACGGCCCCTAATGGCTCTAGGGCTGATCCATGATAACCTAGCAGCCTGTCCATGTGAGCACGACCCAAAACTTCTTTAAAAGCTAAGGTTAGACACCCCTGCAATGTAATCGTAAACAATACTATATTCGTTCTTAAAAGAACTGTTATACCGCCGATGAACTGATTATAGCGAGTAAACAAAATCGAAAATTTTCAAACAACTAATAACAAAAATATAAGTAGCCTTTGACTCGAGGAAAAATTGAAATTTTGCCTAAACACACGAAAAAAATTAAGTTTTGTCCCCACGTGAAAAGTATTTTCGTTAGCATTTTTAGTTTATACATTATGGTTCCTCAAAAATAAATTATGATAATGATCACGAAAAATTTTACGTTTTTTTTTTAAAGTGAATATCTTTGAATTATTGGTGAATTTTCATTTTTTTCAATGGTATCGTGAACACTGAAAATTGTATAACTGGCATTTTCGCGTCCTCTTGAAGACTATTTGTATTTGTTGCATTCTTTTTATAATTTTCATGTTGTCAATTGACCAAGGTTTTTTGTTCACTATTTATACAAAATATTCACCTAGTTTCCAACTTTATTATAATACATAACAGTATTATAATAATTCGGGAATTTATAGTCGTCGTGCAACCGAAATTATTATTATTAATTACGGCGATGGTTGTACTCTCGTGAAATTTACGTTTGCGGTTATATACCGACCGACATTTTGTATAAATTTAAATTGCTAAATATCTTTAAATATTATATGTTCGCTATGCGCCGGTAATTTATACGCGAGCTATTGCGCGTTTATTGAAATACGAAAATATCGGCGAGTTTAAGTTTTCCGAAAATGTATAAGATGCCAGTCACAATATTTCAATGTTGCCAATCTATTCTAAACATTTTTTTTTTTTTTCAATTGTTGTACGGTTCATTCAAAACTGCCAACCGATTTCTCCTAAATTATCGTGGTACCATATTTTGGTATTTCGTTTTTTTTCTAAAACTGTATTTTCGCGTTAACCGATAAGTACCTAATAACAATATGGCTATACATAAATAAGTTATAGTGTTATACCAATTAAAGGTTTTTTCATTTATATAATATTTTTTTTTTCGCTCTTCCTTGTTACTTACCCGACGTGGTTTTGCACAAGACTGATTATCATGAATACATAATTTGAAACAATATTTTTTTTCTGCGTTGTTGGTGTAACTACATTTTTCAATTCAACTTTTTTTTTCTTAACGTTGGTGTACACCCAGACTGATATGGCTACGATTTCTTATCATTTTTTCTAAAAACTGTATACTATCCCGAAAATATATTGATGAGTCGTGCATTTGTTCGATACATATTAATATCGAACCGACAAGGACGAAATATTATTTACAAAACGCGTTGATAACCCCCTCCGCGTCAACAAATTAAGACGAATATGATATATTATTACGATTTTAACTGCAGAATTATTCATACTCTATTAGTTAAAATAAACTAAACTTTCACAGTGATACCGAGTGGAAATTTCCATTAAATCCTTTAAACGACCCATAGGTCGTGGCTTGACAGAGACGAGTAGGCTTGATGAAGTCGTATTTTACCGAAATCTTAAGATGAACCAATGGCGCACTTGAGTGTTCATCTGGGACCGAGCGATATGATTTACAAACACACACATATTATACATAATATGTAAACACAATTTCACAACGTCTAAAGACTAAATAATAGGTAGGTACTAATATAAGTCTTCCTTCAGATGAAATTTCAAGAATATTTTTTTATTAAATTACAACAAAAACATAAAGAACTTGACAGAAACCGTTGTTTCCCATATTATTAAGAAAAGAAAAGAGAAAATTTAAAAAGGGCTAGTGCAATTTACCAACTGGAGAAAATTGTCTTCCGTAAACCTTTCACAGATAAAATATTATTAAGGTTTTTTTTAGATGGCGAAACTAAAATAAAACATTTTGTATTTTATTTTAAAAAAATATTTTGTATAATAGATTAAAAAAAAAAATTGAATATGTCTATTTTACAAAATCACAGTTTTGGAGTTTTTATCGTAATTATCCAACCACCAAAAATACCTTAATAATATCCTAACTATACCGCAGAAATATTTAAGTTATTAAAAATAAAATAAAAACATTTAATAATATTAAATAGAACAAATTGTATTTGAAATGTTAGAACTTCATCTTATGCCATGCATAGTCGAAAAAGTAAAGAAAAACTAAAATTATGATTTTCATAAAAAAAAAAAATTATTGTTTCGAAATATTTTATGCGTCGTATTTAGTCGTATTTCTTTATCGTTTTTATTTTTATTCAGAATGATATGTATGGGTTTTACAATAATGTGTGATAATTTTTACATTAATCAGCATTAAAGATGATTTCCAGTACTAAATTTTTTCTAATTAGTACGTTGGGCATTTGTTTTATTTTATCTTTAGTATTCTTGATGATCGATAATGACCGGTGAAAAAAACATCGGAAAATATGAATATTTACACAATCACTGCGCAGTTTCTAATTGTTTCGAATTAATTGTTTTTTAATTTTAATTCACCGAATACTAATTGTAAAGTCTCAAAACATTCAACGATTATTCATATAAGCACTTTATAAACGTGGTGTGACGTGGTACGGACTAAACGTGTTTTTGTACGAAATAACATTTCGACTGCATACTAGTTGCGGTCGTTTGCGATTTTTGAGACAAGCAGTTGTAACAGTTGCGGTCATCACACCCATAGTTTATAATATTCGAGTTGTGGTTACCGCATTCACGGTGGGCGTCAGAATTTCATTCACGTTTTAAAATATCCAAATTCTTCGATACGACATATTTCAAAATACACACAACTCCTATGTGGCAGAACGCCACTATTTATTTGTAGTGTGAAACTAATTGACCTGACGATGTGATGTCGATTTCTTTCGAATTTGTATCCAAAGTACTTTTATTATTATTACTTTATAATATACATTTTTTAATTTTTAATCATTTTTCAAAAAAAATATAAATCTTTAAACATACGTTCGCAGTAAAATAATTAAAATATAAGCAATTTTAGGTCATTCTCGCCAACATAAACGGAGTTTACAAGATGATCGACCAGTGATCGGCTATCGGTCGCATAAACTCAGTTTGAATATCAGATAGAAGCGAAAACGTTTATTTTGATGAGAACGGTTCTTAGTATGTTATTTTCGCGATATAATTAAGATGAAAAATGTAGATTGAATAATAAGAATTCAATATAATATTTTAATAAGAAAAACAAAAAAAAAAAATTATTCCGCATTTAGTATACAGATCAAGTGTTGAGTGACAGCAATAATTTAGTGTAGGTAACTTTTTTGTCGGAAGACCACCACTAGTACGTAATTTTCGGTTTTGACCGAAACCCGTGTGCAGAAGAAGTATAGAAATATTTTTGCGCGCAAAATGCGGAAAATTATATAGAGACTGTGCTACGGCGCATTCCGTGTAAGCGCTTTGCGAACTGCGGTGCGCGCTGTTCGTACGATATCGCAGCGATCAAATAAGTACAGGTAGATATATACAGCGAGTATGAAAATCTGCAATACGGGGACTTATTTTTTTTTTTTTTTTTGTCATCTCGACCTACTTAATGCATCGATCACGAATAACCGGGGGAATCCAAGAGATCAGATTCGAATATACCCGGAAGAATTCGAAGCGTCCCGATAGTGGGTAGGTACACATAATAATAATGTACGTATATAAAACCACGTCTCGCGTAATTGCAATCCCGTCGTCTGACAAATGTCCCGTGAATCTAACCTATTGTTCCGTATATGAGATTTAATGATTTTTCACTTTTTTATTTTCTCCTGAATTACCCCCCTCCCCCCCCACGGTATGAATTAGAACTACGAACATAGATAGACTTTCCGATAATTGTATTAAATTTTCCCGGGAATACAGATGCAATAATAAACTTGTCACTTGGGTACTCCATTTCCGCGATGCGTACTATGGGTCGGAATGAATAATTGTTTAAAACGAAATTACCATGAATGTATACCTATACAGTCTACACTTGCCTACACTTTTCTTTACCCATCTACTTACTCTCCTATACCGGCCGACCTACGTTTGGTAACTATGCCTACCTACGCTAAAGTATATAAAATTGCTTATGACTCGTGCGTTAAATTACAATATCGTTGCCAATCGTGTAATGACGTAAAAAACTAAAAATATATATAAAAATAAATGTTCTAAATCCATATTCGAAGTACTTGTGATTTTAGCTTTTTAGTTTTATACGGGTATGCTATAGGGATCATATGGACTTTGTTGATATTTCAAAATGCGTAATTTCTGTTTATTTTTTTTTGTTATTATTTATATATATATACACATACATACATATTTCGGAACGTATAATACACTGACAATTTTATGTTTTTTCAATTAATTATATAACTGGAAATAATGATTATCTTTTAAAAAATAATTATTTCGAAACTCTAACATAGAACAACGAAACGAAAGACCGCGATTCTTATGGATTTTCATCTCTTGATCATTAAAAGGATGTCATACCACCCGTAATTCGATCTTGGAAACTTATTTTAACTTTTCTCACGCTATTTTTATAAGAATGTAATGTATTACCCAAATTTCTCACCACAAAAAGCAAACCTAATCAGTGTCATTGTGTGCTTATTCGTTTCTTAACATGAATACAACTAACGTTATACAGTTGATAACTATCAGTTTTTTTATTGAGTTAAGGGGATTAGAAGACCTTCTTGGTATGTATTTTCCATAACATTTTAGACCAATAATAAGCGTTGACCAATTAGACATATTTCTATATGGCCGATTTTAATTTTTAAAAAACACATTATTGCATATATGAATTTGTTGATAAATTAACTGAGTTCTTTCAGAACTCAATTTTCAATTTTCAGTTTTGAAACCTCCAAAATTAAGAATTACTAATGAAAATTAATTAAGAAAGGTTAGTGGAAAAGTACAATCGTTAATGTGGTCATTATAAGTTAAAAAATAATTTTCAAATTATAAAATCTAAAGAAAATTTGTAAAACCATCTCCAATCTCATATCCAATTATGTATCAAAATATATTATACCTATTTAATTATTTTACCAAAATATGACATATTTATTGTTGACAAAGCATTACTATCAATTGAACTTCGCTCAGAATCGTTTTTTCGTTAGCAATGGTTTATCGTTGCCCACAACTATACATTCTATTTTCTATAACAATGGCTGCACCCGTTTCTTAGGACGTTTTTTTCAAATTAAAATCCCTATAAATATTTTTCCTTATGTTTTTTTTTTATTGCACAGCCCATTAACATAAAAATTGAAAAAAATAATTAGTTCTGTAATTTTATGGTCGAGTGAATATATTATAATAAAAAAAACGTACAAGTGAAAATATACGTATTGGTGCCTTAATTTAACAATTATTTTAGTTTTCCTATTGTTTGCGTATATATGCTAAAGTCCATACGAAATTTAACCACTTTAAAATACGCCTTTGGGTTGATCAATGTTTATTTATTGTGCAATAAATTTAAATTTTTTTTTATAATTTCAAACAAATTCTGGGAGTGGCCCTATCAAAAATTTAAATAAAATATTCCCCGTCTTTGCGATATTATAATGCCCGCCCTTATACCTGCATACACTTACGGGACAATAATTTACTAAATATTATAGAAATGCTATTGTATTACACTGCACGCAATACATACACACATAATAATATTATACGCCGATATTTATGAGACCGCCGCTGATATATACGGAACACCATCACGTCTGAATAGTAATTGGACATTAATATTTGATTCTTTTTTAATATATACGTACATCATATAGGTCTATACGACTTTTTGTTTGCGGAAAAAAATATACATGTTATTGTTATTTTACGCACGTCGGCGTGGTGCACGGGACTTAAATGTATATACAAAAGTATTATTAAAATCGTTGCAGGGTTTTAAATTAAAATTGAATAATATAAACCGTCCTATTATATACGCATCGTACATATATTACGAGTATAATGCGTCGCGACGAGGTGTATGCCGGCGATATTATTGGAATAATTTTTAATCATTTTATACACCCGGAACAATACTATATTTAAACACTCCGGCGGGTTTCGATGATAAATAATATTATCTTCACATCTTCACGTCCGGTCGGTCGGCATAATGTTCTCATTCGTCTTTGGTTTCGGCCGGTTAAGAGGGCATGCTAAACACACACATTATTTCCATCTATGTTATATCTCTACTATCCTCTACTTTTTTCCCCTATTGACTTCTCGGCTCTGCCCGTTTTAAACCACAGGCGTGCACAAACTGCGTCCATAGGCTATGAAAACTAAAGAAAAATAGAGTTCGAAAATATAATTCCCCCTTCCCTCTCAAAAAAAAAAAAAAAGAATATAATATTAAATATTATTATATTATTCACACTAGGTTTTATCATAATATGTCACATCAACGGCATAGTGAGGGAGAGGGGTGTTATAGACGTAGCAACACTTTCCTGCTTTTGACAGTGTTTATATATTACAGACAATCTTATAATATAAATATTTAATAAAACGATATAAGATAAATTGTTTTATAACTTGGACATTATACAACTATGTATATATTTCATTACAATGTTTGTATTAAAAAAATAATTATCACGTGGAAGATTTTCGATTATTAATGCCACAAACTATGACAGTGGTTTATAGTTATTTTTAACAGCAGCTATTGATAATATTGACAACAATTTCCATTTTTCCATTGAGAAAGATACAAATGTATGGTTATAATCTATCTCGGTGTATTTTCTTAAGAGAAAGTCTCAACCTCCGTTTATTGTCTCCGACTTATAAACGTATGCCATATCAAATTTGCGATCGGACAATATTGTGCTGTTGGTTTTAATATAAAAATGAATTACTATAAAATTATTACCGTTATCAAACTTAAAGACAAGAACATTATCTTGGTAACGCCTTTGGGGCTAGTTTTTCGATATTTTAATTTTCAAACCAATGGGGAATATATGGGGAATATCACAATTTAATAGTACTCATAGAAAATGTTCGCTTGACATTTACAATGTCCTATGAATTGTACAGACATCTCATTCTTATCTTTAAATTTTATGGTAGGTCGATTCACTCTAATATTAATACTAATAGCACCAATTTGTTCCTACAAAATGCTATTTCGAAGCCCGTCCTCTTAAGTGTTTACCTAATAAACAGTGATAGTGAAATTGTTTTCACGCGTCTGGATTATATTATAATGTACTGCGGTGTCTTTCTTTACTGAAAAAGGTTTTTAATTTCGTCGTAATGCGGTTCCTTTCATTCACCTACGTGGGTATCGAAGTACGCTCTATGTATTTTTTTAAGCAAATTTCTCTCGAATAAAGTCATCCTTAGGTGTTCTAAATCGTTTAATATAACATTCTACAACTATGAAATATGCAGTTGCCATATCGTATATTCGTTAAATTGCACAGTTCCGACGTCGCTGGGTATGCGGGATGTTCGCGGAACCGCGTGATCGGATGGGAAAACATACAAATAATGCGCTAGAGTAATATTATTATTTCAAATCTCCCCCATCCCCAAAAACTGCCGAGTTCCCGACGAATCTTATATTAATCTACGCACTCGCGTATATCGTTTATTTCAGAGAACTTTGTGCTGGCATGGAAAAAAGGCATAGCCATCCTGACTGCCGGCACTACCAAGGTGACACCGGAGGAGCGCATACGGATCGTCGAAGGATATAATTTGGAGATTCGCAACGCTCAGGTAAACGACGCTGGCAATTATATATGCCAGATCGGAACACTGGACCCGGTGGAATTGAAACACACGTTACAAATACTCAGTAAGTACCAGTTACACTCGTCGTTTTAATATAATATAATATGATATTTAATAAGAAATTGGTTTAATTTTCGAATGATATGTTACCATTGATAACAATTCTTAATATGGTATAAGGAAATGGTATCATTATTTAGTATATTTGTTATCATTTTCCATCGGCAACAGGAAATTATTACTAGGATTATAATAGGATATCTGACATTGAATAGTAATTTATATATTTTTTATAATACATAAATAGTAACCAAGTTACGGAATACACGATAAAGGTGATTTATTTTAGATTATAAATGGAGCCGCAGCCGCTTATTTCTCCTCGCTGTGCTCAATCGTTTTAATTCCGTTTTTTTTTTTTTTTAATCTCTGGTCAGGTTGACCCGAGATGAGATGTATGTTCCACAGGTTTATACCCTTCTATTTCATTTCATTTAAATCGGGATACAAAGGTATAAACTGTGTGGTACTTATAGATTCTGAATGGAGCGAAAAAGCTTAAATGATTATTAATTTATTTTCTTTTTTATAACTTTTCTACCAAAAATCTTGCTCCGATTTTTAAGTGTAACACCTTTTTCACAACGGAAATCGGTGTAAGAGTAAATTTAAGGATGTTAGTTTTTTATTTTTTCACGAGTTTTATAATCAAATGTGAAAAACCGAAAAAAAAACGGTGGAAAAATGGTAAAATGTACGAAATGTTGGTATTAAAAATATACGGTCTACTTTTTTCCTGTAAACAACTTTTCTACCAGAAATTTTACTCTGATTTATAATGATAGCACTTTTTCTGAAAGGAAATCGGACTAAGAAGGTACTCTAAGGAGGTCATTTTTCGATTCTTCCGGGAGTTTTCCCAGCAAATATGAAAACTCGGGGGGGGGGGCACTGGAAAATCGGTACAGCACTAAACAAATATCATTAAAGATAATTTATAATGCCTATTTAGTTATTTTACCATAAAATGACATATATATATATATATATACATATATATTGTTGACGTAGCATCACTATCAACTGGTTTGGCTAGGAATTGATGTTTTGTTAACAATGGTTTATCATTTGCTTACAGATATACATGAATTTACCTATAACAGTGGCAACACCCGTCCCCATAATCCTAGGACAGCTTATTTACTATTGTTATTTTGGTTTTCTAATTTTTTTTATGAAATACTGTAATTCAATAATCGATTTACTGCTGATGGTTGTGCCACTGTTTTAGGTGAGAAGTTAATAACATAAAATTTAATTTATAATTGTATGTAACGATAAATTATTATTGATAAATGTGATTCTGAGCAAAGTTCAGTTAAACATATTTGGGACCGTTCTACGAGACGTGCGATTTTTTCCGTAGAGCATGTTTTTGAGCCATCGAAAATGCGTATTTAGAGTACTCGCCTTAAAATACACTTAAAACAAATGTATTGAATTTAATTATTTGATACTTAAAAGTACAATATGTTTTGTGTAACATTGCGATAACATAATAATGACAAAAACCGATGTCCGTTAGTATAATATTAATTGTCTTATCTAAACGGTCGTTTAACACACATAAGTTGATTTTTAAACGAAAATAAAAATAAATCAATCGCGAAAATAATATCTGCCCGTAGTTTATGGGGGAGTGTATAATAAACATTTATGTGCATGTATTAAGTATTGACGTCTAGTTTCTCGGAAATGTCACCAGAAACGCTAAAGTAAATCGTGTCACGTTTTTTGGTGTTTCATATAATAAATCGTATAGAGGTATACTATACAATGACGGCGGCGAAGTCAACATCTGTTCATGCATACTATACACTTGCCAGGTGTCGTTTTTCTTGTCGGACGGAAAAAAAAAACCATAACCGAATGAAATAGACAATAATGTTATAAATTACAGACATTTTGTGCTGGACAACTATACTTGCTCCGGGAAGAAAAACCAAATCAAATTCAGCAAATATACAGTATACCTAAGTGGTTATGGTGTACTAAATATTTCGATCAAATGACCTAGAATTTGATTTGAGTTCGGTTTTGCGGAAGGCGACGTATGGAGTACGCCGAAATACAAACTTTAGAATGTATTGCAAACCAGTATTTATATTCTATATGATTGACATTTGTGATACGCGCAAGTGCAATCCTAATTATTTTTATCAAAAGTTTGTAAATTAAATTTTGTCTTAAGGATAGGTACCGGGCGCTTCGTTATAAAATCGGATTATACTTGCGTATCGATACAATCGCGAAATGTTAAAAAAAAAAATACCGTACTCGGAACGCTGCCCGTCTCCGCTGAACGTGGAGACGTTTCCTATTCTAAACCACGTAGATACCTCCTGTTTATAGGCACCCATCTATATTATATTATTGTAATATATACGAACACTGGAACTATTTTTTTTTTTCAATAAAAATATTACAACCGTCGTATATTGTCATATAAGGACCGTCACCGTAAAAAAATAATAATACGATTCCCGCCGATTAACTTTCAAATAACAACACAGGCCCCCGTATAATATATTATGTTATAACATCGCGGTCATTATAGGTCTCCGAGTATTGTCCTTGTTAGCCCGAAAAATCAAATAAACGGGCCCGTGTATATTATATATATATATATGTGTGTGTGTGTGTAACAAGGGTTAAAGGATATATATATATATATTTATAACCCTAACCTCGTATACGCCTTGAGATTCTTTTGTCCGGCCGGCCTTTGTCCGATAACTCTTGTATCATAAGAGTTGCATAATCCTCTTACCGCTGTACGCGATATACGCGTTCTTACGGTACACCCGTCGTCGTCCGTTCGAATATCACTTTTACGAGCTCGGTCCTCCGGAATTTCGTGTGCGGACCGAACGTGCGCCCACGTTTCGGTTTGTTAAGATTTTTTTTTTTTTTTTTCGCGGGAGACCATTGTCGGTGTACAGGACAACAGGGACAACAGTCGATTTCGATAAATGTATAATAATGACGCTCGGCAAAAAAACAAAAAAACCAAACCAAACAAATTACAGACAGAGACAACGTAAATTGAAAAAAAAAATACACAAAACGGACTGCCGAAAGCTGATACTTATCGGATATAATTATATGTTCATATATATATATAATTATAATACTATAATACAACTCACGGAGTTTAATATAGTAATAGTGTAGAAAGTGTAGAAAAAATAAGTAATAATAATGGTGTAATATATAGTGATAATAGCAATTATAGTATTATGTATTACAATATTACATTTTTTTGTTATTATTTTTTTTTATTATTATTTTATTTAGGCAAACATATTGTCATTTTTTTTATCAGTGTTCTAAGTTCGAATTTGCGTTAAAACTCGTTAAAAACACAAACGGTATGATTTTAGATCATAATACTTTCAATTCAATACAATTTTCTGCAAACTAAAATCGCCTATATTCGACAAAATAGTCGTATCTTACTTTACAAAAAAATATTTGAGGTAGTAGTGGCTAAAATATTTTTCCCGGATTATCAAATTTTAGAACATGACTAACGGTTATGCACTTTTTAAAATTCTGTACGGACAACTTAATACCTTTAGTGTTAGGCATATAGTAGAGGTTTGGTTAGGCTAGGCCAAGGTTAAGTTAGGCTAACTAATAATAATATTCAAAAATTGTAAATTATTGTTAAACCTATTTTCTTCGCTGACGTAATTTCGTCACAAAATGAAAACGACTGCATTTAAAAAATCCCATTTACAAATTATTTAAACCATATTTATACCATATTGTTTATTGGGCAAACTATAATTATTTTAGGTTTGCAAAACATAAGGACAGTGAATTGTAGGTATATTTCTATTTTTTATTTTTTTTTTTTTTTTTTATCATTATTAGGCAGCAAAAAGCCAAAAGGTTACAAACAAATTGAATTTTTTTTGTAACTTATTTGATATAATCAGGTATTTTTCATATAATAATATTATCTCGGAAATAAAAAGGACTGCAAAAGAAAAAATTCATCATAATATTATGTATTATATTTTTTCTTTTGGTCGTTTCTTTTTGTCTTTTTTTTTCATTTCCCAGAATAACTATCACGTCCGCTTCGTTTCTATATTAATATTTAACAATTTATAATGTTAAATTATAATGCGTCGAGAAAGAGATCTCGCCCCTTTTTGCGATTGCAGTATTAAAAATTCAAATTATATGGCACAATAATTATAATATTCAGTTAACCCGTCTCGAGGGTACCTATATAGGTATAAAATATATGCTCACAATATAGTTTCACTTAAAATACTTCGGGTGAACATTTTTTTTTATTTTTTTTCCCCGAGATCTCTTAAGTATAATATATAGGTATCTTAACTGTCTGGATTTAATTTTCGTGGATTTATTTAATTTTTTTTTTTTTTTTTTTTTAATTAAAATCATAACGATAAGTTAAATATTCATCACACAATTATAATGTTCGAGATCTATAATAGACGTCAAAAAAATTAAATTAAGTAGGTAGAGAGATATTTTCTTTGATTTACGTTTAAATAAAATGATACGTCAGTTATAAAAAGTAACAGATTTTTTATTATTTTTAACGTTTTGATTTCGACGAATGCATTTTTTTACAAATAAATCTCCCGTTCTATTCTAAACAGAGGCTAAAATATATACCTTTTCGTACTGCACGCTTTATACTAAACCATACTATAACACAGGTACAATTATCTCAGTCCCTCTGGCAATTGAATTATTTCAATTTTTGAATTTCGTGAAAGGAGGGAGGAATTTTTGATCAACACACCAACAAAAAATCATCGCTCTAAAATTAAAAAAAGGAAATGATGCAAAAAAAAAAAAAAAAATTTAAAACGAACGCAAATAAATATCATTAAAAAGCCACTACAAATTTTTTAATTTCGTATTACACAAAGTGTGTCGTACTACACACAATTTTGCAAGTGGAAAGTGGGAAATAACACCTGAATAACTGCAATATTCTTAGTTGCTTGATTATCTACATCCGAAAAATGCCATATTTCTAAGTTATGATGACCTAAAACCTTTAGTAAGCCATTATAAATTGGATACGAAACTGTTGGTTATAATTCTAATTACAATTCCGGTATCAAGTGCAGGGTGTGAAAGAACTTTATCTTGCCTACGGAGGCTTAAGATACATACATGCAAATCAGAAAATAAAAAAAGGCGGGCAACTTCACACCGAGGGTCACTGTTTTATGTGAAAAGTTGGAAAGGTAGTAGAGGGGAAATTTAATTTATATCTGCATTATAAGCAACGATAGATTATTGCTAACGAAAAAACGATTCTAAGAGGAGTTCAGTAGATAGTGTACCTTTGTCAACAATATACAATAATTATTTTAATATATGGCATATATTATGGTGAAATAATTACATATGAGCATTATATATTTTCTTTAATAATATTTGTTTAATATAATACCTATTTTCCCGTTTTTCCGAGTTTTCCCAATTACTGGGAAAACTCCAGAGGAAATTTAGAAATTACTTTCTTAAAGTACCTCTCCAGTCTGATTTTCTTTCAGAAAAAGTGCTACACTTAAAATCGGAGCAAGATTTCCGTGAGAAAATTTGTCCCCGGATACAAAAACAAAACATCTTTGTAAAACCATAAGCTTCTTCTTCGCTCCACCCAGAATCTAATTGTTAAACCATTAGATCATGATTGATCAGAATCATTACAAATCGAATTGTTCATATATATTATTATTTTTAATATTGAAGGTTTTGATGATATCAAAATAAGCCTTATTTTTCTATAGATAGGTACCTACTACTAATTATGCAAATTATAAACACAAAATTACAACGCATTTTATCTCGTTAAAAATATTTAACGCATTTTTTTTATGTAATAATACAAGAATATTCTCCTGTGTGAGTGTGTAAATTTTTTGCACGACAATAATACACAATTAATTACTATTTCTCGTGTCAGTTTAGTGTTGGAGAAATATTATTATAATAGGACTAATTAATTAATATCGAGGACAAAAGAGACGTGAATTAGGTCAAAACGAATTAAATATTATTATTATGATGAAATAACGGTAACTGGAATAGGTGCATAACTAAATCTATACGTATACAGAACATTTTCTTCAAATTATTTAGTTTTTGGTTTTTCAGGAACGTATCGGGGGATCAATTGTGGGTTTTATTTTTTTGTTTATTAACAACTTTTTCCTACGCTTTTCTCGGTTTTACCAAATAATAATGAAAACTACTTGGAAAATCAAAAAAATGATCTTCTTAAAGTGCGATCCAGATAAAATTTACTTTCAGACAAGATACGTCATTTGAAAGTCAGAACAAGATTTCTGGTAAAAAAGATCTTCACAGATAAAAAAAAAATAAAGATAAAAACTAAACATCATTGTAAAACTAATATATTCCGCGCTTCGTTTCGAACCTAAAAAGGCGCTTTCGCTGCAAAGCTATACACTATCTAACTATATCATGATATCCAGTATTTGATATGTCCAAAAATAAAATTCATTATACATAATATATGTCTGTTATTTAATGTTCAATATTCATAAATGGTGAAGTACTTAAAATGTCTGAAATATCAAAGTCTAGTGATATTAAATGACAAAATCGACAACATAAAAATGTGCAAAACGTCAAAATACAATAATATCGAATGTATAAAATGTTTATGTACTTTAAATGTCAAAACTATTATAAGAACGTCAAAAAATAAAAATAAAAATTCATAGGTGTTATCAAATAGTTATTTTGGCCATAGTAAATAATGAGGAGATCGGTGCTAACGGTGTACTTATAACCTTAAATGATGTAAAACTAAAAACCACACAAGACTGTAGAAATTGTAGGAATAGGATTCGCCGGATATAAATTTTGAAAATGAATTATAATTATTTAGGTTCTATATATATATATATATATATATATATATATATATACTGGGATATTTTAGAAATATAAATTCAATTATTATATTTAAAACTGGAAACAAATTTCAAAATATTTCACCTTTTACTTAATATGATTAAGAGAATTGAAATGAAAAAAAAAATAAATAAATAAAGCTTATCCTAGTAAAGATATATAAACATAAAGAAATCATAATACGTTTTCGGATATTGAATCCTGTTAAACGTGATTCCTACAGTTTCCTCCGCGGCTTTTCCTTCTGGATCGCCATATCCGTCTGTAAAAACGGCGGCTTCCCTTCCCCTTAAATGGGTACAATTAAATAGATCAGGGGGAAGGTAGTATCGAAGAAATCTGAAATAAATTGTTTTCGATTTTTCAAAATTGGATAACATTCGAAAGACCAACATCAACGACCTTAAATATTATCGTAATTAATATATTATAACATTTTTTTTTTTTTTACTACCGCTAGACATTTTAACTGAACGCCTGTGTATTTTTAGGTACGTAATAAGTACCGAATTATACGCGAATAAAAACGAAATGAACCTATACCTGCGTACGTACATTTATTTTATTTTTTACATATTTTAGGTACGGTGAAAAAATAAACTCTTTAGAGTTTCGGGCGGTTGCTCACCGGGTTACCTATATCATTTATATAGGTAAATAGACGGGCCGGGACACTAAACAAAAACTTTCTGTTTCTCACATCACCGCGCTGCGATAGCCTGCAGAACGCCCGTAGAAATGTATTTTTTTTTTTAATATTTTTTTTTTATTTATATATATATATAAATATTATAAACAAATTTAAAACGGCCCGCGATCGTCGTTTCGTAGCCCGTGCGGCTCTAAAACCCGAAACATTCGTTCGTGCGCGAGTAATTGATTTACGCGTTTCCTATGTCCGAGGTGTGCACGCCACCCGAACACTACCCAGACCGAATACTATTATAAAGACGGCAACGAAAATACAATTTATTATTGCTGTTATTATTATTATTATTATTATTGGGTGTATAACGTGTGTATCTCTAAATAGCATAAAACAAAATGGCCGTCCGTTTGTGCTCTCGCTTTTTCTTCTAAATTAAGCAACGAATTTCGAGACGGTTTTCACCGTCAATTAGAAAATTTCTTCCGGACGGTTTATACATAAATAATACGTGCGCATTATATTTATATCAAGTAGAGAAAAATCGACGTTTTGTAATCGACTGTTGAAAAAATATATTTTCGGATGCTTACCATGCTAACGCTCGCTACACCTTATGACGTATTTCAAAATAATTTTAATAATATCTTAGCCAACGGAAAACTACACAACGCGCTCATCTCCAAAGGATGCTATATACTGATAGGTGAGAAAATGAGAATCTTTGTAACGAAAAATCTCTAAAATTACTTTTCCAATAATATACATTCGGTGTATTAATTTTAGATACTGAGTGGAGCGAAGAACCTTATAGTTTTATATAAATGCTTATTTTTTTTTTTTTTATCTGTGCTCAACTTATCCACCAGAAGAGATGCTTAGATTTTTAACTGTAGCATCTTTTTTGATAGGAATCAGTTCGGAGAGGTACTTTAGAGAGGTCATTTTTTGATTTTCCTAAGGGTTTTCCTAGCAAATGTGAAAAATTGGGAAAAACGTGGAAAATCGGGAAATGTGGGAAAATCTGTACAACATTAAACAAATATTATTGAAAAAAAATATATAGAGCATAATTAATTATTTTACTACAATAAAGCATATATATTGTTGAAAAAGCATCACTACCAACTGAACTCCGCTCACAATAAATATACACAAATATATAATACATACAAATATACAAATACAAAAATGAGAATTTTCGTCAACAAAAATATCTGGTTTTAGTTTTTTAACGACAATATTGCTGGGCTATACTTAAGTCAAATTTCGATCGTGCAAGTAAACAAATAATATACCTAGTTATTAATTTCTATAAATAACCGCTGGAACTTTGTCAATAATGAGTCTTTATCACTGTTTAAATGCGTCGAAAAAATATTGTAGCGCACATTTATTACCTATTCGGTGGACACGGGAAGAAACTATTTTTTTCGAACGGCGAATTTCCGAGCGGGACAGCTAGATATAATGTAAATAAGTATTTTTGATTTTTATTTTTTTTTTCGAAGCGGCGTTATAAAGGCTCTCTATGGTCGTTTCATTTTTCGTTTTCCTTTACGCCATTTCACTCTCTCCCTCCTCCTTCAACCGACGATGGGTACATATAGAGTTATGGGTTTTCGGAATTTCATCGCGTATTGTTGTACGATAATAATAATATTATCGTCGTCCAACCATGATTTATTTCCGCGGGCCGAGGTCACCGCGTTTTTAATATACGAGTAATTATTATTACTCATATATTAAACACGTGGTGACCTAATACAGGGTGATTCTTTCATCGTAATATGATTTTTAGTGAATTTGATTGTTGGTCTCGTTTATATTTTATTTCAACGCAGATTTAAAATGCGTAACGCTTCTCGAAAGCATAGATATTGCTCCGGTAGAGGACACAGATAGTGATTCCGGTGGCCTAGCCTAAGACGCATGTCTGAGACCTAACTGAAAATCAGTACTTAGAGAAAAAAATTTGATTAATAAAAAAAAACTAAAACATAAATACAACATATTACCTTGAACCTTGTATCACACTTTCGAGATTTTTGGGAAGCTTAAAAATGTTATCCGCATAAAACCAACATAAAAACTAAAGGAGTAGAATAATTCACAAAGCCAAGCATAATTCAAAGTCACCATAATATATTTCAAAAATTTTATCACGTCAAGAAAGTTTTATGTATTTTATTCCTATTTTTTTTTTCGATTAAACTCTCCTGGCATGGCAAATAAAAATATGTTCCAGACACCGACCATGATCTCCCCCATCTACTCGCTATAATTTAAATCAATATATACAATTTGGATTTCCATTCCCTCACTTTTTAAACTCAAACTCGAATATAGAATATCTTCTAAACATGTTTCACATGTTTAATATAATATCAGATATACCGTTTATGAGTTACGTAACAATTTAAAGCTTAGGCCGCGCAACTTAGGTTGCGTGTTTGGAAATCTACAGTGTATAATATAGTCATTTAAGGTATAATAAACAGTAATAGTAAACATTTAAAAAAATAGCGTTAAGTAAATAAATAAACGATACCTTACGATTATCGGACCAAAAAAAAAAAAAAAATTTTAAAAATAAGACAGGAATCAAATTCACTTAAAATTGTTGAATCGCGTGAGAAAATGCGCACCATGTATCTCGTAGGAAATACTGCGAATAAGGTCACATCACCGTTGACTCTTTTCTCGTGTGATGACTGGGGGTTCTCTTATTGAGTGGCCGGAAAGTTCGTTCATCTCCTCGTACTGTTGCAGTTTTTATACAGTGAAAAGCGCTCGAATACTTAAGTCACCACGCCACGGCGACCAGAGTCCGCTTGACACGTCGTACATTGACGACGATCGGAATTGAATTATTATTTTCTTAAAACCTTTTTTTTTATCTTTCGCATTCTTGACCAAATATATATATATATATATATATACACGTATATAATAGTATTAAAGTCCGGGTGATTTTTTTTTATTTTTATATAATATACTTTTGATTTCCGAATAATCATTTATAACGAGTTTTATCTACGGTCTACACGCGTGCGCACAAATATACCGTTTGTCAAACGAGTTTTTTTTTATGTGTACTACCCTAGACAAAATACGTCATCATTGATTTTTATGACTCGAACGATACAATATTTATATACCTAATAAACAAACTATATGATATTATCTATATTTTTCGTTCTTTAATAATATCATCGGAATACTCTATACTTACTAAATGTATTAAAAACTGGACAATAATAAGTCAAAAAGTTAAAAGTTAAGTAATTTATACTTTTATAATTGATTTTTTTTTTATAACTTTTTAATTTAATTTTGAACTTTTAAAAAGAAGGCTTTTTTTAAAAAGATCGTCATAAATTTGCTCACTTTTATGAAAAAAAGTTACTTTACTAAAAACGACGATTTTTTTCAATTAATGGAGCAACAATTTCATTTTATAGATTCTGAGTGGAGCGAAGAAGCTTATGGTTTTACAAAGATGTATAATTTATTTTTTTATCTTTGCGCAACTTTCCTACCAGGAATCGTGTAAATGTAGCACCTTTTTTGAAAGTATATCGGTGTAGGGAAGTACTTTAGGGAGATAGTTTTTCGATTTTCTCAGGAGTTTCCTCATCAAATGTGAAAACCCGAAACAAAACGAAGGAAAAACGGGAAAATATAAAAAACATAGGTATTAGTTTAAAAATATTTGGCTTTTTTATTCGTGAACAAATTTTTTACAAGCAATGACTCCGATTTATAATGATAGCATTTTTTTCTAAAAGGAAATCTGACTGGAAAAGTTTTTTAAGGAGGTCATTTTTTGATTTTCCCAAGAGTTTCCCTAGCAAACATCGGATAACATAATCAATATTTTTAAAGAAAATATATAGAGCCTATTTAATTATTTTACTATAATATGACATATACATTGTTAACAAAGCATCACTATCAACTGAAATGTGCTCAGAGTGGTTTTTTCGTAAGCAATAGTTTATCGTTGCTTACCGGTATACATTAATTTACCTATAACAGTGGCTGTACCCGTCCCCATTATCCTAGGACATCTTTTTTTTTTATAAATAATTTTAACTTAACGGTCTCCAGCACGTTTCATGGATTAAAATATGTTTTACGGGAAAAACTCGCATGCCTCATAAATCGATTCTGTTTCAGTAATTATTTTTTTGTTAAAATTAGTAAGACTATCTAAACTTTCTATAGGCCTCATTGGACTTTTTTTTTAAATATTTTAACTTTATAATATTATTTCCAATTTTAAAATGAATTGAAAAATCCGAGTTCAATACGATCTATAGAATTTTGTTGTTTATCAGTTAAAATTAAAATCGTTTATTAGTTTATTTTTTAGTTTATTAGTTAACTGGTATAACATGTTGACAATTTTGTTCATAAAAACAATAATACAACTTCCTTCCACTAAAATTAGTAGATAAGTGAAAAATTCAAATTTCAAATTTCACAAAATTAATAAAACCAGCACCAGGTACATTAAACTTACATATTTCGGTTAAAATTTATGTTATTTCTAAAGCTTTATTTACAAGTTATTTTTAACCTTGGTCTCACTACGTGTTACATTCGTTTTATCGTACAAAAAAAAAAAAAACATTATTGGATAAAAATATTCAATAAATAACTAAAATCTAATATTAAATTATTAAAAATATAAAATAATATACTATCTATAAAAAATGTTAATAAAACTGTATTATTTTATAGTTCCGCCGAGGATTATCAGCTTAACGGCAAACGGCAAAGTCAGCGCTAAAAAAGGATCGGATGTGACTCTCCAGTGTAACTTCACAGGAAATCCACCACCAATAATCACTTGGACCCGTAAAGTAAGTTTTTAAAATAACATATTCAACACCGGAAAAAGTGTTATCACTGTATGTACGTAAATAACTGTATAAATTATAATCCATTGTAATATTCTTGAATATTAGATAATCCAAATCACTATAAATTATTATTATTATTAAACGCGCTACATAATAATAAAATAGTTATAACCTGACCGAGTTAAATTATCCGGTGATATTATGCGTCAAAATATTTATTTTTTTTTTTTAATTTCGGAAACCTATTAAACTTAACGACCGTAAAATTGAAAAAATATCTTACGCACCGAGACTCGCGACCGATATCACGATGTGTCGACACAAATATTGCATTTTCAAAATAGAGTAAAAAATTGAATTACAAAACAGATATTCCACGGTTGAACGGAAAAAACATATATTAATATAAATAATAATGATATACATATTATGGCGACGAGATGTGTTTACAACTAAACCATAAATATGTTTATAAGCAAAAATTGTGTTTCCAAAATCTACTTTGAATTATTTAACCGTCATTTAAACCGAAACATAAAACATACAATGAACATTTTCATTTTCTTGTATATTTTATGTCGAATACTTCCCGAAAATAAAGATTATTGCATTGTATTGTGTCTGTTATTTATATTATCTTTTCCTCGGTACATTTGGACACTTTTAGCGGTTCTCTATCGATGACAATAGCCCAAAAACCGAAAATACAGATTTTTACAGGCGGATTGAAATTACAACATTTTGGTTGAATTTGAATAGGTACGAACTTAACCGTGTTGTTGCGGGAGAAAGGTGTTTTTATTAGCTTAGTTCACCCACACGACGCCTAAATGAAGCTAAAAGGGTGAAATGTTGTATATGTATGGTGTAAGTATCAATAGTGTGCCTTTTGAGAGTTTCAACTTTCAACCCCATTCCCTTTCATTATTATATTCAGATTTCTTCTTTTCACTGAAAATACGGGTATTATAATATACGCTTACAAATTCATGCAAATGACATATTGTAACAACAAGTCAGTAAAAGGAAAATTCTTCTCTAATGTTTTAGATTCTGAATGGAGCGAGGAATGTATTGGTTTTACAAAAATGTTTATTTTTTTTTTTATAAGAAACACTTTTTCTACCAGAAAGCCTACTCCAATTATCAAGTATAGCGCCTTTTCTGAAAGGAAATAGTGAGTGGTATTTCAAAAAGGTAATTTTTTGAAATTTGCATTATATTCGAGATAGTAAGGAAAACCAGGTTCTTTGGGTTAAATAAGATTGAAAGATTAAAAATAAGATTGTTATAGGCAACCGTTCTTATTTATTGTTTGTTGCTGTATTTTTGTTTTATTATTAAGTTTTTTTTATTTTAAATCTTTTTTAAACAATCATTATTTTCATGGAAACGCACATAATTATAATTTTTACCATAATAATATGACATATATACATTGTTAACAAAGCATCACTATCAACTGAACTGCGCTCAGAATCGTTTTTTGTTAGCAATGGTTTATCGTAGCTTATAGATATATATTAAATTTTCTATAACAGTAGCAGCACCCGTCTCCATTATCCTACGAAATCTTTTTTAATGTGAAAATGTTTTTATTGCTTTTATTGCTCTTATTGCTGTTTTTATTGCTCCCAATTTCTTTTCTAAAAAACAGTGGCACCCTCGTCTCCAATGTCAGCACCTTTTTCAATAATAAAAATCCTATATGTTTTAGTTCAATATTGAAAGATTTAATTTATAAAAAAAAAATTATTTATATGTTGTTTAAACAATCTACTTCCCAAATTAATTACAATCAATTGTCTTTATTACGCGCTAAGTGCAAGTTTCAATCCAAAATTCAATTAAAACTAATCCTGAATTATTTTGGAAATTATTTAACCGTAAAAAATTATATCCGTCCCTTTTGAACACTACGATGCATAATAATGGTTTATTTGTTGGAGGTGGGAATATTATGGATTATTTCGCTCATTATTTTTCCAGCGTTTATAAAAATCAGGTTACTTCAATCGTAAATACTCATCAGTCATCCACCAATAAAAATTCTGTTAAAGTAAATCATAACTCTTGTGTTTTAACTTTTAAGCATTATAGACTTCCCAAATAAGTTAGATAATATCACTAAAAAACGAGTCCTGACCTGATTTCTAGCTGTTTTTTTATTAACTGTAAATTCCATTTGGTTATTTCTTTATTACGTTTTTGTAACTTATCTCTTTCTAGTGGTTGTATTCCATCTATATCGACCTATTTCCATTATTTCTTTTATTCCAAAACTTTTTAAATCCATTGTTTATGAAAAAATATAACCAATCATCATCCGATCCTTACAGCGGTATTAAATTATGATCAGTATGGTTTTTTGAAAGGCAAGTCAACAACGACAATTCTTTTGATTTTTCATAAATATTTACTTGATGCTTTTGCATCCGGTTATCAAGTAGATTTAATTTATACTGATTTTACTTAGGCATTTGACAAGATAAATCACCATAATCGTTCGAAAAAAAATTGTTCTATCCGTACTCGTAACCCCTTTTTGTCTTGGTTGACTTCATATTTAACTGACAGAAAACAAATTGTCAAATTAAAAAACTTTCTATATGGCCTGTTCAGTATTCCATCTGGACGTACCCGTTTTACATACCATGTGGTTACTTACAAAATAATACGTGGGACAAGTGAGTTAAGCACTCTAATATTTATTACGTGATAACCAGCCAGGTACATAGATAGCCTAATCCCTATTAACAAGAGGCGGGTCAACTATTGAAATTAGTGGGTACACACTGCACGGTGTGCAGGCACGAGTCCGCATCAAGGTTCATATTATGATAAAAGTATAAGCCCACACTATTCGTACCCGTGGATACGAAAAACAAAAACAATTAGGAAGGTTAGAAAGAGTAGGTATTTTGGACGGGGAGAAGGGAGGGTGTGCTAAATGATGCTCTACCATACTACCAATAGATTTAGGATTCATGATTAATGGACCCGGAGTTATCATGAAATCGTAAAAGTTTAGTCGCGGTACGAACAATTTGAGACCAATTTTTGTATGGGCAAAGAAAAAAAAAAAAAAAAAAAACATAATAATATACGTTCTATAGCGCTGTAAAACCGCCCATACGATAATATTCTAAACCGTTTCGAGCGGCGGCCGCTGCTGTTTTAAATTCCGCACAACATCTGATGTAGGTACATAATTTAAGGCCCTATTCATATTATAGGTATACGCATAAGTATATATATATATATATATTTATAGGCGTACGTACACGAGTATTATATATTATTATACGCGCCGAAACGCCCGAGAGAAAAACGCATAAAATTCATCCGCGGGAAACGCTCCGGTGCTATAGGCGGACGCGTATTATTATTGCCCGTTTCGCAGCCGTTTCCCTAACGCTAAAACTATAACGCCGTGGAAATTTCGGTTTTTTTTTTTTTTTTTTGTTTTATACATAACGCGCCGCGGTCGGATATATTATAATAATAACATTATATTATACCGTTCGACTTGTATAATATTATATTGCCCTCCCACACGCCCACCCCCGCGTAGATTCCGTTATATTATAATATTCGGACATATTATTACCTTTTTTTTTTTTTTTTTTTTTTTCATATATCTTTTTACCTATTCTCCCGGGGTAAACGGCCGTTCGCGGCGGCCCGGGAAATATTTCCAAGATTAAATTATTATTATTGTTATACGCCTGCGTGCGTTTCTTCTCGTTCGCCTCGCTGCAGTAGCGACGAGGAACGCGAGAACGCGCGGCGAAGACGGCGATGGCATACAACGATAATAACCCCGTGCACCACCCTATATATTATAATATGTATATACATAAACAGGTATACATTTTACGGGCTCCGCTATATTTTTAATCCGTCGAATACAACGTGAAATATCCGACCCGACCTTTATACGCAGAATATAATAGTAATAACGCGCCCTATACCCGGCGTGCCGAGTTATTGGTTTTCGTTTTTTTCCGGAATAAATATTTTCGAGCACTCGGAAATTATTATCCTCATATCGTATTACGCTGCCGTACGGCGGCGCCTGCATATTATATCCATCTTATCTCGTAAATATCATCCTGTATAATAATATTATAATGTACCGATTTCCGATATTTTACGCGCGATACCGATATAATAATATTATTATAATATGTCAACCGCAACTAAAATATAATCGTTTTTTTTCTTTTCTTTTTTTGCTAGATTTTTCTACCGAAAATAGAGATCGTATCGGCGTTGCGTATTGTCGTCTGCCGCGCGCGCGCGTTTTTCCCGTTAATTATTTACTTTCGGGAACCGCTTTTTACGGTTTGTGAAAATGATCCAATCTGCCACCTCGAAATATACGGATTTTTCCCTTGGCGGCGGTACTTTATTTAAACGCAAATCTGGCGATTACGTTTAAAATTATTCGCATCATACCTAAAAATACGCGGTTTTATTACCGGTTGCGCTCACTTTATTTGAAAAATATGTCAAAACCTCGACGGCGCGCGGCGGGTCAGAAAAAAAAACCACGACTAACCTTACTAATATTATGGTTGTACTACTCCGCTCAGAATCGCTTTTTTTTGACAAAATGAAAATTAAATTTCCACCTTCCGACTACCACGACTGTTATTAAACACTATATACGTATATTTCAACATAGTTTTATAGTAAAAATCCACCCGACGCGTGAAGCCATGTTTCATTTGAATATACTCACGCAGTATAACACATGTATTATTTTCAGATTCTGAGTGTAGCAAACAAGCAATTATAGTTTAACTGAAACGTTTGTTCACACCCCCACCGCTGAAATACTTGATTTTATTTAGTAAAACTATCCGGCGTTTTTATACCGTACACAAACAGATGTGGTTTATCCTTGCGGTGGTGATTCATTTTAAAATGTGCCCAAGACTCCTAACAGTTATTCCTAACCCACCTAACCTTATCAGTTTACTGAGTTTAATTTTTAATAGTTTTTTTTTTTCAATTGCAATGATTAATCGTTACTGCTTTCCGTTTATAACTTAAAACCCTATATCCTATACTTTCCAAACTTCCCAGTTACAAAGTGGCCTGTCCGTAGTATGAAGTATGTCCTACTTGGTTATGCATGTATTAAAACTTAAAGATTTTTTTTTTATGAGAGAGTGAGAGGGTTCTATACATTTTCAAGTTTTTTTTGTTATTTTAACTATAGAAAATATTGTGTTTGAAAATTCCTTACTGGTATTTTAATGTAATATTACATTATCAATTACACATTGAACTGACGATTTGAAATTTGAAAGCGTTAAAAATGACGACTCTATTTTAACGGGGACAAAATTATAATTTTTTCCGAGATAAAATTATTTACAAATACGCGGATTAAATTGGGACTGCGACGCTATACAATATCGATGTAAAGAAATAAAAAATACAACGTATTTACTATTATTGAATGAACACAATGAAAATGTGTTTAGGTACGTACGAGTAAAGTATTATTATTCCTTTATAATAAAACAGTGAGATGAATTTGTATTATTATTATTAATTTTTTTTTTTTTTGTAATATCCGTTAATTCATTTTTTTTATGTGAGACAATAACGTCATTATATTTTAAAATGTTATTATTATAACGCTGTTGTGCAGAATAATTAAAGTAAAAAACTTGGCTATTTTTTCTTTCTTGTATCATTACTAATTTTGTTATTATATAATATTTTGCCATTTGGAGTTGTCAAAGTTATATGTTAAGTATTTAAAAAAAAAAGCCACTATTTTAAAAGCACCTTTTAGTAGAACTATAAAGACGATTATTATTATTCTGCTTGCAAAATTTCACCTACATTAAAATTATGGCATGTACTGAGTATATTTTTTTAGATTATGAGTGTAGACAAAGAATGTATTGGTTTTACAAAGATGTTTATTTTCTTATTTTTTATTTTTATGCGAACATTTTTTCTACCAGTTACCTTACTCCGATTTATACAATGCAGACACATTTCTAAAAGATAATTTTCTTGAGGTGATATTTTAATGAGGTAATTTTTCGATTTTCTAAGAATTTTTGTCATCAAATGTGAAAAACCAACATAAAACGGAGGAAAAACAGACAGCTTTTTTCATTATAATTCAATGATTTTCTCAACGAGAACATAACTAAAAAGTTTAATATCTTTAGAGTTTCATTTATTAGGGAATTTTTTAAACTTTACCTTAACATTTTGAATCTATTACTCTTATTTCTTATACCTTAAAAAAGTACAAACTTTTATTTTTTAAACTAGAATCCCTCTCACTTCCGTTTTCAACACAGATTTGAAAAAATAATATTTATACAAATATGCGTATTACCAAAGTCGTATACCGAGGATTACAAATGTGTATTTGGTTAATGGGTAAAATTTCAAAAAAAAAATTAAACAAAAATCCATACTAATATAATGGTTAAAAAAACCTAAATTGATTTTACAAAAAAAATTCATGATGGAAACAAAAATGACCCGGTATGGTATACATAACATATCTACGATCTATGTTTGTTCTTTTGTTTCCGTTAGTCGAGACAAAGGACTTTAAGTTGTGCAAACTTCTTCAAACAACTGTCATCGTTGAAAGCTGTTTGTTTTTTTTTTTTTTTTTTGTTTACCATGAAGGTGTGTCTTACCTTTCTTTATCTAATATTATTCGGCGCCATTCAAACAATTGTTGAATGGGTTCTCGAAGGTGTACACAAACAAAAATTCAATAACTTTGCGACTAGTCTGAATTCACTAGGAGTGTTTTTGCTAACATGGGTTAAAATAAATTTAACTCTAACAAAAATATAATTTAAACTGAAAGTACCTTTTGTAGCCGGTATTCTTTCGGTCTACTGGATTAGTTTAGCTTTAAGTTAGAGAAAATTTACCAAATTAGTCAAATTTTTCGGCCAGTGGTATTTATTCGAACAATTAGTATACATTTCTAAAAGTTTTTCTAAAATATTTAAAATAAAAAACTAACTAAAAAAACTAAATGAAATATGATATAAAATATTGATAAATTAATAAATGAGATATCGCTTACTGGTATACTACGTTCTGTAAAACAAATGTCTATGATTATATTTTCTGGCCATTTTATTTTCTATTGATTTTGCTTTCTGAATGTCTAGTGTTCTGACTAATTATTTTTAGGAAAATTACAGTCGACTTGAGTACATCGTGTTTATTTTATGCTTTTAAACACTATATTGCAATGTATTTCTTCAAAAATACATTCTCTCAAAAATGATTTTCTATGTGTTTTTTTTATTATTATTATTATTCGCATTTTCACTCTGTCGAATCGATTTCTGTCGGTAAATAAAACAAACGTACATTATTATCGTATTTTTTTTTTTTTTTTACATGCGTATCAGCATATTATCATTATTATGCAAATCAAACGGCATTGAATATATTTTGACGTATTTACGGTTTACAAATTACTATAATATACATAATATTATATATTATAATATATAGTGACGTATTTCACTTCCATTAAGTGGAGAACTCATAATAATAAAAAATAATAACAATAATAATACAAATATTGATGAAATGACCTTGCAGTTCTTTTTATTTCAAACGCAGAAAAACCAACTATAACTTTCATAAAGACAAGTCTTTTTGAATCGTAAAAATAGAATGATTTTAATTTGTTTTTTGTACACTAAGTATAGTGAATAGACTATGAGTTTGACTTATGAGATGTGTTTCGGTTTCTTTGACTAAAAAAGTGCTCCGATTTTATTTAGGGCGTACCTTAAGAGACGCGGTTCATCTACCTGGTGAAATTTTATTTGACACTTTTTTTCTTATTTCTCAACTGTTTTTCTAAAAAAATAACGACAACAATCGACCATACACATTGGTATCATGTTTATTGATTTCTAGGTTTCTTAACAATAAAGAAGGGGGGAACACGACTAATACTGTACTAATCTTCAATTACTCAAAACTAAAACTATATACCAAATTGTTAAACTCAATTTAGAATCGTTTTTTGAAAGTAAAGTAATTATTTATCGTCGACCGTCCAAATTATCCATCTACAGTGACGATCTACTTCACTCATATTGTCAAGTACGTCCTAGTTTTTTTTTTTTTTGTATGTTATTATAACCATAATACTATCTGAAATTTTAATATGCAGCTATTTCTATATTGCAAAGATTCTCGTTGCATTATTTATGTGTTTGTTTGAGAACTAAAACTAAATACGCTGTTATATAGAAACGCGTGTACAATGCGTTTAGTATTTCATTTTGCACAAGTTTTCGTCTACCGCATACGTTATTATACGTCATTATATATACTATAATGGTTGAAACTTTTGATAAAACCCAACACCGAATAGACGGAATTTACATTTGACAGTATACATACCCTAATCCTCCGAACGGGAGAGTAATGCGACAATATTACTGCGAATAATGAATTAGATTTAAATCCTTTAAAATGTTGTCTTGTTCCGTTTATTAAGGTTAAGTAGGTATACGTTTTCGAGTGGTTTTATAATAATACTTCGATATAGATACAAACGAACATCGATTGACTTAGTATATATTTTACTAACAAAAATAGTGTACGATTATATTATATTTATTTCATGTGTCACAATGTGGGCCATTCTGATATTTATAAATTAATTCCCTACTACAATCCAAAAGTCATTCGAGAAAAGGGAGGGATAAAATTGCTTGTATAGTCAGAAAACAAATCGTCGAAAAATCCCGTATATTTGCTAGACTTTATTTAAATATTGTAAGTTATTCACTGTGGGCAAATTCTATCTTATTTATTTTATAATTGTATTAATATTTTTTAGTCATTCGGGTTAATAGATTTTTACAGCTTCTTTCATAACAGTTTGAAAACCAATAGATTTGGCGTATTCATTTCCATTTTATTGGTACATAATGCAGTATTATTTCATTAGATGTAAAGCACCGTATACTAATTTCTTTTTTTAACAAGCGCTACGAAACTTTCATATTTTCAACCATTGACGGGGCCAGTCTATAACTGGCAGATAATCTGTTGCAGATCTGTTATAACTCAGAAAGGTTATTTCATTTTATATCAAACGGCTAAGTGTTAATTTTAAGCCATTAAAAATATCACAACTTTTATAATATTTCACTTTACTTTAAAGTGCGGATCACGATTAACTATCTCTGGCATTATGACTATATAACCAAAGCTGTTTGCCTTCATACGGAAACGCTCTTTTGTCAATTTCAACATATAATGAAATAATGCAGGACTGCCCACATGTCGTCTTTTTTTAAGCATACCAATACTTCGGGATTCACAGCACACATCCGGGATTTCTAATTGCACAAGAAACGGTTCAATTAGATTTTCTCATGGAGGTTGGTAATTTCCTTCAGAAAAAAACGATAATTTGAAACTATTTTTTCCTTTTTTTAGAACGATAATTAGTTGGCCCATTTTTCTCCAATTTTAAGTTCCCTATCCCGTCGAGAAGTACCTTAGTTTATATATTTCCCAAATACCCACTTTAAACCGTAGCCTAACTGTGATGCGAAATAGGTTATAAATGTGTTATAAACTAATTATTTACACCTGCCGTAACGTTTTAGCTCTATAAATCATAATTCATCATACTATGTTAATTATGTTTGTAAGTCTATCAATTTTAAACTATTATTGTCAGGATAATCCTACCTTACCGGTGGGGGGAGGTAAAATTTCTCTATTATTATCTTATCCCCCGGACAATCTAACAGGGAAGTAAAATTTTACTAGGTAATTGGGTTATCATTTTTATATGGCAATGTTACTAGGGATATAATTTCCTTAGTAAAATCTCTCCCTCTCCCCCAAGTAACATTATCAGGGAATAAGATTATCCTATTATAGCGGCTTACGAGATGAGTCACGTGAAGTCTAAACTGTCCCTCTACATTTCCTTATTAAAATATAAATAAACTTATCATCTTACAATATTTTAAAATAATTGCATTCGAAAATTATATTGATAAGTATTGATCAGTTTCATAAATATAGTTCTCGTAAGTAAACGTTAATTTTTAATCAAATTAATTATTAAATAACCGTCCAACCGTGGTCGGTTGTTAGCTATAAGCTCCGTTTAGAAATTAGATAAACAAAAGCGTTTATGTTCGTATATAAAGTTAAAAATGTCAAAATTATTACTGCTGATAAACGTTAAACCGATAAACAATAATTAATGATTGCATTGCCTCGTTTTATATTTCTGACAGGTACCTACAGTATTATAATATAATTCGTCTCCCCATGCATATTAATAAACAACCCGTCGCTTTGTAATTTTCAAAATATTCGCCCCGCTACATACAATAACACTTACGAGTCGCTACTGATTGTAAATATTGGAATATTTCCGTAATAAAGATGATTTTCATTATTAAATGGCGTAGTGTATTTGTTATTTTACTATCTGTTTTAGTATTTTATATAACCGCATACCGTTAATTTATTATATTATAATTTGTAAACCCAACTGCTACATTTAGGTACAACGCGATCAGTTATTACAACATTATAATGTATGGGAACCGTACTCGTAAAATACGAGTACAATTCTGCCAATATTTTAAATTAAAACGATAGGTAATAATAATATTATAATGCGATTAATTATAATTCACCCGCCGATTCCCGTATTATTGTTGTTTTGTTTATCGCCATCCGCGTTTGTGGCTGTCGAAAAATAAACACCTGACAAACAAATATTATTGTTTATAAACCCCATGTGTTGGTAACAATTCGATCACATTCATTAATTCGCATTCGAGTTTATTATACTCGTACGTTATTATTATTATTATTATTATTATTGTTATTATCGTCTTCAATAATTAGCTTTAAGATCGTCTTGTACTAGTGGTAGATTTGAGGTGAGAGAGTAATATGAAAATCGCCTCTCCCTCCGCTTTTTTTGTGGACTTTTTTTTTTTTTTTAACAATCTTTAAATTAATTATGTACAAGGCTTTTGGAATTTTACGCTACAGTCAATTTGTCCATGAAATACTTATATTTTTAAAATCGGACTTAGTATCACGGTATAACTGATATTTGATTAATTATTATTCGAGGAACAAAAAAAGAACTATGTATTATAATAGATATTTAGGTTGTATTGTATTAGAACCTTCAGTCGATTCGTTCGGCTCATAATCTCAAAAATAATAACAATGTTGTGCAGTAGTGGACAATATAAAAAAGAAATTCGGAGAAAAAGGTGGGTGTTTGATATTGCCTCATTACCCTAGGACGTCTTTTTTTCTTTTTCTTTTTATTGTGCAATACATGTTTCTGTGAAATTTAATTAGATAATAAAAATACAAAATATATATATTATATGTTATAAATAGTAAGTTATGTACAAGAAGATCCTTAGTGAAATGTTTTTTACAAAGTAATCTCAAATTATATAGACCAGTGGTTCGCTGCAGCTCTCCCGGAATTTATTTCTGCGTTCGTCCCTAATGTAAATATTATAGACTAGGGCCTCGACTCGGATTGTGCACTGGGCCACCAACTATGTTAATCAGGCACTGTATAGGTATTTGCCTACTATCCGATTTAAAATGAAATACTAGTGTTCCGCGCTCCTTTCTTAAAAATGAATCAAATAATAACGATGCGGTTTTAAACGTTCGATTTTACAATGTTTCAGAACAACATGCTGCCAAATGGCGACAAAACTTACGTCGGCAATTTATTCATAATCGAATCGGTCCGTAGACAAGCCGATGGAATATACATCTGTACTGCTTCGAACGATATCGGAACACCCGTGGACGAAGAAATTGATCTCAATATATTGTGTAAGTATATAGACAATATAGTTTATAATTATCACAGTTTAGTGAATATAAAACGGCAAATTCTATTTTTTTTTTTTTTTTTTTTTTAAATTTAAAATTATTTAATATTTATATATATATATATATAATGCGTGTCCTTTTAAATTTTGAGTACAGCAAAGAAGCTGTTATTACTTTATGAACATTTTTTTTTTTTTTGGCGATTTTTCGGGTATTAAAAATGTTCCAAATCGAATGCTCCAGATTTAACCATGTGTAAACACACCTTAAAAGATGCGATATTTTCGCCCCACAAAATACCGTGATGTAAATTTTTCTTAATTCCCAACATTATATTTTAAATATCTAAAACTAAAAAACAACTAACAAAAAATTACTATATAGCTAACCTTTCAAAATTTTAACTCACAACATTGGTCTACCAACTACTCACGGTGCGAAGTATGTCCATATTTTTAAATTTTTTTTTTTTTTCGAGTAGGAAGTATAATACAACAAATACATTAGTTTTGTTTAGGGAAAAAAAATAAGTTTAATATACATATTCAGAACCTACGTTATATTATAATATTATTTCAACTTTTACAGTTAGATACATAAATGAAATAACAACTTGGGCTTAAAAAAAAAAAGGCATCATTGTACTTTTCTGCTATACCGAATCCGTTATATTTTAATTACAACATTGCCGTTTAGTATTTATAAATAATATTTTTTAATTAAAATTACTTCTTCTTTTGTTCTTTTTTCAATATTTCATACTGTTTATTATTAGTTATAGATTATCGATTTTAGATTCGCGATAAAAAACGACGTAAACTATTATTAACTTCCCCTATCTTCTCTTCCTACATACCTCGGAAAAAAAAAAATTATGATATTTTTCGTGTTTAACAAAACGCGGAAATTAACGTTCAATATTTATTATTATAAGACGTGATTCCTCCCGTTATTAAGGTGTAGTAATTAAGCAATTTTCACGGCATATTCGAAAAAATGAAAACTCATTACTTCAAAAATATCTAAATTCACAAAGCAAATTTATGTAATTTACTTATTTAAATAAGTCCTGTGTTATTACAACAAATATTTTCTGTGATCGTGGTAAAAATTAAAAGTTAGTGTATCTTGTCTATTTAAGGGAATTTTTGACGGTTTTTCAAATTTTCTCCAAGTTTTATAATTTGGATTATTTTATTTAATGACTTGCTTAATGACAAAACTTTTCTATTAATCTACTGCCCAAAATCTAAAAACCTTTTTTAGGTTAAAAGGTAAAACTAATTTTACTAATGATTAATATTACGTTTTAGATCAAACATTTTTGAGTTAAATTTAAAAAACATATTTCTGTTCATATAAGGTTCTTAACTAAAATACGTTGGAATTATTTTAGATTCTGTGTATAGTATTACAATGATGTTCGTTTTTTTTTTATACTGTGTATACAAATTTCACCAACAATTTTGGTCCAATATTTAAGTGCAACCTTCTTTGAAAATAAATTTTCGTAGGATGGCACTTGAACTAGATAATTCTTTGATTTTCCCAGAGGTTTTCACAATAAATGTGTAAAACCGAAAAAAAGGTAGGAAAAATAGAAAAATTTAAGAAATGTATTATTTTCTAATCGTAAATATTCAGACCTTTTAAAACATGAAAAACCAAACTCCACTCAAAATTGTTTTTCGTTAGCAATGATTAATTGTTGTATACAGATATACATTTAGTTTCCCATCAACCAATTCAACATCTCAGCTACAACAGTGGTGCTCCCATCGTGCTAAGTATGTCCGTTTTTTTTTTTAATTTCAATTATTTTTATCACAAGTAAAAGAGACAAAATACTTTAAGTAACCTTTTGAATATTTTAGATTCTGAGTGTAGCGAAGAATATACTGGTTTTACTAAGATGTTTATTTTTTTATACTGTTTACAAAAATTCTACCATACATCTTGCTCAGATTTATACACGCAGCACTATTTCTGAAAGAAAATGTTATTCAGATGGTACTTTAAGTTAGTCACTTTTTATATTTTCCAAGTGGTTTTCATAATATCTAGGAAAAACCAGGATAAAACATAAGAAAAACGAAAAATGTTCGAAAACAATACTTTTATTATTTTTCAATTTTTTTATTTGTTATAATTCAGTTAAAAATATTCGTAGAAATTTAAAATTTAGACAAAAAACTTATATTTTGAACTAATTAGCAATTTTTAAACTATTTAGAGACATTTAAAAATTTTTGTTGAAATTCAGATTTTTAAGTGTAGCACCTTTTCTGAAATGAAGTCAGTATGGGGAGGTACTTTTGGGAGGTGGTCATTTTTTGATTTTACCAATTTTACCAATAGTTTATCGTTACTTACAGATTTACATTAAATTACCTATAACAGTGGCTGCATCCGTCTCCATAAACTTAGGACGTCTTTTTTTTAAAAATGTAATAAAACAAATTTCATCAGACAAATGTAATCGCTATTCCCAACGTATTCTAGTAAATAACTTAAAGCATCGTAATTCGTTTCCAAAATTGAAAATATTACGTTTGGTTATGTGTCTAAATCAACTAAAATACATTATCACCAATCCTCTTAATAATAAATTCTGATTAATAATAAATTATACGATTCGTACGCGAAATCGGATGGGTAATGAAAATATATCAGCATGGGAACACGTCGTCTTGTTTAACAAAAGAGCGACAAGTGCGACGTGTGCAAATTAAATCTGTGTTAGGTACTAATAAAAATTCATAAGGATTGAGTTATGCGGTAGGCGTTTGGCAGTTAGGTATAAAATAAATACCTATATCACATCTATAGTGTTTTCGCTTGATGAAACATGCAACGAACACTCGACGTTCGTTTTAGTTCTGTCATCTACAACGTAATAATTATTATTGTCAAGCTTATCAAACCCTCCAAATTTTTGAGCACGCATTTATATTGTAATAATAATGTTTTGAAATAATAACAATAACGGATAGTATTTAATCTAAAAATACTGTTTGAGAAGCCATCGTTATTGCATCAGTTGGCATTTGGAAATTAAAAGAAATGCACCAACTAAATGCAAAATACAACAGAAATGGTCCTCTTGGCATTTTTTGATCGGACCCATAAGAAAATATACGAAAAATTTAGACAACATTTTCTTTTAAAAAAAAATTTTAATTTTAAAACTTGAAGCAATATTCTAATGGAAAAAAATTTAAAATAATGAAATATTCACGCTGACGTAAATTTATCTGTTTTTAATTTAGTTTTTTTACTTAAAATAAGTTTTCCGAAAAAAACAAGTTTCCGATGTTTTCCAATTATTATGAAAATGCCCTTAAAAAATCCGGAAATTACCTCTTCAATGCACCAACTACACACAATATTCAACAAAAAAATATCTTTTCACGTGTGGCAGGACGTGCACGTTATAATTTTTTTTAATGCGCGTTTGAGATTTCGTAATGCAAGAAAGTGCGTCGTAGTGTACATTAAAATAGCCCCCGCTTAATACATTGTTGACATAGCCGATATCTGTATCGGTTTATTTGGCGTTTTATATGCTTTAACGTATGTGTACGTGTCGCGTGAGCGGACAATATTAACATCATTCAAATATTTACAATCACAATACCCATTCCGAAGTCCGAAAAGAAAAAAACGACCCGTTATATTTTGCAACTTTGATAGCGTTGGTTGTATTATAATAATATATAATATGTATAATATACCAGTAATATTATCGAAGTTTGTTTGCACGTTTGTGTGTGTGTGTGTGTGTGTGTGTGTGTGTGGTGTGGAAACCCGTTCTCGATCAAAAACTTAAAATTACATTTTTAAAATATATACATATACTATATACACTCTACAGAGCGATCAATCTATCGTAAGACGCTCATTATCTCGGAAAATATTAACTTTTTCGAAATATTTGTATTATCTAGAACATTTCAGAAACAAGAGGCTCTAAAATTTTACGTTAATGTTACATTTTGTCACCCTTATATTTTTGGGGTAAAATCACTATCTACTTTTGATTTTCAAATGGCAATCTTTATTGAAAATGCCATAAATAAATGGATTATTAGTTGAAATTTCAGTCAATCCGTAGACTAGATATTCCACTTTCAAGTTTGAGTCAAGAAGTTTGGGAGAAAGATTAGTGATGCATTACTAAAACGTCGCGCGCCGTGCCACAACACAAATAATGCTTCTCCGACCAAAACTTAAAAGTGTTATTAACTCGTGTCATATCTTGTCAACGGATTGACGGAAAAATTTTAATACCAAAATTCATGTTAACTTATACTCCATTTACTTATGGAATTTTGAATGAAGGTTTTCATTTGAAAATCAAAAATATAAAGGGGTTTACTCCTCAATAATAAGAGTGAAAAAAATAACATAAATGTAAAATTTTGGAGCTGTTCATTTCTTAAATGTTCTATAAAACGAATTCCGAAAAAATTTAATACTTTCTCCGAGATAATAAGTGTCTTACGATAGATTGATCCTTTTGTATATACAATGGAAAAAATAATTTATTTCTCCCCCTCTAACGTGTATTATTATTGTATTTTTTTTTTTTTTGAAATCCTAGAAAAGCACATTTGAAAATAAAATAAAAGACTATTTCAGTTCCTGTATGCCGGCGATAGCGTCGGTCTGTATTGGAAAATATAGACGCGCCAAAAGAAATTTTTTATTTATTTTTTTTATATATACCGTGACCCGTGTGCAAAGAAAACCTAACGAAAACGAACGTTTGACAAAAAACACTGCACCGATGAAATCAACAATGTTAATATCACTGTACACTTATTTATAACAACGAAAATCATGTGGTTCGTTGTTTCCGAACAATAAGAGTTCGTTAACGTTTTCTCTAAAAATTTCAAACGGCTCTCCCTTTCGTATATTATACGACGAAAATTCGTTTCGCCATCATACATACAGAGTGAGTGGAAATATCCGCTTATGATCCGGTGATTTATCCGAAAAATTTTAGGTGAACATTTGATTTGTTTTTTTTTTTTTTCAATCACTATGGAATCATATAATAGCTATACTTGAATAATATTTTACTCATATTTCTTTAAGTACCTTAAATAGTTACACGTTTTAATTTTCAAAAAGCAATCCCCCTATCTTTTAACCATAGATTCGAATAGGGAATATTTTTTTGAAAAACGTTACAATAATTCATTACAATAATATTGGATTTACCGATAAGAAGTTAAAAGCTTAGACCGGAGGAGTAGGGAGGGTGATGTATTATCATCTAAAAATGGACATGCAATTTATTACCCTTATCTATTCATTACTCTTCTGGTCTAAGTTTTAAGCTGTTGTAACTGTTAGTGATTCATATAACAAACATTTTAGAAAAATAATTGTCTTTTGAATTTGTGTAGAATAACCTTGATTTGAAAATAAACACCGTCACTAGTCTGTTTTCCCTTAAGAGAAATATAGCTGCACCTATTTTAAATTATGTAGCTTAGGGTGGAAGGAAAATAAAAACATTATAATAGAATACAACACTATTACTATGTAACAATAATTATAATTTATAACATTTGCATGATAAATTTATGACATTTCATCATACAAATGAAAAAGGTGTGAGTTATAAATTAAAAATCACAAAAGGTATGATACTAACGCTATGGATACACAAATTTGCATTCCCCTGAATTAATTCGGGAAGGGGTCTATATGGGTGTTTGAGGCTAAAAAAAATAACGCATAACATCTCTAACAACATTAGTGTAATTCATATTGGAATCAAATAAAAATTATATCGCTTCTATTTACCTATTAAAAAATTTCAATTTCCCGTATTATATACTATATAATATATATAAAAATAAACAAACAGACACATAATAAAGTGCAATAGCCTCTATTTTCAGGGAGGGGGGCAGGGGGAAATTCAATTCATCAGTTAAAATTTTCCAGGAAAATCGGTGAATCGTTGAATCGCTCTGTACATAGGTATACCGGCTACGAAAGACGTATCAAGGCAAAACACGTAAAAAAATAAAGTTAAACAAATAACATTGGTAAAAAAACAAAAAAAACTGACGACGACAATGATATTATATTATAGTATCCGTTTTATTTGTGCGCGGGCATATGTGTGGTTTTTTTCTTTGAAAATCGACATTCCCCGTTAAAATGGAATTGTGCAGTCCGCATACGATGTTTACACGCACACCAAAATATTTCATATAACGTGATTACGGTTGTTGTATACTTACAAATTGCAGTCCGTCGTCGTCGTCAATAAGTTTTTGCGGTGTTTGCGTTAAATTCGAAGAGCCCACGAATATCTCCTGAATCTTCTTTTCTTTCATAGGCGATCATGATGCGCTACCGTCGCCACCACCATAATAAATATATAAAATTTTATACAGAGTGATCCTCTCTATCTTCCTTCTTTTTTTTTTTTTATCGCGAACCTTCTCTAAATTATATTACTATTCGAGTACGAAGAGATTTCCAGTAAATTCGATTTCCGTATTTTTTTTCACACGAATTACTACGATAGACGACGCATAGAATCGTATTATTTTTTATAATACGTATATATTTTTCAAAACCATTCCATACCCTTATAATATATTAAATTTTGGGAGAAAAACCAAAATCAAATTTACCCACATTATAGGTATACAAAAGACGGTAACCGACTGTATATGGCTTGTGCGAGTGTTTCTCCTAGGATACTGGAATTCCCCTTCGCCTATTTTAACCCTCTTGAAGTTTTTCATTTCGATTTGTATACGACGACGAGTTCACACTAGACGAGCTACAGCGTATAAATAGCAAATGTGAATCTAGACCACAATTTTGGAAATAGAGAAACAAGGAATTTTTTAAAAAGGTTTTTTGCGCCAAATAAACACACAGTAAAATCGATTGGACACGCAAGATTCGTTTGAAAACTCAACTCGAATCAACCCCAGATATTTAATAGATTTTTTTTTCGTTTGAGATAGAGTCAACTCTAACCCAAGGAGTTCGGTAATGTATTCGTTAACTCCAGGTGAACTCTAACAATCCAAAATAAATATGTGGGTTCTGTTTAACTCTTTTATAAAGACGCTTGTCAAATAATGATGACAAGTATTTCTTAATTCTCATCACAGCAATGTCAAATGTTGATTTCTATTTTCTTCACTGCAGTTACTTTTAATGGCTATGTTAACCTTATCTTAAACCATTATGTTAACTTAAATAGTTAATGATAATATGACTCTACTACTCTACTTTACTTTACTCCGAGATTTCGAACGCAACTTTGTAAAGTAAAATTTTGATAACTGTATGCCTACTAGAAAATAAAATATATGGTCTAATTATTGAATTAGTAGACTTCGTAAAAAAATGTATTTTTATTTTTCATTGGAAATATTCTTACTAGAGGAGGAGATAACTGGAGAATGTTAAAGAAAACGTTTAGTCTCGTATGTCTCGTTTTCGGGTCCACACGATTCGGACCGTTCGAACTGTTCTTCTAATAAGCGATTCAGAAATTAATTTTTCTTCGTGATCACCGTGCTATAGAATTCTAATAATAAGAAACACTAAATCTATTACAGTGCGTATGCGTATTATGAGATCGGACAAAAAAAATACAAAACACTCGTTATTTTAGTTTTTTTGGAAAACACTGATGTTTGCATGGAAGTAGTCAACAAAATTAGCCACTTAGTGGTGAAAAAAGCTAAATACGCCACTGACGGGTTTCGTCCCACCAGGCACATCTCAAATATCCTTGATAATAAAATATGTTTTATAACTTTGGTTTATTTTTTTTTTTCCTAAATTGATCGCTCTTTAAAATAATCTACGAAACTATGTACTTATAATATATATAGAGTGATTATTTTATCATGATAACTCAATTTATTTACTACATACTTACTTACTTTACTATTTACTTATTTTATTTATTAGCCTTTGCTTCTCCACCGCGGAGCTCCAGAGCTCCGTTCTTAAATCAAAAATTTATTATCGTTCAAAGTAAAATAATTAGGCGTAAATATGTTTAAAATAGCATTAAATTAAAATTTAATCAACTCCGTAATGATTGAAACAAATAGATATCGAATTTTTCTAAAATCCTCCGAGAAAATCGCTTAATGATGACAAAATCGCCTTGTATATCAAGTATTAATTTATGTTAATGATTTTGATTTTGTTTTTTTTTTTTCAGATCCACCAGAGGTGAAGGAAGAGCAGTCTATTGTGTTCACAACTGAGGGTGCAGAAACCGAAATTGTATGCATAGTCCACGCAGAACCCAAAGCGGACGTAAGTATTACTTTTCAAAAGTTTTAAACCGCTTTTATTCGATTCAAAGTTTGATACACATTTTGGCTCTATAAACTATAAATTATATTGGTATAAGTAGTAGGTACACACATAGTTTAAACGTTCTTTTTTATCTGTGCTATATGTTAGACATACTTAAAACCATATATGTTTGTATAAATAATAAAAACCGCACCCATCGTGATTTTCTATAATATTCGACCACCCTTACCATTTAATTTTAAATTCCGAGTGGAGCAAAAAAGCTTATGGTTTTACAAAGATTTTTATTTTTTTTTTTATGGACAACTTTTTTTCCAGCTATTTTGTTCAAATTTATAATTATGGCAATTTTTCTGAAAAAAAATTTCACTGAGGAAGTAATTTAGGTAATTCTTCGATTTTCTCAAAAGTTTTCAAGATTTAAAAAACCGGGGAAAACATGGGAAAAACGGGATAAACGTAGGAAATCCTGGAAAATCGGTAAAACATTAAATAAATATTATTAAAGAAAATATGTAAAGCCTATTTAATTATTTTACTATAATATGACATATATATATACATATTGTTGTCGTAGCATCACTATCAACTGAACTACGCTTAGAATCGTTTTTCGTTAGCAATGGTTTATCGTTGCTTATATATATACGCATTAAATTCTGTATCCTTCTGTATCCGACCTTCTCAACTGCCCTCTTATAACAGTGGTTCCGCCCATCCCTATTATCCTAGGACAGTTTTTTTTTTTTTGTCATACAAATTGGGAAAAGTTGTACAGAGTCCGAAAAAAATTGTTTTGCCGACGTTTGTAGAGGATGAGAGAGGAAATAGTGGAATGCGTAAAACTGATGATTGACGGACGGATATCAAAATTATCACCGCCATGTTCCGGTATGAAAGCTCTGTAAATTGAAAATTACCTACGCGTAAATTGCGGTCTTTCGTAATAATAATAACAATTTAGATATAATAATATATTTAAAGCGGGTAGGAACGTTTCCTAGCTGCACGTTTTAAGCGATCAAACCGCGCGGACGGACAACTGTACGGCAAACCTAACAGTTATTATTATTATTATTAGACCAGCAAACGAATCGCAGTAGTGAACAACACAATTATTATTATTACACGTGCACGTACAACGGAACTTCCGGTAAAATATGTTTCCTCGTACACCAGCCGTAATATATTAATATTACATGCCTAGGTAGCGTTTCATATAACATTATAGTAAATAGCGGTGGAATTGCGGCTAGTTTTTATATTTGCACCCGCCCCGAATATAAAATTCGTATAAAGTCAATAATTTTACCGCCACGTATAACAGCTAGCGCATAACGACCAGGCATTATTATTAGTACCTGCACATTATATATAGGGTCATTTCATTTATTATCTTGATCTGGTGCATTGGCGTACCCAAACATTTTCAATGCGAGAGGAATGAAAAGATTTATAAATAACAAAGCTGGACGGTAACTAGTTAAAAAGTTATAAGTTAAGTTACTTCTTGTTGATAACTCTAAACTTGTCTAACAGGTTAAAAAAAAACAAATATGATATTAGAAAATAATGCGGTTATTTCTTTAAGTAAATAATGTGAATAGAATTTGGTTATTTTATTAAAATTTCAGTTAATTCTAAATATCTATTAGTGAATTTTTACACTTACAAATCACATATTTTTACGTGAATATTATCATCACATAACAATACAAGCATAATATATAGCCTACGTAGGGATATAGGATACCCATAAGAATCTTGAATAGTAAAACCAAAAAAAGTCTAAATATTAGAGTATAAAATAAGTTTAAGAATGTAAAAAAAACGATAGTTTTAAAAATGTACCTTTTAACTTTTAACATAATAAAGTCCTCATTTTCCTGTAAATGTATAACTTAATTCAGTTAAGTACTCAAAATCGTTCAAATTTTTAAACCCGCGCTCTGTGTGTAACGCTCTATATTTATATTTTCGGGGACGCCAAAATTTTGAGCGTATCGCGTAAATAGTCTCAACGACAATGCAATAATATATTAAGGGGCTGATCGAATCAGAATGCTCGTTATGTTATCGTGAGTAAGTGTTGAGTAAATTTCACAACGAAATCGAGTTACCTTTATCATAATATAATCGTTATTGACTTCATCTTAATTCTCTATGGTTACGGCCAGTCATAGACAATACCACTATAAATACACATAAGTATTACACAGTAGACATTTTTCTGAGCATTTTTCTCTCAAACTTCTCTAGGGATTGTCGTGGTGTTTGAAACTAGCTAATTTTTTTTATTATTCTTCAGCTCCACTTTGGGTAATTAAACGTAATAGTATCAAATGCATTCTAATTTGAAGGTTTTTAAAAATAGCTTTTGCCTGAACCTTTTTTCCTAAATCATAAAAACATTTATTTACTGATTGTTTAATAAATCTACTTGATCTCGCCGATACTTCTGAATGTACTTCATTACCTCAGATATTTGAATTGAACTTCGATGTATTCATCGTATGTTGAGTTACCATTCCTCCTACTAGTCAAACTAACTATAATATATAGCACATTTTATCATTCTCAATGAGGTTAAGCCCCACGTGATCGATAAACTTTATAGGTATTAATCGTTATTATACTAATAAAAAAAACTCGAAACCGACGAAAACAATTTTTCTTAAAAAATGTAAAAAAAAAACAAACAAAAAACGATAGATTTTATCATAAACCGGTTAAATTTCTTGGTTTTCTCAAATAAAAAAAATTACAAAAAATAACCTCCGAATCCATCACTATTGCGAGAAAATCGATTTACTGTAATCGATGTACTAAAAATGATAAAAAAAAACAAAGCGCACATCATCAACAAAAACTGACTTTACATTCCTCTGTCCACTCTGAGCATTTTATTAAAACGTTTTATTAAATATAATGTTACGGTAATTATATTATGTAAGGTGTATTATTATTATAACAATAATGGGACGTGTTAATCATATGTACGATACGTATTTATTCGTATATAATACGTCAGCTATCGTCTTCGTATTTATATTATATATATATAAGCTATTTAACATTAAATCGCACTCGTTTCCCATACAAAAGACCGTTCAGAACGTCTAGAGTTAATTCATGCGAATTCATGAGACGAGACTACAATATTATGCGTATATGCGTATCGCTAATACGACGTCGCCATTTTGGAGTGTACACAGAGTTTTCAATAATATTATCATCAATGTAGAACTACGATAACGGCGTATACAAAAGCGTCGTTCCGCCGCCGCCGCCATTTCGATATATGTGTCTTCGAAAATTCCCTAGATTTCAATTCTGGTCACTTAACATAATTGGAATTTCTCGTCTATATAATATCGTGTCCGGGAGCGTCGTTTCTCTATTCATAAACGTCTTCTTCACTCGCAATGAATGCTGCTGGGCGAGAGGGAATATCAGATATATACCTATAATATAATATATGACGACGACCACCGCGACGGTACAGATGTTAATTCGACTAGTATCGCGAATCCAATTGGTATTGAAATTATTATTATTCAGGGCGGAAAAAACGAAAATATGTTAAATATGCAATTACACACGAACAATTAATTATCAAAATATATGCTCCGTAAAAAGCCAAAAAGAATAATTGTAATTTCCAAATTCTTAACGTTTATTCTGTAAATGATATTTCAAGTAATTTCGTTGTTATTGTAAATTTTTAATTGTCGTGGCCTAAAATCGAGTAATTTTGATGAAATTGTTTTATCACTTTAATGGTATGATTTTGGATATTCCCCCCCCCCCGGGTTTATATTTTAGCGAGCGCCCTTGGTCTTGGTCTATTTTTAATATAGTTAGAATTAGTATACAAATACATCAATTTATAATTATTACAACGGTATTAATTATTTTTTTCAAAGCTCCCTCTGAATTTTTTTTGCATTCATCCATGAATTCCTAGAGAATATTTTATCTAAAACTCACATATAGGCACTAAAATTGTACATCTTTATAAATCTTAAACAATTATTTAGGACTTTTGTATAACAAGCCATTTTTTATTATCAACCAGTGAAAAAAATTATGCAAATGCTTATGGATAATAAAATAACAGTCCTATAGTTATTATAAATGTTTCGGTTACGATATCTCAACGGATGCATATACTAATATATTCCCGTCAATGTTATCAATTAAGAAACAATGACAAATCATTATACGTTTACGAAATCATATCAATGCCTGGTACTTATTGTCATTTCCCTAAGAAAATGTTAACTAAGATTACACCCAAGTACTAGAATATCCAAAGGTGGTACATAATATAATAATACGTTAAAAATATAGAATAGTATATTAAATACGGTATCAATAAGTAGTATCACTATCCGGAAATTATGCTCGAAGGTTTTGTTTTAGATTCTGAGTGAAGTGAAGAAACCTATAGTTTTACAAAGCTGTTTATTTTTTTATATTTTTTTTATCTATTCGTAACTTTTCTACTTCAGCATCTTTTCTGAAATGAAATTGGAGTGGGGTGGTACTTTTTGGAGGTTATTTTTCGTATTTCTCAGGAGTTTACTCAACAAATTTTAAAAACCTAATAAAAACGGAGGAGAAACGGGAAAACATAAGAAATGTAGGTAAAAGTTAAAATATATTAAAGCTTTCTTTTTTCCCGTGAACAACTTTTCTACCAGATATTTTGCTCTAATTTTTAATGATAACATTTTTTTTAAAAATGAATCCGGCTAGGGGAGTAATTTAAAAAAGGTCATTTTTCGATTTTTTTAAAATTTTTTCCAGAAAATGTGAAAAACCGTGAAAATCTTGGGAAAACCGAGAAAAACGTAGGAAACCCGGGAAAATCGGTACAACATTAAATAAATATTATTGAAGAAAATGTATAAAGTCAGCTATTCAATTATTTTACTACAGTATGACATAAATATTGTTGATAAAGCATCACTATCAATTGAACTGCACTCAGAATCGTTTTATCGTTAGAAATAGTTTATCGTTGCTTACAGGTATACATTAAATTTCCTACAACAATGGATGCACCCATTTCCATTATCTTAGGATGTATTTTTATGTATTTATAATTGTATTGTATTGTATGGTTCAGTCCAATATTGTGTATTTTGTAACCGCTCCATCTAGAAATGTCACATTTTGATCTGATTACCTTGTTGCTTTTAAAACAGAAGTCATATTTTCGAGTGATTCGACTTTGTGTGAATTTATTTCTGTTCTAGAGAATATACGTATATATGTACTCTAAACATTTTGATAACTTTGCCAAATAACCTATACGGCAAAGGTAAGTAAATAAATAACAAGTATATTATTATAAGCAATATCATTTTCTAACCGTGAAGGAATCGTCATCGTCGATCGTATCCTAAATTGTCAACATTTCCGTTTACATATTTATTTTTGTTTTTAGAAAAATTCTACCCCCGTGGATTATATTATATATCAGGTACAGAATATGACGTATAAATAATATTATGAGGTCTGCGTTCGTATATAGTTCACTCGCCTATATTATTATATAGTTGTCACGAACGCGCGTGCGTTCACGAAAATAATATGTCGCCCCTAATCCCGAAAATAAAACCGTCCGATACCGCCTGCACCCCGGGATTCGACTAGAGATTTATACGATTGTTGGAAGAAAAATAGAAGAATAAAAATAATAATAATAATAATAATAATAATAAAAAAAAAAACAGAGAGAAAAAGTGGTACCGAATTTTGCTATATACTGCCACCGCGGCGGCGGTACGCACCCTTTTTATTAACGGGACAATGCACATTGCACAGCGTATAGATATCGAGTCTAAGACAACCGAAAAAAAAAATGTATATATATATTATACGTATCCTTCCCGAAATGGCTTTGGTGTTATATACGAATACGATGTATGGTAATGCACATTGTTTTGGACGTTTCTCCTATATGCGCGGCGCACACAAGATAAGTTCGTCTCGTTTCCGGCAATCGTTATGGAAAAATAAAAAAATAAATAACCTCGACGCGATTCGCTAAATTATGCACACCGGCAACGGTGGCGGCGAATGCTTACAATTTTCGCGCAAATTGTACTTTTCCTGTACTGCTTTCGGAAATTATCAAGAATAGAGCTTAGATAGCAATACAGATATTATCAACAACACTATTCAACCGTAATATTGGCTATTCGAACGATAATTATTGAAATAATGAATTATCCCCCCCCCCAGGTCCAGCTGACAATAAATGAGTATGAAACACGAAAATATAAATATTGGTTATTAATATCGGTTATTGAATGATTTAGCATCACAATCGGTAAATTTTAATTAATCTGACTACTCGAGATTACACGAGTTACATCTAATAAAATAATTACACAGTGCCATGCTAGCTTTTATCGGTGCCCTAAGACAAGCATCATGCTTAGTGTCTTTACTTGATATACATATAAAATTTGGCGTGTCATACATTTGTGGTAACTCCAGTGCCCTTGAACATTTGCTCCCTTTGGTCCCTACCCTTTAGCACTGCTCTGTAACTACAGGTTATCGATTTCAGTTTATTACAGTCGTCCTTCGCGAGTAACAGGGTTAATTGGTTTTCATACTCTAACCCGACATTACAAAGAAGATAAAACCCACGCAAACAAATATTATAGTTTTAAATCTAATTCTAAATCATAGTAAACTGCACAGTGTTTTAAACGACTGCGTATCCAGCTCGTGTGTTATAATATTTGAATTCATTCCGATCAGTCAAACAATTATTATGAGTATTTACTCGAGAAGTCCTTCGAGGAAAGGCAAGTGTTTAATAGACTCGGTACGTGATATTAGCGTAAAATACCCAAACACCGATACCTGAAAAGTTCGACTGGCTGTATGCAATAATCTAGTTTTAAAATCGAATTTCAAAAAAACAGGCATTTGCAAATCTTGTTAGTTTATTCGGTCAGAGTTATATCATTTTGACAACAATAGTATTTGCAGTAGATTAGCTGCATCAAGTAAACTCTAATAAAAGTAAATTTAAAAAAATTTAAATATGCACCCATTATTTTATTTTTCTTCATTTGTTTTGTAATCGATTTTATAATTTTGGTTTTCAGCAACTTTTCTCTCTTATATTCTTACGAAAAATACAAAAGCCTTCATTTTAATTTATGAGTAAAAATTACATCCTTAGCTCATTACTATTTGTCACATATATTCCGATCGTGATCTTTCTCTATACATTTTACCTTTCACTCACACACACATCCTTCAAGTGAGCAACCATGTTGTAGTAGGTACACGTCCATTAATTTCTTTTGTTTCTTGATTTATAACCTTATAGGACTCTTCACTCTTGTGTTCATTATAACACTACTTAACTGGTCATCAATTCCGTTAAACTTATATTAAGCATTTTTTTGTTACACCTGACCATCTCTAAAGCTTCTTCTTTAATAATCATCCGCGTTTTTCTGTCATACAGCATTATACTCCAAACGTATGTTTAGAGAAGATTTTTTTCGATTCGTAGGCTAATATTACTTGAAGTAAAAGACACCTATTTCGACTGAATGTGGTTTAAGATAGACATGTTCGTTTTATGCACATTTACACAATACTATGAGTTGGGTTTTTTTCTTTACCCGAGTCACCAAAAAGGCGATTATTATAAAAGCTCGTATCGTAAGCGGCGGTAACGGCCCTCCCCCGTTACTGCCATTAATTTACTATTTATGGAGTTCGCGAGGATATCTGAAGTATATATATATATATATGTGTGTGTGTGTGTGTGTGTGTGTGTGTATGTGATGTAGGTGTAGTGCAGTTTACGTACCGTTATTTTCGGGCTCGCGACGAATATAATAATAAATTAACCGAGTCATTAATTTCACCTCGAGCCCGAGTTTCTCTGAAAGTTTGCCCACTGCCAACACGTTTGTTAAGGATTCATGAGATTGCCATTTTTCCTGCTGCTGCTGCTGAGGCAGTGGCGGCGGAGGAGAGGGAGAACTATACAATATAGACCGTGGCGCGGTGTATAAAAATAAATTTGCCCTTAAACTTTCGCCCGATTTTTCAAAAATTATACTAACTGCGGCTTTTTTTTCAACTCCAAAAAAACTGACGAACGGCTTGCCGTTTATATATATTTATGCATTTTTACAGCACCGCAAACTCGTGCCACCATTCCACGCCGTTTAATGGTCCGTCCGTAACGCGAATTAAAATAAAATTATTATAGGTAATGCAGAATGCCAAGTGAGAGCTAATATTTTCATACCTGTACTGTGGTAATCGGGATTCCACTATACTTTTTATAAGTCATTTCTTTATTATTTTCTTATGCTATAAACGCCAACCACTCGGCGTATTTATGATTCTAATCTTATAATAAGTACTCAAATATTGCGTATTTAGATTTTATGTCATGCTATAAATATTAGTCTACTAATTTTTTAAGATTAAACTGTCTGTGTAATTTAATTCTGTCTGAGTCACCTAATCACGCTGCTCGAAAATTTTGGTAATTCGTAAGACTAGCATTCGATATCGCTTTTGGTACCAATATAACTATTCTCCTAAAGTAAACCACACGTCCACTCTTTCGTCGTTACCGACCATGCTCACGAAAATTATTATAATATTATATACCGGTGTTTATTTTTATTATACTTAAGTACATTAGACTTACTCTAAACTTGGTATCGTTGATAGACCGTTGGATTCGCGTCTTCGCGTCGGGCGATCGAAATACCGGATTTTCGAGTATCAGTAAAATAATATGGCTTGTATTTACATCAAATGTTTCATTTTTTTTAAATCTCACCAACACATCTTTAATGACTACTAAAATTCACTACCAAAGGTGACTTCGTCGATAATCAATCCGATTCACTACCTACCGGATTCATTTTAGCGTAAACACTGACAAGTCTTTCTTTTGTACGTAACAACGACTAATCGACATTGCTCCCTCGTCTTGCTCTAATAATCTTATATTATAATAAACCTAGTAAATAAAACGCAAGACGGATTTTAATATTTTATCGCCCGTCCAGCAGGTGCGCAATTTACGTAATTCCGAACGGCAAACACGTAGTTGTCGAGTTGTTGAACACAATGAAATTAATTAAATTAATAAAAAAAAACCTCGAGTTTTAATTAAGGAAATGTGTTTTTTTTAAAAAAAAATACAAATATAAGAACAGAAAATGTATAAAAACGACTGCGGTTTTCTATCCGATTAGGTAACGTTTTAAAAAAATATATATTTTTTCCGTAAGTTGTAATATAATCGTAAAAAAGTGTGTATTTACAAACAAAAAAAAAACTGTTATGTGTATAAAGAAAAAGGTACTGAAAGGATGTTTGTTTGTTCGGCGATCTATCTAATATTGCTGCAACAATGAAAGCTGTATTATTATGATAAAAATATTAATTTCATTTTTTTTTTTTTAGAACTCGGTCCCCTTTAATTTTCGGTTTAAGCTACATAGAAGTATGTACTTTGTATTATTTGCTTAGTTTATGTACACGTGTATATTATGTATCTTCATTTGCTTGTATTGCAAACAATACAAAATTTACTTGAGCTATTCTTCGCCGGGAACAATGATACACGTGATATTTGATGTTTTACATTATTCAGAAAACAAAAAGAATTATTATCGGCGGTTGAATTTGATCTGAAAAAAAACAAAACAAAACCGTAATATCGTTTAACGTATTTACCTGACTACACCACCACGCATATATACAGCCATAAAAGTATAACTCATCCTTAAATTTAATGGATAAAACGTTCCGTTTGCTTTTAAGCGTAGGTATAGTTGCGATTTGGCCCTGGTTTGCATAGAAAATAGATTCGCCGAACGCACACGTTCGCGCTTTCTGAAAGAGATATTCCCGCGTTACGAAAATGTATAAATGTTATTATAATAATAATAAATACACGGCAGCATGTTGGAACACACTCGCATCACACATATGCATTTATGTATAAATCTTATCTCGTACGAAACGCTTCGAGTTTTACCGTAATATAAATTTTATTACAAACATAATGGTTTTTTCTCGCAGAATCAATATATTTGAAGTATTATTATAGGCTAGGGTTTCTACATACCTACGTCAAACAGTGACTTAACGGGTCGGTACAATTTTAAATGATGTTTACCCTTAGTCGCCTGTAGGATTTTTTCCGACACACGGCAAAATAAACACACGTCGTCGGTTATCGATGCCTAAAATAAATAGGCATACACTATTTTTCACGGTAACGGTCTACGATGATATAATAATGAGATTTACCGGTTAAAAATGGTATACTCGCTTAAAATAATTTTCATTTGAAATAATAATAATCAGACTTTACACGGTCCTTTAAAAAGAAAGAGTTTTATTTAAACGGACACGATATATTCGTTAAATATTTTTATTTTTCTCTAAATTCTACAAGAAAGTTATTATAAAGTTTTTAATTAGAGCAAAATTTTTGATCAAATAGTTAATAACAAAAACACGAATAATAAAAAATTACACGATTACGTGCTTAATTCGCTCAAAATTTAAAACATAGATACATTTTTTTTTTAAATTACAATCAACTAATCCGAAAAACTGCTCATTTAGAGCAATATTATCAGGTAATGTTATCGGATTATTGCATACTCTAGTAACTGTTTTGTATATATATATATATATAAAAAAAAAATACCGGAACCATTACTCGAATACCAGTTATAACTACATTAATAACATAATAACATCAATAACTACACTTTTATTATATTTGTATGCTTATTTATACAATTGCTTTAAATTAACAGATTAACAGATTTTATTCTTTATTCATTTAATAAGAGTAAAAATAGTTACTGCAATTGCAGTAACTATTGCAGTTTTTAGATTCTGAGCATAAAGTGTGATCAGTTGGTTTTACTATTAGATATTTTTGTTTTTTTCTATATTTAAACAACATTTCCAACAGGAATCTTGTTTCAATTAAAAAATGCGTTTTTGTTTCATAATGGATCTAATTAGTGAGTAAGTAGGTAGTTTTTAATTTTCAAAGCATTTTTCATAATAATTTTAAAACTCGGAAAAACTTGGAGTGAATGAGAAAGTTTAGGGAATTAACGGTTTCATTTTTTTTTTATTATAGCCTTTGAAATTATATAAAACAAAAATTCACTCAGAATCATTTTTCATTACCAACAGTTTATCGTTTTTACAGAAATAAATAAAATAATTGTACATAATATTCTACATTCCCAACTTCCCACCTACCTTAATGGCTGATGTTGCTGATGGGTGGCACACTCACAAACAGCATCAATCTTTTTTAATTTCGTACTAAACACTAAACATTTTGTATTACACAAAGTGTCTCACACTACACAGAATTTTGTTCCCTAGTTTCGAATATTTGCTTTTTTGTTTCTATAACGTTTCTATTACGCAATGTTGGTGTTGGAAAATTGGACACTAGTGACGAAGCTCTAGTGCTTTTAAATTGTTTTGACTGTTAAATAATGGAAACACATTGTAATACCATTTGATTGTATTTACTATAAATTCATAAAGTGTATATAATACCAATTATCATTTGGAAAAATATGACTAACTAATTAATCACAGTATTTGTCTGTCCTAACCTAATATCTGTAGAAAAAAAAACGAAACGGCGTGGCGTATAGGCAATTGTGTTACGTCGATGTGGAAGAGAACCATCGTTTCACATAAACAATTATTATTTTTTTTTTTTTTTTAATTTAATATTATGTTATGTTGCTGTAGCATGTTATTAATAAAGCACTTATGTAATTAAAAATGGTACTGCTTGAGACTTTTTAAAATTTTATAAGTAGTGGAGCATTATTTGTGTTGTGGCACGACGCGTGCGGCGTTTTAGTAATGCACCACTGCTCTTACTCTTGAACCCGAACTTCTTGACTCAAACTTGAAAGGTGGATTATCTCGTCTACGGATTGACTAAAATTTATTTTAATAATTACCCAATTTATTTATGGAATTTTTATGTAGGTTGCCGTTTGAAAATCAAAAGTAGGTAGTGGTTTTACCCCAAAAAATAAGGATGACAAAAAAAACAATAAATACAAATTATAAAAATAATACAAATAAAAATTATATAGCTACTAGTCTTTTAAATGTTCTAGAAAAAAATTCCGAAAAATGTTAATACTTTCCGAGATAATGAGTGTAGCCACTCAAATGGATCATCGGTATTATTATAATCGGTTTTAAAACAATAAAATTGATTGTATCTAACGCAAACCTAATATCCAACAGTAATCACGATGACATGGCTTTATCTGTACAATTTAATAATATTATAAAGTATAATATCACCAGGCGCTAGGTTTACATTCGAACGAAAAACATTAACCAAAATGTTCCATTCAATAGTAAAACGACTAAAATAAGTTATTTTATATTATATAACCGGGTTAAGTGAATCTATTTAATTTTAAACCAACGAAACACAAATATAGTGTGTCTCTCAGAGTCATGCCGAAGATTTAGAGCATTTACTATTTTGTACAAGATATTTATGGTTTATATTTCGGACGTATTCAATGTAGTGTACAGCTCTATATACATTATACATATACTTAAATAAAACAGAACTTTAAAAACTTCGAATTTCTCAATGTCGAATAGGTTTTTTTTTTGTTCTGCGTCATTTGGCGGATCGTACTCTATAATCCGATGAGTGGTTAGTGAATATATATGTATACGTTCAAAGTTTGTAGAGGAAAAAAATGAATAAATACCAAGAAATATAGAAATATGCTTCGAATAAAAGTTCTAAGATTCTTTATCGGAGATTAAAAAGCTATTGATTTTGTGCCTTTTTTAACTTATCTGTTTGAGTTTGGAAGTTTTGTGTACATGCGAGTTCTTATTGAAGATTCTAGATAGTAAAACGGATTTTTTTGAAACTTAAAAAAAAAAGGACAGAAACTCTGCTGTATACTGTGTACTTTATTTTCAATTGCATTTTTACCCTTGTTTATTGTTATTATTTTTTTATTATCATTATTATTATTATTATTAACAAACTACTAAAATGAGTTTGTGAAGACTTTTTGCATATTTCGAATACACAATAAAATATGAATATAATTGCTTCTGACTTCCCAACGGATTTTTTTTAGTTTTTAGTCTCGTCCTATTATGTATTTTTAATTTGAATTTTTACATCGATCACAGTGTTTATTTTATTGAAATTTTATTTTATTAAATATGATATATCTGTACAAAATAGGTGTTATTGGTTTTATAATAAAGCATCGCTCAATTTTATTACTGTAGTTAGTATATTTTCTTTTTTGCATATGTACGAAACCCCCATGTACCTTTTCTCCCCCCATAATAATTAAATTTGTTTTGGAAACTCAAACTAGAAAACAAGTAAATAAATATGTGGAAAAATGCAAATTGGTATGGACTGTTTTTGACTTAATATCATCCAATCAGTTTCTTTTTTCTTTTTTAAAAGCAAAGAAAGTATTTTTATTCTATTAAGTAAATGACTACCCCTGCTGTTTTCCAGCGATTTTTTCAATTGTATCACACTAGGTTGATTAATACGTCCGTGAATATGGCCCTGCCACTATGTCCTAAGAACTTCAAATTAATACTGATATTTTAAAATTAGTTTTCTAAAATTTGCTTGGTCGTTCTTAGAAATTGCATACCTTTGGTTTTTCCGAAAAAGGTTGTTTTCTAGTGGTGGGCCGACTTCACGCAGTTTAATGTATAAGTTTTTTTTTTCTCCATAAACGTTTTAAAATTAAATTTTGACAAAAAGCGTAAAATTTACGACGTTTCAAAATATGTCTACCTGAACTTCGTTCCAAAACATTTTTCATTAACAATTATTTATCGTTTCGCACAATTATAAATTAAAAATACACAGCTATGCAAATTCTAAAATCAGTATCAATACACTCGTGAATTTGTCCTCGCTATTAGAAATAATATAAAATATTTTAGTTTTTACTGTACAATAATTGTAATATTGTTCCGATTACATATGACTGTGGGTAAATATTATAATTTATTAGTGTAGTGATGAGTAGTGGAGCAATATTCAAATATCCCGCGCGGTGCCACCCATATTTTTATGCTTCACTAATCTACACCACCACTGCATAGAGTTAGCCCCATCACTAGAAACTACATTTTTCAGAAAAACCAAAGGTGTTCTAAAAACTACTCGGCAAAATTCGGTAAATAAAATGCAAAACATAAGTGCCACTTTGAAATATCTAAAACAAAGTGGATGGTCATCTTCACGGACATTTGATCAATAGCAATTTATTACGGTTCTTATTTCCAACAACACCATTAACTTTTTCACAAGTAAAAGATCAATGACTATCAGTTAAACCAAAAATAGTTTTCACGAAACTTCAGTGTTTTCTGTAAAAAAAAAAATTAACGATTCTAATACAAACATTAACTGTTTACACGTCTACCAGAAAACTTTATTTTACGGCTGTTTAATAGTGTTAATATATATTTTTGTGTCGTGATTTAATATATGAAAACATGATTACAAACATATTTTTAAATTATGCATTTGGTATTTATATTCGTATTTTTGTACGACATATTAAGTTTAAAACACAAAATTACCTACATGAAAATAAAATCATAAAAGTATACCGAACTCTTGAACTCAATGACATATCCAAAGGGGAGATATCAACTCCCGTTTTTTATGTTCAAATTTTAAACAAATTATATAAGCTATTTGATATTGAAAACTTATTATCTTATATAATAAAACGTAAAAATTAATATGGCTTTGACAGTTTTAATTGATAATCTTTTTTTGATTCCCCCAACCATTTCGTGAGGTTTTTTACACTACCCTCCCCACTTTTGAATGTTGGGTTTTTAATTATTCTTTTACCATTTAATAAATTTGTTTTCATTTATTTGACATACTTCAGAATTTATTTAGACTTCTTACACGTTTTTATTCCGAACTTTCAAACATTATATTATTGTTAAACTGTATAAAAAAAAAAAAAACAAAACAAAACACAATATTAGTATCAGAATAAATGTTTTTCCTCGTAAAATATGTATAAAGTTTGAATTTTCTAGGGATGCCCCAAATGGAAAGCTGCCTCAATCCTGTTTTTCTTTTCTTCCTCGAATTAAATTTGATTATCGTAATACCTAATAACAGATTTTAAATTTTTTTGTTTTTTTAAGTCTTTATAGATAATAAAAATTTTAAAAAGTAAAAAATCTGAATAACGTAAAATGATATTTTTTTTTCAAATTCAAGCATTAGTTTAAATTTAATATTATAGCAAACCTTAATTCTAGAGGGAAGGTTTAAAACTTACAAATTAGTTATTATTGTTACTCCCTCTCTTTTGAATTCCGGATTACCCTAAACACTACTTAGTTCGCCTTTTTCTTTATATTTTTCAAACTTCGTTTGGACTTACAACCGCTGTCCATTATAGGCAATTATAACCAAAGCGCGTGGTAAATCTATACTAGGTATTATTATTATTTTCTTTTTATGGTAATTTGTTGTCATGCCTTCAATGTTAAATTGACGGCTTTCTGTCATGAACGTAGTATACAACTTTCCGCTATTATTGATGTTAAATAACGGTCCTGAGAGAGAAATATTTGCACAGTCGAAAACCAATAAGGTAAACAATTTTAAATATTAAAATTATCTTCCTATATTTGAAAAATGTTTGGTTATGTTCACGATTTTACATAAAGACTAAATATTTAACTTAAACAGAAAATTAGATATTTAATAATAAACACTGTTAAGTAATTACATAATATTATTTATATTTGTTGTTTAAACTCTAAAAATTTAGTCATTATTAAAAAACGAATAGTAAATAATATTTATAAAAAATCCTAAAAATTGTATTATGCCTGTACAATGTGTCCCACCGTGTTCGATGGATTTTTCTAGAACTGTTAATATTAAATTTTATACGATTTTTTTTTCAGTCGATTTATCTTTTATTGGATATTAATTTTGTGCACATTTAATTAAAACGGCTATAACTAAAACATTATTCATCGGATATAAATTGTTGATTTACAAAATAGCTATTTTGAAAATTTTCTAATGTGAATAAATAAAGTTATTATTTTTTTTTTTTTTTTGTCTTTAGAGGATAAAAATAATAAAATGTTATTGTTTAACTGGCAATATAGAATAAATAGGTATGTACCACTAGCTAAAACCTTTTTTTCTCTTAAATGGTAGTTCACTTTAAAAAAGTTCAACTCTGTTCAACAATCTATTAAAATGTGATTTTTCAAAAAATAAATAGATAATAAATTTTCATTCTCAGATGACGAATTTTAGAAATTTAATTTACTCTGTTTAGCGTATTGGTGGAAATTCATTGAATCCCATTTCATTTTAACACAAGTAAAATTTTCAGTATATTTTAAAACGGATTATTATCTATGCCGGTGTTATGTGATTATATGTAGTTATATATATGTAACCGTTTCAGACGTTTGACTATTTTATAAGTATATTAAAGACCAATTCGCTGTTTTCTGTATATTATTGAATTATCGACACTGAACCTTAACACCAATTTCGTCCAACTCTGCAGTCATTTCACATGTTTATGATCGAATTAAATACCGGAAAACACTAGTAACTATATTTCCATTTTACACCGTGTATCAGTCTATATAATATTATTATATTATAGTACCGACGGCTGCAGGGTTTAATATCGGAAATGAACGAACACTCGCATTAAACGCAACCCGAGAAACATCGAAGGGGTACCCCATAATGTTATACAATAGTATATGCATATTATTATTGTATGAAACAGAGACGCACGCAAAAGGCTTTTTCTCAGCCAATTTTATACACGTACCTATATCGTGTATAAACGGACTGAATTTGGTGAATGGAAATTTCGAAAACCCGCTCGTCCGCGCCCCTCGTTGCTGTTTTCGAAAAAAAAAAAGCATATATTATAATAATATATATTCAGTATACACTATATATATATTTATTTATTCGCGTTTTCCGCACTCGCTTTCTATTATTTTTTCGCGTTCTCCGATATTTCTCCTCTTTTTTTTTTTTTTTTAAGCTTCGTCTACCTTCAATATATTAGCCGCATATTCGAGCTTTGTTCAAAAGAATCGCATGTATATATTTCATCTCGTCAGCGGGGTACGAAATTCGCCTATATTATACATATATCTCATTATATACGTTTATATTATATGCGCACGGGCGCGTGTCTTTGTGTATAATATGCATTTGCGGTGGCGCATCCGAGACCTTTTCCTTCCTTTTACTATATATTATATACATCGCCAAGCCGGCGAGTGTGGCGTGCGGTGTATGCCTGTGATTGCACGCGACTCGTCGATCGTTCCTCCTTTTCGCTCGTCGAACCTATTTAAATTTGTAATTTATTATACACACAAGAATATAGCTCATCCGAATTCCCACGAGACAAAATTATCTTCCGCAGTGCTCCGTCTCGACAATCAGTCCGTGTAATATAAAAATGTTTCATATGGGTACCTTCTATAGCATAGGTGCCTTCCTACGGCCGCCGACACTACGTCACACGAAAGATATTTTAAATCCTAAACGCGGAGCAAATGTAATGGTTTTACTACCCACTTATAATAATATGATACGTGCTTCCAATTTGAGATTCTGAATGTAGCGAAGAAAATTAAATTTCACAATTTTCGAAACAAAATTAAATTGAGGCTTGGACGATCTCAAATAGACGAATTCAAATCAGTTAAGAAAATTCATATCGCATCGTTAGATTCATCAGACTAAAAGATAAAAGATTGGTATGTTTTAGTCGAAAAACAGTCCGCTTTGAAACCCCTAAGTATAATTAAAGAATTTTCAGCACCGTGGAATATATTTTATTTTTATTGACAATTTTTTTTCTCGAGGTTATTATTACCATTAATAAACAAATAAATACACATTTACACATACATATACACATTTTTTTCAGTAATTTTCATTTTATTTTTGATTCGAGTAATTTAGGAAAACTAGTGATACCCTTGCGAAAAGACAACGCGACTACACGTTGTTGTAACATGAGTAGGTGTACATAACGGCAATCAACGCAGGTCACAGGCAAGTTATGACCAAAGAAAAGGTTTTCGGCGACGTGGGAAGATACGCGTATGGATGCCATCCCATACAAATCACTACCAGGACATGGGTGCCAGTATGGGCTTTGTTTCATTGTTTTTCGTACTAATCATGGCCCTAATAGCGACCTGGCTAGACACACTCGCCTCGTTAGACGGTATCGTGCCTTTGGGAACGACAAACGTATACCCGACAATAAAAATCGATTGAACGTATATTATTTGTGTAACGTGAATCCGTGTTATTAACATCGGAAAAAAAAATCGCAAACAGCGATATTTATAACGCAAAGAAAAAAATAAAATAAAACGCGAACACGAGATTTGTCGTAAGAAAGAAAATCGCCAATAGTTTTTTTAAATAATTACAAACGAACAATACAAATAGTCATCCATTAATATCAAAACATAAAACGGGAATACCGGCCATAGTAAATCATAAAGGGAAATATATTACAATATCTTTGTAGTTCGCTGAGGCGTCCTTCGGCAAATCGGAAGTTAAACATCTCTAGCCCCTCATGCGGTGATGTATACTCAACCTAACGCAGCGGCAGCCGTCGCGTCGTCGGACCGAACGGTCGAGTTTCACGGCCGGTTACAATTGAAAATTATGATTTAATTGGCCGGGACCTCCCGATCGATGTTGACATTTAACAAAATTGCCACGATAACTGTGACCGAGGTGTACTACTCACGCGCGCTGATGTGGATTGTAGTATTCGCACCAACGGTCGGCAGCACGCGAGGGATACTGGAGAGAACACCAATGCTCCGCGGTGACCGGTGGCAAACAGAGAGGTTTTATAATTTCTCTTGGGTAAATCGAGTATAGCTTCTGATAGTTATACAAACTCTTGTTGCAGTATGCAAGTTGATTTGTTCGCAATGTCACTATTTACAAATACTTGCATTACATCTTCAGAAGTTTATTTTAACAATTCTAGAAGTTCAAGTATGTTTGATTGTTCTGTTTATTCGTCAGCAATAGTGTTCCCAAAGGGTATACAACATATACGAAGTATACTCTCATTGTTGACAAACCACGTGTATACTGCGTATACTCTTAAATAGATTTTAAAAAAAATCGTCAAGATACGATTATAGTGTTATCGTTATCCGTGATATCCCACTAAAACTACAATAATCATAAAAATTTCATTACAACAAACAAGTTCAAAATTTTCATAATTTTTGTAAAATTGATATCTAGCTATTTCCCTATAGACAGTTTAAGTTCCGCATATAAGTTAAATGTTTTCTGACATTTATACAAAAATATACTGTACCTAAAATTACAATTTAAATAAATAAGATACAAAAAAACATTACTTTATAATTAATTCGATTTTTGGTGACTATAATGAATTAATAACTTACTGAACTAACTGAAAATAAAACCTTTTTTTTTAATAATCATAAGAAATAAAATAATTTTAATATCAGATAGTCGGTAGCAAACAATTATCTAACTATCATATGTTGCTCGTCATTATTTTACAAATATTTAAATAAAAACATTTCAAAATATGCTTAACCGAAATTCACTCAGAGTTATTTTTCGTTTGCAATAATTTATCGTTGTATATAGATATAAATTAAATAACTATAATTTATCCTATTGGTATACTACATTTCAGCTAAATGTAACACTACTAGATGTTTTCAAATAATATTATTACTTTACAGTTTACATAATATCAATAACAAACTATAACTCGTATGATTCAAATGACATTATCATTTCCTACTATTTCCTATCGATGCTTACGTCTTGGAGTTTAGCTAATTTTATAATAATTTAAAAAATAATTTATCGGGACTTAGTTTCATTAGATTTCAATTTTTGTGTTCGTTGTTTTATTAGTAGCTTGTCAGAATTTCAATCGGAAATAAACTCCCATACTGCGTTCATAATACAACAGTACTAACAATGTTTAAATGCACCTTAAGAATCATCATAAAAACTTCACTAACTAATAAAAAAAAAAAAAATGAAACGGTACGCCCTTACTTATAAAATATACGTACTATACAACAATAAACGGTTTACTGTTTCACGGAGTCGATAAGAAAAAAACCTTAAAAGATACCAAAGGATCTCGTGAAATAAAATAAAATATTGGAAATCAAATTTGCCCAAGTACAATACTTATTTATTTTTATCGCATATATAGTACATTCTACAGTGATATGTAATAATACTTGGCTTTTCTCTAAAAAACAACTAACTTCCTAAACTGTATATATGTTTCGAGTGGCTATATTGCCTGTATTATGAGGCTCGTATAATAGAATTCGTTGAGCGGTTTTATTAGCATTGTTAACCGGAAAAATTCTCGGTCCCCTTGGTTCATTCTATTTGTATTCACTAACGCAGTCGGAAATTAATATGTCAAACTTTCGAGGTTCATATTTAATTACCTAATAAAAATAATTACTTTTTTTTACAGTGGAAAAGATAGTTAATTTTCAAGGTTTAGAATGAATGCATTCGTTTTACATTGAATGAATATTCATGAGTGTATTCAGTTTTTATATTATGAACTATGAATATGCATGCATTCATTGTACATACGAATGTGAACTTGAATTGAATTTTATAATGTATTTTTCGACTAAATACATTAAAAAAATATTTACAATATAAAAAGTGTTAATCGAAAAACGTATATAATTCCAATTTACATTACTTAGTTTATAGATATACTGATCATACAATATATTATAAAATACTTGTCTAGCTCAAAATTGTGTTTTATTAAATTTAAATTTAAATTTTTTTTTTTATATATTTGTGGTCAATGTGTATATTATAATGCATAGATATTAAAAATAATTAATTTTAAATGAGAACGAATTCGCTTTTGAACTCATTGAATAGGGATTCAAATGCATCTATTTTTTAAAAGAAATGTTCCAAACCCTGTTCATTTGTTTGTTTAGATTTCTAATAATAATTGTTATATTTTCAACAAATTCCTTTATATACGAGTATGGATAGGTACCCATACGTTTAGTATGTAGGTACATACTAAAAGATTCCGACAAATTCCTATACATTTAAATTATATGGCATCATAGTATATTCATCTGATCTTCTCGGAAATTATTTTTTGTTCCAGCAACTGCATATACGCTAACAAAATCTACTGAAAAGTTAAAGACTTGAGGTTTTCCTGTTACCTTTTTGTTAATATTATACATTGAGCCTTTAAAATGTAATTCAAATTTAATCACATTGTATAATATACTATACTGAAAACTATTTTTTTCAAAGTTTAAAACTTTTTTATCAACATTTAATTTTAGATTCTGAGTGGAGCGAAGAAACTTATGGCTTTACAAAGATGTTTATTTTTTTTTGTTCTGTGAACAACTTTTCTACCAAATATCTTGCTCCGATTATTATGTGTAGCAACTTTTTTGAAAAGAAATTAGTATGTAAAGATACTTTGGGAAGATCATCCTTTGATTTTTTCAAGAATTTTCTCATAAAATGCAAAAAACCGAAGAAAATAAAACGGTAAAATGTACGAAATATATTAGTACTTTTATTAGTATTTATTAAATACTAAAAACCATTTACGAAACACAATTTAGAAATTTGGCTCCGAGGTGCATATGCATATACTCGTTCTGTTTGTAAATTTTCAGACAACTGTATATTGCTTACAAACCAACAAATAAATAAACAAACAGACAGACAAACACTCTTTTTTATTTATATATATATAGATAGTTATTATTTTAATACACACTATTCCTTCGAATATATAATATATAATATAATAATTTATTAGTGTTATAATAGATATTTATAAAGAAATACAAATATTAAAAACTATTGTTTCTTGTTCAATTATATTTGCACGTAGTCTCTACGTACAAAGTTGTGATTTATGACTTTTAAAAACTTTTTAGTCACGACATTTTCGTAGGTCCTCCCGGGATGTTACAATAAAGACTTTTAAGTTACCGGAGCTTGAGCTCCAATTTGCCGCCAAAATACCTATTCTTTTATTTTTTAAAGCTTTCTTGGTGGAGGATTATAAGCACGATTACAGGATCTAAGCTTCTTTTTTTTAGCCCAGATTGTCCCATGCGATTTTAAATGCATTGAAAACTGAATAATTTAAGAGCTCAAAATGTAACGTTGAAATATCTTAGTAATTGTAGAGGGTAATAATAAAAATATTACCAGACTAAAATACCTTTTAAAAAATGATTTTATTTTCCAATCAGAGACACGTTCGTGTTGCTTACCCGGTCAAGTGGCCAAACAGTCGTCGAGGCAACGCGCTGGGGTCTGTAGCCTATAACGCTCCGAGAAGCCATTAATCAACACGTTCCCATCATTTGGTTTGGCGTCAATCAATTTCAAAACCCTCTAGACAGTGTAATCTAAGCTGCTGCTCGATATTAATAATATTTTACGACAGGATTCCCTACAGATTGCAATAGTTCTGAAAGCGTGGCAGTGTGGGTAAAATTTAATGGCGCAAAAACAAAATATTATAACTGAAAATTTATAAAACGAAAACTATATTTATGCAATAATTAGATAACCAATAATATCATAATAATAAAAACACTCGTAAGCAGTAGACCTCCACGTTATATATATATAGCTATATAGTCGAATTTTCTCCCTCTTATAGGTAATATTACAATACTTTAAATTATACTTTCCCAAAAAAATAAGGGTAAATTCTTGATACTAACACAATTGTACAAAATGGTATACACCTAACTTTGTTTGGCTATTTACGGAGGTGTTTAAAGCTAAAAACTATCCCATCCTATAACAACATGTTGAAATCCATATTTGAAATGCAATCAACTTTTATAACATAAATACAGCTATAAAAAAACTCCAATTCCAGATTTTCAGCCTATTTTGTTCAGGAGAAGTCACTGGGAATGTTCAAAAATTGTGGTAAAAAGATATTTAATAAATAATATAATTTTTTTTTATCATTATCCATTAACATTATTACGATAATGTGATCATTAATCAATTTATTACCCTTCCCTACTCCTCGTCTGGTCGCAACTTTAAACTGCTATAACTCTTAAATTGTAAATCTATTATTAGTTTTTTATATATCTAAGTTTTTAGAAAAAAAAGGATCTTTGGAAAAATTTCAGGGGAAGTTAAAAATCAAAAGTTAATACTAGTTTAAGATGTATGATGATTTTAATAGTTTTTTTCAAATAAAACCTCCAAATAAACCACTAAATTATGATGAAAATAATCACTAAAAATAATCAATAAACAGAAATTTTTGAATACTTAAATAAAACAAATTTGTAATTAATTTATTCATGGGAGGCGCAATTATGATTTTTTACTTTTAGGGATGCGAGAACCAAAATATTGTTTGGTTAGTACCGCTGCTCTATAATGTAATATACATGCAATAGTCTCTATTTTCTGGCGAAATTCTAGAATAAAATTATTACCATCTGCCCGCAGCAGTTGTTATTGGTACATTGTTTAATACTCCATGTGAATACATTTATACTTTCATAATTATACTATATCGGCTTGTTTACTTAACCGCAATAATAATTCACCCTAATGTAAATAATTCGTGGTAGCTATATACGCTTATATCATAATATATTTTTACGTAAATATAAACTAATCACAACGCAACTACACTGATTACTAAAAGCTTAAAAACTTCAAAAAACAAATTATATATCAGTGCAGTTCACTAATTTCAGAGGATTTATTTATACTGGGAAAAACGATAATAAAAATTGCTATTAGATCGGATAAATTTACTCGTATTCTCGAAAATAATGATAATAAAGAGAATAAAATAATGATATTTAAATGTTTCAATAAATAAATAAATAATGGTTTATTGATTTCAATCATAAATGTTTGCCCTATGAATTTTAAAAATCACCTTCTCTTATATACAATAATAATACAAGCCAAAGCTAAATTTACATTGATTTTACAAACTAATTTTCCGTGAAAATGTTTCAAATTTGTATTAACTTCGTCGGCTCTATACCGACGGAGTACTTATATAAAGTTCTGTTTCACCAGAATATTAATAAGACACTCTTTATCTCAGAAGTATTAACTTTTTCGGAACTTTTTATTTAGACAATTTATGAAACAAGTGGCACAAAAATATTATATTTTTATTAAATTTTGTGGCCTTATTTTTGAGGAGGAAACGTAAAACATTTGACCCACCGTTAATTTCCAAGTAATAACCTACTCGTATTTTAAAAATTCTATGTATATCTGTTTGATATTTTAGTTTAAATACATCCAAAAATATAATGATGACAAAATTTAATGCTCTCCGAGATAACGAGTGTCTTATCGAGGTTTTATTACTCTGGATAGAAATAAGCACACAAAGTACCCGCTACTCATTCCGATACTAAAATATAACGTACCTATATTGTAATATATACATATACCGAGTAGTCAAATATTCGCTGTGCAGTATAATCTTAATGAAATTACGTCTGGTATTATATTATTATATACTAAGTCCCCTATATCTATATAACCGTTAACGCCCATTGAAGTGGTTTCATTATTCGTTTACGAACCCTGTCTTATAATACCTACCTACGCTAATTAGTTGTGAATACTGGCAATTTTACGGTCAAAGGATTATCGCAAATAAATCGATTTCGTCCCCATCGAAATACTATTATAATAGGTGTGCGAAACATCCTAGTACACCCTAGTAAGTAGTTAATGACATTTCCGACCCCTCCCAACAAAAAAAAAAAAATTGGTAGGCAATATTAAAACCTACATATTACTAAAATATATTTACCTATATATTCGTCTTACCAATTTTGTTTCGATTTTTCAGGTATTGTGGTACAGAGATACGTTGCAGTTGGACATGACCGAGTGGCGAATCACCGATATCAGAGGAAACCGATACACGTTGCGCATGAGGAAAGTTCAATCAACTGATTTCGGAAATTACTCTTGTGTGGCCGATAATGGACTCGGAAAAAGCAAACGATCCATCGAACTGACTGGTAATTAACTGTACTTAAAAAACAAGTTATGTACTAATAATTTTCTGAAGTCGTATTAAATTATTAACATCAAAAAAATTCATCATGAAACATACGTAAATCAGTGCAGCGATCAGTTTCTTGTTATTCTATAGATAATCAGAAATAAGCATATTTGTTTAAATCAATTTTAATTTATCTATAATATCTGTCGATAACCAATTAATAAAAAAGTAAAATTATAAAGGTACTTATTTTATAGTGGGAATCAAACAGCGGCAGTTCATTTAAATATATATTAGTTTTTTTGTTCATAACTTCTAATAAACACAAAATCATTATTTTTTGCATAGCGATCCATAGCTAATCCATAGCTAATCCATTTTTATATAGATTAATCTCTTGCAGTATTTGTATCAATAGTAATATACGAATTGAAAACAATATCCCGATAAATTAAGTACCGAAACACTTTATTTGAAATCTTACTACCAACACTTGAACAGTTGAACATTGGTCAGTACAGGTTAATTAGTATTAATAATTAACCGAGTTGGTTTCGACTATCTAGTTCAAACTATTTGGAATTAACTATTACAAATGTATATAAATAAAATATCAACTGTTTGTAAACATTTTTTAATGAAATTCTAAATTGGGGGTCCTAATGTAATGGACCTATGACTTAGGTCCGTACCATAATCATAAACAAAGCATTAAATTGAATAAATACAGCATTTCAGTGCAGCATTTTTAAGTGTTTAACATCATGCCTATAATATTAAATGGCTCTTAAATAGGTACTAATAGTAATACGAAAATCTACCTATTATTTTGTATTTACACATGAATGTTTCATGAATTATTCAAAATGCAATAGGATTTAGAATTCTCCATAGGTCAATGAACTAATTTTTCATAAGTTTGGGTACTAGATAATTAATAGATTTTCTCGCAAATCAAATATCATTCAAAGTAAAATGAAGTATAATATTATAATAGAGTTTGTGTATGATAACATTAGTGGTGAGTCGTCAGATGAGCCGAGTAAGGCACTGCCTCATCTGCAATATCCTTAGCTATAACACAAACATATTAACAATTACATAGTTATTGTTATCAGTAAATACCATTTTTTTAAATCTTAAAATTAATTTCGTTTAAAATGTAATAGTGATGGATTTCGGAAAAATAATTTGGTACCTAAACTAAGTATTTTAAATTTAAAACAATGACTATAAACTGACGACTACAAATAATGCCTATCCGGTGACAATACATTATCACGTTTTCTATTTCGGACCGTTTTCATATTCGCCTCTGCCTCTCCGTGTGTATTAAAACACCCCTATTCGCCCTGTACAGTTTTCAAAATGTTTGCCTCGCCACTTACATGGCTCACGATCCATCACTGCACGATATTATACTACACGATATAATATAACACATAAATATGAAAGTAGATATAGATAACCCGTCGTATAAGCAAGGCAAACATGCATTGTAAAATAATATGGCTTATAACAGTTTATAATTAATTTAAATCGGTACGGCGTAAAACCGATATAATTAACGCGCGGGGCGACGACGGCGACGTGACGTTAGGAAAATGGCTTTTGACAGCAGACCGTGCGCGCCATTGTATATTATAATAATAGTATACGTTTTAATTAGTCAACCGGGTTAGGAGAATAATAAGTGGATTATTTTGTCAACGTTCCTAATGATGAGAAATCGCCCTTTTCCTACTGCATATACACCGTATTACATTATATCACATTAAAAGTCCGCCGGACTACAACTGCAATAACAATGCAATAATGGATCAGGTGTGTAAAAACAGTTTTGGTCTATAATCTATATTGTATAGATCTTTAAATAGCCAGCATTTAATATCCGATTATAATTATTATCACTGTATTCTGTTTATGGACCATCAACGTGAAAACTATACGTTCAATATAATATGACAATGTCTAATTATACGCCTGAAGTATAATCTTAAAAACAGCCGTGAGAAGCAAAACTCCGTCCCCAGAGTCGAATATTCCCCTCTCCCCTTATTTTGTATTATGGAACTGTGCGAAACAATAAATTACCGAATACTATATAATAATTTAATATACTATGTAATACAATATTACACTATTTCAAATAAAAAAAAAAAATTAAAAAGTTTTACGTGGGAGTTGAAGTTAAGCCGCTACCCCGATAGATACGTTGTTGATACTAACACCATTCCTATAGCTTAATTTGGAAAAGTCTTTAGGGATGTATAAAGTTCAAAAAACACCCGTGACAATATGCTGAAGTTTATATTGAAATTTAACCGAACTTGTATCACTTCAATCTGTCCATAATACAATCTCTGGTTCCTAAGTTTGAGCTCATTTGATTCAGATGAAACCGATAAAAGTGCTCAAAAGATATATAATATAATAAGATAAGAAGAATATAACAGAGAACTGAAACCATCTAATGTAATAGTTTTCATTCTTGAAGAAAATTCCACAAAAAGCCAAACAAAATATTCAAATTCAAAAATTGTGATTACAAATTTATTAAGGTTCAGAATATTATCTTATGATGGGTGCCTGTGAAATATTCACCTTATGTACAGGTCTGTCATAGAAATAATAATAATATATTAATATGTTCATATCGTGCAAATACGTATATTTTTTCAGTATCGCTAAACGAAATAACTATAATGCCTACAAAACAAGAGCGACATAATAATATTTTATCGAATGGTTTTAGATTCTGAGTGGAGTGAAGAAGCTTATGGTTTTACAAAAATGTTTATTTTATAATTTTTTTTTTTAACTGTTAACAACTTTTCTACCAGAAGACTTGTTCAGATTTCTGTAGCGTCTTTTCTAAAAGGAAATCGGTGTAGGAATTTACTTTAGGGAGGTCATTTTTAGATTTTCTCATTTTATCTCGTCAAATTTGAAAATTCGAAAAAAAAAAACAGGAAAATATAAGAAATTTAAGTATTAATTAAAATATATTATGGTCTTCTTTTTTTCTGTGCACACATTTTTTACAAGAATGTTTACTCCAACTTTTAATAACAGCAATGTTTCTAAAATTAATTTTCATTAGGAAGGTACTTTAGAAAGATAATTTTTTGATTTTCCCAAAAGTTTTCCTAGCAAATGTTAAAAACCGGGATAAAACATAAGAAAACAGGAAAAAAATTAAACAAACATTAAACAAATATTATTAAAAAAAATATATAAAGCCTATTTAAATATTTTACTATAAAACGTCACATAAATTGTTGACAAAACATCACTATCAACTGAACTTCGCTCAGAATCGTTTTTTTGTAAGCAATGGTTTATCGTTGTTTACAGGTATACATTAAATTATCTCTAGCAGTGACTGCACCCGCCCCCATTATCCTAGGATGTCTTTTTTTTTTTTTACAAGTTCTAAACATAATATAACATTGTGCCTACTCCATAATTGTACTTTTTCAAGATAATTTATGCGCAATCAAATACACGTTTTATATAAATCTTGAATGTTGAGTAAAATTACTACGTAATAATTTAAATAACGTACAAACTTATTTCCACTAAAATCAAAAACATTTTCAAATTATTCGTCGCAAGTGTATTTCGTTTTGTTTACGGAAGAATTATGCAAATTTCAATTTTGGTTAATTAACTAACAGTTGATTAAATTTACATAATTGTTCCTAAAACTAAAGTTTACAAATTGAAAACTTTAAAAAAGCTATTGTTCTCTTTCGTTATTATTCGGTCGTATTGAAAATGTAATTATAATAAAATGTTTGATAAAAAAAAAAAATGTAACAAACAACATCACAAATGTACTTGTGCTTACATAGTTGTTATTTAACAATAAATTCAAAATTATATTTTAATTACCCATATTTAATTCGCAATCCAAAAAAATATTGAGCCTCTCTATTTCTTTGCAAAAAAAAATAATAAAAAGTCCTTATTATCATATTTTTGCTATCACGAAAATATGCTTTTTATCTTGTTACTGAAGCGTTTTCTGTGCTATGATATGAAAAACTATAAAATATAAACAAAATGGTATTTTCAACAGATTCGTCTGTTCAATCTGATCAATAACTGTTATTTTTACAGAACCCTTAGATTATCAAACCAACAGTGCTCACTTTTTACTGAACCGTTTTCATGTGAACTGAAGTTAGTTAATAAGTTGTTTCGAGAAAAAAACCTCGTAATTGTGGATTGCATATTGACGGGCCGAATAAATTCGAGTTTCCGTCGAGTGTTTGCTGAAAGTAAAACGTTCCCTCTCGCAAATTAATAATCGAAAAACTTCAGTATATATGTAGGTAGTCACAAAAATAATAATAATTGGAAACGGTTCAAACAAAATTTTAATCCTTTGTATGCGACGTGGTGTACCTGTACTACGAACGTCAAGTTTACCCGAGGATAACATCGCGCTCGCATTATTCCGCTGTCACGCGATTAATTTTTAATATTTCAATTACAGACGTATTGCATAACAAATCGTATTGCACCGCCCAAAAACCCGAGCGAGTAGTACTAAATGTACTTCCTAATAAAAAAAATTACGGTTTAAGTACACTACAGGGTGTTTCACGAAGATATACCCATCTCAATATCTCTTGAGATAATAAAGATAATTAATGTTTGTTTTAAATTCTGAGTGGAGCGAAGAAACTTATGGTTTAACAAAGATGTTTATTTTTTTTTTTTTTTTTTTTTTTGGAACAACTTTTTTTCCAATTTATAATGATAGCAATTTTCTGAAAGAAAATTTCACTGTGGAGGTAATTTAGATAATTTAGGTTATTTTTCGATTTTCTCTAGAGTTTTCTCATCAAATTTTAAAAACCAGGAAAAACATGGGAAAAACGGGATAAACGTAGAGTAACCTGGAAAATCGATAAAACATTAAATAAATATTATTAAAGAAAATATGTAAAGCCTATTTAATTATTTATTTGATTTTTATTTTATTCAACCAGTAAATGTAGTAGATGCAACTAATTAAACATCTATGCTCAAAGGAATTATTCTCGTGTAAGATGATAAAGTTATACTAAGCTATAGCTATAAAGCTATTAAACAATGATTGTATTATAAAGATGAAAATATTATACAAGTACTATGTTCCATTTTTACCTCCCCACTCTACAAAATTGCCAAAACCATAATATTACACGGCCATCTGTATTTTATGTCTTATTTTTATTTTTGTATGCTCTTTATAGAGTATATACTGATAAATATTATAAAATAAACTAAAATAAATTATTACGATTTCAACATTATGAATTCCAGTCGTTACATAGTTGATAATTTTAAAATGTGGTTCAAATAAGCTTCTCTTCGCATGCCATTCAGGTTATTATTTACTAATTAGTGTATCACCACAAATGCTTATTATACCCGAAATTCTGTATGCTGTATTAACCAAATAAATGATAAAGTATAAATTATAGTACATAAACTGTATTTGTATTTCATTATATTGTGTTATACGTTATAACGAATGAAAGCGAATCCGTTTTCCCTAAGGTTTTATTCTTTGACAATCTTTGCTCATCGTCGTCGACCTTTTACCATAGTTATTATTTTTTCATACAACAGTATTTTTGATATTTTTCCTTAAAATTTAAGTTTTGACATCATCATTATCCAGTTCATTAATTTAACGAATTCATATTTCGCATATTATACTAAGAGATTTTTAGTCCGGTTGGTTTTATTCTAAAGCAAACTTATAATATACAATGAGGGATTATACTCAGCAGATTATACTGACGATTTATAGGTTTATTTAAAAAACATACGAACTTAATAATTAGTTTAATGCACAACAAAAAAACCTTAAAAAAATCACTAATAACCCCGAAAATCAGCTCGAAACGCATATTTAATTCCAAAAAATGCGCTATAAATGCATTTAAAATTCTCACGTGCAATATCTCGAGAAAATAATAATCTACAATCATGTGCCTCGTTGAATAGATAAATATTTTTTAAAAAAGAAAATAATCAACGCGCTATAATCATAGTTGATAGGTACTGGTGTATTGTACCTATTTATAGTTCTATGGTTTCAAACCCTCGAGCAATGGACGGGAATACGTATAAACTACAGCACCCACCAGTCGATTTCATGTAAAGCGATTTTTATGATTCCTCTTTAATCCGTCCCCGTTAAACCATATAAAACACAACAACGTGTTTAACCACACACAATTCATGAAACCGTATATAATACAAATAAAATACTAAAAACCTATTTATAGAGTACTGATAAGTTACTATAGGCACCTACACGGTACTATCAAAGCGAATATAATATAGTTTATTACTTCGAAATTACCAGTATTATATCCGACGCATACATTCTATATTATATTACGATCCTGTTTAAATCTTTGTAATAATTTTAACGATTTGTCCGATATATGTTTTCAGGAAGACCAGATGTCGCTGTCATAAGCGGCCCACCACAGAGCCGTACGAAAAATGAATACGAAATGGTATGGACAGTGAAGAGCCACAGCCCGATTGTGGAATACAAACTACTCTACCGACCGATCAAGACAAACAAGAGCAGCCAAGAAATCCAGTACAAACGTCCAATGAGATTAGGGGTAAATAACGATATTAATCAAGTGTAGTTTAACGAATATTAAATCGGTGTCTCGTCGACCATCGTATTAATAGTTGCACCGAGTGCACGCCGTGTAAATAAATATTTATTTTTGAGTATAAGTCAACCGGTATATCGTAAGTCGTGACTTACGCAATACTTATGTTCACTTCCGTCTACAATATAGAACTACACTGCATTCAGTGTCTGTATACATATCGGGAGGGGGGGGGGGGTCTGAGCGATTCTGAGCAGAGTATTATCAGTCGTATTTTTCGCTTGTTGCCAAGGTAACCCGCTGTAAAAATTTTAACCTCAATAAATCTACTAGATCAGAAATGATATAAAAAAAAATAAAAGAGTTCTTATATAGTTTTTTTTTTTTTTTTGATAGAAAAGTTGTTTACAAACACAAAACAATTTTTTTTTGAACGCACGTAGTAAAACCAATACCTCGCTTAACTCAGAAACTAAAACACAGTTTACAGTTTACATAAACCGATTGTACGCAATCAAACGCTTTTTACCTTTTTGAGTACATACGATTGCACGCAATTCCGGAACAATAAATAAAACGCGTTTTCGGCCCTTCAAACGCATACGATTAATTAAGTAAGTTTACCATTGTTCATAATTCTGAACTAATACAAAAATAAATAGATTGAGAGAGAAGACGCACAATACTAAGACTGAAACGTGATTTGAACGTAACTACACATTTTATCAGAGCTATAACATAAATATTGTAGATCTATAATTCTAGAAACTAAACCTTTTTTCTACGATATATATTTAGTAGAGAACTTACTTTTCGATGATGTACTGTTTTTAATTTCTTAATAAAATAAAAAACAAAAATTATCAAATCTTAAACTTCTGTAATTTTATGTGTTTATTGAATGCTTATAATTATAAAATAAACTTTAGCCAGGTTTAAAAACGTTTCGTCGATAATAATATAATTCTTCTAAATTAAAAATCATATTTATCATTTGTTTTGATTGATATCAGGACAAAATCCCACCAAAAAACAACTAAATTCAACCCAACAAATCAAATAGGATGAAAAAAACTACAAAGTATGTAATTTCATAACAACTTTCCTTTCAAATTTTACCTTAGAAGTGGCCGATAGTGGATACGTTTGAAACTCATAAAATGAGCATATTGAAAAAGTTGTTTTGGGTTTTTTTTAAAATGTATAATACATATTGTTTTATTTAACTTTTTTTATAATTATATAGGTACAGTTTTTAAAAATTGCATGAAACATACAATTTTGAAGTATTTCAAATTAGTCAAAAATGTCAACTAGTATTTTTTTTTTCTTATATTATCTAGATATTTAAGAAAAATTAAAAATATTTCTTTTACTATAATTTTAGATTCTAAGTGAAGCGAAGAAGCGTATGGTTTTACAATGATGTTTATTTTTATTTTTTTCTGTAGACAACTTTTCTACTAACAATTGTACTCCGATTTTCGATGAAAGCACTTTTTTGAAAGGAAATCGGATGGGGAAGTACTTTAAAGGGGTAATTTTTTGATTTTCTCAAAAATTTCTGAATAAATAAGAAAAACTTGGTAAAAAACATAAAGAAAACAGGAAAATACGTACAATATTAAACACATGTTATTAAAGAAAATGTTAAATTCATATTATGTAATTATTTTATCATAATATGACATATAAATTGTTGAAAGCAACACTATCAACCTAACTCCGCTCAGAATCGTTTATTTGTTAGCAACAGTTTATCGTTGCTTACAGATATGTAGTTGTACAGATATGTAATTACCTATAACTTTGTCTGCGCCGTCCTAAGACAGCATTTTTTTTTTTTTTAAATTCATCAAAAAGAAAATAAATAATATAACATTACATAGGTATATGAGTTTAATATGCCAATACTCAGATCATGGTTTTCTTGCTCAAAAACGGTTGCAAAATCAATATTTTAAAAAAAAAAATCACTTATATTTGTGTTATGAAGAAATTAATAATACAATTCTTACGATATTGACTTATTACATACAAGTTAAATCACTCTAAATTGACGAATAGCTTTTATTTGTAAGGTAGTTTATTTGGTAGTATTCTACCAATTAATTAAATGATAAATAATAATCGAGTATTTCACATTATGGTGAAATATTTCAGACTTCAAATACTATATTATTTATACTTGTGCATACATTAGGTAATTTTTTTTTTTTTACATTCTAAGCGTAATGAAGGATCTATTGGTTTTACTATGGTGTTTTTTTAATTTCTTCAATAAACAACTTTTCCAACAAAAATTTCAAAAATTACAAGACACTTATAAATTGCATTTTGGATCTAGTTAGTGAGTGAATAAATCATATTTTTCACTTTCTGGAAAAAGGGTATTTGAGAAAAAGATTATGAACTAAATTTGTACACATTGATAATAATACAATTTTAAATAATTTATGAGAATAATTAGAAATTATGGTACCTACTTAATATAAAGTAAAATTACTGAAAATCGAACCAATTATAATTTATGCTATCTTCAACTTTGTTGCACCCTTGGCAACCCGCCTATTTCGCCAACCTCTATAATTACAGTACTTCACAGAATTCGTGAATTATATATTATTACGTTCTACTGCACAGTGATACTTAGCGCGCTATCTGTCGATCTATTCAGCCGACAGTTCTTATACGCAAAGAACGGCTGGCGTGTTAATTTTCGCTACCCAAACGGTGTAATTTCATTGTGGGATTCTTTGGCAATAGTCGACGCCAAACAAGCAACCCGGCTTTCAAAGTTAATTTAAATAATTTTTTTGTCTGCATTGGGTTATGTCAATGATGTATCTTTTGGGGGTTTCAAATTATTATGTAACGTTTTCGATATTGTTCATAACATAATCGCCTGCCTTTTCACAAGACGGCAAATGAACATTTAAATAGTTCAGAGGCCGGTTAGATCTTTCTTCTTGTCAGTTAGTAAAAATGCAACATTTTTTCATGTAGTTCTTTATAAGAAAAAAATTCCCGAAATTTTCTTGTAGTTTCCTTTATAATTAGAATAAACCGAAAAAAAAATTAGTTTTGCAAAGAAATGTTTACGGAAATTATTATTTTATTATTCTCGAATTTTTAATTTTGAAAATATAAATAGTTAAAAATAATTGTAAAGATCTGACGTGTTCACAAAATATTTATGTATATAACTTATCAGGTTACCTGTTACTTATCAGGTTACCTGTTACATATTAAGTTACGTTTTACTTATTAAATTACGTATCATGTGTCACTTGTTGCGTGTTACTTATCAAGTTCGTGTCACATGTTAAGTTAGGGTTTCCAAAACATTTTTACAGCAGGCTAATTATAAATTGTTATAAACAGTTATAAATTGAAGCGATGAAGCTTTTAGTTTTACAAAGATGGATAACTTTTCTACCACCAATTTTTCTCCCAGTTTTAATGATAGCAATGTTTCTAAAAGGAAATTTTACTTAGAGAGGTCATTTTTTGATTTCCACATTAATTTTTCCAGCAAATGTGAAAAACCGAGAAAAAACATGGGAAATTCATGAAAAATGCAGAAAATCTGGGAAAATCGGTGCAACATTAAACAAATTTATTAAAAATAGATCATATTTAATTATTTTGCTTTAATATGGCATATATATTGTTGACAACTGAACTCCACTCAAAATCTTTTTTTCGTAACCAATGGCTTATCGTTGCTTAATGATATATGGTAAATTAAATTCCCGTCTTTATCCTACCTTCCCAACTTCCAACCTACACCAGTGCCTGCACATGTCCCCATTATCTTACCTTCTTTTCGTTCTGTGGTTTTTATGTATATAAACTTGCAATTAAATAAGTACACAAAAGATCAATGTCATGAGGTGAAAATAAGAGTAATAAAATATATATTACAAAAAAAAAACGTTACTCAAATAATATTGCACATGTGCGAGATGTAACGAAAAAACTAACACATAGATAGATGTAGATTATAGTGAAATTGTAAAGTGAAGGCCGTAAAGATTATTTCGTTGCCGATTATTTTTATTAGTCTAAGTTATTTTTACATTTGAACTTCCTCGCTCTCGAGAGCTCGCTTTCATCGGTAGTGGAAGTTGCACTAAATGTGTCTACGCCATTTTACATTTTGATTGTTTAGTAGTTTCCCTCGAAATATTTGTTGAAAGATTGTTTTGTTAAGTAGAACGAAGTCTATTTTGTTGGTCGACAATCCTTTCCTGAAGATCAATAATTTCATTACGTAGGGCCGAATTATTATTGCTTAGCATGATGACAGCATGTTATTCTAATATGGTAGCTTAGTATAGGAGAAGCTAACGGTTTTAAACTACTGTGGAGTTCTTCAAATTGAGATGATTAAATACCTATAATAGCGCTTATCAGTTCAGTATTTGAAGGATTAGTATCATAGGCAGCCTTTTGACTACAAGTAGGAACGTTAATGGAGGGGAGATTTCATTATTACCAATATACATCATAAATAGGGTATTTGAAACGTTGTTCTGGTAATTAAATAAGGAACGACATATCGGTTAGGTCAGGCTATGTAGCTCATGTAGAAGAGTAACTCAGGGTAGCCTCAGCATAACCTAATTATTTTATATAAGTTACAAAATTGAAACATACTGCATAATACTATAAAAATATATACACAATTAGAGTATTCCGTATAAAGTTCATTACTGGCGAGTAAAATGTATATCTGCCGACTCGCAGGCTCGTTTAATATTTTCAACTTTCCAAAACTTTTATGCGCTGCAAAAAAATTAAAATACATTTGAATCTTTAATAAATTAACCCGTACCTAAAAACGCTCGTGCAAAATATAATATTACTTTTTTTTTAATCCTGAATTATTATTAACAGCGGCGTAACATTTCGATCAAACGAAATTTTTTTTAAGAAAAAAATATTTTATGAACTATAGCTTGTTTACATAATAACATGGCGCCTGCAGTGACGTTGAAACCTACATAATTACGTTTATATTTTTACGTTAACTAATAATGAAAGAAAAGATAGTTAATATTAGAAAAGTTATTTTTATTTTATATTGGAACGTAGTTATAGGTATAATGGATTTGAATGATATTAAAAAGAAGTGCAGAAAGGTGGATCTCCGATAGTAGGGCGATGTGTCTAGATCAACTGTTTCCAACCTCGAGTCACGGTGGGTCATGGAACTATGTTTCACATGTCATTTCATTATTTTTCGTCAAAGTTACATTAAATGACTTAAAAATTCCTACTTCCAGAATACTAAAGAAAATTATTACATTTTGAACCACAAAACGTAGAACTCGGTAAATTCAATTGGGTAGTGAATCCATTTGAACTTTGAAGTTTCTACCTACGAAGTTAATAAAGATAGTTTTCACGAAGAACTTTTCGATCTTTACGCTAATTAAGTTTTAAAAAAAATAAAATATTTCTCAAAATATCTAATTCAATTTTGGGCAAAACTCAGAGACAAACCTATTTTGCCAAAAGAATCTGAAAATGCTTTCCAGCCATTCCCAACAAAATGCCTATATAAAGCTGGGTTTTATGCTTTAGCCGTCGTGAAATCAGAATACAAAAATCGCTTTAATTCTCAATACGATAGCATGTGGTGTACACTTTCACATAATAATCATCTTAATATTAAAGAATTTGTATCGAATTGTCAGTTTACAGATAAACAAATGTGTAATGTTTGCAAACGAATATCACGGCACGAAAAGTGATGTAATAAACGACATACCCAATATAATTGTTTATCCCTAGGAATATATGAAAGGGGGGAGTGGGAGTAGGGTGATCATTTTGAGTAATTTATTGATATTTTGCTTAGGTTTTGAAATTTGCTCAAGACGTCAATGCTAACGAAACCTAACTGTACACGTGTGTACAGTACATTATTACACAAACTGTATATTTTATATAATATCGTTTGTAGTCTGTTAAAAGACGAATGACCGAGCATGTGGCGATGCGGGTGCGGACCTATTGAAACGTAATGTTTTCAGGCGCCACCAGTCTCGTAAAAATCTACCGAAACGATAAAGACGGCCTTCCGCTCTCGCTTAGTCCGTCGATTTATGGATTATTTTACTTCTTTGCCCGCTAAATTATCAGTCAATTCTTCCAGCGCATTATATCATGTCCGATATATTGAAATGCTTCAAAGTCCAATGCTTTTTCAATTTTCCAGTATAGAACAAATTTGTTTTAACAAAATAAAATATTGAATACTTGATTACGTACCAAATAACGTAGAATACGTTATTATGATCATTTCCATCACAGATGTAATTCTCAATGTCAGATTACCGCTATAATGCCTAGGTATTTAATAATTAATTAAATATTATTAATTCTCCTAATGTTATACAATTAATTTTTTTTCGATGTTTTGTTCATTTTGAAAAACATTAATTACTGAACTCAAATACAGTTGTACGGGAAAATGTAAGTTTTAATAAACATTAAAGAAAATGGTACGTTGAATTTATATTTAAGATATATAATATTGGGTAAAATATCGTTTTACGGTAAAGTATTTTGGAAAACGAACGTTTCGGATAAAATTGAATCTTTCAATCGCATTTTCTATATAGGTAATAGACCGAAAATAACGATTCCATTCGATGTTATAGTCCCTTTCAAATTTGCTATAAGATCTAACATTCTATATTGTTTAAAAATTCATAAAAAAAAAATAATAATAATAATAATAAAAAGTACCTACGTTTATTTTCATTGGAAACCCTAGTATCCTCATAAATTATATTATCTAATCCAGCGTTATTCAAAACATTTTCTGAATATACAATGTATAATTTCAAAAATAATTTAGATTTTCTTTATACCTATAAGTAAAACTGTATTTTTGTAATATTATTTATCGAAAATGTAAATTCGCCGTATACTAACACATTCTTTGACAACAGATTATTCGATTTATATATTAATCGGACTGTTGTAACTTGTATCTCTTAGGTACAATGGCAACATAAATATGATTAATATATTTATTTAGTAATACAATTCCTACAATAGCATTTCCATGTTTATTTTTTTTTTCCAACGACATTTTAAGTTACCTGCAGCTCTATACATGTTATTATAATAATTTCTGATTTATGTTCGGTCGTATTATTTCACTACATAAATCTCAATGCAAAAGTATACTACTAAAGTACTAAAGTTACTTTTATCTTGAACGTTAGTTTCGGCCGAAAACTTCCCGTTTTGCATATAATAAATACTGCCCCCTAATTTGTATTTTTTTTTCTAAATACGACACTCAAACTTTTTGATACGACCTGACACGTGTTATAATAAACGTATGGAACCGTATACGAAAGAAGACATGAAATTCAAAGAATTTATGGAACCCAATGATCCAATATATCTTCGAGTACAGTATTGGATATCGTAAGTTCTCTGTGTATAATAAATAGGCACGATTAAAATAATTCAAAACCTCAGGAGTCCGATTCATCGATCGCATTCAGTATTTTAATAATATATTAAACACGGTTGTGCAGTGCACTTAATTATTTTTGCCGTTAAGTTAAAAAGAGGATTATTTAATTTGGTAAAATTTGACGGAACATCGATGTTATGTGATTTATAAAATTGGCCGATTATATAGGTAGTTTAAAAAGAAAAAAAAAAGATGCGGTAGATAGCATCAGTAGCTTTCTATTTTATTGTTATGTCTTAATTCCGCAGACATTTCTATAAAAATTCACTCTACTGGTATATCTTCTACACTACTAATATCTATACTGCATCATCGTATGGACACTATCTCTGTGATAGTTACATATTATACTATTATAGTCTATTACCATAGTTGCAATACGAACTAACGCGATTAATGATAGGTATAATATAGATATACCTAACATCCTATCATCCTGGTGGAGAGATCAGGCTTATTAAATATAAGATTATAATATTTATTGTGTTAATCAATCCCTTGTATGACATTTTTTAGTGGAACGACGATTGGACCGAATTGGTGCTTAACCCACCATCCACCGACCAATTGGAAAAGAAACGTGCCGAAACCATCCAGGACTTGGATGCCGGCACCAAATACGAAGCCACTGTTCAATCCAGAAACCGCTACGGCTGGAGCGAAGTATCTGAATCATTCTTCTTCACCACCAACACTAAGAACGGTAAACCTCGACGTTCAAACACGACTTGTTTAGCTATAAATTGCTGGAAATTAACGTTATCGTTATATCTATTGTTGTTTTGTAAATGCCATTGATAAACCAGTATGATACATAGACACCGCGAAAGACATGTTTCTTGGGGCCATCGCCTATCTAAAAGAAAATTTTATTTTTATTTTATTTTTTCATTATTCTTCGATTTGGAGTAAAAATTAAAAAGTCATAGGTATAGTGTAAAATATTTAAAACGGTGTAAACAATACCATTATATCGGTTAAATAGGAATTGGTATAAGTATTTTATTTTTATTTAACTTAATGTTCGAAATTGTTCAGTAAAAAAAAGACCTTTACGCATCCGGATTGTTCTTAAACTTACATTAAAACTAAAATTATATAAATTATCATCCCGTTAATTAACTATTAATTAACAATATATGTATAAAAACAAATTTTATTATTGTTCTTAAGAATTATTAGAATACGTTTTACAATGTTAATTTATAATTAGTCAGTGATAACGTATATCTACCCACATTAAATACATACAAGTATTTAGAGTTGGTATTCGTTCATATTATATTATTCTTCTTAAGTTGTTTAACAGACTCGTTGCACGTTACATATTAAAATGTATTAACAAAATTATAATGGGCAACGCCATGCAAGATAACACTAGTAATATTATAATATTAAGTTACATACTTATTTTAGTTTGTTTTTATAAAATTTTTCTTAGACTCTTTCGTAAAAATAATGATAATATTCAAAATTTGATTAAATATCTTATTTTATTATCACACGAAGCAATATTTTCGACACAGAAAAAATTATTAATGATAATAATTTATTAAATATAGATACTGAACTTACAAAATTATTTCAAAAAAAAAAAAATGTTAATTTTATCCAAATAGATACGCGGGTTTTTTTAAGTATTATAGGACGTAGGTACCGTCCCTCAAAATAGTAAGAGGACGCTAAAAAAATATAAGTAAAGCCCACCTACCTTCCCCTCTCGAGTGGAAATTTCACTGGGGAGGTACTTTAGAGAGGTCGTTTTTCGATTTTCTCAGCAAATGTTAAAAATTGGGAAAAATCATCGGAAAACCGGAGAAATCGGTATCGGTTCTTGGTCGCTTCTCAATGGCATATTATGATATAATGTGGTAGTATATATAGTAACGTTAATGTTACCAGCTATTATTCTTCGATCATATATATTTATAAAAACGTTAATATTATATTGTTATTTATTTTATCGCGAAATTAGACCCAGAATTGCGAGACATGAGCATCACTGCAGGCAGCGCTAACAAAGCCGTCGAAATGATCCAAGGACCATTGCTGTGCATCATCATGGTCATCTACAACACCGCCTAAATTCCTACACAAAAGTAAATATCATGCATGTATATTTTTTGTATAATACATTTCAAAAAATGTAATTCCTAGGTGAATGCATTCCCAGTGTTCCCACAAATGTCTCCGATCGAATTTTGGTACCGGATACATACTTTTACTTTTTATGTAAAGAATACTTGTAATTTGTATTCGAAATATGTACCTAGACATACACTTAAAAGCTAAAACGCAAATGAATTAATGGAAATGTATTCGGAATACACATCAGAATTTTTTAAAAATTATTCGAATACTTATTGTCGATTATAATTTACCCCTGCTAATTAGACAATTGCGATAATTTCAATGTACCGAAATAATCGTAGTATCATAGGCACATTATGGGCCAACCATAATTCGATTGAAGATGAAAATACTAAAATAATATAATACATGCGCATAGTCAGGATTTTTAACTTGCAGCATTTGTTTTTCTGTTCTGATAAGTCTTAGAAACATTTAAGTAAACCATACATTTGATTCAGTTAACAATGATGTAAAATTAGACATTTTTTTCAGATTATTCGGATTCATAAAATACTACAATAATAACAATAATTAATATTGTATATGTTTCTGTTTTCAGATTTCATATTTTCAACCCTTTTTATCACACCTCTTCTAATACCTCTTCTATACATCACGTCTTCATGGAAACCTTCAAGACTTCTCTATACCGCAGTCACCCGCCTATACAATATACTTCAGTCAACACCGTTACGCATGGACCACGCCGAATAAATACTCAGTCTTCATCGAAATGATATCACATACAAGAACACATCTGCAATCCTAAAGAATTTATAATTTTTTTCAATTCACATGTGTGTATACAATATACACACACGACTTTTTAATATTATACACTGACAGAAAAAGAAATAGTAATACGCAACACTTCACCACCGTAATTATATTGTACCCACCGTGTCTACTGTCTATGTTAGTTTTCAAATCACCCAACCCCTTTTATACGTAAATACTAAATAATCAACAATATTATTATTCTTGTCCACTTAAAAATAACCAATCGAACGTTGTTCGACTATAATATAATATAAAGACAGTCCCACTACACTGCCTTTTAAATGATTCCCTAATAAGTATCCAGATTCTGAATAGTTATTCCGTTTAAATATCCATAGTAGATATATGTGTTACGGTAAGTGTTGTGAAACGGGTTAATATCATTATATTATATCGTTGTATATATAACATATAAATTAACCTATTTTGTTAGTATTAATATTAGAGTTTATTGACATATTATCAAACTTAAAGGTGAAAATATCGTTTATACGTTATTTTTTATCTCGATATTTTAATTTTCAAGTGTGATAGGGCGATTTCGAAATGGTGGTAATATTTTACATATTCGTATAACTCGCTTAAAAATTATAATATCGTTAAAAAAACTAACGTGCACACATAGACAATATTCTTATCTTTAGGTTTTTATAACAGATATACCCTAAATGTTAAAACTAACAGCACACGATTGGTTTTCATACATAAAAAAGTATAAACATAACAACATTAACCGATTTTACAATATTTACCGTAATACATATACGTATACACAGCACCGCATATCGTTGAATTTAATTGATAGGTCAAAGCTAATTTTATCAACTCACGGCATTTATACCAACACTGTATTTATTCCGATTGGTCCATGTTATTATTTTTCGTACAACTAATCCGTATTCTTATTATTGTTTTCACCTAAACTTCATGAAACTTTCATTTTATTATTCGCGTGCTATTTTATTTTAATCGTAACCGAAACCCTTTACATCAAATCAAACTATAATAAAAACTATCTTCTTCAATCTTTCACCCGGTGTTATCCCTGCAAACAAATTATTTACAAATTACAATTTGTAATAAAACGATCAGCAGAACAACGATCGTATTAATATAATAATATAATATATACCGACGAATAACTCCTACCTATATCGGTAATTTACAGCAGAGTTGTCAAATAAACGTACGTCAGGAATTGAGTAAATAACTTGAGTAAAAACTAGAGAAAAATATTTAGTTTCTGGATGATACATATCAAAGTCAAAATCGATTTTGAGGACTAAAAAGAATAACGTACTTTCTGACTTCTGTATGCTCGAAACTCTTGTTTCGGTAGAGTCGGTATATTTTTATTGTAATATTATATTATAAAAGTATCATTCTAAAATTCTACCAGCCTATAACCGTGAAAATATTGAACATACTCTCAAATAACGTTTCTGAAAATAGTTATTTTGTCTTGTGTCTATATTACGAATCGACCAGTACACGTGAAAATCAAATCAATCATTGGTGTGTATATATAGATACTCGTATATGTTCACAAACTTAATTATGACTATAAAATTCAATATATTACCTATATAACAGGCGCGTATCATGGGATTTTTTTCGGGGAGAGCTGATACCTTTTTTGCCATAATAACACCATTTCAAGGCATCAAAACCCCTTTCCATCGCTTTTTTGGGAATTAGCAGTTATAACTGCTATTTCCAAAATTGTAGGAAAGACTGTGGCCCAATCAGTGCCTCCCCCGCCCTCGTAAATACGCCCTCTGCTGTATTATTTTAATTACACTATAACAACGTGTTTGAGTTACAGTATTTCGCGTAAACGTTCGAACTTGACTTTTTAAGATTTCCTAACCGATTCGATTTTCCGTGCATGTCATAATGTACAGGTAATGAAATATCGCATTCATTATATTCGTCAAGAATTCTAAGTAAGTCGAATGAGACTTCCGTTTCAATTGTTCGAAAAATCTCTTAAACAATATATTTACGAATATATTTGTCTTCCGGTGCCGTATCAATGTAGGATTAAATTTACTCATTGAACGGACATTTTTGGCAAAATATTAACGTATTTATATTGTATTTATAACATCGTAAAGGTTGTGTTTCTTTTTTCTTCTAAAGCTGATTTTACGAAGTCGTTATATATCGAAATGGATCGTAGTACGAGGCAATATTAACTGATTGTCTTCGAGAACAGCTCTGAAAAAAAAATCTAAAACACTTCACATTCTATAAAACTATTATAATATAAACTATAATAATATAATATTGAAAACACAGCATAATATAACATTCTACATCATCATTCAGTTTAACCAGAAAAAAAATCTTAAAACAATCATTTTTATTAACAAAATCTCGTGAATATATCATCGTTTTCATTGGGAAAATAAGCAAAATAAAGAATGTATAATATATGATTTGAAGTAAATATATTACGTCTATACATTATTATGGCATAAACGTGTTACGATAACTATATACTTATTTCTCTCTATATTCAAATTATGAGTAAACGATTTGCTAATAATACAATAAGTTATATTATTAAGTGCTTATTACATTATGATGTGGAGTACTTACATCATCATACAAGGACATTTTACTGTTATTAACAAAACAGTCTATCTTAACCGTTTCGAAATACTTTAACAATTATTATATTCACCGTTCAGTGATTTTTACCCGAAATATGCTGAAAAAGATATTAACCGCTATATTCATTATTAAACTAAAATTCCGAAACAGCGAACGATTAATAAGTAAAATAAAGACTTGCATCAATATTTATTTCGAAGCCATATTATATATATATATATATATAGGTTCCATAATATTGTAGTTACGTTTTTGAAATATTATACATATTTGATTTTATCAGATAATAGATAACGATTTTATCCGTTTGCAAGTGCCAAAAAATATTTAATCACAGTATAAAATACGAATAAAGTATTATTATTATTAAGGTTTTTGTAGTTTCAAAACATTGACATTTATAGAGAACACATTTTCATTAAATACATAGTATACAGACGTTGATATATTTCTTTAAAACGCGCAAGTTTTTAGACTTATCTATTACAGTGAACTTTAATTACTATTATTATTATATACCTACTTAAGTTTGATGTATATGTTAGCTATTTACTTTTTAAATTAGAAGTGAAAATAACTTTTTAAACATTTATCGTGTGCAAATCAATAATATAATACTATTATACATTTACTGCTAAAAAAATTAAACAAATAAATATCATAACCATTCGAGTGGAGTGCCTACTTCGGTATTACCTATTATAGATTTCTACAGCGATAACACATACCTAAGTAACTTGTCAACAATAATGAAACACATTTTCAAATCGAATACATGTTGATAATTCAAAAATAGTATTTTAAGTAACTACGACAATGTGTGTATTAACAGGATTCTATTTGTTGGGTTTTAAATTATTTTTAAGTAGAAATATTCTATTATGCTTACCTATATATAAACTAACGTTAACTCGGTTAAAGCTTAAAAGTTAGTACAATAAAACACATTTTCACGGAAATTAATTTCACACATTATTAAATTTAACATTAACGATATTCGATTATACTTAGCATTTCTTTAAACGATTTGTTTTTTTAGGAACATTCGCATAATTATAATATTATAAATATAAGTGTAGCGTGAATTTATGTTATTATATATTTGTTTCAAAAAATATTAGAAATAATACTATACAATTGGTAATCAGTTGAAAATATTATATAACTAGTCGATAAAGGTAATAGATTATTTAATCTTTAGCACGAAAAGTAAAAAAATAATAATAATAATATTAAAATATAATAATTTTGGGCTAATTTTTATTTTATTATTATTATTACTTTTTTTTTTTTTTTGGTAGCAACTATGCGATTTTTCGAAATATTTATATAATATATTATTATTACGTGTGTATTAGAAATTACTATAGAAACATCAATATTCGTGTTTTTATTCTTATTAAATCTATATTATTTAATATACTATGTGGACAAGCATTATTTCATAGTTGTAATTCATCATACTTAATTCAATACTAAATAATAAACTAAAATACTTATAATATTATCTAATTATTATTATTACTATATACTCTTCAAAAAAAAAAAAAAATAATACTATTTTATTTTAATTATTATATTCGACTATTATAATATAATTATTATACTCGCTTATTATTACATCCGTACCCAGTGGCGTATTTACCTCACTCTCCAATCTATTATTTTTAATATTTTTATCCGATCGTAATAATAATATAAAGAAAGTTAGATTAGCGCCTAATTCTTAAATAGAGTTATAATAAATACTAACACATGCATCCACAATATAATATAATATTGTGGGTATGTAGTTATCGATTTCAATTAAAATTGTAGATCAGATTGAATCGGTCATAAATTATTTACAAAAGCATATAAATTAATATTTCTGGGTGAACAATTTTCAAATTAAATTTCTCCCCCACCCCACTTGAAAAAATCCTAAATACGCCACTGTACGTTGGGTACCTATAACGTATAATAAAACCAAAAGAAACAGAATTCAGAAAATAACGTAATTCGCGACAGAAAACTATAGATAGGTATGAATACCTAATAATAATATATATATATACGAGTATATAGGTATTATATATATAGACATTTGTCGGTTTTTTTTTTTTTTGCAATAGTAACCCAAAATATTATCAAACGCATTTTTTTTTTTTTTAATTTTCAAATTAGAGATTATCTACGCCAAAATTATATTCGATTTATTGCGCATTAATGACATTATATTAATAATTTAATAACAATATTAGACATAGCTTGTTTAGGTAATTCGGAATATTCGTTTCCCGTCACAAGATTTTACGCGGCGATTTTTTTTTTCGAACTAATCAAAATCTCTTGGTACACCTAACCATAAACAAAATAATTTTCAACTGATAACCAATAATAATAATAGATAGGTATCGTAGCGTAACAAACGAAAACGTACAAATACATTTTTTTTTCAACCAGCATATTTTTGATTTAAAAAAACAAAAATTAATAATAATATTACATTTTAACGTCATCGAAATAATTGTATTGTTTTTCGCACAAATTACCGAAATAGCAAAAAGCGACCCCCCCCCCACCCGAATACATTTGTATGTTCTTTTTTTCACGCAAGTCAAGTCGATAAAATATCACGACGTTCAAACGATTTTCAATCTTTTTTTTTTTTTTTTTATCATTCGATCGAACGAGGAGTTCCGAAAACGAACGCCTATATATCTGTATCTGTATCTGTATATATATATATATTATATTATACGTAATCATTTGATATTATCATGATTATAATTCGATAAGATTTCTGTTTCTTTTTATTAATGTATAAGAAATTAATAAGCATAATTATTTTAAAAGACTATATACTATTATTTTTCATCGCCTAATTTATTATAACTATCTTATATACAATATTATATGAATGTACTAACAGCATTTAACGTAGGCTTAAAATATGGTTTGTGTGTGTACAGTGTACCTGGGAAATAAGTTGACTGGTTAAAAAAAAAAATGACCAACTTTGGAATTTTGAGGTAAAATAAAAAGAAAGAAAAGAATATACTTATTACCGATGAAACTTACTCTCGGTTACTATGATGAAAATGTCATATCGAAGAACTCGCTCGGTTTTGTTTTATGATGTGCCGGTACACTTATACACGCGCATTACGCATAGGTACTCCTTCGTAGTTTTGCTAATAATATATCTATATTAAAAATAATATTAAATTAAACGATATTCAATTTATAGATTACTGAGGAAAAAACCTTTTTATCGTTTTCAATTCAACAATATTAAAATATACTATATATAGGTATAATAAGTGTCTTTGAAAAAAAAAAAAAAAATACTAATAATCAATAATTGAATAATCGAAAAAAAAAATGTTAAACCATTTACTCACTTATACTATTTTAAATCATAAATATTATTATTATTATAAGTAAACAAAAAAAATAATAAAAAATACTCGTTCAATGACAAATACAGAATTTTTTAAACATTTTTTTTTTTATCGATTTTCTTTTTTTGTTTATCCCTATATTCACTATAAGCATATTCTATTGTTATGACGATCAACATTCGTTTAATGGTTTTTCTTTCTTTCTTTTTTTCTTTTTCAATTATAAATATTTTGAAAATTGAAATTATTTATTTATTTATTAAAAATATATGAAATACTAATACCACTTAATTAATAACCTATTAAATAAAAAATACCTATATTAACAATAGATATATTGATAGGTCTAAAAACCTAATCTATATTGTATTAATATCTATCGTCCGTACATTTATCGACTTGATCACCTATTATTATTATTATTATTATTATTATTATTATTATTTGTATTATTTTTATTTTTATTATTATTATTATTATTATTATTATTATTATTATTATTATTATTACTATTATTATTATTATTTTTACTATATTATTATTTATGTATTATTGTATTTGTATTCCTATGTCTTATATTCTAATTCTGTTTCGTTTACTGTATTTGCTTGAGCGTGTTAAAAAATACAAAAAAATTTTAAAATCTTGTTTTAAATTTATATTATTCCACGTCCTCTTAAAATATTTAAAGTTTTTATATACAGGTAATTATTACTATGAATATCTAGTGATTGTTCAAAACGGGAGTGTGTAAAATATGAATAAAAGCATCTTGAGAAACAATATTATAAATTCTGAAACTCACAGTGGTGAACCCAAGAGGGGTTTTGCCGCAAATATGTAGCTGGATGATTTTGGGTTGAAGGAGGCTAACAAATAGTCCTAACAAAATTGTTTACCCAGGTACATTATACATAATACCTACTCGTGGGTGCCGTTACTCATACAACCCCCTTAAAACCTTGGGTTATTTAGAGACAATCAGGATATTCAACTCACCATGGAGGGGGCACCTTAGCTAATTTATTATGTATTCAATTATAATTACCATATTAAGTAAGAATATTTTTTAAAAAATAAAAAATTACAATTTACATATAATATAACAATGCCATTTATCTAATATAACAAAACATAATATAGATAGTTCAATATTTAAATGAACCATGAAAAATAAAAATAAATACTTATTAAAGATACCTACTAGTTATAATATTTCTTAAGAATAAATATTTTTTAACAACTCAAAAACTAAAAACTAAGAATTTCAAATACCTAAATTAAAAAGAGCTGATAAATATTAGGGACGAGTACAGCCACTGCTGTAGGTGGGAAGTTAGGAAGGTAGGATACATAAGGTTATTTCATTTATATCTGTAAGCAACGATAAATCATTGCTGACGAAAGACGATTACGAACGCAGTTCGGTAATACATAATTTGAATTGCGGTAATTTTTTTATGATTTTTGTTTAAATTTGATTTTAAAACGCTTATTAAAAAAAAAATTCAACAAAAAAGGTCTCTTGTCATTTTTCAATTAGAACCATATTTGTGCTAGAAAACATGGTAGGTACTTATTTAAAATAACGAAATCATGAAAAAATCGTATTTTTTTCTCGGTTTATCGTTTTTATTTTAAATACCGTTTCGAAAATCAAAAATGACCTATGTATTTACCAAGTAGAAAAAATTGACTTTTAGAAAATGTATGACACTTATATATCGGAGCAAGTTTTCTAGAATAAAAGTGGTTTACAGTGTATAAAAAAAAATAATAAAGTATCATTGTAAAAAAAATTAAAAAAGAAAAAATGTCGTCCGATGATTTTGGAAATTTGACCACGTCTGGGTAAGTCCTATACAAATATTATAAAATATCGTACAACCTGACATCATGAGTTCTGCACACTACAGGCGATGTTTCGGCAATTAGAATTGCTCAGTTATTAGTAGCAATTATGTAGTTTTCTGAAGATGACGAATATTGTATTGTGTCATTTTGATATTGACACCGTAAAATTAAAAAGAAAAAGAAATATTAGATACATCTATACATATAAAATAATATCAATTGTCAAATTTTCGTTGCCGCTATTGAATTAATGCAAGACATGTAAAATTTCAACCTTTTTATCGCATGAAGAAAGAAAGTTTTAACTTACTTGTAGATAAAGTGGAACCGGCTATTGAAAAACAAGACACACATTTTCATTGTTTTTGCCATAATATAATTAATTATGTAATTATACCTACTAGAATAGTATATTAATAAAGTATAAAGTATGGTATAGTTATTTAAATAATAAATAACTATACGTATATAAATTAATACAATGCATTTATTATGTATTATTATGTAAATTTCCCATGTGGTTGTCACTGGTTTTTTCATCGTTTAAAAATGTAAAATCATATTTCCATAAGCGACGATCAAAGGTGATCTTATGGTGCTAAATATTAAAAAAGAAGAAATTAATAATATCGATTTAGGAAAACCTATAGGTGTATTAGCTAAACTTAAAAATCGCCAGTATCCTCTTAAATATCCCGTTAATAATCTGTAATAATAATGTTACTAAATATAATTAATTCCTTTTTTTTTAGTGTTTTACTCGTGCAACCAATTATTAATAATGTGAATATTATAAGTTTTCTTCTTTTTTTTTTTTTTTTTTACTGCATTCATCATCTTTAATATTTGTATGCATTACTTATTGGTGTTCATAGGTAAAGTATCAATTATTTATTATTTTTTAAATTTTAATAGCTTTTGACTACTTATTTTTATTTCGATTCATAATCTATTGAAACAATTAAAAGCAAGATAATATACATAATATACATAGGTGATTAATGTAAGATTCAACTAAATACTGTACGAAAAACCTGTACGAATTGGTAAATTATTTGAATTAAATGCTAGTTTTGAGAAAAATATTTCTGTGGAAAGCACACATTATAAGAAATAAAATACTTAAACCATAATTTTCAGTAATTCAATACCTAATTATTATTAATTATTAAATTTATACCAACAAACTAAAAGTCTGGAGACTGTTTATAGATTTTTGATTAGCAGCGCTCAAACTATTTTTCGTATAGCCAATATTCAACAGTTTCAAACAAAACATCAAAATAGTAGGTATAATATGATAAGTAAATAAATGTAATAATCATAATAATGAATAAGCTAATAAAATAAAAATATTAAATCAGTATTTACTCTGATATCTATATTATTATCCGACTCGAAGACTAAAATAATGTGTCCACTGAAAATCAAAATGTGCCCACTGAGTTATAATTGTGTGTATTAAGTTTTATAACGCGTACATTAGTAATTGTAGAAATAACAGTATAATCACAAAAAGACGGACCTACTTCGCAGGTGGATGTAGCTACTGTTGTAAGTGGAAAGTTGGAAAGGTTACAGAAAGGAATTTAATGTATATCTGTTAGTAACGATAAACCATTATTAACGAAAAACCTATTCTGAGCAGAGTCCTGTTGATAGTGTTGCTTTGTTAATAATATATATGTCATATTATGGTAAATTAAATTATGGTATTAAATAATTAAATAAACATTATAGATTTTCTTTGTTAATATTTGTTTAATAATGTACCGATTTTCTCGTTTTTCCTACTTTTTTCCCACAGTTTTACCGTGTTATTTCCCGGTTTTTCACATGTGCTTGGAAAACTCTTAGGAAAATCGAAAAATGACCTCCTTAAAGTATCACCCCAAGACAATTTCTTTTCAGAAAAGAGTCTACATCGTATACATCGAAATAAGCTTTCTGGTAAAAATAGTATTCATATATTTGTAAAACCAATACATTCTTCACTATACTCAAAATCTTAAAATCTATTTATGATCTCATCATGTATAAGGTAAGTAATGTCTATGTCCATTTACATTAATCAACGTCAACCCAATTAAGCGTTCTTCACCCATGTTTGACCTCAACCGAATTTTTAATCTAAGTATAAACATGCAAAGAATTACTAATTAATATAACTGTTCATGCCTAGTGCAAAAGCATATGTTAAAATCTATAAAAACAAAAATTGATTAGTTTTAGTAAAATAAGTGAAATCAAATCTTCTTAAAGTTGAGAAACTACGCTCAGCAAAAGCTGATGAGCTGACACCTACAGGCAAGTAAGCAATAATATGTAATAATCTTTTCATATTTGGGTACATTGGGTACATGTAATTGATTACATTGATTGATCGATGTTAATGCATCATTCAGAACAACTCCATTTAAATAGCTAACAAGTAAAAAAAATAGGTGCAATGTACTGATTAATTTTCCTGAAGATTATTACAGAATATTTTTGTTAATTTCATTTGTAGATCATTTTTCAAAACAATTAAATTAACAATTTTTATCTCATATATTTTTAATTGAATATTTTATCTGTATTTTATCATGATCCAATATACTTCATAAAGAAAAATTAAGCAGCTGTATCACTGTATCATATTCAATCCTATGGACATCGCAAGGATGTTTTTTTGAATATATGCGATATTTGTAATTAAAGCCCAGTTATGTTTACGGGATGCTGATGCCCGGTGAAGCGAAATTTAAATAACTCCACCCTTAGAGGCGGATCAAGGGTATTTGTAACCCGGTCATCATAAAACCCATGATAAATACAGTGTTCACGGTGAGCAGCGAGATCAGCTCGCTTTCTGTTTTACCGCACCTTTAATCAGTTGTAGTTAAATAACGTTATTTCATAACGAGGGCCTCGGGCGCATTCGAGGGATCGAGGCCTAGTGACCATGGGCCAGGCCAACACTGTAATTATCTTGCACTAAAATAATAATAGTACCAATAACATATTGTCAGTAATTTTATTTAGTTGAGTGTAAGAAAGTCGTTTTTTTTTATTTCCCCGGTGTACTGACGCGTGTGGACGTGTGGTACTAATGTCGTAATAATTACTGTTCGTCCGAACGACAAACTGTTTTATAGTCTCTTTGTGATTTTCATAATCAGTTATCACAAACTAAATAACAGTATTGATCCGGCTATAAGATTTTAAAGAATGGTATGATTTTTCATAATCGAAAATTGCAAAACAATATTATTGTATTTTTTTTTTTTATTATTATTAATAGTATAATAAATTAGTAAATAGTATCGATTCACAGCTATTTAAGTGATCCTCGCATAAAAAAACATATACTTAGGTAAGTCATACTAAACTTCATGTAAAGTACTTTAGAAAGAGGTTCATTTGTTTCCCTACTGAAATACCTAAATTGCTTAAATAATTTTAAAAACATTGTATTACTTACAAAGTTCTCTTTGTTTTATTTTACTATTGCAGTGTTGTCTATATCCCATATATCTATAACTAAACAATAGTATTTGACATGTTCAATTTGTTTATCATGAGCTTATAAATTTCTATTCCTTTAGAGCTTTAGTAGTAATAATTAGGTCATAGATTTTTATGTTCTAAAGAGTATTAAAATATGCCATATAATGTGCATTCAAAACTTAAAATCGTAAAAATATGCAAACAAATTATTTTTCAAAATTAATTACGTTAAAAAAAAATAGGACACTTGGGCAGCCAAAACAGATATTTTAAAAAATGTAGGAAATATTTAAGAGTACCTGTTTTTATATGTTAATCTACCTGATCCTTTTTTTCGCAAACAAATAACAATAAATCTTCCACAAGAGTTGCAAAATATTATTTTTCCATCAGTAGTGAAAACCTCAATTGTTTGTTAAGGAAATCGATTGTAGAATATTATTGAAAATTGAACTATTCATTCGGTATATTATTCACGATATAACGGCAAACGATGTTTGATTAAACAGCAAAAGCGATTAAGATTATAGAACACAAGAGTTAACATACCTAATCAATTAGTTATTTTATCTTTTAAAATTTACTATTTAGTGCCTACAAAATTTATTTTTGATATTTCACGTTGACAAAATATTATTTTATACATTTATTTTTAAATTTTCCCTTCAATAAGCAATATTCAACTGTAATTGAATTTTGTAAAAATATGCAAAAAAAAAATTCACCATTAATTTCAATCTTTTATGATTTGTAAAGATTACTGTCAAAAATCCAAAAATGTTTAAAGAAGAAAATATACAATTGCATAGAAATCCGCGCTTTAGTTATAACTAATAATCTAATAAAAATTAAATAATTATTTGTATAGTTAGTACAATAAGATGGAATGATTTTATATAAGGTTTAAGAATTTTAATTCTTGATTCTAAAAATATATTTTATAAATTGTTCTCAGGGTTATTCAACTAATGATTCATCGAACTGGGTGGAGAATTCAGCAATTTAAATTTTTTTTTTCTATTCCACTTAAGAATATGGAAAATAGTTCACAACATTTAGTTGCACTTATTCATAATAAATCAGACATTGGTACTCAGTGTGAATTAACAAATGATTTTGAAACAGTTAGTTGCAAGTCTGAAAATTGTTTAGTAGAAGAAAATAATCAAGAAACCAGTAATGAAGTTATATTAGAAAAAAAACGTAAACTCAAAGATTGGATAGAACATATTAAGAAGCCTAAAAAATGCAAACTAAATTCAGTTCAAGCACGGCCAGGTACTACAAATGAAAAATTTAATGAAACGTCATATTACTTTGAGAATGGATTAAGGAAAGTTTATCCATATTTTTTTACATTTACAACCTTTACAAAAGGAAGATGGGTAGGCCGAACATTAGTTGATGTTTTTGGTGAAGAATTTCGTGCACATACGACTAATGAATATGAAGAACATGTTAAAAATGGATCTTTGACAATAAATAATGAACGAGTTACATCTGATTATGTATTTAAACATAATGATCTGTTGGCAAATATTGTACATAGACATGAAGTCCCTGTTACTAATGACACAATTGATATAATTCATTTGGATAAAGATATTGTAGTTGTCAATAAACCTGCCAGCATCCCAGTTCACCCATGTGGACGTTATAGACATAACACAATCATATTTTTACTTGCTAAAGAATACAATTTAAAAGATTTGAAAACTATCCATCGCCTTGATAGATTGACTAGTGGTGTTTTGATGTTTGGTAGAACACAAAACAAAGCAAGGATAATGGAGTCCCAGATACGAAACCGAGAAGTAAAAAAACAATATGTGTGCCGTGTTGAAGGTAAATTTCCAGAATTTGTCCAATGCAAAGAACCAATTGAAGTAGTTAGTTACAAAATCGGTGTATGTAAGGTTTCTTCCAAAGGTAAAGAATGTGAAACTATTTTTAAATTGATTGGATACAACAATGAAATAAATACTAGTGTGGTTCTGTGTACACCACTGTCTGGTCGTATGCACCAGATTAGAGTTCATTTACAATATTTAGGTTATCCTATTAAGAATGACACTTTATACAATGATACAATATTTGGGCCAGAAAAAGGACGTGGTGGTAATTTTGGTAAAACTGATGAACAACTGATAGATGATTTAATTCATGTGCACAATGCTGAAAACTGGAAGACAAACAAAGAAATTCCACTTTTGCCTGAAGTTATTAATAATGTAAGTGACCAATATGTGGATACCTCACATCTTGAAAAAATAACAAGCAGTAGTCCTGAATCTATGTACTATAATATGTCTACACAAACAGGAATTCAAATGCCAGACATGAAATTTGATAAGAAAAAATTGTCTATAGACCCTAATTGTGTAGAATGTAAGATTTCTTACAAGGATCCTACTCCAAAAGATCTTATAATGTACTTACATGCTTTTAAGTACAGTGGGCCCGATTGGGCTTATGAAACACCTTTGCCTGTTTGGGCAGATGTAAATTGGAAAGAACCATAATTACATTTGAGTTCAAAAAAATCAAATATCTGTAATTATTTTTATTTTTAAGTTATTTGTATTCCATTTTTAAGAAATTTAGTATTAAGCTAGTTACACAATTTTGATTTATTTATCGACATCCAATATATTATATTCATTAATAATACAACTAAAAAGACTTTTATAAAATATTTAATTCTATAGATAAAAATATAATACTTTATTTGTTAGACTAAACATTATTAGGATAAATGCATGTTTTTTTTATTATCTCAGAAAACTGATAGGAGGGAATAGGAATACTCCTATGTCATGTATTAATATTGAACAAATAATTTAATAGAATTGTATGGTAGCACATAAGTATGTAGAGAAATATATTTGTATAACTGTTCTCATTTAACACAGCATAAATATGTAGTTTATATATTTACAATAAAATACTTAATATTTAGCATGAGCATATTATAAGATAAAATAATAAATCAAACATTGGGATATTAATATTATATTTTTAAATCAGACTTAAATTTACAAATTTATCATAATCTTAAAAACAAAATGACACTAAATATATATATATATATATATGTATACTATATAATTTACATGATAACATATGTTGGGCTTGTGAGAACACCACAATTATTATTTTTACGAGACATAAGAATGTAACCAGCATTACCCCAATGAGTTGACCAAGAGTTTTTCACTAACCAATATGGTTCACCATTTAATTCACCATATCCTACTAGCAAAACAGCATGGTTTAACTCCATTGGATTATTACCTAAAAAAAATTATTAAAGACAATGTCATAATTTTATGATAAAATGTATTTTCTTTTCAGAAGACTTACGGCAGTCTTTATCATAATAAACACCATTTGAATAAAATGTCAATGATTTAAGTGATGCATAAATAGCTATTGAAATTGGACCTTGTTTGACTAATGCTATTTTTAATGCTTCTTCATCAAAAGGTGTTACATTCACAAAACCAGATATTTTAGTAAGATAGCTGTTTGATATGTTTGCTATATGACAATAACCATCCTAAAGTATAGAAACATAAAATTATACTATGTTATAATATAATAAATTAATCAATAAGATGAATGTATTTTTTTTTTTTATATATATATATATATATATATACTATATAATCCAGTATTCATTTTTTTTATTATTTTAAATTGTAAAAATAATGTTTCAGATTATATAATATTCTAATCTAATTTTGGTATTTGTTAATAATATTTATTAAACTATTTTAGAGGTTATTAATAAGTTATTCAATACATAATAGACATCTAAAAATCCATGTTTAATAAACATATACTATGATTACAAGTAAACCATTAGTAAATACAAAATCCACCAATAATCATGTAATCTCTACAAGATTAGTATTAATTAATCTAACAGCTAAAAATCGCAAAAATAATCATCTTAAATTTTGTCTAAACATTTTTTTTTTTTTTAGTATATAGCATAATATTTTTAATGATTATAACAAGATATTTTAAAACTAATTAATGTTTTTTTAAGTGCATATAAATCCATTCCCTAGTCCCATTCCCTTTCACTCCCAAGATGTAATGTGTAATTATAATTTAAATATTTTATACCTGAGAGAGGTATGAACCATAATTATCTTCTTCTGGTAAACCGTGTTTTTCAATCCAGGAATAAGCACGGAAATCTTCACCACCATCACAACCATTGTTACCAAAGCCCCATGAACAATCAACTAAAGCCTTATTTAACATAATAAATTATAATTACTTTATAATAATTACTAATAATTACTTTATAATAATTACTAATAATTACTTTATAAACTAAATTATGATTGCTATGTATAATATAACATGCACATTTACAACTAAAATATACTTTCTCAGTTTTTCTGTATCTAGGAAAAAATTATATTTACATTTTCTTCTAAGGAAGACAAAATTACTTTTATTATGATACACATTTTAAATTTATTTTGTAATAAAACCAATTTGAGACAGTAAATAATAATTTACCTGTTCAGAGAAAGATTTACGTTCTCCATGTTTCAAGAAATATGCACCTTCAATAGTTCCTGTGGTACCAAAACTCCAACAAGAACCACAAATTGATTGATCTTAAAAACATACAGAACTATTTTAAGAACCACTCAAAGAAAATAAATATAAACATAAATATAAATATAAACCTTTAACAGCTGTAACAGCACCTGCTATTCTCCAATCAATTTCAGATGGTAAGTTAGTAAAATCACTTTTGTTATAAGGAAAAGGTTGTCCACCATTAAAATCATTGTTAATCTTTCTATAACCACACATTGATTTGAGTTCTTCATTAGACAAATCAACTAAATGATTAACAGATAGTGTGAATCCATTATTTTTTCGATTTTTTGAATGAATATATCTAATGAGTATAATATAAAGTATGATTTATAAACCAAGTATATGCCTAATATAATAATTATATTAAATAGTTACCTTAAATTTTGACGGAAATTATTTTTACGCACAAAATGTTCAGATTTGTTAATATAATTTTTCTTATGATGTTTTTTAAATTTTTCAAAATTTGAATCAACATGGTCTTCATAATTATTTATAAATTCCATCATAGGATTAAAACTATATACATAGTCTATGCCAGGTCCAGGAAATGATTCACATTTTAAACCTTTAATTATAATTTTAATAAATTTAGTCAATCAGAAATTATATTTTAAATAATTAATAATATTTACCATCAATGTTAAAAATACTTGGATCTGGTTTTGAAGGTATGAAACTTTTGTACATAATAATATAGCTATCAAAATGTGATCCAAGTAAAGAATTATATCCATTCATTTGATACCTCAATGGGTAATTAACATTATTCTATAGAAAAATGATACATTATTATTTAAATTGCATCCATATTTATAGTTGTGAAATATATAATACCATAAATTAAGTTCACAGAGAATGATGTACCTGTTATTTTGAATTCATTATCAAATAAATTCAAAAACAAATAACAATAAATAGTAATAACTAAAATATTACAAATTATATCAATATAAATTTTAAGCATTAATATAAATGAATATTTGCATATTCCTTTAATTTATCATTATTAATACATTATACAAGATATCACATTCAGATTCCACAAAAGTAATAACTTTTGTTCTGTTCAATACTATTAAATTATTAATTTAGATTCAGAACATAGCAAAGGATCTATTGGTTTTACTATTATGTACTTCTTTTTCTGTCTGTGAACAACTTTTCTAATAAAAATCTTGTTCCCGTGTTTAGCATCTTTTCTGAAAGGGAATTTTTTCAAATTGGTACATTAGAAAGACAGTGTTTTGATTTTTTAAAGGGTTTTTTAAAATAATTGGGAAAACAAAAACTAAAATGATGGTAAATTAACAAATATTTATGACAATGTGAGATCCCAGTTATTTTAATTTTCGCAAACTTTATTCTTTACCAAAAACCATGCTCTAATTGAAAAATTACAAGATATTGATTTTGTTCCATTTAATATTTAACCACTGTCAAAGAAATTCATATTTTGATAACTAAAATAGTTTTAATGATAATTGAGAAAACCCAAAATGACAAAAAATACAATTTTTTCAAATTATTACAGCATAATGATTTTGTTTTATTTGAAATTTTTAAGATTATGTTTTTCTACCATGAATCTGTCCAAATTTCAAGAATACATAATAATAATTATCTAAAAGAAAGTTTTGCCTGATTTGTGAATAAGAAAATTATTGTTTGTTTTATCATTTAGTTTCCTTAATAATTTCGAAAATCTGGTAAAAAAAGTTAGGAAATACAACCAAGTTTAATTTCTTGTTATTCAAATAAAAATTATTAGAGACTTGTAGTTTTCACAAAATACTTAAACTGGCATTTTATTTGATAGATATATGCTATTAAAATTATATTAATTAAGATAAATATTTGAAAATTTAACACAAAGTACATTATAAGTTATACTTAGTAATCTAAATAACAAACTTGAGTTTAATGCATTAGTTTTTTTTTTCATAAGGGATTATGAACAAATTTTGATGAAAATCATAAAAATGATAGGCATTTCAAAATATATCTAACCGAATTTCCCTTCAAATCATTTTTCATTAGCAGTAGTTTATTATTTCATACATATATAAATTAAATAACTTTGTAAAACCTACTTTCCTAATTTCCTACCTACAACAGTGACTTCACCTGTCCCCAATATCAGATCTTATATTAATTTACTAAAGCTTTACTTTATGATTTTACTATTTTGTATTCTTTTAACTAAAATTACAATAATTTGAATTTAAAAAAAAATATATTGTTTTTGTAAAATCCAAGATAGCCATTTTACAAATATATTTTGAAATGCAATTTTCAGTGTCACTAATATTTATTAATGATGAATATTTAAGTTTTAACAATTTTGTTGAAATTTATAAAAATCATTAATACATTTATTTTAATGGAAAAATTGTGAATCGACTAATATTACTTTTCAAAATTTAAATTAAACATGTTTTTATTTCCACTACTAAATAATACCAATAACTTCTCCAAATTGTATGAAAAATAATTTTTTCAATGATATTTATAAACTCCAAAAAAATTGTTTAAACCTAAATATTCATTATTATTAAACATTTGTAACACTAAAATTGTATTTCAAAATCATAATAATAGTAGTACCGGTTAATTCGTGCAATTTTCTAACAGATGGCGTAACTTGATTTTTATTCCAGTGATTCACCTTTCCAAATATGTGTTGGAAAGCTACTGTCATATTGTTTCAGAATCAGTATGTGTCATTTAGCTGAAGCGTAAACAACATTACTTTTTTTTACTCTGAAAATGTTGAATTTTGTGCCGAATAAAGTGTTTTTGCGGGGAGTACTTCTTCATTACTTCAATATGAAGAAAAAGGCTGCCGAAAGTCAAAGTATTTTAGTGGAAGTGTATGGGGTGCATGTTCTAGCTGAGCATACGTGCCAGAAGTGGTTTGCAAGGTTTAAAAGTGGCAATNTTTGAAGATCACGAATTGGAGACATTGCTCGACCAAGATCCATCCCAAACGCAAGAAGAACTTGCAAAATCACTTGGCGTCGCTCAACAAACCATTTCCGATCGACTAAAAGCAATGGGAATGATCCGGAAGGTAGGCCATTGGGTGCCGTATGAATTGAAGCCAAGAGATGTTGAACGCCGATTTTTCGCGTGTGAACAACTGCTTCAACGGCACAAAAGAAAATGTTTTTTGCATCGACTTGTCACTGGCGATGAAAAGTGGGTCCATTACGATAATCCAAAACGTCCGGCAACGCATGGATACCCCGGCCATGCATCATCATCGACGGCCGTTCAGAATATTCATGGACTGAAGGTTATGCTGTGTATTTGGTGGGACCAGCTGGGTGTGATCTATTATGAGCTGTTGCAACAGAATGAAACGATCACAGGGGAAGTCTGCTGACAACGATGCGTTTGAACCGAGCATTAAAAAGAAGAATGGCCAGAAACTGAGACCAGACAGGATTATGTAATTTTGCAACATGACAATGCTCGGCCATATGTTGCACAGGTCGTCAAAACCTACCTTGAAACACTCAAATGGGATGTCCTACCCCACCCGCCATATAGTCCAGACCTTGCGCCATCCGATTACTATCTCTTCCGATCAATGCAACATGGCCTGGCTGACCAGCACTTCTCCAATTATGAAGAAGTCAAAAATTGGATCGATTCGTGGATAGCGGAGAAGCCGGCCGAATTTTTCAGAAAAGATATTCGTGAATTGCCAGAAAAATGAGAATAGGTCATAGCTAGCGATGGACAATACTTTTCACAATAAAGCTTCAATTTTCGAAAAAAAACCGCACGAATTAAACGGTACACCTATTATATAAAATGGCTATCTTGAATTTTGTGAATATTCATTTAAAAATTAAAATTTTTTAATTTTAGTTATTAAAAGAATATAAAATAATGGATCTAGTGTAATTCTTTAATAATTATTACAAAAAAAAAAAATAATGTTGAACAGAACAAAAGATATTGCATTTGTCGAATCTCTGTAAGACTTAAACTTCAAGCAGGCATACAAAATCACCTAGGGTGGACAAGTGCAACAGCATTTACACCGCTGCAATTTAATGCATACATAAATGCTTAAAAGAATTCGAGCTATACCAACCATGTTATCATACATAGAAAATGCCTAGAAGTGCACATAAGATCCACTGATTTATTAACAATTATTAGTAACTTTATCTTAAGTACAATATAAATATTACCCATGTACTTGTCTGAAAGTTAAAATCAAACAATAAAAAGTATAATAAATATAATAATGATTCAATAATAAAAATTGAAGTAATCATATTTTATATTTTTACCTACAAATTAAACATAATCAGGTATTGTTACATCATAGCATTATAAAATATTTTTTTTTTTTTTGTAAAAGAAAAAAATTATACTTAGAAATTTAATTTATATCTTACATGTTTGTACAACCACATTGTATATTTGCTGACTGTTTCTCCATCTCTCGAAATAGAAACCCATTTTTCAACAACTAAATTATTTTCCAAATGTTCACCAATAAACTAGAATCAGAAGAAAATTATATTAAATATAATAATAAGATAACATTCATAACATTAAAACTGCAATTATATTAAACTACAACCTTAAAATTGCTTAAGTCTGGAAGAGTTGGCTGAGGTAAAATATGAAGTTCATCAGTGCCATTCACTTCTAAACATTTGATTGTATTTGTTTCTGTTTCAGTAGTAACAGGAACTATCTTAATTGATGCACCAAAAGTCCCTTTTTTGGACAATTGATAGGTTTTATCCATTCCTAAAAAGGTGTTCACAATTTTTAATATGTTAATAACATAATTTAAAAATGCATCATGTTAAATTACCATTATAATAATCAATACGGCTGCTACCAGATTCTAAATCGTACCAAGATTTAAAAGGTTCATGAACTTCAGCAAAAGGTACAAAGATATCACCTTCTATATAATAATTTGAACTCCATTGTACAGTACCTTAAATATCAGAAAAACAGCAGAGAAATATTTTTATTTTAGTAGATGAGTATATTATTTCATATTTGTAGATACATATTTTGTACTAAAATTTGAACTATGGAATATATTTCAGGTATAAGTATTAAGTATATAATATTACTTTTTAATAGGTTAGCATTATTTTTGAACAAATAATAACTATGTTAGTACCTTAATTGTCAATATATTATATTTTTCAGTCTATTTTTATTAAATAACACTTATAATTAATAATTTTTTAACTAGTCATTGTTCTAAACTTATATATCTTGTCATATAGTTAATGAAGTACATATGTTATTTTAAATTAGGTAATTATAAACTAATAATCTTCTCTTCTTCAATGCTTAAATTATCATACATTCCCCCAATATGAACATTTTCAAAAATAATATTAATTCCCAAACGAGACAAACCTAAATATTTAGTAACCTCATACCGCCCAATACTCCTTAAAAGAATAACCCCTATCATCAAAGAAAATACCTAATAACCAATTTGGATTCCGCTCATATCATTCAACTATTCACCAAATACACAGAATCACTGACAAAATATCATCGTCATTTGAAAAAAACAGAACACTACCCAGGAATTTTCCTCGAAATCACGGAAGCTTTCGATTGCATCTTACACTATGAGCTATTGTTTAAATAAAAATTGTTTCTACCTACCCTAAATTTCCTCATTCTAAAATCATTTCTTGAAAACAGTTTTTTCACCATTAAACACAACAACTTTTACCCTCTTTACCACAAAATCAGAACTGGAGTTCCACAAGAAAGTAACCTATCACCGATACTTTACAATTTTCAGATTTTCCCAAAACAAACCATACAACTTATAGCAACATATTTTGATAATACTGCCATACTAGTATTAAACAAAGACCCAAACATAGCCGCCTACTATATACAATACAATCTAAATCAAATTTCCATGTGGACCAAAAAATAAAAAATCAAGATAAACGAAAATAAATTTTGTACTTGGCAAAAGAGAATGTCCACAATTATCACTCAACAATATACCAATCCTCATTCACAATGTGACTAAATACCTAGGGTATTTACAATGAGCTTAAAAACAAAGTATAAATATATAAGATGATTATTACCTCCCTTTGGTCTTATAGCATCCAAATTTGAAGCCAAGTGAAACCATCTAACCACCAAATATGGGTCTTATATTATAAAACCCATACAAGCCTTCCAGTCTATGTCTCAGAAAAATAATCGGAGCAACTTGGTACATATACTACATAAGAATCTGCAAATCCCAACAGTTACTGAAAAATAGCAACCTGACACTAGAAAAAATTTCATTCAAAACTCTACTCAAACCAACACCCTCTAATTTCCCATATATCCTCTATCACCATTCTCAACAACCCTCCAAGAAAATTGAAAAGAAAATAGCCAAGAGAAGCCCTTACTTAATATCTTTAAAACAAAAAAAAAATCATTTCCTCATTAAAACCCACCAAATTAAATAGGAGGTACTGTCGATGGTTTCCCCTTCAAATCATAAAATCATAGTGTTCTCATCATTATTACCATTACCTAATTTATTAATTGTGCTCTTCTGTATAGATTGTAAATATGCTTTTATAATAAATAAAAAAAATTTGATTGTGTTATCAATTTGAAATAAAATTATATAAATGAATACTTCTAATTAATCATTAAATTAAGGTCATATTTTTACAGTCATAAACTAACAAAATAAAGATTAATAGGTTATTAATTCAATTAATTCTAACCTGGTGAAAATATTATTGGAATAAACAAATTCATAATCATATAACCAGAGAAATATAATTAAATAACAATACAAAATCGATTCATATTATTAAACCACATTAGTGTTATTAATATTGTTAATTAAAGTGTCTTTATAATGAAGACTTAAGAAGTATATAACTTACTTTTATTGGACGACGATACGACACAATAGGCCGAATTTAACAAAACCAATACAAGAAACTGTTTTAAAAAACACATACTGTCTACCATAAACAAGAATACTCTTGCAAATACTAGAGGAGTGAATACAAAAATTTCACTTTAAAAATATTAAATATATAAAAATAAAGTACAATATTGAAATTATTTAAAATCGTTTACCTAGTCAGACAATCAATTTGTCATTGTCGAATGGTAAATACCTAGGTATATAACAAAAAAATATGACATCGGAAAAAAGGAGGGGGGGAATATTATTCCTTATCAGTCAACGGAATACCTCGGCACAACAAAGAACGTATCTATGTCATCAAAGGCCACAGAACTGTATTTGGTAGACTGGAGCTATTATATCGTTTTATCATTCGCCAACTCTGCTAATTTTTTGATTTTTCTAATGCTATTATAGAGATTGGAGCGGACGTATTTTTCAAACGAACAATTCTTAAAAATTGGTTCAATTGCCACAAAAGTCAATAAGTACCACTAATATATTATTGTTTCGATTACCTACTACGAAAGCACACGGAACGACATAATTCTCATTGTCGTACCTACCTTTTTTTGTAGACCTTTGTTAAGTTAATTCAAAATACGCAAACGTGGAAATAAACATGAACCGTTGTCGACACGTGGCGATCAGGCATTAGACGAATTCATTGAAGTATCAAGTATAGCTTTTGGGCGCATGGCGCATTAGATACAATATTTGCAATGACAACACAAGGTTGATTTTTTTTTTTATTCGTTTAATGAAAACCATGCACCAGAAATTTTACTGAAATATTATCAACTTCACTAGTGGTTTCTAATAGCAAATTTTTCCAGTTTTGTACCTACATTAAGGTGATATTTTTGTTTATCATTTTACATTTTTAATTACGAGGAAAAAAACTAATAGGTACACAGTAATCAATCCTCTATAAGATAGTTAGGTATTCGTTATCTTGAGTCTAAGTAATAGCACATCAAAAACATAGAAAGAACAAGAAAATTTATTCAAAAAATGATTTTATCATATTCAATTTTGTTTTTTTTTTTTTTTTTTTTTTTGTTATAATTCAGTTAAAAATATTTGAACACTTGAAATTTTGACATAAAACTTAAATAATGTAAATAAATATATAAACTTTTTATTTATATATTTATTTACGAGTGTTAACCATTTTAATAATTTTGTTTTTACTCTATTATTTTATTATTTAAAAAACTTAAGTTTATTTTCGTTAGACGTGGTCAAATTATAAAAACATTTAAATGATTTTTGAACTTTTTGTAGGCATTTTTATTTTGCATTATACTATATGGATAATAATTGTTTGACCAAACAGAAATGCTGAAAATTTAACACAAGGTTCACTATAAGTTTTACTTAGTGATCAATAAAAAAAAGTATTTACCTAATCGAATGTTGTATATTTTTATTTTATAATGGTTTTAAGATCAAATTTTGATGAAAGTCGTAAATATTAAGGCCTTTCAAATCATGTATAAACAAACATTGCTCAGAATTGTTTATTGTTAGTAACGGTAGATATAACCTTTTTTTACAGATATAAATTGAATAAGTTTATGTGCCTATCCTACCTTACTATCTACCCATAACAGTGGTCCACCAATCAACAGTATAAATTCATTTTTTTTCCTTGGCTTTACGTGGATGAAAATCATTTGGATTCTCAAAAATGTTGGAAAATTTAATACAATTTGTTATAGTTACCAACCTATAATAGGTAAATCATAAGTTGTTCCGTTGTTCGTATGGGGTATGACCAAAAAAATATCCAGTGTTCAACCAAATTTGGTTTTTATCTTCGTAAAAGTATATAAATACTACCTATAAACCTACTACAAGTAATTATATATATATATATAAAGTTGAAATCTGACAAATCTCAGAAATGCCCTGGCAAAAGGTGAAGTGTTTACATTACATATTTCAGCTTTTGCCTGTACAAACCTAGTTGTGAGCAAACTCATTCGTGCAAATCATCCATAAATTTATTTTGTAAATATGTAAATATATAAATCTAACAATAAAAGTAGCTGCAGATTTGCCTAAATATTTATCGTATATTGTCACTACATAATATGTCAAAAACCAGATATTTCCGTGCAAGGTCCAATGTTTGACTAAAGGAGAGCGAGTATTGTAATATTATTAACATGTTGCCATTGGTACCTACCTACTGTAAAAAATTAAATGTACGTTACAGATTTGCCCGAAGGAGGTCAGGGGCATCATTTAAACCTTTTGAAAAGTATGCTGACAAATAGACAGGCCAAAAAAATGTTCAACAGGTTAATATAGATTTTACTATAGTTATTAAAAAAAAAAATTTTCTCCTTGACCTCAAAAAATTAAACTATTTTCCATCTAATGATCCAATATAATTCCAATATTGTGTACCTAATAATCCTAGGTTAGTAGGTATATACCTAAATTATTTTAATAATGAATCAAATCCTGAAATCTTTAGTCACACATAAATTATTTAATATAAACCAAAAATGTATTTATTTCATTAAAATAATAACATAATAATTAATAATACATACTATCAAAAATAATTAATATAAGTTTACTATCGAGATAATAGGTAATAGGCTCTTGTCTTTCATTTTTGCAAAATCATCAACTGCATCATTTATTTGTTTTGCTTCTTCAGTCTCAACTCTAAGAACCATTAAATCATTAATTAATGTCCTTAAGAAGTTTTTTTATCCTTTTTAGTAAAGAAAAAAAGCGTTTATTTGATGCACTTGTCACTGGTAATGTTAACATTATAGATAATATTTTTGTGGTTTCAGGAAATGCGAAGTAGCTTTAAATGTAATTATTCAAAATATACAGCACAGTATAAAAGTTACAAAAACCTTTCATTTTTTTTTGTTGGTTTTTAAATAACTGTAACTTTTTAATAGTTTATAATTCAAAAAACTCTTGTGATATTTTCTCCAAAATATTGTTCTCTATAAATTTTATAATAGGTACTTTTACTTTAAAATAATAATTAAGCTAGTTTTACTTATTCTGCATAAGCATTGTTTTTGCATGTTATCTGGTAGTTGGACTGAGACAATAGATGTGACTATAACGTCCTCTTAAAGAATCAATTTGAAAACCTTTGTAGTGGTCTAAGAACTTGTTATCAGCAGCACATTCTACTTGAAGAAAGTCAACATTTGTATAACCAAATACATTAAATACATTAAAAAGATTTATTCAATTTTTGAAAAACGTTCATCTAACTGCACTACAATACTAAAAAATAACATATACATGAATTAATTAATTAGTTATTAATTAGTTATGTAATAAATACCTATCAACCACTTGATACAACAGTTCAAATTTTATACTTGTAACATCTTTTTCTTTATTTCTATCTTTTCCCAAAGTTGTTTATATAAAATAATCATTCAAATGTTTATTGAAAATTTCTTTTCTTTTCTAATTTTTACTATGGTTTTGAATTTTTATTCTATTACACTTTGCTCTATCAGTCGCTTTTTGATTACTCCTTAAAGACTTCACCACCACTTCATGGCCTTTGTTAAAATGTTAAAGTTCACTTGATAAACAGAATATACGTTCTAGGACACTAAACATTACCTCCAAAATCATTATAAAATTAAAAGTAGATACTTTTTTGAGTAATCCAATTACTCTTAACTGTTTAGAGTATTAGAGTTGATACAGTGCACATGTGTTAGTGTGCTCCAAAAACCAAACGTAATATAACTTCCAGCCTACTATAGCGTATGGCTATAGTTGCAGGTGCTTTAGGGTTTAGAACAATTATAAAAAAAAAAAAAAAATGTTCACCCGAGGCAGAGTCGAGTCAAAATTCGAAACATCATAAATTTTAGGTATGCATAAATATACCCTACAATACCACAAACGACGCCCCTGAATGAGGTTGATTACAACTAGGTTTATTCGGACAAAAGTCGAAACATGACATTTTACCTAAGTATCATGGACACCTCGCGTTTTACCTGGGCATTTCTGAGATTTGCCCGTAACATATAAATACATAATACCAGCCTCGTCTCAAGGTGTACCAAAGCGGCCTAGGGTGGCATTTTTCGAGGATGTTATTTAAACTTGTTAACGGAGTATCAACATGTATAGGGGGCGGCAAACTTAAGTTTGCTGAGGTGGCAGGTGCGTTTAAATGCCCGAACCGGGCCAACACAATACAGTGAAAACGCTTATAATGACATTCAATGGATTAGTTAAAAATAGTCATAATAACCGTTGTTATTATAAACGATACCAAAGTACCTACTTTATACAGGTACCTCCCTAATATTTGAATAAGACAATAATTTAACGAATTAGGTAAGTGATAGCATAGAAAATGTAGAAAATAACATGATGCCATACAAACAATAAGCAGTAGGCACCTTACCTATCCATAAGAAGGTATCTTTAATTCGTGATCTATATAGGTACTAATATTATCTACCGTGGTTCACTGTTTTTTCTCAGTACGGGTCTAAAAAGTAAAAACCAAGACGAATGATGATAAGGGCTACTCGAAAATCTTCAATTTGTCAGACGACGAATCTTTGTTAGTGATAAGGTTTAAGAATTGAGAAAATCTTCGAACCCACAGAACCGTGCTTTACGGGTGTGACATACGATTCGTAATAACAAGGGAAGACCTTGGCGAATGCACAGATGGACAGAATAGACTGTACTTGCGGCGACCAGCTGTCGGGCTTTCCCGATATTCCGCATTTTAGGTATTCATCTCGTCCGTCGGAGGTCGTACGGTCTCGTCGCGTCATCACGTAAATACGATGCCGTATGTAGGTACAGTACACCATTAAGCCAATTTGCCATTTACCTATTACCAGATTACCTTCAAGTTCAGTTTTCGTTGGGTTGTCATAGTAGCAGGGTGGTGGCGCGGTAATACGCATGCCCGGTTGTTCATTCGCTCGGGTCTTCGGGGCGGACGTGGCGGCCTGCACTCCCGCAATCGATATCCTTATTGTAATTGCGCCTTGACCCGCAGCCGGACGGTGCACGGATCGTTACGACATTTCTTACTTCCGACAAGTTTCAAATTGACCAATATCGCCAGTGAGTATACTCGAATGCCTCGGTACGTTAATGGATATCAACAATATTATATTATTATTAATTAAATAATGACGACCCTTGATTTTCCGTCTGTATTGACATTATAGTTAACTTGTCAAACTGACAATCGCGGAATGGTTCAATTTTTTCATTTACGTTTTTATTAGCGATTTCATTTTTAAAAAAAGTATGTAATATTTATTTGTTTTTTTTTATTTTTATAATAAATATAAACAATTATGGCATACCTAATTCTATGTTGGCCACCTATCGATTTTTGGATGAACTATGTTTGGAAGTTATGACCAATAAACCTTAAAGGTGGCCAAATGCTTCCAAACACAATATTTAATGTAATTTCTATAGAAAGTTCAAAATATTTTTGAATAAAAAAATAAAAATTGTACTTTTCCGTTATCTCAACCACCAGATGGTAACGAGACTACCTGCCAGCATAGAGTAATATAACTATGAAAGCCTGTCACTTAATTGTTATCTCAATTTCCTAGATCCCTTAAATTCTGACATCTGTCTACTAATGATCGTGTCAGTCGATTTTCATGTTATCAAAATTGATATTTTTTAACTAAAGTATTTGAATAATATAATAGATTGGAATTATTATATGCAAGAATTATGTTCGATTGCTATTATAAAAACATCAGAAGTCCAGGAACATTTTTTGAAAATGATTAATCTCTTTTCTACGAATCAATAAGAGTATGTTTTCTAAAAGACAGAATAACACTTAAATTAATATTATCACAACTAGAACCACAACAGTGGATCTTTAGAGACATTTGTCACAAAACTAATGAGACATTTATTTTTCAAGTGCCTGTCATAATTTGTAATGCCTAGTATGTGATGTATTTTGAACAAAAAATTAAAATATTAATTCATTTCATTTTACTAAATTTCTATGATAACAAAGCAAGCGTATTTGGTAGTGAAGATATCAATAAAGTACCAAAACAATTGATAGGTTGCTAAACTAGAATCGTTCCAAATAGTTAATAATATTATATTTTAGGTAGAGAGTGTAAATTATAGATTGATACCTAATATGAAATTTATTATTTCAAAAGTTTTTGTACATAGGTAATTATCCATATTTTATATTTGTATGGTTTTATTAATCTAATGTATGTATACCTATAGACTATAATATAATATTTAAATCTAAACTATCAAATTCCAATTAATGAGAAATTAATGATTTATACATATTGAATCAATAGTTTATTATTTCTTAGCACTATAAATTTATAAAAGCAAAACTAGAGTGGAACTATTAAATATTATATTATTCTATATTTTATTTATGATACTCTATTATAGTATAATTATTTTTTTTAATTTCAGATAAATTATCAAAAATGACTCTTAAAGGCTGTTTAAAACGGTAAGAATTTAAGTATTTTATTTTTATTATCTAAGTCTTTTTATGTTTAATACGATTAATTATACATAGTATTATAGTACTATTTATAATTGATGTTTGTACTTACAAATAATATACAATACCTATACATGCATACCGTCTTGTAAAAAATGACTTACAAAAAGTATATTCATAATATATATTCAATAATATTTGAATATTAGAATACATATTTTATTCCTGCTAACTAGTAATTTATGTTAATTTTATAATTATTTGGAAATTAACATTTGATGACTCAATAATATATTGTATAAATTTAAATATACTTATCAAATAAATAATATATATTTTAATTAATTCCTCTTGAATACACCAGACCTTGTTAATAGATTTAAGACACTGTGTTTAAAAAAATGTAATTGCTCTGGGTAAATAATTCACTAAATTAATAGAATAAATACATAATAATATGAACAGTACGATAATTTAAATGTTTAAAAATAATTATATTATATGTTTACAATGGGTGGGAAGTTTTTTTACCTCAAATCACCAAATAATTTTCTATCTTTCCACCTACCAAAAAACCCTACCACACTTTGTTCGTTATCTACCATTTGTTGCATTTTTTGTAATATTTTATAATTTACTTAGACGTCTTTAATGAAATTTATCAAATTTCAACTAATCAACATTTTTTTAATGACTTATTTTGTTAAAATATAATAATTTTTGTTATATTTCTGAACACTCAGGCATCCACGACCCACCTACCAGTTTTTTGTGAATCACATCAAATACCCTTCACGCCACTGTATGTATGTATGTATATATATATATATGTATATATATATATATATATATATGTATATATATATATGCACATAGACATATATATATATATGACAATTTGTTTATTTCTACAAAGAGAATATTGAATTAACTCATAGGATGTTATATAGAAGAGTTTTAACTTTTAATCTCTTGATCTGTATGTAAAATGCTACATTAAAAATATGAGGTACCTATACTTTAAATTAAAAAAAGTATGTATGTAAATATTATATTTTTGTTTTAAATACTATACTAATTATACTAACAAAACTAATACCTAATACTATATAATCCAATGCAATATTGTAGTATTAAGTTGTATAGTTTGTTTGAAGATAAAAACAAATTATGTGACAAAATAGAATCTACAATTTAAAATTAAATGTTTTTTTTTGTCACAAATAGAAAATTTTTTTCAGAAAAAAAAATATATTTTAATCAATAAAAAATACCAATATTCAGATTATATATTTGAATATTTTAGATCCTGAGTGGAGTAAAGAAGCTTATGATTTTACAAAGATATGTAATTTTTTTTTTTTTTATCTGTTAACAACTTTTCTACCAGAAGATTTGCTCAGATATCTGAAAAGAAATCAGTATGGGGAGGTACTTTAAAGAGGTAATTTTTCGATTTTCTCAAGAGTTTTCTCATCAAATGCGAAAAACCATGAAAAATGGTACAACATTTAACAAATATTATTAAAGAAAATATATAAAGCCTATTTAATTATTTTATTATAAAATGATGTATATATTGTTGACAAAGCATCACTATCAACTAAACTCTACCCAGAATTATTTTTCGTAAGTAATGGTTTATCATTGCTTACAGGTATACATTAAATTTTCTATAACAGTGTCTGCACCCGTCTGAATTATCCTAGGGCGTCTTTTTTGAAATAATATTTAAAATATAAACTAAATATTATATGTTTTAAATTATTTTAATGATGAGTAATAAAATAAAATAAAATATATTAGAAGGTTACTTAATAAATATAATTAAATATTAAAAAAGTATTAATACTTAAATACAATTAATAATGAGTATTAATAGTCAAGTAAATTATAGCACATATATTATAATTTATAGGAATAGTGCATTGATGGAAAAAAATATTATTTTCTTTTTGAAAACAAATTCCTTGTATCTAGCTTTCCTAGTACCTGTATATATATATATATATATATATAGGTATTAATAATATATTAAGTATTATTAAAGAAGCAGAATTAGATAAAATGTTAGTTAGGATCTAATTAACACAATAATAATAACTATCTTTGTTTAGTTTTTTTTGATAATTGTATAAAGTAACATACTCAACCCAACCCCTTAGTATTTAATAATTATTTTATATTTTGTTAAAATGTTAGGTGAAACTCCTCCATCTCCACACCACCAACTTAAGCACTGACTTTTACTGTCATAAAATGTATCCTATAAATATAGCATTATCTTAGAAGTATAGACAGATAACATCAAAATTATAATCTTGCTTTCTTATCCTATTAACTATTGTTTGATATACATTTGAATTCTGTCTTAAAAAGGTGAAAATATTTCTTTGAAAATCTATGGTTTAATTATTTTATTATAATTTTTCCTACTTAAGTCTATTTAGTAAGTTTTTATTTTAAAAAATCTTGTAATAAATATTAAATTTGTATTTGTTCAACATTATATAACATATACAAGCTATTCAGCTATTTTTCTTCTTTGCTTACTACCCAATGCTAATGCAAATACTTAATCATAAGTTATTTCAGAATTTGAAATTATTTTTATGTTATTTTACGTTGATTTAAGAACTATATTAATTATATGTTATAATATAATTACAAGTTTTGTTTTAAATTTGTAAGATTCTGAGAGGAGGAATATATTGATTTTAGTAATTTTTTTCTATGTCATAGTAACTAGTATGTGTGATATTTTTTTCTGTCAGAAAATTTGCTTCAATCAAACATTAACATTATTTTCGATTTTGGTATTTTGTTGTATGTAAGATAAGATTTATAGGATATCTAAATTAGACTTTTCAATACATCTTCACATTTTCAAAACCAATTTACCAATTTTTAAGCTATTTATAGGAATTTTTTAGTTTTTATTTTTATAGGTACTTAAAATAAAATTGTTTAACCAAACATAAATGCTTGACAATTTAACATGAGGTTTATTATAAGCTGTATTTTTTTTAGTGCTTAACAGCTTCCATCTGACATGATTTCTTACAATTTCTGTGCTAGTCCTATTGTCCACTTCCTTTGTATTCTTAATCACCTTGTCTATCCAATGTTCCCCCCAATTTCTGACTAGTACATTGAGGGTAAGTCTTCTATCAGCTTGTCACACATGGCCAGCCCATTCCATTCAGTTTGCCTTGAGATACTTTCCAATGTTTGGTTTTTTATATAAGTTTTCTAAATCTCCATTTTTCCTTCTTTTATATTCTTCATTTTGGTTAGGTAGGGTCCATGTATTTTCCACGAAACTTTTCTTCATCTCCCTGCGTACTTAGCTGTACATAGTGGACAAAAGTAAAAAGTTGAGTGTAATTTAGTATTTTTCTTTTTTAAAATCAAATTTTGACAAAAATTGTAAATATTACAGCATTTTAAAACATGTATGTATTGCTGAACTTTGCTCAAAATCGTATTTTCTTATCTATGGTTTATTATTGCTTTCAGATATAAATTAAATAACTTTATCTGTCCTAACTTCCCACTTACAACAGCAGCACACCCATCAACAGTATCAGATATTTTTATTCAATACAATCGCATAGAAAAATTAAGGTATTTAGGTTCTTAATACGATCTATGAAGCTATGAATAAGTAGGTATCTTAACATTAAATTTTAAAAAAAGTTACATTTCGTCACTAACAATTATTTCTTATACATTTACATTTTAAATCTTGGTATAAATAAAATTATGAAATATAAATTAATTCCAAACTCATCACTATGTCTTTTTTTTATTATTATTATTATTACTAAATGTACTTGTAAGTTGTCTTTATTGTATTGTGTAGTTATCAGCACTTATAAATTTGTATTTACACTAAGATTTACACTTTTATCTCAATTGTTAGTTATTTCACAGCTCTTCAATTTACCTAAAATCAATTTATTGTATTATTTTTAAAATTTTAAAAAATACATCACTATTTTTTTCTACAAATCACTACTAATTTGTTTTTAGGATTTTATCTATTTAAGCAAACAAATAATTATATTATAATACCACAGACTATATTTTTACTATTTTAAAATTATTCTGGTAATAACTTTAGTAAAAATGATTTGTTTTGAACAAACTTAATATATTGATACCTAATGATTTAAATTTGATAAAGTTAAAGAATATTTAATGTTAAGATAAATTTCTTAAAGAAAATAAAACCACATCTAATTTAAAAATGTACTTTAAGTTACTTGTGTATTATACAATATATTCACGAGAACACCAAAAAATAATAGATCCGTAGTTTATTGAATTTAGCATTGACTGCTATAGATCAAATGTTATGTTACAGGGTTATTGTATTTTAGATATTTCAATCTCCATTTTATTGTGTACCTAGCTTCATTGTGCTGTGAAATACTACATAAATCTCAATAATGGCACCATGCATGTGTTTTTCATTTATGAAACCTGTGATGATAATTTTGCTAATTTCCATTTTCGCGTAAGTAATAATGATAATATTAAGACTGTAGGTATTTAATGAATTTAATTTATTCTCTATCTTATTGTAAATTAATTACATTATTTGTTGTAAACCATAATTAAATATATATATATATATCAATTAAATAACATTTGTATAATAATGTATATTGTATTTAAAATAATTGATACTGCTTTTAGTTGCAACAATACTTTATATTTTTTGTAAATATTTTTAATATCATCAGTTTGGTTATTATTGAATTAATGATAAGTGATACAGACAAATAGATGTAAGTAGAAACAAATTTTTTTAAAAAATCATCTTTATAACAGACTTTTAGAGTAATAACAAAGATGAAGGAAAATGAAGATTACTGGGAGTAAAAATAAAGTATAATTTTAAAGAGTGTAATCAAGAATCTGAAGAACAAAGCTACAAGGCATGTTTTGAAAATTTGAATTATAGGTGAAATTGATAGGCTTAAATATGATCAGTTTATAGTGTATGTCAAGTATTAGGTTGGCTTACTCATAATATCTGGGAAGAAGAAAAATGCCATTTAACATTTTGCTTTGCTTGCTACAATTAAGCCTTGTTTTTATAATTCCTAATTTAATCATCCTTATAAAAAAATAATGTACATATATATAAAAATTAAATTAATTCATTAATTTTTAATATACCTACTCCTTAAAATAATTTTCCTTCTTAACTTACAATTAGACCAAATTCAAAATAAAAATTGTCCTCCATAAAATGTGTTAATAATAAGATATATTAAATTATATAGGTCCCCTGAGAAAATGTTAGTTATTTTATTTCTGTATATCTTGTATACAGTATAAATGTGAATTTAAAATGTTTTGTCTATACATTTAATTAATAAATTAATTTATACATACCTTACCTATATAAAAGTATCTGATTACACTAATTATTAAAATAAAACAAATTTTACTGCTAGCTACATGTTTACTATATGCAAGTATAATTAAAATAAAACATATACATCTCATTTCTAAGATTCTTATTTTAAATTATTTTGTGTAGATTGTAAACATTGACACCTAGAACATCATGAGTTAGTGGGTTTTATTATTTTTTCAAATACTTTACAATAAAATAGAAAACACTGTGGCTCATTCTATAATATAGTTTTATTATTAAAAATATTTCCATTTGTATGTAATATTGAAATTGTTTTTACAAAAATCACATCTCATCCACATTGTAAATAGATTTTATTAGAAATAAGTACTTAGATGATTTTGTTACTTGTACAAATGTTTGATTAAATTATTTATTTATTTAGGACATGTTGTATCACTTCAAGTTTCTTTGCCATCATATTATTTCTCGTGTTTATAATAATTCCAATAGTTTTTCGATATTCACCATCACTTCAAAGGGGAATGATATTTCTTAATTATGGTAATGTTAAACAAATATATTATGTATATTTTTATTTGATTGTTAAATTACACTATCAAAATTCGACTATTTATTACATAATTCTGTTTTATTTTTTTTAGTTCGTATACCAGCTGTTGTTAATTATAGCCATCCTGAAAATTACGGTATCAAAGGAGCAAACAATTTTTACATAAAAACATTTGACAATATAACATTAGGAGTGTGGTATGTAATTTATTATTTTAAACTAATTTAAATTAAATTAAATTATAATAATAATAATAATAATTATCCTTCATATTATTTATGAACTTATTTTTTATTTGCGCATTAATATTTAATATGTATAATAGCGGAGATATTAAATCGAATTTGAAGTAAATTTTTTTTATAACTAATATTTTTTATCAAAATGTCTGTGGTCTTTTAATTAAGATTCCATTTTTACTATAGCCTTATTAAATGTGAATTATGATATAGTTTGTTTAAATAAAACATGATTAGACCTTAATGTTTTTGATGAAGAATCTTTTAAATTTGAAATAATATAATTGTATTCAAAATTATTTAGGTCGCATTCTTGATTGTATATTTCTTAGTTCTAATACAGAACTTACTTCTATTATTAATTCCTCTGAATCTTTGGAACAAATAGTTGATAGTTATCATCCTCCTTTAGAGTTGTATATAAAATTTACTGATTACTCTATAGGTGATTTTAATGAGTTATCACTTGTATATAATTTTAAGTACTGATATTTTAATGAAATCTCTCTTTTTCTTTCTAACATCGATTACTTAATCTAATATAACATTATTGATAAGAAGTGTGCCCATAAAAAGTTTAAACAATGTCATTCCCAAGAAAATTATATATTTTCTAACCTTGGGAAAAAAATGTAAATAGTTAATTTCTAACTGCCTTGCATAACATATTATAAATATTGAAAACAGTATCTAAACAAGTATCTTTCTGGAAGTATGTTAATTCACTAAAGAAAACAAATAGTATTGTACCAGATTGCTTTAAATATGAAAACTTCTCATCATCAAATGTCTCTGAAACTGTTTAACTATTCGCTAACTATTTTCCCAATGTTTATGTTCCCAATTCGATAATCCTTAACTTAAATAATTGAGATTCTTCTGAATTAATTTCAAAAACTGTTTCAATAAACAATATTAATGTTAATCTGAGCTCTTGAACTATGAATCATAATACAATTTGTGATTTTTTAAATAATTTAGATATGTATGAGGGTACTATATCTGATGGTGTTCCATTAATATTTTTGAAATTGTGTAATTTTGCACTAATTAGGCCACTACGATTTATTTTCAGTAGCTTTTTAAGTCTGGGCCATTTCCCTAATATCTGGAAAAAATCTTGTTGCACCAGTTTATAAATCATAGGAGAAACATAATGTTTCAAATTATAGGCCAATTTCTAAATCGTCTCTTATATCCAAAATATTTTAAGCAATTATAACCAAAAAATTAACCACAATAATGTCTCCTTATATATGTAAAAATCAGCATGGATTCAGACCCAAAATGTTTTCTATTCATGTATTATTTTTTCAGTCTAAGATACTTGATGACCTTAATGACCATGTCCTATTAGATTCAATTTATACTGATTTCCAAAAGGCATTTGATAAAGTAAACCACAAATTACTTCTAAATATATTAGTTTCTTTCGGTATTCATGGTACATTTTTAAATTGGATAAAGTCCTATATTAGCTCTTGCACTCAAGCTATTAAAGTGTCATTAATATTTCAAACAATTTTTTTAGGTAGTTCTGATGTGCTCCAAGGTTTGCACCTGAGCCCCTTTTTATTTATATTATTCATAAATTATCTACCTTCTATTTTTGATAGCTGAGTAAACATTCTTTTATTTGCCGATAAATTTTTCTCAATAGTTAAATCTCAAGATGACACGTTAATTTTACAATCAAATTTGGATAAGTTTGCAATATGAAGTTGTCAAAATCGCCTACTTCTAAATATAAATAAATATAGTGTTATTACTATTACTTTAGATAATGAAATTGATTATAATTATAACATTGATAACTGTGTTGTAATTATTATCATATTAATTAAGTATATTTCAATTAATAACTTTTATTAAAACAAAGTATATATTTTAGTTTAATAATTAATTCAATATACTATTTAACTCAAGTATGTATATTGCAGGCACATTTTACCAGGTAACCTTTTAAAAAAATATGATGAAGATAAATCAAGTTATGAACGCCTCTTAAGTAATGGAGAACCTATTGTAATATATATGCATGGTAACTCTGGAACTCGAGCCAATGAACATAGAGTTCAATTGTATCATGTTCTACAAAAAATTAATTGTCATGTAATTGCTGTAGATTATAGAAGTATGTAATATATTATAGGTGTATTATGTTATTGAAGAGTTTTTAATTTTAAATTATTATTGTGTGTTAGGTTATGCTGATTCAACTGATGTTGAAGTCAGTGAATCTGGTGTGGTGTCGGATGCAATGGAAGTATTTAAATGGACTCATGAACGTGCAAATGGTTCACCTATATTTGGTTGGGGTCATTCATTAGGAACTGGGTATGTTAAATAATTTTTTTTTTTTGGTGTAATTTAAAACTACATTTTTTTTCATGAGAAGAATCAGTGCACATGCATACTCTTTATTAGAAAAAGAAGGTCTTTATCCTAATGGTCTCATACTAGAAGCGCCATTTACCAAAATGAGTGATGAAATACGAGAATATCCACTTACCAAGGTAAAATATAATTTTATTCATCATCCTAATTTGGTGTGACTTTTCGAAGTCATAAATTGTTTAGATTGTTTGAGTTACTCTAATAAACAAACAAAATGTGTATAACATTTAGTTCTTATTTAAATCACTTCCAGTATTTTTTCTAAGTTTAAATTGTGTCTAATTTCTGGTGCATATGTCCCAAATTCAGACATCCGCCTATTATACTCAAATTGCTTTCAAGGTATTTTGGAAAAAAATTGAGTACATCTATATATACAAACAACATTTTTACTCTGTATCATACTCATTAATAAAGTAATTAAACATTGACAGTCTATAATGGATATAGATAGTTGATCATAAATTATATCAGGAAGTAACTAGAGCTTCCTATTTCATGTTCAGATGTGAATAATTATTCACGTTTGCACTTATATTGATGTATTTTATGTATTTTCACTACATATTCTTATGGATAATGCTAAAACAAATTAACACAGATAGTGAATTCAAGTATATTAAATATACATGAGAAAACATTTTTCGTTCAATTTACAGGGACTGGTTTCATGTACTTTTCATAGTGAAAGACCCTGAAAAATAAGATATTATATTATGTGGACTGCCAGTAAATTTTTGGCCCAAACAACTAAACAAATTTAAATAGTGGAAAAATGCCTTAAATTTGTCTAGAATTTTCTTTTACGTTTTTCCTATTTTCCCAATTGTTATGAAAACTACTTGTAAAATCATAAAATGACCTAAAAGTACAACAAAAAGTTTTTAGTCATTGTTTAAATGGAGCAAGATTTTTTACAAAAAATATGTCCACAGACAAAAAAAATTGCACATATTTTGGTTATATGATGGACCTTAACTCTTTAATTACCAATATAATCAGGATGCCTATAAGCAAAGTGTACATTAATAGAGAACCTATGGAAATAGGTTTTCCGATTGGCTCTAATCCCAATGAAAAAACAATTGCAATATCAGTTTATAAAAAGTATTTTGTGTTTTATTTATATTATTTTATTATACTAGCCTATTTTTATTTATTTATTTCTTTGTAGGATATAAGACTTGGATTTTTAATTTATACTTACTCCTTGTATTTTTTTAATTTAGGTACCTATATGATAACTATTTTAATTGTTAAAAATAACTGATCAGTAGGACATAACACTAAATTATAGCCTATAAGTGTTATTTGTTGATGTAAATAACAATTAATTCTATTATAATTTGTTTTTTTTTTAAGTTATAACAGACAATGAAGTAGACAATGAATATTTTGAGGGTTGGCTAAGTAAGTATCTATACATACAATATAGATTGTGAGGGGAAAAGTGATTATGTATGAATGTTATATGTATCTCAAATTTTGTATGTAGCATACATTGCATGGAATAATGCATTTAATTATGAAACAATATTTTATCCTGAAATAATAATTTAATATGTACCTAACCTACCTACCTAAAAAAATTATTTCTTCCATACATGTTACAATTGATCTAATATGAATGGTATTTTAAATTTTACTAAAAGAAAGTACTTTTTAGTTTTTAGTTATTTTATAAACCAAAACATTTAAAATTCATAACTGTTAATAAAATTGTTATCTCGTTGGGATTAGAGCTAATCGGAGAACAGGATTTCCGTAGGCTTCTCTAACAATGTATGCTTTGCTTATATACAACCAGGATTAACCCATTAACGCTATTAATGGTCCATTATTATAAAATTAATTTTACATTTATAATGACTTCATCAAGGCTAAATTTCACTGTATTTTTTTAAGCAAAATCTTGGTAAAATTAATCATTGGGCTAAAATAAGTGTTGACCAGCTCAAGAAAAGCCAAAGTAGTACAAATTGCACAAAATCATTACAATCTATTATATTATTATACTATCCATCTTGATGCTAATATTAGGTAGGTACTTTAATAAATAATAAATACAAGAATAATAAAATTCTTTTGCAATAGCTAAACCCAATTTGAATCCCCATTTCATATCTTTTCGTTTAGATTTTGATGCTTTATTATTTTTGATAGTAAAGTATAGTACTAATAATCACAAACAAATATATTAGTCAATCAGATGCTTTAACCTCTATCAGATTTTGTTAACTAACCAATATCAGTTAATAAGTGTCACCCGCACATAGTAATCTATAACAATGTTGATCAGACTTTGTATACTACTTTTTCCTTCTTACAGGCCATTAAATATTTGTTGATTTCTAACAAATGATTTTAATACTGGATTATTGACTCTTGGCATAGTACTATCATAAACAAACTGTTTAAATCAATTTTTTATAAGGCTATTAGTGGACAAATATTACCTAAAATTTGAAGAACCTAGGTTTTTAATTATGTTAAGTGGGGTGAAATTCAAATGATTATAAATCTTATTAAAATTGTTAACAATCTACTACCATTTATGATTGATTATACAAATTAGATAACCCATGTTATTGGAATATTTAGTTACTACTCATAGAATGCTTCTGTTATGGATAGCAAAAACCCTTACTTAAAAATTAATGTTAATGACTTAATAAGTACCCCATAGAGGCTGTATCTACCAAATATTAACGATTTCATGGGCTATCTATTTATTGTAACTAATACTAACTAATGCTACTAACTTCTACTCTTAAGTTTCATTTTTTAAATCAATAATTAATTTTTTTTTTTTTTTTTACAGATTCATCGTATGTTACCTTGGTTTGAGTTTTTCATTATAGAGCCAGTTGTAGAAAATAATATAATTTTTGATACAGAAACAAATTTGATGAATACTAAAATGCCAATATTAATATTACATGCAAAAGATGATGTAGTGATCCCTTATAAATTAGGTGAAAAGGTAAATACAATAGTTTTATTTTCTAAGTACAACGAAAGTAAGTAACTTGTTGGGAATTGAAAACTCAATAAAATTTTAACATTCTGATAAAAATATATTTTCTTATTTATTTATTTAATAATCAATTATAAAACCAAAATTCAACAAAAAGAGCATAATAATTCTACTATGCTTGAATATAATTAATTGAAATTATTAAAAACATTTAAAAAAATAAAATAAAAAGTATATCATCTCCATAATTAACTATAGAATATTGTAACTATGAAATTGTTTGTATCTATTTAATTGCTTAATATTTACAGTGGAAGGGGTATTTGGGGGTAAACTTTTGAAATTCAAATGCTAACCTATACTTATTATTTTACAGACATATGAAAAAATTGTTTAATACATTTTAGTCATTGAATAACATTAATTTATTCAAAATGTAGTGCGTGCTTTAGAGCAATTTAAAGTTTTTAGAAATTGCTATTGATGTCATTCATAACACAATGAACCATAATGCTTCTGAGAACCAGTTATAGCTATATTAGTATTAACTTTAAATCACTCAATCATAAAGTTTTGAATAAATTAATGTGGTTTAATCAAAATGTATTTAAAAATATTGTCAAATCATTATGTTTGAAAAAAAAATGTAGGTTCCCATTTGAATTTCAAAAGTTGATCCACAAAGTCCTCCTAAAATACTAAAAAACCTAAAAAAAAAAAAAAATGTAAAAATCATTATTATTATACATTTTTCTCTATTGTGAATATTTATATAATTAAATTACTGTAACATAAATTGTGTTGTTTTCTAGTTGTACACTCATCTACTTAAAACTCGACAAAATGCTAAAACTGAAATAGTGTTGTATGATCAGCATTATAAATATGGCCATAAGTATATATGTAAAGATGAAGAATTAGGAAACCGAACTTGGTTAGTATATTATATGGAACCTTGTCATTTTTTTCTTGTATTTACAAAACATAATTTTTTTAAGTTAAAACTAATTTTATTTTTTTTTTTTCAGGAAATTCATACAAGATTCTTTGGAGAATTCATCTCAATAAATATGTTTACTTTTACATTAACCATAGGCATTAATATCAAACTTATGAGAAATATTATTATACTTACATAATTTTCATTTCAACTAAATACTACTTATTTTCTTGGTAGATATTGTTATTTGAACTATACAAGTGTGATACAATTCAGTAGTAACTATTTATTTTGTAATTGTGATAAATTAATGTAGTATTATCTGTTCTATTTTTAATTCAGCTTTTTAAAATTAAACGTATAATCAAATTATTCAACTCTTTGATTTTGCATTTTTTAGTTTCTTTATTTTTTACAATTATTTATATTGTTAATTCAAAATAATATTATTTAATTATATTTGATTATTATTTGTTTACAAATATTTACAAATTGTAAATTTTTAATTTTTGAATTAGATAATCAGGTGCTAGATTTGTTTTCCTACTTTTATGTCTTATATAATTGATTTTTAAAACTCTTTCAAGAGCAGGAAGGAATGTATTGTACTACAATTTCATATTTTATTTAGTTTTTTGTGGATAAAATTGTTTTGGCTAATTAGAAATGTTGACTGTTCTTGTTTATCTAAAGTGTCATTAATATATCCTATTGACAATAATGTGTATATGATTATTGATAAAAATAATATTTATGAATATTAAATATAAAGAATATTATTATTAGAGGACACTGCTACATTAAAATACCATTATGAAGACTAAACACTACAGAAGCGTCACAAATAGACCAAGATCTGTATGACAAAAAAAACCTTTAGCTTGACTTGAAAAACTTTCAATTTTTTTCAATAGTAAAAATAAAGAACAAATATTAAAGATTGATACAGCTACTATTATAGTGAGAAAGGTGGGATATATATAAAGTTATTTAATTTATAAAGTAAGTATATATATGATAATAATATAATATATATATAATGTATATTTTTTTTATTCAAAAATGTATATATAAAAATAAAATAAATAAATAAATACAGTTAAGATAATACATTTATAATATTTCAGGGACGCATTGATTCATTTATTTATTTAATTTTTATACATACATTTTTTATTTATGAGTATTAACCATTTTAATAATTTTGTTTTTACTTTATTATTTTATTATTCAATTTATATCTGTAACCAATGATAAACTATTAATAATGAGAACCAATGTGGAGCAAAGTTTAGTTATACATGTTTTAAGAAGCTGCTATAATATTTATGATATCAAAATTTGTATTAAAAAAAAGAAATACTACATTACAATAAGCTTATATGAGGAAATAAATTATGGCGTGAGACACATGAAAAGAAAGTAGTCGCCCAATGGAAACACTTTATGTCCGGATTAGTTTAATTTTAATAAGGTTTTTTTTATTATTTTGTCCTAAAGAATTATAGGTATATATAGGTACCAACACCATTTTTTCTTTAACCTGCAAAGGAGATTACCAGGAATGGTATCTGAATTTAGCGCTAAAATTAAGGGATTTGGGTGGTTAGTTAATCAAGGTGTTTGTATAGTACTTTTGCAATTTCTTTTACTGTGTTTATTTTTAAGTCAGTATGAAGGGTGACATTTGAAATATATATTGGGGCATTTGTGATCATACAAAGATTTATGGATTGAAAAATATGGATTTTGTAAATATTTAATTTTTGGCAGCTTTCCATAGTTGCTATAGCATCCATAGATGCTGTATGTCCAAATGGGCATCAATAGAGTTTTACTTAATAGTCAACTCTCTGGGGAAAAAAAAGAATACTGATCAGCTGTCCTTGGTGTGGCCTAGACCTTCGACAAAGTTTGGATTGAAATATTAGGCTTAATACCAGCATCTAACCTGGGCAGTCGATGTTAAAATTAAATGATTCCTCAATGTGAAGAGTTAATTAGGAGGAATTTATTTGAGTATAAAAAAAAAATGGTCTTTCCCAAAATTGTTGACTAATGCTACCACCTATGTTTATACACACGCTTTTACCAAAAATGTGTATAAATTTATATACCCTTATTAGAAAAAATTATTGAAGATTTTGATATAAAGTTTTCTGGTGACCATATGCAATATTTTAATCTTAACTTTTTAGTTCCATCTAATTAGATTTTTAGTTTACTCAGCTAATTAAAGATATTAATTGATTCAATAACATTATTAAAATAATTCAAATATATAGCAGCTTAAAAACAGTCTTTCTTATACTGTTTTAATTAAACTAGAAGGAGAACATAAAAAATAAACTTTTTATTGTTAAATCACGCATTAAACTATATAAATTGAGCTCATAAAACATAAAATCATATTTTGATTCTAATTTCATTGCCGATTTCTGTGACAGTGATGAAAAGAAAAATTTCCTCATCAAGAGGAGGTTATACCCACATGTAATGTCTCAGTCCAAGGTAACATACAAAAACAATACTTACACAAAATAAGTAAAACTAGCTTAATTTTGATTTTATCTATTATGAATAATAAAGTAAAAACCAAATTATTAAAATGGTTAATAGTCATAAATAAAAAATGTACATATTTATTTACTTTATCTATTATGAAATTTATAGAGAACCAGTGGCGTGGCGAAGTGAAATATTTTATCGGGTAATTCATTTTTTTTTTAATGAACTACCACCACCCCTCGACTAGTATAAATTATAGTACTGTAGATATATAGTATATACTGTAACTATATAGTATAATATAGTATATAATAATACAAGCATTACAAAAATATAAACTAAAATGATAGTGCTTTAAATTGCCATATTCCTTGTTGTTTTTTACAGTATTCTGGGCTGATGGCTTTTCCTAGAATACTTATTATTAATTTTATTATTCTTATTTAATATCATATGACATATTCTGATGAAGTTAATCTTGTACTACAATTTCTCCACAGACTCCAGTACTCAACCACCAGGTACCCAGGCACCCACCCACCCACCACTTAAAATTATCGGGCAATTGCCCCTCAAAATCACGGCCAACACGCCACTGTAGAGAACAATATTTTGGGGGGGAATTTCATTGATGTTTTCTTTTAAATTATGAACAATTATAAAGTAACCTTTATTTAAATAACAAAAAAAAAAATGTATCTTTTATATAGAGGTGTATATTTTGAATAATACAAAAACCTATGACATTCCTCCAAAATGTTATTTTCTATAAATTTCATAATAGATACTTTTACACTAAAATCAAAATTAAGCCACTTTTACTTATTCTGTGTAAGCATTGTTTTTGAATTTTACCCGGTAGTTGGACTAAAACAGTAAATATGCGAGTATAGTCTTTTAAAATTCCTTAAAATGTGGTTATGGCAAGAGAGGGAGAAGAAAGATTATCTGGGTTAAATTTATACAGTTATTAATTTTGAGAATGAAAATAACATTAAAAACATTTTTATTTTCTGTTTAAAAAATTTTTCGAAAAGAAAATATTATCTAGGTGGTGCATAAGAAAGGTCATTTTTTTTTAATTCTCCAATGAGTTTTCAAAATAAATAATTGAAAAAAACCAGAAAGAAAATTATAGGTAAAACAGAAAATATTTATGGTCTACCATGGCGCATTACCGGTTTCATTAATAATAATTTTTGCAACTTATATTTTCTACCAGATATATTGCTTCAATAGAAAAATATAGGAAATCAATTTTGTTGCATTTTGGATCTTGATGCTCAGGAAGGTCGTTTTTTGATTTTCTAATTAGATTTTATCATAATAAGGAAACAGGAAAATGATAAAAAATAAAAACAAACAAATTCACGTAGGATTTCATTATTTTAAAATTATACGCGTTATATTTTCTATAAGAAATCTTGAAATCAATCAATACAAAGGTATAAAAATGAAGGGGTTGAGGGTTGAAAGTTAAAACCACTAAAAAGAAAATCCATGATATTTACACTATGCATAAACAAAATTTAAAATAAAGAGTGTTCTTTTCAATTACCTACCCTAGTTTTTCTTTAAATATTTAGCTGAAAGTTTATTCCTTTACAATGTTAAGAAATATTTATGGTAATACTTGTAATATTTAGAATTATTGAATTTTATATACCTATTGTATTATGACCATAATATAAAATGGCCCTCCCTAACAATTACTCTGGATCCTCGCCTGCCAAATATGCTTGGAAAATAATATAAATATATATATATATACATAGTGTGTTCTAGTATACTGTATATATTTATATATAGCAGATACAATACAGTGCAATTATGCTATTTTTAAAATAAATTAAATAGAAATTATAGGTTTCTTGTTCCTCTGACCAAAACACCAAATCTATTTATGTATTTATATCCATTTTTAGTTGATGGATAAATAAATAAAAATAAAAATACCGCATTTATTAACATCAAAAATGGTATTAAATACCTGAATTTAAAAAGTTAACTAAAACTCATTATGTATAAAAGAATAATTAATTTTTCCTACATTTTTATTAAAACTTCTAATAAGTAATACTTTATTATTGTTCAAGCTTCTTTGTGGAGAAATCTTTCCATTTAGACAGCATACAATAATTCTGAAATAAATTAAACTGTGTTTATATTGCATACATATTATACATTATACATTAATAAAATTATTGCATGTATATTAAATATTATATATTTATACTGTTGGATTTTTGATTGGCTAATATTTAAATCGTATTTTAAACAAATATAAACTTAGTCACAAATTTTAATTTAATTTATACATTAAATTATTTTAGTTTTTATTTTTATTGACTTTGAACAAATATAAAGGTTGCCAGAAATTATGACAATTGTTTATTAATTGCAAATGGTATCATAATAGCATTGATTACATTGGTCAACAAGTTTTAGTAAATAAATAAAAAATGTATATATTTATTTTCGTGTATTAACCATTTTAATAATTTGGTTTTTACTTTATTATTTTATTAAAAGTTTTAGTGGTCAACTAGTTGATAGTAAATTCTATATAAATCTTGTCTCAGATTTATAAGATTCACTCTTATTTTTGAGATGATCACTAATTCTTAAAAACTTAAAAAATTAAACAGTTAAATTTTAATAGAAAAAAATAAAACATTTTATTTTTCCCCGAAATATAAATGTATTGTTATTAAAGAGTATTGCAAAATTTAAAACTGATCTATTCAAATTGAACCTGTTTTCTTCGTCCTCTAAAATTAGGTTTTCTGTTTTATTTATCAAAAAACTAAGTTAAACTTTTCACTATAGCTTTTTTTTTTTGGTTTTGAATGGGTCGATGAATAGGACTTACATTGAATACATTTTATTACGTTTGGAATGTTTATGTTTTAACTTACGTTGTACCTACCTACCTTCATAATAATATGTAGTCATGAGAGTAAGAATTGTGGAAGATTTATTCAATAAAAACAAAGTTGACAGGACAAAGTATTTTTTGCATGTTCGAGACTGTTTCATGGGTTAGAGAATATTTACAATATTAGACATATTTGTATTAAATTTAATTTTGATAGGTAGGTAAAGAAATATTTTTTTGAAAAATTAACAATAGATTATAATTAATTTCAATAATTTCAATTTCAATTATTGAAATTTAGATTGGTAGGTAATAAATAGACAAACTGAGAAATTACAATACAATATCAGAAGCTGGATAGGCAACATAGTTACAAAATTGAGCGTTAGCAATAGAATTAATTATTTTTAGGAGTTGTATAGGCATCTTCTTAAAATAGGAGAAGTACAATAACAAGAGTAGAATAGGTAATATTATATACAAATTTGGGAACCACTGGACTTTCTTATCTAATATTTCTGATGGAACGTATGTATAAATTGTAAACGGTATTGTATAAAATCTTGTGTAATTTTACATTCAGTAGCCATGTACATTTTAAATGTTTAATAGTTTTCCTTTATAAACCTACCTTGGATTATTTTAATTTAACAAAGTCTTGAAAGTGTGAGTGAATAGTTACTATTTTAATAATTTGTTTATGTGTTTGTGTTTATGGATTGAAAAGGATTTGAAAGGTATAGTTGATATCTTTGAATAGCAGTCACTCAGGGGACTGTCGGAATTGCACGCAATTTTGAAAAATTAATAAATTAATGGGACTGTGCTGGGACAGAGAAATTTGTCCATTATTGGTAAGTGTCCACTAATTAACAGTTGTTTGTTAAGAAAGTTTCACTATTCATATTAATAAATACTTTAAAAAAAAATATATTTATATTTGTAAGATCCGAGAGGGACATTTTATAAATTTATTTTGAAACAAAAAGCATATGAAAAAAGTAAACTATCTATTTGGATTTAAATTTTGGAGAAAAATGATGAAGAGAAAGACAGAAGAAAGAGATGGTTAGATGCTATTGAGAATAATATGAGGACAGCTGATGTATGGGAAGTAAAAGATCAGATCAAATGGAAGTTTAGAAGGAGGATGGCTGATAAATTGTTCAAAAGAAGTAGTTTAAAAAAAATAAATAAAATATTAGGATCATAGTGCAAAGCTTTAGTAATTATTATAAAACAAATTAAATAGTACAAAGTCGTCACAGATGTCAGATCTTTGTAGGATACTTTATACAGTGTCCCGTCATGTTCAACAGATTTTTCTCGTTCTGTTTAATTGTTTTTGATTTTAATTTTTTTTTTCAATCAGTTTGTCTGAGGAAAACATAAATGTTGAGAAAAATTAATTATTTATTCAATTTAACCATTTTGTAAAAATATTATTTTTAAAATTTTTAATGTATCATACATTAATTTATAGTTTCTTAATTATAGCCTATTTAATTTCTAGCAAATGGACACGAAAAAATTAATATTCAATAAAAGGTAAAGAATTACTGTGCTGATTATAATTCCTCGTCGCATAACGTGTTATTTTATTGAATATTATTTGTATTCATGCCTAATTAAAACGGTTATAATTAAGAAATTATTCATCAGATATGAATGTGTGATGCATTAAAATTGTTAGAATAATAATTTTTTACAAAATGGCTATTTTCTCAAGTGAATAAATAGAAAAATTAATAATAAAAAGTTATTTGTTTTTTGTCTATAGGGGCGAAAATAAAAATTTAATTTTTCTCCAAAGAAATGTCTCCCTTGAAGATAAACCAATTGAAAACAAAAAATTGAAACAAATTTAATATTAACAGTACTAGAAAAATTAGTCGAACCTGCTATGGTATGTAATTAATTTGCAAATTTTTTTTTACAGATCCTATGAAATATTTCATAAATTTATCCAAGAAGATATTTCATATAAAAAGGAAAATGTCTTCTATTAAATTATGTTTATGGCCAAATTACATGTTTGTAAATCAAGCGGTTCCTCCAGGACAAACTGAACAACAATTAATGATAACTTTGTTATCACCTTTTAAAAATTCAAAAAGAATAAATTTGTGTCGAAGTCCAAATGACACTATTCAAATATTTATTGATAGATTAAAAATAAAATGTTTTCAAACTTGTGATAAGAACAAAAAGCTAGGAGCTAAAAGTGGTAACTTTTCAATAAAAGTTAATGAAATAGTTGTATCTGACAATTCTAAGTGTGGGGAAATATTTAAGCAGAACAAATCCCATATTACCCTTGAAGTCGATGATTATGTATTTAAAGTTTTATTTAATGCACCAATGATTATGAAAGCAAAAGTAAATACACCCATCTATGAAGGATTAATGTTATATCCATTTGCATTTGAGAACTCTTACAATGTATCTTTAATAAATAGTAAATATATATGGTACAAAATTGATGCAAAAAATGAAATAGAAGTGGGTAATGGAAGTGTTTATGTACCAACTAGAAATGATGTTGATTTCAATTTAAAATTAGTAATAAACCCTTGTAATGAAGATGGTCAATTTGGTCCTGCAGTAGAAATATTAACTTCAAAAGTTCAAACAAATAATGTTGATGTATATCCATATGAAAATAGGTTAAAAATAAAGCCAGATAATAGGTATATGCACTTAATTTATTATAAATTCTAGTTTTATTCAAAATGGAACTCTAGTTATATATTATCTAAATGCATGATTTTACATCAGCTAGTGTTTAGGTTAACATAATTTAGGACACTCATTTTCTTGAATCTGTATAAGGTTTGAATCAATAAGTGGTTAAGTTTGCATACCCAGTGGTAGTCCAAAATGTCTAGATAATATAGTTATACAGCAATAAATATGTTTTTCATGTAGATATTTGATAGTTTCATAATTACAATTATATTATCAAATAGTTTTATTTTAATTTAGAATATTTAATACTGGTAATTAAAACTTAAATTTGATTGTATTATACAGTGTTAGTTAATTTAATTTGTTATATGTATTTATAGTATTCGAATTGTGACTTACAATATACTTGCTAGTATGTATACTCGTACTAAAGAAGCTAAAAATGATATGTTTTCATATTGTCCAGAAAAATTCATTGCGTCAAGTTATCGAAATCCTCTTCTCTTGAAAGAACTAATAGGTATATATGATAGAATATGATTTATGTATTACTATATTATTATTTTTTTTTTTTTTTATATAATTATGTGTAGCATATGAAGGTGATATATTATGTTTGCAAGAAGTAGAAATTCAATTTTTTTATAAAGAGTTAAGTCCATTCTTAAAAAAATGCTTAGGCATGGATGGAATATTTTTAAGAAAATGTGGTAATAAAAATGAGGGCTTGGGTTGTTTTTATTCTTCTGATAAATTTAAGTATGTTATAGTTTTTATTTATATATATATACCTAATAATAATAATAGTTAGTATTTTATCTATATCTATATGTATTTGAAGGGCTCAGAAAAAGAATGATAGTGGTCCATTTTTTTGCAAAACTTGTCCAATAAAGCAATTTTCTCAATAACCATATAAACTAAATTAATTTTTAACCAACACCTTTAATATTTATTATACATATTCACTGACTAGATCTCAATATTTCAAAATAGTCTCAAAACACCATGGAATGGTACCATTATCTCAACATTTACGATATGGACTACTATCCTTCTTCCTTTGAGCCCTTAAAGTATTATCATTTAACAGTTTCTTTTTTTACATATATATTTCAGTCTATTGAATCAGTTTAATATTAAATTAAATGATTTAATTACCTTGGAAGTTTACTGTGGATCTATTATAAAAGAAATTCTTAATGATGAATTTTGGAAACAAGGATTACAAAAAAAAACTGTTTTACAAGTTAGTATTTATTTTTAATTGATGTATATTTAAAAATATAATAACTTAAATTATTTTATTTTAAAGGTTTTAGTGCTAGAATTGATTTCTGAAAAAAAACAAATAATTATTTTATGTAACACTCATTTAATATCTGATCCTGATGGAGATGCTGTGCGATTATTTCAAGCTTTAATTGAACTAACAATTGCTAATAAAATCAAAAGTTTAACTGTTAATAATGTAAGTATCTATTTTAATGTGAAATTAATATTCTTTAATTTATATAATTATTAATAATAATATTAATATTCATTTATAAGGCATATAGGTACCTAAATTTAGTAGAAAAGAAAAATAATAATGTGAAGTGATGTGGTAAATATTATTTAAAATTTGTATATGAAAGAATAAAGTATAAATATAAAATATCAAAACTAATTTTTATTTAAACATAACATTTAATGAATTAAATTAAATTTAAATTTAGTTTTTTCAATGAGTATTATTTATTTACGATTTCCCAATATCCATTATCCTTCTATAAAGAAATTTACTTTTTAATGATGCTATATTTTTTTCATAAATTTCTTAATTTGTTTGCTATAAACTATTACTTAAAAACAACAACAAGTAAATTTAACAAGTCAACAAATTTATGTAAATTAATGACAAATAATGAATTAAAAAAAAAAATTATGTTAATAAGATAACTTATAATTTTTTCAGTATCCTAAACATAAAGTATCTGTAATATTTTGTGGAGATTTCAATAGTACTCCAGAAAGTGGTGTCTATGATTTGTTTACCAAATTATCATTACCCGCAGAACACAGTAAATATGTTTTATTTTATACCCAAAAGCTATACAAAAACAATAAATTTAAATATAATTTGATTTTTTTTCAGGGGATGAAAAAATTTTGAACAATTTAAGAAATAATATTTTATTTAAAATGAACAGTGCTTACAATATTGATGTAGAATATAGTCATTTCACACAGTCATTTGTTGGTCTTTTAGACTATATATATTTTACTGATGATAACTTAGAACTTATTCAGGTAAAATATTATTGCATTGAATAAATTAAAAGATAATTATTTATTATTATTGGTATTGTTCTTTTAGGTATTATCAATGCCATCACATGAAGATGTTATAAGAAATGTGGGACTTCCTAGTATATTATTTCCTTCAGATCATCTACCATTAATAGCAGATTTCATAACAAAATGAGAATTCACAATGTTTGTTAAATGAAAAAAAAATTAAATAAATAATTTTGTTAGAAATGTTGATTTATTTAACTGTGAACACTGAATACATTATAAATTTGGAGCCTAGTGAGGGATCTATGGGTTTTAAAATTATATTTTTTGTTTGTTTTTTTTACTTTATGAACAACTTTTATACCAGAAAGCGGTTTCCAAGTGAAAAATGAAAAATAAAAACTTTCTTGTTGTATTTTGAATCTAGTTGGTGCATTGGATAGGTCAGTTTTGATTTTCTAAGGGATTTTCATAATAATTGGGAAAAAACAAAATAAGATGTAAACTAAAACTAGACGAATATATGGCATTAATATTTTGTAATTTTAAATGTTTACGAATTATGTTTTTCACCAGAAATCTTGCTCTAATAAAAAATGACAAGAGACTTTTAATTGTTGCATTTTGAGGAGTCTATTTAGTTAATAAAAAGCCATTTTTGATTATCCTTGTAGTTTTCTCAATAATTGAACAAAATTGTAGAAAGAACTTAAAAAGTTGATAGACCATAAAATAATGATTTTTATGATAAATTTTGTTGTAATTTAGTAGAGTCTTAAAATATTGAAGCCATTTTTTGTTATTTATAGGCATTTTATATTTATGAGTTTTGAATGTAATTCTTTTCCAGTAGGTACTATGTAGATATCTTTGTTAGGCCAAACGTAAAAATTAATATTAAAACACGAGGTTTATTTTAAGTTGTATGTTTAATGAAAAAAAAACTAGTGTGTAATGTATTAATTTTTTTATAATGGTTTTAAGATCAAATTTTAATGAAAATCGTAAATATTAAATCTTTTCAAATCATGTGTAAACAGTCATGTGCTTAAAATCATTTAGAATGATCCAGACATATCCAAATACATTCTACCCTTTCACCACTTCGCCAATAAGGTTTATTCAGTTACAATAGTCACTTTGTGTTGGTCCTAGAGTGAGTTTTATAAGAGGCACTCACTGCATAAATTAAATAATTCTATGTATCCTACCTTCCTACCTACAATGGTGGCACACCCATCAACAGTATCAGCTTTTTTTTATAAATTATACTGCCATGAATTTTCTTAGTCTTACCACAAATGTTCACTTTTGAGGCAAGCTCATCATTATCTATATAAAAATAAAAAATTTTTTGTATTCTTATTTTTCTGACAAATGGCAAATTAAGGTAATTACCTAATTATTTATTATTATTTAAATTGATCAAAAACTTAAAAATTGTTTAAATTACTCTGTCACCAGACATTCAATATGAAAAGAAAAATAATGCTCACTATGAATTCAAATTTAGTTAATAAGTTCATATGTTGTAATCACACAGATAATATTTATGAATCCAAACATCTTTAAAATTGAATACCTACTCGCAAATTACTAATTTTTACAGTTTTTTAAGGAAAAAAAATTACAGAGAATAAGATTTCTCTTAAAGTGTATGTATCTAAATGGTCTTTAGTAAAGACATTTTGTTTGTACTTGTACAATATTTGATGATATCTATACAGAAACACTTTTAAACATTGACACAGCTAGACATCACATTTTGAGTCCTGAAATTATGTTATACAGTTCAGCTAACATAACACATCCCTAGATAATGTTTTTCAATTTAATAATAATTCAAATTGAATTTAATGTTGAAATTAAACATTAGTTAATAAATTCTTCTGATGTATTGGTATAAAAACAGTAAAATAATATTTATTTATTATATCTTATATATATTTTTTTAATTTACCTATTTTTACATAATTTTTGGTATAATACTTAAGTAGGTATTCAGTATTTCTGAGAAAATAATGAGTACTCACTGTTAACTACGTTTCTTTCAATATTTAATATTAATACATTTGTGAAATACTATTGCTCTATATATTTGAGCCCATTGTCTTTAGCCAATTATTGGACAAAAACAACTTATAAAAATATGAACATTTGAAAATGTGTTTTTTTTAAAAATATTATTAATTACAAATAACCGTTTTTTAGGAAAGATATACAATATCTAACTCTACGTAGGTATATATAGGTACCTACCTAATACAATACACATACACCCAACCAAAGTTGAGGCCCCACAAAGATAAAGTAGTGGACTTGGGCGTATAACAAACGTTTCAATATCCAAAAGTAGTTACTCCCGGGCCTTTATAGTTTTATTACCCTTTGCAAAAAATTAATTTAAGCTGCTTAAAGTCTACTTTTATGAATACTTAACTAAGTACTATGTATAGCAATTCTAGGATGTTTTATCCCTCATCAAAAAATTGAGTTTATGTACAAGTTATTAGCCATGGAATGTTTGTTTCCCATAGTATTTTGACTATACTACATTTGGTTTTAGTCGTTATATTATGTTTTAAAAATGAACCAATATATAGGTATATGTAATAAATATTTGAATGGATATTAAATAATAAAACACATTTCAGTTGACCTAAAAATAATTTTAAAAAAATATAAATTTATTTTTAAATTATATATTTTTACACCATTTTAGTTTCTATTTAATATTATTTTAATAACTTAATTATTTGTCATTATAATATTGTAATGTATTATTGTTATTGTAACTAATTGAAAAAATGTTTGCCATAATTCTAATATTGCTTTAATTTTAATCAAGTAGTAGGTAATTATTAATTTATTGATTTAATTAATATAATACATGTGTAGGTACTAAATAATAAGCATGTTAGCATGTAAGCAATGTTTTTATTAATCGTCGAAAGTTTTGATTGTGTAATAGGTATATAAAAATATAAAATACCTACATACATAAAAATTGATATCATACAATGTAACAAGAAATTATCATTATTGATATATTGTTAAGATATTTTTAATATCTGTTTTTTACGCTAGTTTAGTAAATTTCTTAAAACATACCAATTTGCATATTTTATTTTACGTTTCAGTTTGTAAAAATTAAAAAGTGTTGTTTTTATTAAAATACTGTTCGTATTACATAAAATATAACATGTATTAAAGAAATAAGTTTTTAGGTAGGTAGGTTATGTACAATATAATAAATTGAATACCAAATTATTATTTCAGGATAAAATATTGTTTTATAATTAAATATATTATTTCATATGCTACATACAAAGTTTAAACATGAAGAATACTTATTAGATGAAAATAGAAATTACAAAATTTAAGATAAATCATGACATTCATACATAAATATTTTTGCCCTCAGAATCTATCTTGATGGATAAATCTTATCAATACTTTGTTTTCATTGTCTGTTTTGAAATAAAACAAATTATAATAGAATTAATTGTTATTTGCATCAACAAATAATATAATTTAGTGTAACTGATCAGTTTTCAAAAATTAAAATATTTGTCGTATAGGTACTTAAAATAATAATAATAATATGAATTAAAAATTAAAAATTATATCTTACAGAATTTAAAAAAAAAGAAATTAACAAATATAAATTATAATGTAATTATTATCTCGTTGGGATTAAAGCCAATCAGTGAAAAGAATTTTCATTAAGGTTCTCTAACAATGTAGAGGTACGCTTTGCTAATATGCTACCTACCAGGTTTAATTTTAAAGGGGAAATCTCTATAGTGAATTTCTTCATAAATAGGTAATAATGATTTGAAAAAGTTGGAGAACCAAACATACTATAATCAAATATTCCTAGGACTAAACGTCCAATAACTAATAACTCCCAGAGACTCCCAATGTCCTACCTTAATAATTGCTGGGTACACGAAACATCCATTTACCTCGTATAGCATGCCTTGAGGCTTGAATAAAAATAAGTAGTTTTGAAAGATTTAAATACACAAATGCCTCCGTCGAGAAGACCAAGATAACTGAATAAAGCAAAAATAATAACCCCGATTACTAACTAAACTACCTGAATTAGTTTGTTCAAGTTGGGATATGTTACTTTATATGACAACATGTTTATCATGACTTTTTGAATGTTTTTTTTTGAACATCATCAAAATTGAAATTTATAGACTAGCAATTTTCAAAGTCCATCATTTCCACTTTGAACATATTATTATCATAGTACAATATTTCTGTAATTATTAATATTACCTTCAAAATCAAAACAATCAAATTGCAGAAGAAAAAGGCTTTTATTAATTGATGGTTCACAAGTCCCCTGTGCACCCACCCCTAACTGCTATGACGGCGGGAAAGAAGAAAATTAAGTTATGCAATTCTTAAATTTATACAAAAATATGTTTCGAGTAACGGTTATATAACACTGCAGTTGAATTATTAATTAAAACAATAATTAAAAAATGATTATGAAAGTAACGTTCAATCTGATATTGAAAGTAGATAATTCTAAATACAATTTGTAAAATTGAAGTTCATTATTTGTAGTAGACACTCAGTTAATCAATTTTTCGTATTCGTATGGTGAGTATGCTTATTTACTTTCTAACGAATATGCCAATTAATTTAGGTACCTACCTAAGTAGCAAATTGATATATTTTATTACGCGCATCTGGTACCATACTATCCATACCAAGGTGGATTCATACTATTATTGCATTGTATTACATTATTTTTATAGTGACACAGACGTTTATAATACATATTGCACTTCTTGTATTGGAGTCTGTGATTTAGTGATAATAATGACGCAGATGGTGGGCTGCCGGAATTTTAAATATTATCAGCTACGGCTGCAGGAGTTGTTATTCAAAAAATCGAAAACAAAAAGGGGGTGCGCGAAACAGTGGTTACGTGACCCCATCCCTCTCGCCACTAGTACCAACTCAACGACCATGCTTAGCCGTTCAAAGTAACCTCAGTTCCATCGTAAAAACCGTAAAACACTCCCAAATGGCCAAATGATAAAACCGCGCACGCACGCACGCACGCACGCAAGCAGCCGTACGTTACATCACATCTGCCGTCTGCGACCCAAACGGCCAAACACACATACACACGCGAAAAACACGGTTTATTCGTTATTGTGACGCCTGTATCGATTCGATACCGGGCCCGTTACTCGTTAGTTTGTTGAGTTTTTTTCAGCTCTCAACTGAAAATCGAATATTTTTGTTCGCTCGCTGTTTGCAAGCTACGTCATTGCGTACCGCTGCTCGACTTGGACTGACAGTCACGTATTATCATCATCCTGGCTGCCCGTAGCATTAACAAAAACCCAATCGAAATGGCGTCCGCGGCCGCCACTTCATACAATCAAAACCGCAGAGTGCCGCCTACAATGCAAATCCAAAAGGTAATATGCCAAGACTCTGTGGTAGTCTGAATAAAAAATATATTGTGTTTATGTACCCCTTTAGAGATTTTTCGTCGACATTTCTATCATTACCGTCTTCCTATGATTTATCGTCTTCGTCTAGGTATCTACATAATTTTTTTGTATGCTTCGGCACCTACCATCCTCCCCCTCCCCTCCCCAGACCCCGTAGTAGTTTTGTGTGTCGATAATATTGTATATTTTGTTTCGTTTTTGATTTGCACACCCAAAGCCCTTAAGGGTGCGTACATACTTGTGGTAAAAGGTTCAGTGATGACATAGTGGTTAACAATAAAATTTAGGTACTCATGGTTTTTCATGGCTCAATTTATCATTATCTATTAGCATATTATTAGCGATTATTCACAATTGTTTTGATATATGTTACATTATTATGATTTTTATTAGACAGGGCTTTTGATCTAATTAGGCGTACTTACTACCTACTTATAGTGGTTCTAGAACTACTTTTGGTATGCATATTTGTCGCAATCTGAAATAACTTAAACTAACAATTCAGCATAAAATATGATACGTATATAATGCATCATTGTGCTTATAAATTGTTGGCTAGTCAATAACTTTTGGTGATTTTAAAAAAATATTATGAAATTTTACAACCTCAACATTTTTCATAACTTTACTTTCACAATGCAGTTAATCCAATATTGTTGTTATAATCTACTTGTAATAAATTAATTAAGTAGATAAGATATAAGTAGGTACTCAGTTGTGCAAAATTCATTGATTTATATTTTTTTATTTTATACTTAATTAACAGACTTAAGTACTTATTTAAATATTATAACTATTCTAGTAGGTAATGTAAAACAGTACTAATTTTTGTCTGAGTATAATGTAAGGCATTCAATTACATAGACATTGTTTATGTGTTTTATATTTGTAGATTAGATTGTATCTGAGTCTTTTTAAAAGAAGAGCATTTTAATTTTACTTTCTACACGAGCATATATTTCTGTTCTGGAAGTTTTTCTAAGCATAATCATGTTTTTTGAAAATATGCTGAAAATAATGTGGCTAATATTATGATTTCACCCGATTGATTTGATCAAATATTATCAGCATAGTTTTGCTCTGGGAAAATCATATCTCTTGAAGGTTTATGATTTTGACAGAGATTTTAGTTTATTTGTAAATTAATAATATTGATGTTTTAGATACTGGATGAAAATGCACAACTGATTTCAACAATTCAAGAATTTCAAAGCAAAGGAAAAGGTCAAGATTGTGTACAGTAAGTTTTTTTTTTATTAGCCACTAGTATATAACTATGATGTACAGTAAGTTACTGTTTATTTTCTCATTATTGATATTGATTATAGAATGTACACATTTAAAATGTCCTTTTACTGCCTTGATAACCAGAAATAAAAATGTTTAATCCTTAGATATTAATACTAATAATATTATAAACAGAAAGTATTTATTTGTATGTTTGTAATGGATAAGATCAAAAACTACTTGATCCATTTTAAATCTCCTTTTACTTATAAAAGCTACATTATTAAGTAACATGGGCTGTATTTTATTTTCAAAAAATATAAAGATACCTATAAAAATTGCCATAATGTAATCCAAGGTATCAAAAATAAACTACTGAATAATTTACTACATGTTTTTAGTACTCATGTTTATTCATGGGTTACCTTGGTGATACAAGTGATAATTTGGTTGCCAAGGACAATAATATTATTATTATTACTATTATTTACACTATTATTTAGATGAGTGTCTCACTACAGTATAATTTTTGGCCTTATCACTTAATAGTTATATCACAGGTTATATTAAATGTATACCATAACTACAATCATATAATCATAATTGGTCAATTCATAAATTATAAATTAAGTATTAACATTTATTTGAATAATATTATACATTATATTATATTAGGTATGTAAATTAAGTTCAGGTTTAATATAGTTCAGGAATTCCCTGACTATTTTAATCAACTAAAAAGAAGAGCAGTCATAAAAGGTTTTGAGATTTGAGTATTATGACTGCTCTTCTTTTTTGTCGAATAGAGCCAAATCTGAATTTAATTTTTTTTTTTATATAACATTTATATTTCAACTATTGTAAATTTGATTTTTTCTCCTTCATTTATGAGTGCAATAACTGAACTTAATTTTTTTCTATTTTGATCATTGAATGTATTTGTTGCACTTAGACCCAAACTAATTTCTGCTTGATTTTTATTTTCAAACTTTAATCAATTATTTTAGTGATTTGTACAAGTTGTATTCATATCAATTTAGATGTTCTGTTCTTAAATATTGGTTTCTTTATGAAAAATATTGTCATCCAAATGTTTATATAAATTTACGAGTATCTATATGCTTACAAATGTTTGCTTTGATGACATTATCAATACAAGAACAATAGTCAACTTTCTCTCTTTTTTTTTTCAATAATTTCCTTTCTTGCTATTCTGATCATATTATGATCAATGACAATAAAAATATTGTCTTCTATATCCATCACACAATTTAGACATTTCTCTATCAATAACAAATATTGAAAACCTTGTTCTTCTTTTCTTATCTATGTCTCAAATTCTCTGATTAAAATATTTAATGATTGTTATTTGTAAATAATAAATAAACAAATTAGTATTCACATTTACTACCTTGGATGCTTAGAAATTCCATTTTTCATTCACGTTTTCATTTAATGTATGTATTTAAGATAAATTAATATTCAATTTAGCATAGGAATATATGGGTTCTTTAAATTTACTATTGTGACAAATTATTCTACATTATTTCTTTTACCCTTCATTGGTATCGGTTTGATGTAACTTTTTGAAATGTGTATCTTCCAATTAATAATCATAAAAAAAAAAAAAAAAACTAAAAAGGAATCTCAAATAAAATAACCAAAGAATTATTAAGAAAATACTATATATTGAAATAAATAACACAGTCAAGAAATGATTTTCAGACTTTATGGCCGTATTGATATACTTTTTACAAACAGATGTAAAAATGCTTTGGAAATTTTTGAACTTTATTATAGCATACAATATAATATATATTATATATATTATTATATTATATATAATTATTATATAATATATTTTAAATTTGATGCACTGATATCATTCAATCTATGATAACAGATATGATATAAATTTAATATAACTATTAATTGATAGCGCATCCTAAAATTATGCTGTAATGAAACATTTGTTTTTTTTTGCAATAGCAAAGCAGAGTCAACTTATATTACAAGGGTATATCTACTGTTGAATGACTGCAAAATGCCTAAAAAAGTAAAGTCTCAGCTTTCTAAACATAGTTCCCCAGTGAGGGCAGCCAAGTTATGTCTTATTGGAGAATCTTCATCTGAAAATGAAAATCAATAATCATTGATATATGTATCTCTTGAGCAGGGTTCACTAATTAATTTTTATGGAGGTCTGTTTTGAAACTTACCAAATTTTTAAACTCGTAAAAAAAAAAACTTTGTTCAATATCTACCAACATGGCTAAATCCACGTGGAATATACCCATCATATATATATATATATATATATGAAAAAACTAGTTAATTTAAATTATATTTAACATTGTAATTCTCATTTTTTAAATCAAACATACCATAATGAAAATCACAGCCTTATCAGGTGTCAACTACAAGAAAAAGACATACACTTTTAAACTTTTTATTGGACTTTATTTAAACTTTTAATAAAAATTATAGCAAACACAGTTTATGATATTTTAAACTTAAAAACACAATTTTTTGTAAAATGGAACATAATAATGTTTTTTTTTTGACCATAATTTCCATTGGAAGTTTAAGCTACATTTTTTGTAAGTAACTTACATCAAATTTAAACACGCAAAAACACATTTTGAAAAAAAAAAAAAATTATAAGTAAACCGGTAAATATTTATGACTACTGTTTTCATTATGTATACACAATATTTTTTATCGAAAATATTGCTCTAATCTAAAAAATTTTAATAATTGAGTAAAACTGAATAATGTAAAAATGTTAAGGGAAAATTTACAAAAATAATTCTGTTAATTATTTTAAATTTTGTTTTAACTAAACAGAAATGTTTAAAAATTTCACAGGAGGTACATTATAAGTCTTACTGAGTGATAAAAAAATAAAATTAAGTATTATATAGAATGTTTTTTTTATAAGTATTAAAATCAAATTTTGATGAAAATCGTAAATATTTAAAAACACGTTTGTTCGAACTTTGCTCTGAATTTTTTTTCGTTAGCAGTGGCTTATCGTTGGTTACAAGATATCAATTAAAAAACTTTATGTATCCCAACTAGCCACCTACAACAGTATCAACAATTTTTTTTTTTCATTTGGGTTGATTTAAAAAAATTGTTTTCATATTTTTTCCTACATTATCTGTTCCACAAGAAACCTTTGATGCCTGTAAATATAAAACAGTTATCTTTTTATAATTCAATGATGTATAGCAATGCTAGTGTAGTATACTTTCCTAATTTATAATTAACATAGTTTACTCCCATCACAAGCACTATCTATTCATTTACTGGACATATTATAGTATAGTCTGTATAATATAGTTTCCTAAATTAAATGATAACATATTTAATTTTGTCCAGATTTCAGCAAATTCTTCATCGAAACCTGGTTTACTTAGCATCTGTGGCTGATTCAAATCAAAACATTCAATCATTGCTACCGGTTTGTGCACAATAACTATTATGATTGTTCAGTAGAATATTGCTTTATCACACTAAATTTTATATTTATATATTTTTTTTTTATATAGCCACCGAGTATAGCTTTACAAGGTATGCAAACACAAGGGCAACATCAACAGTTACATCAACAACAGCAACCCATACCAGCAATAATGGGTGGACCAGAAGGTCCAAATTCTCAGTCAATGCAACAGTCTCAGCAGCAGTGCCCCCCTCAACAGGCCATGAATCAAGTGTTCACCCAGGGACAAGGACAGTTAATGCCTTCTGGTGGATATCGTCCCCAACAAACTATTGCTCCAATGAGTATGACATTTCTAAATTTAATTATTTTATATAACATTCTTAAATGATATAATATACTATCTTGGTTTTCCAATGATAGTATAAAACAAAATATACCTGAAATTTATAATAATGAAGTTCATAAAAAAATAAACTCACACTCTTTGGTTTGTGATTTCCCCTCCATTGGTAATAAATAATATATTGTGTGCAAATAAAATAATGTAATAAATTGACAAAAAGTCATACCATTACTATTAGGTCATAAAACATATTATGGGTCTTTTAAAAACTAATTATCAAACTGATTTACTGATCAAACATCACAGTACATGGTTGTTTATTGTTATTCAAGTATTATTCCTTATTATTTTTAAAATTAATTAAAAAGATTGATCACAGTACCTTGTTTCTCCAGTACAAAAATATTTTAGAAACAATAAATACATGTAAAAATTGTTACAAAATAGTTTTTATAGGGTCCAGATTGTGCTAAAGAGAAGGTATTATAGTTTTTAATTGATTGAATGGTTTGAGATTACCGATAAATAGTATTGTATATTTTATATACTTTTTTGCTCATGCACTTCAGTGGCATATTGCAAATATAAATTGGATATTGATCATTAACCAATATATTAGACATAGTTCTATAATTTTTTTCAACAGTTGAAAAGCTTTTGCTTATTTGCCAAATACATGGATTTACCTGGAAATCCTTAACATTTTATCATTATATAAAACTTATTATTTTTATTATTATCATTTTTCTATTTATACAATATATTTATTATTATGGATGGCTGGAAGATAACCCTGAGTGGCGGGCCAGACCAGTACCAAAACTAATAATTATAAAAAAATAGCATGTGTGATTATATTGATAAAGAACAAATTAATTTGTATTGGTTTTGTTCAATATTTCAATAAAAATTATTTATTTTTATTATTAATTTATTTGTTCCACAGAAAATGTTATGGTTAATTTTGTCATTTTATAATTTTTATCAAATGAAAACATCAATTATACAATATAATTAATATTATCATCTCTTATAAATGTTCAACTAAGTATTTTAATTTCACTCCCCAAAACAATACTGAACTAAATGTTTAGTAATGTGCAAAACAACTCACATTTCATTAGAGCTTAATAATCGTCAATTGAATAGATTTCTTTTTGTTTCAATATAAATATATATTTATTATTATGTTTTTCAGTATTATCAGTAGAAGTATACGTACTCTATATGTATTAATTAAAAAATTATAATACTGGGTGTGCAATACCCACTGTAATATCTCCAGAGATAATAAAGATAATCAAATTATATTTTAATATTTTTAATATATATAGCACAGTGATAGGACCTCAATTGAAATTAATTTTTTATGCTTCTATAAATAAATAACTTTTTATTTTATTTTTTTGAAAAATTTGAAGTATCTATTTTTTGTTTTCATTAAATTTATTAATTTTTAATAACTTTCAAGTTTAGAGAAAAATATCTACAATTATGCAGGAGGCTGTAATGACATTATCTAATTGATTATTATTATGATTAGTTATCTGTAAACTTTTTTTTTCTGAATATTAAAAATTATGAATTTAATGAAAATATCGTTGACATATCAAAATTTTCAGAAGTCAATTAAATGGTTTTCTTCCAAAAAAAAAAAAAAAAAAAATTATAGTCCTTATCCCAATGAGCAATATAACAAAACCAGATTTTAATTATCTTTAATAGATCTCCAGAGATATTATAATGGGTATATCTTTCAAAGACACTCTATGTACCTTTTATTAGAAAACTGAAATTACTTTTAAATTCTGGAAAATAAAATAAAAAAATTCTAACTTGTTCTTATATTGTAGGACCGCCAGCTCAACAGTATCGTCCATCACCTCAATATCAAGGGCAACCAGCATATCCAAATTTCGCTACTACACAAAGCAATGCTGTGGGTTCTAGTCAAACTGGTCCTAGTGGTACTAATGTTGGGTATAACCAACCACCAAATCCACCCTATCAGGGATATGGACATCCACAAACAGTGTCAAGTTCCAATTACCAGAATGCCAATTATGGAAATCCTAACCCAGCAGCTAATCAACAATATCAACCGAATGGCCCATATGGTACTCCACCTGGGGGTAATTATCCTCAAAATTCCGGTGCTTCTCAGCCACAGAATTTTCCGCCAAACTATCCTCCTGCCAATTATGTTCAGCCTGTAAGCTCGAGTAGCACTTATGGACCAGGTTCAAATCAACCCTCATCATACACTGGTTATGGAAATCCACCTCAGAATACATATGCATCAGCTCAAACAACATCTGCACCATCTGCAGCTACTCAGACTTATTCTCCTCCTACCAATCAGTCTGTTCCTAATGCCGCTATTGCTGTTAATCAACAACCTGCACCCACATCACAACCGACTTATCCAACACCACAGCAACCAAACACTCAATCATACCAACCCCCTAACAATGGACCTAACCAACAGCCCGGGCCTCCTCAAAATTATCCACCTCAGCAATCTTATCAACCTCCACCGCAAGGATATGCTCAAGGCTATCAAGCTCCCGGACAACCTAGTGGATATCAGCCATATAGTCAAAGGCCTTTAGCTCCTCCAGCAAATCAGTCTCCATATCCAGGATATCCATATCAACCTTCTCCAGTTTAATAATTCGTAATTAATTACTATTTTTTAAACTTTTACTTATGCATATAAATTCTTGTATCTTAAGCCCTTCTTAACAATATTTGGTTAACACTAAAAACAGATTAATTTGTTGTAAACCAACAAAATTCACTCATGGTTAGTGCTAATGAACACTTTATTAATGGATTATTGTAAGAAACAGGCTTAGTTAGATTTTAATTTTTAATTTTTTTGTATGTACCTGTGTAAGGTAGGCACTTGCAGCATGTAAATAACTATTATGTATACTCTTTTTTAGCATTTAATATACTATTTTAGTTTTTTTATCCATATAAAAATAAATTTTAATACTTAATATTAAATTAATAAAACATAATAGATAATATAATAATTTAATTGGGTTTATTTAGTGTGGTTAATCTTAAGTGTCATTTAATTATAAAATTATTTTTTAATATTAATCATATTTAATTTTTTAATTATTATTTATAAGGATGTTTAAATCATTTTCAATTCAATACAATTCATAGGACTAAACTAGCTTAATGTTTAGTAGCTATTTAGCGTTATTTTATATACATTATAATTATTCATAAGTACTTAATTTATCTAAATAAATATTAGTACTACAAAATGCCATCTATTTTAAATTTATTATACTCAAAACAAAATTGTATTTTTGAGGTTTTGCTCATAATAAATTTATAATTGACATAACAGAAAATACTCATTATCAGAAAATATTAACTTTTTTTTGAAATTTGTTTTTTAGATCATTTAAGAAACAAGCAGCTCTAAAATGTTATATTACCTTTATTTTTTTTGCCACCTTTAATACTACCCTATTTTGTCTGTCAAATTGATCATATAAAAGTATTAATTTAAATATGTTTCGCTGTTGACATTTTTAATTAGTGTTTACTGTGAGATATTCCACACAATTTTGAGTTGAAGAAGTATCATTTGTGTGGTGATATGCCAACATTTGATGGTGCTCCACTACTCTCCTCTTTTGCAAAAAATGACAAATTTCAAACCTAATTAGATAATGAGTATCTTAAATTATGTTGGTCACATAGCATATGTCTAGTAGTAAACTATAAAATCATCAGGACACATTGAGCAGATATGGTTAAAATTTACAAATTGTTGATTGATTAATTTTTTTGTAAATTATATGTTAAGTATTATGGCTATTATTATTTATTTATCTTTTGTGTATAAGTTACAATATAAATAGATGCAATTTTTATAAAAAGAGTATCCTGTAGCCATACCAGTTTTGATTTTTAAATGAGAACCTACATGTTTTAATGCAAATTGTGATTTTTATTAAAATGTTTACATATTGTAATATAATTTTGAATAAAAAGTTAATCTACTATAAATAATAGGAACTATTTCATTGAAATCTGTATCAGTATTTTCTTATATTAAAGAATTAGTAAAAAATTAACATTTAATTTTTCTTATGCATTGTAATTGATGTAATAATAAGTTTCCTCAAAAATATAATACTGATTTTTTTTTTTTATTATGGCTTTTGTTCTTATGTGTTATTGAAATTAAATCAATGCTTTTCTATTGGTGGCATGTAATTATAGTTATAAAAGTATTAAGACAGTTCTGGAATTGATCTAAAAAAAAATATTTTCTTTTCAGGAATGAATTAGTTCTTAATTTGGTCTTAACTTCTACCAGAAATCTTATTTCAATCAAAAAATGAAGACATTTGTTGATCTATATGCTGCATACAATTTATTTTCATAGCAGTGAAAAACTAGACAAATTTGTTTGATTTTTGTTTCGTACTAGAAATCTTGCTCCAAATTTCAAAAGTAGCACATTTTCCGAAAGAAAATTGTGTCTAGTTTGTGAGTATAAAAATCATTTTTTTTTTCTGATTTCCCAAGTATATTTCATACAAATTTTGAAAAATTATAAATAAAAGTTTCAATATTTTCAATTTAGTTTTCGATATTTGTGCAAAATATTACTTTTAGTTATTATTTGAGTATATTGGTGTTTGCGGTGGTGTCAAAACATGAGTATACATATTATAGTACTTATATCTTATATGACATATCAAACAGAAAAATGTTCTTATTTATTATTTACATAAACTTTAAGAATTAACATTAAACATTTTATATTTAGAGCCGAAAATTAATTTATAAATATTGCACTATTTTAAATTACCATTGTTATTTCAAATTGCAAGATTATTATATTCAATGTTGTGCATTTGGGAGCATAATTTGGACTCTCTTAGGATACTCATCACTCCTATCTGTTTCTTATTATTGGTTTCAACTATATTAGAGCCATAATAAATAAAGATGTACATACTTCACACAATAAAGTAAGTCACTTTTGTAGATGAGAAGTTGGGGAGGTAAGTTATAGAGGGGAATTTAGGGTATATATATTAACAATGATTAATCTTTACTAATAAAAAATTGATTCTGAGCAGAGTTTGGTTATACTTGCATGTTTTAAAAGGCATTACAAAATTATTATAATGGTGTGTCTTGTAAATAAAAATTAATGAATGCGTCACCTGGATTATTATGATAAGTGTATTATAGACAGGTTTCGAATTAAAAATTCATCATCAAGTATATCACTATCAAAATGTAAACAGACTCAAATAAACCTCAAGATCAGTAATATGTTTTATGGTCTGCCATAAGACTTATTAATGACCTCATGTTTTTCCTAAAAGAGATACATTATATGAGGGAGTTATACTTAGTGACAAAAAAAAATTGAGCTTATTGTAGTACTTTCTCTTTTTTTTATAAGAGTTTTAAGATCAAATTTTGATGAAAATAGTAAAAATTATAGCATTTAAAAACATCTAAATGTAACTGAACTTTGGTTAGAATCATATTTCCATAGAAATAGTTTATTATTTCTCACAGATAAAAATTAAACATCTAACTTTATGTATCCTACCTTTCCAACTTCCCACATACAACAGTGGCACACCTATTATCAGTATTAGCTCTCTTTTTAAATTTAAAATAGGACATTCAGTTACTATGCAAGAAATAAGTTATTGAATTATGAAAACAAATTAATAATAAATTAAAATAAAAATTACTTACAAGTCACAAGCACATACAAAATAGAAAATAAAAATGATTAATGAAATTTTCTTAGGTAGGTACATTTATTGGATTCTGAGTAAAGTAGTTGTTTTGGTAATTAGTTTTGTTTTTTTATTATAATTTATTGCAATAAACCTAGAAATACCTAGAAATTAATAAGTTGGTAGCATATAAATTATACTTAGTAAAAAAAAATGGGTAATCCCTAATAATGATAAATGATTATTAATTATCGCAATCATGCTAAGTACAAAATGAAGTAATTATACAAAAAGAAGTAACAATACTAAAAAAAAAAGGTGAACATATCATTGCTAATGTATTAGTGAGAACTTGTAAGTGGTAGGAATACATGTTAATATGATTCACTGAAAAAACTATCTAAAAGAGAAACAAATATTACTATTAAACTATTATTATGGTATAATTTGAATTCTAAAATAAAATCATAACAAATATTTACATAAATACAATTTTATTTACATTACCTATTGAATTTTTTGAGTTTTACATGGAAATGTTCAGTTGAAAAGAAATGTCAGCAGGGTAGGGGGTATATTTGACCCCTTCTATTAGTTAGGTTTATGTGATTGAGAATGATATCAAAACAGCAAGTTGGTGTCAGGTAGATGATTAAGGAGATGGGTTCAAGTGGAAGTTAAGGATTAGAGTGGCAAACTACAAATAGTTGGGATGTAAAGGAAGAAGAAATGTATAATATCATTATTCTAACAAAAAAATTAAATAAACAATAGGAATGAATACTATATAAAATAGATTCAGGGTATAATGACTAAATCAAACATATAACAATACCTAATATTAATTTTTATTTTTTTAATATACACTATTAATTAACTACTATTAATATATACTATTGGACAGAGGCCCAATAGTACAATAATTTTAATGATAGAACAAATAATAAGTAACATAATATGGACACAGAAAACTAGGATAATAATAACAGTGATTAACCAAACTAAACTATATATAAAATACAAACTAACATAATGTTACATAAATTACAATAATATAATATTAAAATTCACTAAAATAGGTAATTTTTACCTGATTCTACACGGTTGAACCATGCATAAGAACAACAAAGGGAACTCGAGACCTAGTAGTGTGAAAAGGAATTTGTAAGTTCATTTGTGAGACTAGAGCAGGAACATGAATTGAACCACTAATTAATCTTAGTAAACATACTAAATTAGCTCTAACCTCTCCTATCAGTTAAGAAGGTAAGGACCCAGCATGCACAAAACTAGGTAGTAGGCATGCAAAAGATGATCTATTTTCAGCATATAAGTTGCGGATGCCAAAAAGCATCTTTGAACTCGCTCTGAGTGGAATTAATCAATACTGCAAATGGGTCCCAGAAATTCTAATAGAAAACAGACTAGGGAGCAATATGTGGTTTTGAAAGTTCTAAAAGATACAGTTTCAATGTGCAAATGGAAGCTCAAATCAGAATTGAAGAGAACACCCAAGTCATTCTTGTACGCTACTCTATCAACCTCTGTGTAAACATAGTTTAGTAATAGTGTAAATATGATGTTTATACGGCATCTGGAAAAGGACATGGACTGGCATTTACTAATGGTGAGTTAGAGGCTAAGAAAACTGAACCACAAATTAAGGGAAATAAAGGAAACATATTCAGATTTGATTTCAAGAAAAAGTTTTGAGTTGTCAGCCAACATAAGAAATGTAGTTGTAGACAGAATTTTTATTCCATTAATAAACAATTAAAAGAGAAGGGGGAAAGGTGACCTCCTTGAGGAACACTGGAGGGGACATTGATAGCCACAGACTTAAATCCAAGCACTTTTACCTACTACACTTTACTGGACAGGTATGATTTAAATCAAAATAACAGCTGGATATTCACAAGGATAGCATGATGAAAATGGTTAAAAATCAGTTAAAATCACATCAACCTGTGAGTGATTTTCAACAGAGTTGAGGAGAAAACTATTAAAACCAATTAGATTCCAATTATACTGAGGAACGACCTGGCTTGAAGCCATACTGCTCATCAATTAAAATAGAGTCAATTGAAGTATAACACACTTGTGGTAGAATTCAATGTCTGTAAATATTATGGTCTACAACCAGTTATAAGATAACAAAAAAGTATTTATTTGAGGGTAGCATGCATTTCAAAAATTATAATATTTATGAGAACAATCAATGAGAGGCAAGTTACCTTCCATATTGAGCATGATATCTAAGGCTGGGTGGTAGGGATTGTATTAAACAGCCACAGTCACAGATTTCTTCAAATAGATCTTTGCATCTTTAGAAAATACCAAATCAAGGCATTTAGCATGAGAATTGAGTACACAATTTAACTGAAAAAATGTATTAAAAGCAAAAGTATCTAAGAACACAAAGAGCACCAAGGCTTGAGGTAGAATATATTAGATCAAAATCGTCAATGGACCAGGATATCAGGAAGATTAAGTCACCAGAAAATATGAACCAAGAACCAAGATTAGTGAAATTCGATTTAGTATCAATAACATATTGAACAGCAGACATGAAAGACTCATACAGAGGAATAGGGATAATAGGGGAAATATAAACAAAAGCAACATTTCTTATATAAAATTTAATAAATAAATATTGGATGTTGTTCACTATAGCAGGTATCAAGTTATGGATGACATCTTTGAGGATGGTGCTGACGACTTCATCACTTCTACTAAAACTATTTCTATCACATCAAAAGATAACATAATTGTGCAAACCTAATTCATTATCATAGAAACTGTTATATAGCCATGTTTCAGATAAACAAATAAAAATATAATTAAATACAGCAACATTATATTTAAATAAATTAAGTGTAGTTCTAAGCCCTCTACAGTTTTGATAATAGCCCAGAGGTGACTTAGCACCTAGACTGCTTAGTTTTTTGGAGTTTTATTGAACACCATAGCTGATACCAGATGACACCGAAATTTGTACAGGTCGAGAAGGAGGGTTTCATGACATTCTTAAGTTTGAGAAACTGATGAAGCAGATAAATATGAAAGGAAGCATAGGTTGGATACTTTGTCACCAGCTACGTGATAGCAATATCATCAAAACTGCAGAATAGTTCAGACTGAGAAGTTCAGCAGAGACTTCAGGGTTGAACCATGAGATGAATAAGTATTTTCAAGCAGGCACAGCATATAGGATTAAAAAGGCTTTATTACTTGATCCAACAATAACCTTCACAGACTTCCCCCATTAAGGGCGGGATAATGAGAAAACTGTACTTGGTTAGAAGTGCCAAGCTGTAGCCACAGATTATTCGACCAAAACTCTTCTGATTCGGCATATCCCCCACTCATTGGCCCAACAAACAGTAAAATAGAGCTCTGAACCATCACTGTCGGTCATTCTGTATGCACGTGAAGATACTGATCTCTCATTGGCCCGAGTATAGTACTATCAATCTGCTATGAATTCCAGCATTACTTTGAGACAATAACAATGAACACTTTATAAAATAGATTCAGGGTACAGTGACTAAATCAAACATATAATAGATTTATAACAATACCTAATATTTCGTTGATTAAAAAACGAATAATAAAATAAAATATTACCATTAAAGTGGATTAATATTAATTCATCTAGATTATTCATATTTTTCTTTATTATCTAAGATTCATTATCTTTAATGTTTATTATTTCAATCAAGGTGGATTAATTGACCAAGATGTGGCGCCATGAATAATTTTTAAACTGGTCATATCTAATGTTACTCAACAATAAAATTTGTCCACCAAAAATCATTACTAATTATTCATGAAAAAATCCTTTAAATATGGGATTTATTACATCTAACTATTTAAAACTTAATTTAAGTATTTAAGGATTGATTGTTAACAAATAATGGATAAATTTTCATATTTATTTAGTTTCAAAAGCATGGAATGAATTTTCACTTGTTTTTATGCATTTCATATCATAAAAAAAAATTAATTATGGTCATGTTAAAAAACAAGGCTGGGTATTAATGATTTAAAAAATGAAAAGTTAAGTGAATTTCAACTTATTAAACTTAAATTACTAGTTTTACTATTTTAATTAACTTTACCTTTGACTTAACTTATTTGCCTCTACATTAACTTGAAATCAACTTAAATTTATTGTATTATTTAGTATAATACTACTAAGTAAATTTTTAATTTTCTTATTTTCTAGAAAATGATTTTATTTATTAACCTTGTCCTTTTAAAATATCAGAAGTTTGTATATTTAAGAGTTAATTAGAAAAAAAAAATAATAAGGTATTAATAATAATATATTTTATAGAAGAATTTTCTTTTCTTTTTTTTATAATTCAAGATAAAAATAATTTATCATAATAAAAAGATATAGTCATGACCCACAAATTATATTCATGATACCTACTTGGGTATTCCTTAGATAAGTAATACATATCTGTTGTTAAAATTTAATAGATATTTGTATAAAATTGTACAACAAATAAGTAGTTTTTTTGTACATCTTTGTTTAATTTATTTATTTTGTAAATTAATGAATTATTAATGATGAATAACACAATAATCACTTTTACATGCAAATTTAAATTTTATTGATCCCTGGATCTGAATTAGGATTAGAGTTCTAATGAAGTTCTAATGTTTGCAAATGTTACAACTCATCTCCATAGGTTTAAAATACATAAATATCTAATATTTCATATTTGCATTTACTTTCATTAGATATTTTAATTTTTAATACTTAATCAATGTATTTTTATTTTAATTAAACTTATTAATTGAAGTCAAGTTAATTGTATATTTTAATTTATTTGAAAAAACAATTATTTAACTTAACTTGACTGAGCTAAAAAATATCATTAATTTGCCCAGCCTTGTTAAAAAGTAAACAATACAAATATGATAAATATAAATTATAATCTATAACTCTAAAAATGTAAAAAACATTGATTATAAGTGGATTATATATCTACTTAATTTAAAATAATTATGTTATTTTAATAATAAATTAAATAAATACTTGAACTTGAGGCATAACTTTGAATAAAATAGTAAGGCAAATTAAATAAAAAAATTTTTAAATTTTATATTGAATTTGTAGAAGAAAGTCCTACAGGTTGAAATGGGTTTGGCAATGGATAGAGATTATGTTTCTTCTTAAAATCTGTTATATCCGTTATAATTGTGTACTAAAATTTTTAAAAAAAATATTAGTCTATTACAGTTTAAACAAATTATAATTATAGTAAATAAATATAAAAATAAAAAATGTATACATAAAAATAAAATAAATTAATAAATGAATCCCCAGGGGTACAACTGGTTTCAAATTAAAAATTCATCATCTGGTACATAACAGTCAAAATGTATACCAATGTATTCATTTATTCATTTATTTATTTAATTTGTATATATAGATTTTGTATTTATATATTTTTTTAGGAGTATTAACCATTTTAATAGTTTATTTTTTACTTTATTATTTTATTATAAATTATAATTCATACATACATTGTTGTTTGCTCTCAAACTATTATCTGATTGTGAAAGTTTATCATTGTTTGTGTTTTTTAGTGTAGATTTTACATGCACAGCCAGTTTATGTCTTTTGGGACCTGACTGACTGATTTTGTCCTGTAGAAATAAATAGATGAATATTTAGGTATAAGATACAATAATTAAATTACAAATAACTTACTACATAAAATTGAACAATATCACTTTTAGTAACTGACTTCAATGCTTCTACAAACATTTGCATTTGATTGAAACTATAAGTCTGTGTACTAATTTCAATCTGGTAAGCAGATGCTTGTTCCATGATATTTTTTGGTTTCTCTAACAATTGAGCAGTTAAAGCATCTTTATACTTCTCAAATTCTTCATTAGTCATATTTGTTAATAATTCCTGGATAACCAGAAATATAATATATTTTAGAACTAATATTTAGTCAAATAAAAAGAACAAACCTGAATAGTATCTATGTAGCTTTCTATTTTTGTATGAACATACATTGGAGTATGGGCAGATTGTACTGTAATATACAAACTCAGTACACCAAAATGAACTTGAGATGAACCAAATACTACATATCTAGATTGTTCCTAAAATAAAGATTTAAAATAAACCTGAATTTGAATAGATATATAAGTATGTAACTAACCTGTGTACCCAATATGTTACCACAAGTTTTTTGCATAATATTACTAAACAAAAGAACTATCACACTATTTATTGTTGACTGGACACCACATTGAAATTGGATTTGAACACATGAATTACTGTGACAAGCACTGATTGTTTCATATAATATGCTCTCACCTTGAATACAATAAATAAACAAATAATAAATCCTCATAAATATACTAATTTATTTTTAAATACCAAATACCATAAGTAAGTAATTAAAAATTTGTTTTCATAAGTAAATTAGATAGGTAGGTATGTTAAATATTTTTATTTTAAATTTATCTAAATATAGTTATCATATAACTTACAGAGTAGGTTACTATTTGTTTACAATTTAAAAAAATAGAAAATTATACAGCTAGCTCATTGTGCCAAAAATTGTATTAAAATGGCTACCACCAATTAGTATAAGTTCGGATAATTTTTAAGATATTTAAAATTATATTATATTAAAATTTATTTATACCCTAATTTGAATCATACATTTTTAAGTAACCAATACTGCCAGTTGGCGTAGCAAGGGAGAATGTTTAGGTGTAAAAAATGTATTTATTAGGTGAATCCCCACACCCCAATCAACTTTTATTACCTTTCAATACTAGATAATACAAAATAATAATTAATTCTATACACCGTCTTTAAATTAGTTTTCATAATTATGTACATCAATTACCTAATTAATAAGGGCCGTTATTACAATCGACCGCTAAATCATCCACCAGCTTAGGGAACACATTTAGTGGCCAGGTTTTAAAATTTCGTTATTACAATGTTTCGCTATGCTAAATGTTACCTCTTACTATGAATTAGCAGACACATATTTAGTGGCAGGTTTTGGTGCTTGCCAACGTATTTAGCTTGTATAAATAATTAAATTTAATTAAATTAAAATTAAATTAAAACAGCTAAGTATATTAACTGATGATGAGTTTAAGTACAGATTTTGTTTATCGAAAAATTGCGTAAATTACTTATTAACATTATTAGAAGGAAAGCTGAAAACATCTGACCATTAAGCAAATTTAAAAAATTACATTCGGAACAGTGTTATGGTGTTGAAATGCAATTGCTACTACAAAGTAGCTAGTAATATTTCCACTTAGGCTGGGGCCACACGAGGGTACAAAATGCGTCGATATACGCGCGTACTTTTTGACACGAACAACGTTGGTTAAAAATAACGTGTGTTCGTATCACGATTTAACTAAAATAATTATATCTTTATATATATAAATATGTTACGGTAAAACCTAGGATACAAAAAATAATTCGGTCAAACCTCAAATGATTTTTGTAGTTCAGACTTTTACAAACGAGATTTGGTAAATCTTTAGATAAATAACCAGCATTGATAAAAGTCTGAAATTGTTTACCAATTATGTATTTTTTTTCCCCCTTACTTTATATTTGTATTTTATTCGTATATTATTATTATTTAAGTACATTAGGTAGATAGGTACACACATTTATGTTGTTATGAATTATTATAGAGATATTGTAACAAAAAATATATATTATTTATTAATTAATTATTTATTTGTGCAGGCTTGGTTACTGTAGTGACATCTGAGGTGCACAATACATTTTTGGATCGCCACTTACCTACATCGATTGGTGATACATTTTTTTAAACAGTCGCACCTTATCAAGCCTTGTCCACTAGTCAAAGAAAGTTGCGATACTGCTTAAAGAATACGAATTTCATTCTCTGGAGTTATTGCCGATTCTAAAAAATTGTCTTCACATAAAGTGAACTATTTTCGAGTGAAAAGTGAATCACAAGAAGAAGAAAAGAAGATAATTTTATCGTCAATTAATCGTGTCATTTGTCAAGACCATAGTTGGTAAAACCTAGGTTTTACCGGTATTCGTACATTTACCGTAACATTTATAACTAGGTATATTTAATCGTGATTTGTATGGGACGTCAATTTCTTAGTGACATATTTTTTATATAAAAGTAGTACACACATTGAAAATTATAAATGCGCGTTTAGAATATTTTATTTGTTCAAATATAAGTGAACACAGGTGCGTGCAAATACGGATGTATTGTAGTAAACAAAACTGCAACTGAAATTAACACGTTGGACATTTTCTTTAATTTCATTTCAAAATTTCAAGTAGGTTGAAGGTATAGACAACGAGCTGTTAATTAGTTAGGTCCAAAGTATGAAGTTTTGTGAAATACAGCTGATAAAGAATACAAAGATAAAATAAAAAATAATGGAACATACTACTGGTGTAAATATGTAATGTGGTAAATGTACAAATAAATAGCAATAATTCAATTAGAATTAGCACACATATTAAAAAGTAACGAGCCCATTTTGTACTAACATTTCTATGCGAAGTATGCCCGTCATTTTAATTTAATTTTTTTTATTAATTAAGGAAAATCCACAAAAGCATAATAATTTAACTCACCATCTTCAAGTTGTACTGCCCTTTTTCTTAACATTTGTTGTGGTATTAAAGTTCGGAAATCATTGCGGGCCAAAAATGGTTTTTCCAATATTTGAATAATTTCTAATGCTTTCTAAAATAGAACAATAATAAGTTACTTAATTAATAATAGTGTTATAATATTATAATGTACTTACAGTTTTGTCTATGTTACCATAAATTAATGATTCCATAAACATGTGAGAAAAGAACTCTTCAATAAATTCTTCAATATTTTCAATGTTAACGTCTAAAATTTACATTTTTTAATTAATGATAGACATTTTAAAATTGCTTGAACTATAGATGGTTTTCAATACTTTGGTTTAACTATCAAATATTTTTTCCAATGTGCAAATACTTGTATTTGGAAAAACTATAGAATATTTCAAAAAACTATTAAAATAGTTTTTATTAAATATTTTTCTCCCATATTATTAAAATATTTGTATAGGTATACAAAAAAAACCAATTTGAATAAACATTATTGTTGGTAAGTACTGGGTACAGAACAAAGTCGATTTTCCACTACTTACTTTCGCAAATAATTCTATGAAAAACTTTCTGCAGTGTGTCATGTTTCAACTAAAACTATGTACAATAGTATTTTTTAAATAAAAACTACCTACTTATTCGAATATATAAACTATTTGAGACTATTTGAACAAAAATTATTCCTTTAATAGAAACTATCAAATAGGTTAACTATTCAAATAGTAGTATATTGCATATCATTAATTTTAACCCAAGGTTCTAATTTAAAAAAAATAAATATAATTATTTACCATAAATGGAAGCTAATAATTCATTGGTTGTCCATCCAACTTCTGATAAAATGATTGAACTATATAGAATTGCAGTATTACAGGGTTGATCCATTATAGCACTTTTCAATTGTTTGATTTTCTATTAATTTAAATTTATATTTAAAACTATAAAAAATTATTTTAAAATTTGGAAAACATTTATTTACTTCTTCTTTAAAGATATTAAACTGTAATGAATTGATCTTGAAGGTTAAAAGTTTTTCAATAATTGTATTTATCAAAATATGCATTTTTTGAGTAAATCCGTTTATTGTAATCTAAAAAAAAAAAAAATAATTTAAAATACAAAACTATTATTTTGTTTAAATATAGATATTACCTTAAAACCATGAGTACTTGGTTCTAAAGTTAAATACAATCCAGCCCTAGTTGCATCATATGCATAATCCGAAAAATATTCATTAAACAATTTCACAAAAAGAGCTATAATATTACAATACAATGGATCAGTCGATACTTTAGGACTAAAAAAAAAAAACAAAAACCAAATTAAATATAAGTAATTTAAAATGTAATGAAATATTAAATATAATGTATTTGTAAAATTTAAATAAAATAACATCATTTTTCCTAGTGTTGACTAATAATATATTTATCATTTTATACAATTATACTTGATCAATCCTTGTTAAAACATATTTTCTCAAAAATATTAAATCTTCCTTATTTTTTGAGATAAATCAACTACCTACTTCAAATAACAAATCATATTAAAAATTCTATAAATAGATTACTTAATTATTATGTAATCTATATTATCATTAAATAATATTAAAAAGAATTTTAAAAAAGTAAAATATTATTATTATTAAATCTATACAAATGTATGTATACAATATTGTAATATATTAATTATATGTGTGGGTACCATCTTACAAAAGCACAGTATACCAAATATGCCTTCGGTAGGAACAATTTTATGCTGAGAGTTTTAATATTAGAATAGGGTTTTTGAGAACATTATCTGAATTTGTATTTCTGTTATTGTTCTTTTCAGATATTGTAATTTCTGTTTGAGATAACATCAATAATTTTAAATTCAATTCATAAATGTTTGAATAATTTATGTACAAGACAATAAACGTTATAAAAAATAAATTAATAGTGGCCATGTGTATAAATTAAGATGAAGTGGATAAAATACAATATTTTTATAGTTAAGTTTTTTTTAAAGTATTAATTAACAAACTCAAATTAGTTATGAAACATTAAATATCATAGTATTTGATATGTTAAATTACCTGAAAAAATCAACAGAAACAAATCCTTTAGGGAATCTGAATTCTGTATCTGTTTTCAACCAAATTCTTAAAATTGGTGATTCATGAAAAATGTATGGATGATCAGGATCCTAAACAAAGAATATTATTAATAAAATATAGTATAAAATTGACAAATAATAATTTGATTACATTTTCATCAATGGGCACTAGGCTAAAATCTGTAGTAATAAATAGATTTGACAATGGCATTTTTAAATCTTTGCATAAATCATCCTTGTTCCAGTCCTAATACAAACATAGAATAAAAAGTAAAGAAGTATTCTTAATTATAAAATTAAAATAATAATAAATTACATTTAATGTTTCCATTGGTATTTTGCTGATTGAGTACCGTGTTCCATAAAATCTGTCTACCATATTAATTTTGTTTTGAAAATCTTTAGAAACAACTGTCAATCTATTTTAATATTTTAAAAATTTCAGAATAGTGTTACAGTAATTATGTTTATGTGATTACTTGTATAAGTAATTAATTTAGGGCAGTAAATTTAATACAGTATAAAACCTTAAAAATGCAATAAAATATGCATTTGAAGCCTCATTGAATTCAATATAAAATGCACTTAAAATGGTTTTTAATTTAATTTTTATATTTATTTTGATATTACTGATATTTATATATCGCAAGCCCAAAAATAACTAATCTAAGGAATATTGCCTTATTTATCTAATCCTTATCTTTACCTAATCCATATACAGCTTATGTAAAATATTATTTTATAAAATATAAATTTAACTTTTTAAGCATTTATACAGCCTGTGTAAAATAAAAAATATGTATGTAAAGAGGTTAGTTGACAAAATTTGTTTAAAAATACTGGAAAATAAACTAATAAAGGAAAATATAACTTAAAAAGCCCAAAAAATGCAAAATAAAAATTTCATGAATTAATTTGTTGTTACATAATTCAAATTATTTACTTAGAAAGTTCCATTTCACAATTAGTTTAGAAAATTGCACTTTTCTACAAATTAACAGTCCTAGTTATTATACATGTATTTTATTTATTTATAATAACTAAAATGCAGAATGATGTTGCGGAAATGGGCCTGAGAGGCCTAAAAGCCAAAGAAGAAGATGAAAAAAATGCAATATGTATGAAGAAATCAAAATACACCACATTTACAATTTATGCATTTATATTTAAATTATTACTTTATTACTATTCGTAATATGTTTAAATTATTAAAACTAAGTACCTGCATATGAAAGGTAATGGTTGTTAATATTATAAAACAAAAATGTTCTGGTATCTAAATATCTATGTAGTTGTATTTTTAGTCTTTAATAATTATACATTAAATGAACTAAATATACTAAGTAGGCAATTTGAATGAGAAAATAAAATAGCCTAGGAATATTGATAAATATTATCAATATATCTTATGTATGTATAAGAATAAGGTTACTAACATACTTAATTAAAAGTTTATGTTTTATTTAATATTAGACTATTTTAATTTTTTAACTTTATAATATATATGCCTTTCAGTTTTTAATACAATAATAATACCAGTATAATAATACTACAGTATTATTATTAATGTAACAATTTATAATAAAAATCATTTTTTTTTCATTTCATAATATAATATTTAATAATTTATATAATGTGCTAACTATAATGTTTACTGGTTTTGATATCATATAGTACTTTAAATAAATTATTCAATAGTTATAATTTAAATCCAATTAATAGAATAAATTATATACACCCAGTAGTAATAACTCCTATTCATAGTTACTTCATATTTTCTGGTCTAAAATAAGACAAAAGATTTTCTATTAAATCTGGTTTCCATTCTCTTATGATATAATTTGCAGTTAAAACATCCTCTAAACTGTAGTACTAAATAAAATAAATAAATCATTTATTAACTTTAAGTATTTTGAACAAATTACTTAAACATATTACTCACAACCAAAGTAGAAGTCAGGTTCTTAATATATTCTAATGGAGATATTTGATCTTTAAATTGGAAATGCATTGTACTAATATTTTTATTTTCCTCATAATACAATTTTTGAGGTCCTTCTCGTTTTAACATATTTACAAACTTTAAATAAATAAAATAGGTTAATTATTTTGATTAAATATTATAAAATAAATAATATATTACTTGGAAGATTAATTTAATAATGTCATCAACATGATCAATTCCTTCTTCAGTCAAATCTACATCAATATCAAAAAGCTCAATGCCCCTAGCTAAAGATTTCATACCAGCTGCAAAATCAGTAGACCACCCTCTCTCTTTTAAAACTGTAGAAATACTTGACCGACCTTTGTGCTCAAATAAAGCACTCAAATAAGCGCCCGGCTAATTAATACAATTTGTATTAAATTCAAGATGGATTAAAAAAAAAAAACAAATTTGATTGTGTTTACTTTGCTTTCATAAAATTTGGTCTGATCTGGAATAAGAAAACTAACATATAATCCTCTTATATATGATACTGGAACTACGATTGTCTTTGTGGCCAACTGTTTTTCTTTATATATTGGGTCAGGCCAATATGGTTTATCCACATTTTTTTCTTTAATATTTCCAAATAAAGATACAACCAATTCTTCCAAAGTATTCAAATCCTCTAAACATTTAAAAAACTTATTAACGTTTTTATCAAAAACATTTTTTTTTTTTTTTGTTATAAATACCTTTTCCAAGTACAGTTAAATACATTAAATGTGAAGAATACCATTTTGAATGGAAATTCAACATTTCTTCACGAATATTTACAAGTTTTGAATTTGGAATATCCCACAATTTTCGTTTTGTACCTAATAATACACAAACACATAATGTTCAAGATAAATGTTTGAACACTGAGAAAATAATTAAAAAATTAAATTTTAAATAAGTAACATTAATTATTAGTTTCTATTGAAATTTTAATTAAATATAATAACTATAACATTATTCAAATAATTTCATAATTTTTATTTTTTTTTTATTTTAATAATAGGTATAGATTAAATTAAAAATATATTAAAATATCCACAATAATTCATTATTTAAATTAATTGTTATTATTATTATGTTTTACACATTAAAATTTAACACACTATTTTTAAACAGTTAATTTTTTTAAAAAAACACCACATGTTTTAGAATAATTTAATTAAAGCTTGCCTGTTGCAAACTGATAAAAAGAATGATTTGGATCGGCAGAATTGCTTTCTAACTGTGCTAAACGCCATCTATCATTAGCAATATTATTTTCGTGTTCAGAATTAATAACATTAATTTCTCTTTTAATTGCATCCATTGTAAACAAAGGTTCAATGAAAAATTGAGCAAATCTATAACACATATTTTAAGGTATAAATATTTATTATAATACAAAATGTTGGTAAGCATAAACTAAATATATTATATTTTATATTTACCTGTCCAATGATGGTTTAAGTGATTCTGTATTAATAGAAAAGAAGTGGTTTGTATGATCAGTACTTGTATATGCATTGTATGTTCCATTATTTTGATCTAAAAATCGTGTAAACTCATTTTCTTCTGGATACTTTTTGGTACCCATAGACAATAAGTGTTCACAAAAATGAGCTAAACCTGGCAAATATTTTGGTTCACTTAGGCTTCCTGATAACCAGAAAAAAATTCAAGTAAATAGTTTTTACATAACAAACAACATAATTATTAAAAAAAAAGCATACATATTATTATAATTGTTTAAATGCTAAATGAATATCTATCTATTAAATTTTTAAATTCGTATTAATAGTACATATTGTTAGATACTTCTTAAAATTAAAAATTAAGTGTAAAGTAATTATACAAATTCCTAATGCAATAAATTGAGTTTTTATTAAATAAAAAAAAATTAAATGGAATACAATTTAGGTATTTTATAATTTTTAAGGACTTACGCCCGTATACATAAATAAATAAATATTAATACTAAAAACGTACCAACTGCGACTACAAGAGATGCAACTGATTGTTCGGTGTCTAGATCGCTGATAAGCAACGTTGTAAGTCCATTTTTCAATACCAAACCGCGATAGATCCTAGAATCATTGATGGGTTTTTCGATATTGTTGATGCATCGTTTAACATTGTCAGACATAGCTTGTGATGGAAGATCAGAAAAACTGTAAGAATGTGAATATTTGTACACTTTGGAATTGCTTTGGGTGACGCTTAAAATAGAGTGTCACCTGAATTAAAAATATTATACGATATGTATATTGGTTTTAATTTTAGAAAAAACAGTAAATCTAATAACCAGTGGTATGCGCAGGGGGAAGGTTAGGGGTATATGTTGACAAAGCAACACTATCAACCGAACTTCACTCAGAATCGTATTATTGTTAGCAATGGTTTATCAGTGCTTACAGATATATATTAAATTTCCCAGTTCCGTAGCCAGGATTTATTTTCGGGGAGGAGGGGGGCTTAATTTTTGATGGCCAATAAGGACAACAAACTAAGTTTGTACTGTATTATTGACAATATAATTCTTATAATTATACATATTATCAAATCAAGATCATGTAATTAATAGATAAAGAAAATAGATTTCATTATTACAACATAAAGTCAAAGCGTCTTCCTTTTTGTAAGGTGAACATATTAATTATTGTTTCAGGGTCAATTATTATTTCCCTGGTGAATATTCATAAATACTAGACCATTTAGCCTCGTTTCCCTTGTTGAGTTCCTTAAATAGGTTTTTATTCTTTTTAGTGTAGAGAAACTTCTTTCAACTGATGTTGTTGAGACAAAACATGAATATTTGAAAATAATTTTTCAGATTATTTTAATAGAACATCTAAAGAACTTTTTGAAACCATTTTTAGTCCCATGTTGGACCATTTTTGTTACCACAATTTATATTCATTTTCCAGTAATATCATATAAAAATCAACATTAGTGTTATGAGTTTCTAAATCTTCTTTGTAAAAATTAATTACTGACTTTAAATCATTAAATGAAGAATTGTCTATATTAATGGCAATACACAAGATAATGAAATAATACCAACATATCATTTAAATATGGGAAAAAAATTGATTGTCTTAAATAAGAAATACAGTCATTATTGTTTATTTTATTGTTTGAACGATGTCTTTGAGTACCCACTATTCTTGATATAGTCAGAAATAAGCCTACTTTTTCTTCAATTTTACTAGCTCGATAAAAAATCTCAGTGAATATTTTTTCATTTCTTATACTTTGTAGTTTTTGGGGCAGCAAGTTATCACGGCATCACGCATATAAAATTGTATTTTCAATTAAATTAATTAAATTTTTGTTGTCTGACATTTCGGGGGGGGGAGGGCTTGAGCCCGGAATCCTCCCCCCTGGCTACGGCACTGCAATTTTCCATCTATACTACCTTCCCAATTTCTCATCTACAATAGTGGCTGTATCCGTCCTCATTATCCTAGGACAACTATTTTATGTTATAGGTTATAGCCCAGAAAAAAATAATTTCAAAAGCACCTGGAACTGTAGAATAATTCTACAGTTCCATAGTTCCAAGATTATTATGGTGTTTGATTCTATCAGTATGAGTACTGTAATGTTATGCGCACACAACATAAAATACAGTATCTACTACATTACTTATATAGTTATATCTATGGTTGCAAATTAAAATTATCTTTGATGGTAATCAAATATTAAATCGTAATTTGCATTACTATGTTGCCATTTTAATAATATGCTTTAAGCATCGTCATGACTACGACCACAAAACTTCGACAGTACGCAGCGGTCGATATTAGCGTTCATCCCGGGGCGTGGCAGTGTCCCTGGCGCCCCTTTTTAACATATCTAGTGAATTGTTCAAAACATTTTGATGAGTTTTAAAATATGTGTAGATTATAGCTATTCGAAATCTTCTAGTTTTAGTTTCTGAGTGTATTAAGAAATTTATTGCGTTTATTATGATGTGTTTTTTTTTAAATGTCTTTGAACAACTTTTTTTATCAGAAATTGTACAATAAAAAACCAATAAGAAAGCTTTTTTGAAGCAATTTGTGTAAAGTTGGTTCATTGAAAATATCAATTTTTGATTTTCGAGTCTCTCTACAATTTTTTATCCAAACAGAAATGCTTAACAATTTAATACGAGGTTGAGGATAAATTTAACTTAGTGATAAAAAAAATATAGGTTGAAAGTAATGTAGTAATTTTTTTTATAATCATTTTAAGATAACATTTTAACGAAAATAGTAAAAATTACTGAATTTTGAAAAATGTATACATCACCGTAAATACTTTAACATTATTCAATATTTAGTCTGATAAACAATTTAGAACACGTAACTATGACGAATTCGAAATTACAAATAAGAAAATAATGCAATAAGACATAATTGATAGAGTTAAATATTAAAAATATTATAAATAATAAAACAAATTCCAAAATTACAGAATAAGGATGTAGGGTAAAGATTTATTAATAAAATACACAAAAAAATAGGAAAATTAATATCCATCTATCGTCTCACGATTCCAGAATAATATAATGATAAACGGGATGACTACAGCTTTTTGTCCATCATTACATTATAACGTACTGTAGTAAAACAAAAAATAGGAAAATTTAAAATAATAAGTTTATATGCTATATGTAGTGATGGAAGACAAAGAAAATTAAAATAATAGGCTACTATGTAGAAGTACCTACAAAGAATAAGTTAGAAGAGTGGGTGTCCATGAAGGAAATTGAAAGAGGATCACTTTTTAATAATTAATATATTTTTGTCAGTAATTTATAATTCAATCTGCCCTAAAATTATTATTGAAATCAACGAACCATCTGTAGGTATAGGTAAGAAAACGTTCAGGTTTTTTCAATATATTAATTATAGATATCTATTAACACATTAAATTATTAATTTTTCTAACAAAGTTATAGAAATTTAAATTTAAAAATAGTGTTTATAATAAATATATAAAAAAGGCCAAAGGGTGAAATATATCTCCTTAATATCTCCCTATAAATACGCCACTGTTACCTTTGTTCGGTTGTTGAAGTCATAATGAAGTTGATTACTGTTCAATCTTCTTCAATGTTTTCACTACTCTTCACTTAAGTTTTCGTTAACGTCCCGTCGTTCGGTTGGTAGTCGAGTGATTGTAGTACTAATGAACGTATATGGTCCGAATGATGATGACTGACCGGATGATGGTCAGTCAAAATATGGATTTTTACTTTTTAATACAATGCAATGAACTACGTGACTGCGTACCGAAACTAATTGTTAATTAACATAATTGCTAATAATCTTACAGAATCTATACAAAAACTAACAACCGCAATCACATGACGTGAGTTGCGGGAGAAGAAATACTGAATCTGATGATGGAGGAGCCACGTAAATCGATTTGTATTCTATAGTATCCTACGCGCATGACAAAAACTGAACTATATGGTGGGGGTCGGACTACCCTATGAGCGATGACGTCAAAGCAACTAATAAAGATTTTTATTTTATTCTTTTAAAAGGCAGGTCCATACCAAACGCGGAACTGCGACTTATATCATCGATATAATATAGGATCAAATATAATTTTCCAACACAGAAATGTATAACAGAAATACAGTGTTTCTATTATACATTTTTGTGTACTAACCTAATAATTTATAAAAAATATAATACACGTATTTTATTATATATATTAATATTTAATAATTTTATTATAAATATTAATATTTAATATATTATTTTTTATTAATAACAAACAAAGCTATAAAGAACATAATATTCAACCAATGTTCTAAAACTATCACCGTTTTCCTTGACAATTATTATTTTATCAGTAGACTCAATTCTCCGATTTGGTCAGACACGACAGATTAGAAAGTCTATAGCAAGTTATTTATGCAAAATATACACATGAATTAATATTAGATTAAATTCTAGCAGATAATTTCTGAGAGTTTGTTTCAAAACGTAAAATATTATATTTTAATAATCAGTAATCATTATACGCTGTTTCAAAAGAGACCACACCGCTTTCGGGACCAATTTTTGTTCAGCGGCGCACATCGCCACCTGGTAGCACCGGGCACGACCAATAGACATGTTTCTTAATATTTTTTGAAAATATGTTGTATTAAAAAAAAAGTATATAATATGTATACAAATCATTATTATTAAAAATAGGTACATATTACTTATTCGAACGCACCGAACGTTTCTTAACTGTTATCAAACTATAATTTTTCAATGTATTTTTAATGTATTTTCGTTTTTGATAACACACGAGCGATTTGGACGCCGCAATCGCACCGCGTTTTATTTTCGTTTATAATTTGTGCCTTCGTACCAGTGGTGGATTTATGGAGGGTCCAGAGGGTTTGAACCCCCCTCCAGACATAGATATAATTTCAATAAAATATCGTCCAAAAAAGAGGCATCTATTAATAGATACCTTTTAAATACATATAATTGTTCAGGACCTTTCTCAGAAAAATAATGAAAATCCGCTACTGCCTTTAACCTTGTAGAATATCCGTACAAAATTACTACAAATTGTATTAATTTATATTATAAAAATGTTTGATACTGAAGAGTTTATTCTTGAGGTGTCGAATGAAGAACTATTTTCATTTTAGATTAAGCGGATGGACCCAATGTCACTATTTCACATGTTTTTATTTTTGTTTTTTTTTCATGTTTCTCGTATAGTGCGAACATAACTCATGCGGCTTCTATATCGTTTAAACTTTCCATATTTTAAAACAATAAACGAAATAACCGTGGATTGCAACGCGAAGTACTATACTTAATATAGTACATGATAGTTCATATAGTTCATGATGTACGATGTACAGTGACAACAAGACTAAAATACAAAGTATTGGCGCGAATTTTGTCTTTGAGAAAAGCGCCTAATGTGTAAGTGAAGTGAGTTTGTGTTTTAAAATAGTGGCGTTTGAATAGCTCAGTGTGTAATTAGTTTCAATACGGTATTGACGTTTCACTTCTAAATTAAAACAACAAAAGGGACGGTTTCTCGCAAACAAACATGCATCATGAACGAACATGTTTGTCAGTGCACAATCCAGGTACACACATTGATTACTGATAGCAGCTCACTTGTCCTGACACGTGAAACTCAAATATTAAAAAGACGTCCTAGGATAATGAGGTTGGGTGCAGCCACTGTTATAGATAATTATCGATAATTTAATGTAAACCTGTAAGCAATAATAAACCAACCATTGCTTACGAAAAATTGATTTTGAGCGGAGTTCAGTTGATAGTGATATTTTGTCAATAATATATATATATGTCATTTTATAGTAAAATAATTAAATAGGCTTTATATACTTTCTTTAATAATATTTGTTTAATGTTGTACCGATTTCCCCAGTTTTCCTACAGTTTACCCAATTCCCCATATTTTATCCCGGTTTTTCACATTTGCTAGAAACTCTTGAGAAAGTTAAAAAAAATGCTTTCCTTAACGTACCTTGCACACCATTTTCCTTTCAGAAAAAGTGCTACACTTAGAAATCTGAGCAAATCTTCTGGTAGAAAAGTTGTTCACAGATAAAAAAATAAAATAAACATTTTTGTAAAACTATAAGCTTCTAGTCTCCACTCATTTTCATTTTTCATGCTTTTTTAATTGCATATTCATCTAAAACATATTCAAGCTATATAATAACCATATTTAGTAATTTGTCTTGTGCAGAGATCTTAAAAAAAAAACATGACTCATTTAAATTTGCTGACTAGAATTTAAAATGTTTAATTTTTGTTAACTAGAATTGTAGTAGTAAAATTATCAATTATAATTAATTTTTATAAAACCATATACAAAATGTAAAAACTATTACATTAATTGTGTCAATTTTCAGATTCAGAATATTTTTATACACTATGTATACAATTTCTACCAGAAATCTTGATTCAATTTTCACGTATAGCACCTTTCCTGAAAGGAAATTTATCTTATTGATACATTAAAGTCATTTTTTAATATTGAAAACACAATTGAAAAACCGGATTCATTATTTTAATATATTTAACTTATGTTTCTACAAAAAATATTACTCCAACAGAAAAATAATAAGAGACATATTTTGTTGCATTATTTATCTAGTTGGTAACCAAAAAAAGCGTTTTTTTGATTTTCTCAGTAGTCTTATAAATAATTAGGAAACACCCAGAAAAACGTAAAATGAAAACTGACAAATTTACGGTTTCGCTATTTCATTATTTTTTAATTTGTACACTTTCGTTTTCTACATTTTCGAAAGGTATTAGGCCGTCTGAGGATTATGGTATTTTGGTGAAGACTTCATAACTATCGTATTAATAATCCTCTTCTTTCATAGTTCTCCTCACATTTAATACAATATTATTAAAATATAATTATTTTTTCTCTTACCCTATTCTTGTATCATCAGAGGTACCACAAGGAGAACATTTATCACCTCTCTTATGTTTAATGTTGACTAATGATATAATATCATTGATAATAAAATATTCAAATATTTTAACACTAGCTGCATAATGCAACAGTTTTTAAAACAGTTAATTCCATTATCTATTGATCAAATTTACAATATAATTTAATTAACCTCAGTAATTGGTATTCAAATAATGGTATATAATTTAACATATATAAATGCTCAGTAATCACTTTTTCACATAAAACAACAATATTGAATTCAACTATAATTTATCAAACCTTCAGATTCAATGTGTCTCTGCAGTAATTAATGGTTTAGGGGTTCTTTTTGACTCTAAATTTAAATTCATTGACCATATAATAATCATAAAAAAAACACTGTCCTAGGATAATGGGGATGAGTGCAGCCACTTTTGTAGGTGGGAAGTTAGGATGTAGATGACAATTTAATAATGTATATGTAAACAACGATTAACCATTACTAAGGAAAAACTTTGAGAAAAGATTCTGAATGGAGAGCTTAGTTGACAGTGTTGCTTTGTAAACAATATATCATATTATAATACATATGCATGAAACATTTTTTTAATAATATTTGTTTAATATTTTACCTATTTTTCCAGTTTTCCTATTTATTGGGAATATAAAATTAATTTTTTCTAATATAGGTGGACAATTTATTCTGTTACTTAATAATTTTATTTAAATTATTAAGATTTTCCACCTATCTAGGAAGAAAATTTAAAATAAACAATAGTAATACTCATAATAAAGATACATTTAATGTCTTTCATTCATTCTTTATACTCAAATTAAAAACAAATTACTCTCTATTTATCTTTTGCAATAATTATTATGTTAATCGGTAGGTAATTCTTTTAGTGCTGAGTTATTCTTTTATAATGATGATGTTATAAAATCAATAAGTAAACTATTGTTATTTTGTACAGTGTTAATTAATATCTTTTTTCTCTGTATGTAAAATTAATTCCCTTTGTAAACTTTAAATTATTAATTTATTTTATTTTGTATATTACATGATAGATCTAATGACTATGCATTTGTACTAATAATTATAATAATGAAATTTATTACTGTACAGATCAATAAATAAATAATGCTTAGTTAGCTGGTTAATCTAGGCGATCTAGGGTTTGTGGAAAAATAGGTACATAGAGACAATATTTTATACCCCCAAATAAATATACTATTTTTTTTTTTTATATATACATAAACAGTTATTACAAAATATTAAAGGTACTTTACTGTGTTTTCTTCTAGTATAGGTACCTATATCATTTACTGTTTTTATGTGTCTGTGACCTTATTATAAGTAGATACATTTTAAAATCTCAAGTTGAGAGTAACAATGATGTTTAAATGCATTTTATATAATGCAATAATAATAATAATAATAAAGAAACAAAAATATAATTGTTAAATAATCTGCCACAGAAGGTACCTAGTTAATATAAAACTAATAAAATTAGTCACTCCAAGTAAATATTTTTATTTTATTGACCCTATACAAATTCAAAATTTGTTTTACTGCTCCATATAGGACCAAAAATAATACAATATAATACACTAGTAAAAAAATAAAATAATGTAGTTAAATGTTTTGATTAGTACTCTACATTTAGATAGGAAGAGATGTATCATTACACCATATCTTTAACTTTTGCCATAATATACACATACAAAATTAATATAAATAGATTCAACCAATAAACATACATTATAGGCAAGTACAAATTATAAAAAAATAAAACCTTCTCCTTAACTTTTAGAATATATAATATGTATTATTTGTAAATAATTTGAATTTAATTAAAAAAATAAGAGCTTGTTATACAGGAATGATTATACTATAAAATAATTCAAAAGCCAAAATAATAATAATTTCTTACATATAGGAACCGAAACAGTCTTTTTTAGATTATTTAACAATATATTTGTAATAATAATAATGCGGAAATGATACATTTTATTGATAATTATTTTTAAAAAAGTCTAATGAAAAATAAAAAAAAATAATTATTATTCGACTAGGTTTTTGTTAATTACTTATACAGTATTAAAAAATGCTGATAGAAATTGTAATAATAATTAACTTTATACTAATTGTAATTTATTTGTTTACAGTTTTCTTAAATATTAATATGATTTTTCTAATTTGTACAAATAATTTATATTCCGTGTGTTTATATTAATAAAAATAAATAATTTGAATAATACACATACACACATAATTATACACATATAGAATAATTATTAACAAAAAAAATACTATTCATATAAAAATAAATTTAATAATTATTTCTGTAATATATGTACTATAAACTACCAACCGTATTACTGTTTTCTTTCTGATGATCATGTCGATTTTCAAGTACAGTATTATGACTTAAGCCTCCAACACCAGGACAATGTTGTTCAAATGGTTGTGATCCAACAAAACAACAGTCTTCTTCAACACAATTAGAATTCCTACCATGATTTGTAGTATATCTTTTGGGCCTTCCAACTTCCCAACTCCCAACTAATCTTTTTCTTTTTGCTGTCGTCCGAGTAGCTTTTCCAATTACTTCTGTCACTGGTAGTGGCACTAAACATGAAGATGATACATTGTATGAGTCTGTTGGTTTCTTGGATTTGTTTCCAATAGTTTTCTTTTGACTTGATGTAGCAGAAGTACTACTTCCGGAGGTGGATAATAATTTCATACGGTTATTACGTGTTGATATAACACATTTTAATTTACCTGTGCTGATTTGTTCTTGAACATTTTCTTTTTGTTGTACAGATGATAATGAAGTTTGATTTCGATGACGTTGTAACAGCTCTAATTTCAATCTTTGTCGCCAACCACTGCCTCTAGGTCTTCCACAGCTACGTTTTACAACTCTATTTGGTTCACCAGTTGGGACAACTTCTGTTACTTTCTTATTTTCTATATGCAAACGTTTCTGTTTTTGTTTCCTTAGTTTTTTCTCTTTTATAGTACATTTGCTAGAAATTGTACTAGATACTGTAGAGTTACTACTAAGACTAGGTGAACGCTGGTATGTTTCAGGTTTATTTTTTTTCTTAAGACTCTTAGGGCGTCCAGGACGTCTTTTAGGTATAATTTTTGTTGATTCTTTAATCTTGAGCTTGTTTTTGACTAAATGTTGCTGTTCTAACTTTAAACGCTGACGTCTAAGTTTTTGTTTTTCTGCTGCTTTTCGGCGTTTGGCAATATTATTTCTTCCTACATCATTGTTCCCATTTAATGGTTCCGATGAGATAACAGATGTAGTATTATTAGATACAACTTTCCGACGTTTTTCTTTAGGCCAACCAGTCATATTCGGTCTTTTTTTCTTTCGCTTATTTGATGCATTTATTGTGTCGATGCCTAAATCAGAAGACACAGTTTCACTATTATAATTGTTCGTTAGACGTTCAGCCAAAGCTAATTCGCGTTGTTGATAATATATTTGGAGAGTTTCATTTGTTAAATCAGTACACAAAAACCTTTTATCTCCAGTTTGTTCATACATTATTTGTAAAGACATATTATTCGGTTCCTCTAAATCTAAATCATTATCCATTTGAGTAGACCAAACTTGATCTTGACTACTACCAGTTTGTAATAATACAGAACTACTTGAAAATTGATATCCAAGCTCTTTTTCATTAAGATTTGGCAGTACATTCTTAAGTAGTTCACATCGATTTTCTTCAGCTATTTCTTGTATTTTCTGTAATTGTTGATACACAAATGCTGTACGTAGTCTCTCATCTCGTGCTCGTCTTTTAACTACATCCACATGTTTTGTACGTAATTTTACTACTTCATGATCCAATGTATTTACAGGAGCACGTTGTGTTAAAGGAATTTGTGCACATAGTTTTGGAGGAGATGGAGTGATTGAACGACAACGGCGACGGCGACGACTTTTAATGTTACCAGGTTTATCATCTAATTGTCCATGATGTCTGTCACACTCTGAAGACATATTATGTTCAAGATTTGGTACAGCCATTGTCAATATACATGGACCTTCGTTATCTAAAGAATTTATGTTACAATCAACATCAAAATCCATCAAATTATCTGGCTGATTTACCAATTTATCAGAATTTGAAGTCTTAGTAGACATAATAGCTGCCAAAGTAGATGCATGTTGCCTAGGTGATTTGCGTGGACAACTAGATTTAACTGATTGTATAAGTTTATTTTTTCTTCCAGGAGGCCTACCTTTTTGTCGTTTTACAATAGAAGCTAACTTTGTTAATTTACTAGAACTATCACGTATTTGTACAACTGAAGGTTGATTTTTTTTTAATGTTGATTTTTTTTTTGGTGCTGATATTGCATTCAAAGGTTTTGTAATAGTTCCATTATTGCAAATTAATCTTATTTTACGTAATATATCTTTAGAAACTTTTTTCTGAACATGGCTTGTGAGTGAGGATGCTGAATATTCCCAACTGATTGGCCAATTTGTACGACCATAAAGTGTAGAAGGAAATGGGTTTGAACCAGTATGCTGTCGATATGGTTTAATAAAATCATAACCAGATAAGAAACCATAGTTGACTGTTTTAACAACCAGTGCTGGTTTCTTTGGTAATGACTTCTCTATAAGATTTTTTTCTTTCACTAATGAACCTTTTTGATTATTGCAAATACGTTTTCTAGCCACAGCTTCTCCAATATCAGATTGTTTTCTTTTACGGGAATTGATTTTCTTTTTACACACTACATCTACAATAACACAATCTTCATTTTTTTCATCTCCTGATAATAATGAATTTCTACAATCCGCATCGATATTAATAACAGTGACATTTTTATTTTGGTTTTTTTGTACATTTGAGTTACCATTACATTGATTTACAGACCGCTTTCGCTGTAATCGGTCCAAACTAGCAGGTACAGGTGACTTTGGCACATTTGCTTCAACATTGATGTTTTTTTGACGTGGTGGTCTACCTCGCCGCGATCTAGGACGGTTTGGTTGTACAGTTGTAGAACCAATAGAATGGTTCAAAGGTGGTATTGTTGTAGATATAGTTCTTGTACGCAAATTAATTCCAAAGAAGTCATCACGCTGAACCTTGTTATATTTAGTTTGCTTATTAAATTCATCTGCAGTTTTATGATGCTGATTAGTTAATGTAATTTCTTTTGTCTTTTTTTTAATTACCTAAATTAAAAAAAAATATATTAATTACTAGTTTGTGGGTAAAATGTATTATTCATTAGAAATATTTGAGTATTTCATTTCATTTTTTTAATCGTAACAGGACGTAATAAAGCCCTAATTAAAATATAAAAACTGTTTAATGCCTGACAATATAACTCTATCTATATTTATTGTAGATTTACCAAAACTTTACATTTCAAAACACTTTAAAAATAATTTTACCTGTGGTCTTTTACTTTTTTTATAGAATTACCTGATTTTTAATAGTTGAAAAACTAAAAAAAAAAAAATGTAAGTATAAACTTTAATTTTATTAACAAAAAATAAACCAAGATGTCAAGATAACACGGAATGGATATTCTTTCAAATGGGTTGTGATATTTTTGTAACTACTATAAATACAGAAAAATTTAAGTTGTCCCACATAAAAGGTTTTTTAGTAATCATTTTAATTTATATCAAAAAATACTTCATTATTTGAATATTTTTGAATTGATAATTTGATGAAAATTTCCTTTATGCAATGCAGCAACCTCTTCAATAGAGTAACATCATCTTAAATTGATCAACAGTATAATAATAATAGAGATAAACCAATTTGTTTTAACTGTACAGTTTTATTTAAGTACTGGCTGAAGTATTATAATCTTAACTAATTAATTATATATATTTACATTTGTTTTCAAATTTTCAATATTATATAATAACTTAAGAAAATCCTCCTGTATTGATCACCTTTGTAAGTGTATATTGATTTTTTTTGTAGTATTTTAGTTTTGAACTGTTATTACGTTTTAAAATATTTCAACTAATATGTAAATCATTAATTCATAAATAAAAATAAAAGAAATATAAAATATTGTATATATTTAGGTTCCGTTTCACCAAAAACCGATAAACTCTGTTTATGGGTAACTGTGGTTACACATAATCGAAAGATTAATTTTAGTTTATAAACGAGTGCGTTTCATAATGATACCGTTAGCGATAGCATTCTTGATAAACACGTTTTCGATAGGCCTAGGTTATGTACTAAACTACAATTATTATGTAGATAGTAAACTGATAATCACTGATAATGTGATAACAAGTCGTGTTAATTAATTTATACAATTTAATGTATAGTCTAGTATTGTTAGTTATACAATTTAAAAATTGATATGGAAAATGTATTTAAAAAAAAAAAAAAGGGGGGAACTTCTTATTATAAAACTTTTTATTGATCTTGTACAGCAGAACTATAAAATAGTAGAAAATAAAAAAACTGATACTACTAGTAGTCCAACTAAGCAAGATCAGTGGAAATAAGTCCAAAAGAATAATACGAGTATGCTGAGTATAATATTCATAGTATGTACATAATGATTATAACAAGTCTACAAATGGAATTTACAGCTGATAACCAAGCAAAAGTGGTCCTTGTGTTGATAATAACATTAAAAGAATACTCACTTAAAATAAATTTGTATTTATTTTTGAAAAATGTTACAGTAAGTTCCAAAAAATTAAATTTGTTATAAAGAGGTCGCTATACCAACATGTGCTATTTTTACCTGATTAACAGACAACATAGTAACATACATTACAGAAAACATAAATTGTGGCATTTGGATTGAAATATTAGAGTTAAAACACTCTGAATAAGAATATTATATAGAGCTGTACATAGCTTTTGCCTAATAAAATTGTATACAAAAAAAATATAGTTATATATAGTCAAGATTTTAAAATAAATATAATAAATATAAGACTTTAACTTTAATTAAAAATTTACAACCAACTTTCAGAAACATTATCTTCTTTAGATTTGTTTGTGTTTAAAACTTTAATTTCAACCTAAATACCAGCAATTTATGATCCAAGGAACACAATTTTGTTATGCTGATCATTGGTTAAACCGAGATAGCAAATTATAGCATATTCTTTTAACCTGTATAATTAAAGTAATTTAAAAGTTTTTATTTAAAATTCTTTGTAGGTAAATCCTTTGTAAATCTAAATAAAATAGGTATCAACTTCATAATTCTAGTTTAGCAAACCTAACAATTTTTTTTTTCTTTCATAATGTATGTTTTCGATCTTATAATAAGAATATAAATAAGTCAACCGAACTTTGTTTGGAAGTTATCAATGAAGAACATCAAAAAGTTTGATTTTTCATCACTTACTTGGCTACTGCGTACAGTTTCGCACATAGAATTGGGAGATAATTTCATTTAAAACAGTTCGAGCAAGTGAGTGACTTTGCTCACATACCTTAAACTTGTTTACCCTGTGACCAACTACTTGAGATGATTACGCACAAAGGTATTTTTTTTTGAGAAAAAAAAATTAAAAATGTAAATTTTCGTACACATTTTTGGATTCATTTTGAAAATGCTTTTTTCTAAAGTTTATGTGCAATAACATTATAAAAAGTAAATATGATATATAATTTTTGATTATACCAATTGAATAATCATTAAAATCACACATTTCAAAGTTTTCACCAAAATCAAGACTTTTTTTACATTCTTATTATACATTTGAAAACACAGATTTTGAGAAAAAAAATTAAAAATTTTGCTAGGTTGTTCAACTAGAATCGTTCCTATTTTCCTCAAGAGATAATCTCATAATATTATCAACTTATCAGAAATAAACATTTATGGATTATTAAAACATTAGATTAAGATTTCCAAAAACAAAAAGATGGTATCCTTACAAATATTTGAATTATCCCAAAAGACAAGACAAATTAATTACTTATTTACATTAGTATGAGTAAAAGCATTAATTATTACCTCTATAACAGGAGTAACTGTTGACAATGACGTTTTAGTCGTTGTTCTCATAATAGACTCATGGGTACGTCGTTCTTTGACAATATTTCGGTCTCGAGTTGAAGATGCAGAATTATTACTCGTACTATTCCTGTTGTTGATTGTTGAATTTGTACGTTTTCGTAATTTTGGATGTTGAGCAGTACTATTAACCATATCTCTGATCACTTCATTAATACCGTTCTCAATAACTACAAATAATTCTTTATTGAAAATATCTTTACATGCAACATTTGTTTTATCAGTATATGTTATTTCATTATGATTCTTTAGACTAATTTCATGATTTTGTTTCTTTAAAGGTTTTCCTCGTTGTAGTTCATCGACAAATTTAACGTCACGACTTGAACTATTCAAATTTGTTGATAGAACTCGTAATTTAGGCGAAGAACGAGAGAATTTCTTTTGATTTTTTGTGGGTAAAATACTATTATTTGACACTACGTCCTTTTCTTCTTCTTGGTTGTCATTGATTTGTGCATTTCTATTAAAATACAATTTTCTACATTAAATAATTGATAAATACACTAGATACTCTATTGTTTGTAAATGTTTAAATTCTGTACTTACTGAGATGGATTGATCGGAAGCGGATTCTGTCTGATCAATTTATCCACTTCTTCAGGCGCAAGTCTACGTAGCAAAACAAGTGGCTCATATGGCATTTGAGATGTTTGATTTGGCCTTTTTTGTTAAACATGAAAATATCTCTTTACGTCTAGAAACAAAATTAAAATAAATATAGGTAAGTATTGATTGTACAATATTTAAAAAATTAATTTTATTTTTAAAATAAAGAAATAAAAATTATCAATTCTCATAAATGGCATAATACTCATTGATGCATACGAATGTGTCAGATATCCATTTAAATGAGTTAACAAATTCCTCTACTTGTATCTACAGAATACCATTAGATATAAATTACTTAAATGGTTATCTCTCTATCAATTTACCCATTAAAATATTTAGGTACCTATACTCTGTCCTACGAGAGAGCATGCGCATCATTCGTCAAACTGACCAGGCCATCATATCTCCTCCGTGCATTCAAATTTCGCCACATACGACGTTAGGTATGCATAGAGAAGACCAATTTTCGTAATCGAGGGTAATGCTCTCTTGTGGGGCAAAGTATAGTCACTAAACATGTTTTATTTAAGTTTGTATAACCTGGTGGCTGACATAACCGCATGCTTTCCAAAATAGGTTCTCGTTCAATTTCGCACACATCAATACCTCTGGCAATATCATACAATTGCCCGAAATAACATTACCTATAATTTTCAGTTCTAACAATAAAAATTGGGTAGTATTAAATTGAGTTGAGTGTGTTAAAACAAAAAAACAATGAAAAACACAAACTGTTGACTGAATGGAAAATATATGGTTTTGAAAGACTCCCAGTAAACTATGACTACTAATTTTAAACAAGAATTAATTCCCTTCAATCTACTAAGGCAACTGCGCTGAGTTTCACTAAGTGCTCTACCGTTAGATACCGTTAGAACTGGCAGCACATGGCTACAAGCATAATAAATATTGTTCGGCTTACCCGTAAGAGAAGGTATAGGCCGGAAAATGGCGGTTACCAGTCGTTCATTCGTGTACTGATATTGTCCTGGCAAATGACAGCGGCAGTGGCGGCAGTGGCGGCGGCCACGGCAGCTGCCGCCATAATCGATAAGCACGCACAAAGACCTCCAACGTCGACGTTATGGTACAGTCAATGTGTATAAAGCGGCCAAGGTTTACCTATTTTGTGTGCACGAGTTTTTTTTTTTGTTAACGAAGACGGTGGTGACACTCTAGGTTAACCGAAACCGACGAACGGCCGAAACGGAAAAAAAAAACACTGGTCGATGGCGCGAAAAACACAATCCCCGTAGTCGACGGACCGCCGGAAGAATGCGTTATGCGGTGTGTATACCGGACGTGGGACAGGCGACGACACGGAGAGCAGCACCGAGGGAGCAACGCAAATCGGACGCGGACGACCAACTGTGTAATAATATTACGTATTATGGTATCCGCGAAATTGTACGAAAATAATAGAAACCATTTTTGCGAACGGCAGTACGGACAGGTATGATGACGACACGATTGTGCGACGGAATCGGAAAGCGTACATTCGTACGCGATAATAGTATAATTAATGTAATAATAACAATAATAATAATAACAAACACACAATGCAGCGGCAGTGGAAACGTTGTCGACGGTGGACGACGAATGCGGTGGCGGTGATAGTCGCGCTGTGTCGTGTAATGGGTGTGCGGTGGGGGCGAGCGGGAGGGACGAACTGTATACACCAAAACAACGCCGACGACGACGACGACGATGGCCGGCGGCGGACGCGGAGGCCTGCCGCTGCCGCCCGGCGGCTGGTCGCGAACCGTGGTATGCACGGCGTTTACGTGCGTGCGTGCGTGCGGTAGTGCGTGCGTGCAAAAGTGCGTGCGTGCGTGCGTGCGCGTGGCCAAGCTTGTCGGTGCGTATGTGCGCGCGGGAAGGAACAGCGATTTGTCGACGAGCGGGACTACGGAAAAAGTGGGAGCCGTTGGTCGTTGTTGAACACCGTCGAGCGCGCGTACGGGACGTAAATACGTAATCCATACAACTGTGAACTGATTCAATGTACGGCCGCGCCGTGCGCTCGAGTACGGTGTTACGCACTAGGTACTACGTGGGTCTCGTGCCCTCGCGAACCTCGCTCGTTTTTTTTCTCATGGTTCAAACGTTTTGCTGCCGAGAGAAAAAAAAAAAAGGTTGGATGAATTTTAGATTTTTTTTTTTTTCCAATCAACCCATAGCGATCGCGTTCACAATAATAATAGTAAATATCTCGTCTTCTCGGTCCATTCAAACGAATGATTCGTTTTACATTATTTATTCACTATTTGTGGTTCACAGATGATGTAGGTGGGTTGTCGGAAGGGTAGGATGATATGCAGGGTAATTTATTAATATTAATTTGTTTACTCTATGCAACGATAAATCATTGCGTTATGCAATAACGCAAACGAAAAAAAACGATTCTAAGCAAGGTATTATAAGTCGTATTTTTTCCACTGTTGTCATGGTAACCTGGAAAAAAAAGACCTAGCAAGTAAACGGCTGAAAATATCAATTAATGTTTCCAATAAAATACCACAAGATAAAAATTCCGTATCTTTTAAAATACTATCGAAAAATTGGAGTATTTGCCTAGTCAAGAGTTTTCAAAAAAAAACAACGTTAGAACCAATTTTTGGAAAACCTTAAAAACTATTAACACGATGAAGTAATTCCTACAACTCACAAGAAAAGTGTACTCAACATGAATATTCGCCCCGTTAATTAAAATAAATATTATTTTATGAATAATAAAATTTATGATTACGTAAATTACGATTAACAAATACCATCACTTATTTATTTCACGCTTGAATGATCAATTCTTTAGATAATAATTACTATCGTAATATATATAGTAATAATAATTAATATCATTTTGTAAATTCTAAAAAATCAGACGCATCTAAAATAACATATATAAGGTATCTAAGATACCAAACCATTGTAGATAACCTATTATTAGGTCCCCTATACCTAGGTTAAGTTAGGTGCCTACCTATTTTTTGTATAATTTATTTGAATTCGGTCTTCTTTATCATGTTAATACTTATATTTAAGTGTACTGTTTATTGATAATAAACTATAGTAATTACATTTCAAATTGAAAAAAGATATGATTGTGTAAAAATATACATTTTTTATAAATTAATTCATAGATAACATCGTTATTGTAGTGTTTTATATCTTTATATTATTAATTAGTTTTGTTTAATAATGAGGAAAAACCGGATAACCCGATAAAATGTACACGATAACGGTTTCTGTTATTTTCAATTTTATTTTTTTTGTTGTACCTAATTCAAATAAAAAAAATACCGAATATAATATTTTGTCTTGTAAAATGTGGTAAACGTAAACTCTAGCTTTTTAAAAATGTTTTATAGTTACCTATTTGGAATATTCTAGTTTATTAGTTTTATTTGATTTAATGCGAATAAAATAATTTTAGCTTCTCGAAGATGGTCAAAAATTTGATTAAGTATTTTATTTATTTATTATATGAAACCTACCTACACAATTAGGGAGTATATTAAATACGAATACAATATAGGTACTTGTAATTTCGATTAACCGTGTTAAAAATATTTACATAATAATTTGTGTTTACTGTTTACTTATCTACCTACATAGGTACCTTATCTATCTACTTAGGCACATTACTAAATACTGTATACATAAAATAAAATAAAATGCTGCGATGCAATTAAAGAATAGGGAAAATGCATATTTAGTTGGACTATATATCTACTTGCTCGGTTTCTCACTGTGGTCGAGTTAAATTTACATACCTATTGTGGATAGTGGTTATTGTGTTCTGTATAGTGAAAGGGTTAATATACTAGTAAAATAGATAATATATACAAGTTTTTGGTGGGTATACCAAAATCTGATAACCGATAGGTATACATAGATATTATTGACTTAGTCATGACAAGATATACAGAAATCGTTTATTATAGTAATAATAATACTCTGTCAATTCGTGGTTAATTATTCTATATTTGAAAAAGAAAATACACTACAGAAACATGAGAATTTAAATAATAATAGAGATATAGATATATGTTCGTGATTTGTTATTTATCACTTATTAAAGTAAACAAGATTTTCAAGGAACAAAAAGATACGTAGTTATCGAAACAAATTTGAAATTGGAGCGTTCATGGAATTTTGTCATGCAAAAAGCCAGTGGCGTAAATTCGTCTAAATTTTTGGTGATGCAGAGAAATCTTTTAATTTTTAACCCACCAATATTCCAACTTCCTTTGTAAATAAACAGTTTGTTTTTCTGTAGGTACCAAATTTGTTTTTATGAAATTAATATATTATAAGTATTGAATTATTTTAATAGTAAAACCTTTATTATTATAACATTTAAAGAAAAATTATAGATAGATACTAAAAATATAAACTTTTGAAAATAGAAAATATAGGTACACACATTTTTATGATTTTCTGGTGATGAAAAAATATAAACTCGCATCACCACATTTGGTGCAACTGCTACATTTGCACCACTCAATTTACGCCACTGCAAAAAGCGATACGTAAGTACCTATTTTGTTATGAGATTAGGCTCGTGCGCGTACCGAAATGTTTCCGGCTTTGTTTTTACATATTTAAATCAATAATGACCGATTATTTTACTATACTTTTCGTTTTGTTATTGTCACAAATTACGAATTAAATCAATTATCAAATTCAATCCTGTGGTCCTGTGTTTATTTTATCATGTAGTTTTTGTTTTTTTTTTCTGGCTAGGTAATAGTTGAATTTTTACGTAAAAACAAATAATGGACAAAATATTGGAAGTTAACGTAAGTACTAAGTTTCAGTTCTTTTTAGTGCTACAAAACCCATGCACTATAAATTAATTTTTTTTTATGGGATCGGTAGCGGTGATTTTCGATAATTTCCCAACACTCGCGCAATATAGGAATTTAGATGTGTTTTTATTGCAACGTACCGATTAGTTTAATGAAGTGAAAATAATTCTGCTAACACATTTGAATTTGTTCGTGAAGTTTACTGGAGATCAATTTTTCCA